TGATGTGCGAACTTCGTGTTCTCCTGAAAGCAGCGCTTAAATGCTTCCCTGCAACACTATCACGGGGCACATGACAGCATATTTCATGCAGCAAAATCTATGTAGATGTAAGAGCACACATGAATATCCTACATAATTTGTCAGGCATATATATTATTCCTCTTCCTACCAACTTCCTATCAACACCGTATTAATATGGGGCTATGATGCACGAATGTGCCCCAGCCTTTGACTTTTTCCACCTCTATTTTATAACTCATGGTTATATGAGTTCCGGCCAGCCAACAGGCAGACGGGAAACAAGGTTGAGGTTTTTATATTATTCATTTATTCAAAGTGGTGCTGAAAGAAGCTTCCTTTAAGTAATGGGTCTTTCGGATGCGCTGTCCCTCTTCATCTGGATTAACCGCATTGGGAGTTGAAACTATTGAAGCTACTCGTAATAAACTGTATACTATCATGAGGTGAATTAAGATAAATACAAGCTACGAGGGCTAGCGATTATGAGTACTAAGAGTATATTTCGTTTTAGATATTCCCTATTTATTTATAATCCTAATACGCGAGGCCGGTTTCAAGGGAGCTGGATTCCAGTTGGGTATATTACGGAGGTATATTCTTCCTTCATACGAAAATGGATTAACAGCTAGTACTTCTGAATCTCTAAATCCATCTACTTTAATATATTTAGATTTGCAATCATATGACTAGACGTTCGTCGATATGATGGATGTAATAGGGCGAAAGTAAAGGGCGTTGATAAAGCTATCCACAATTAATCAAGTCAAGACGCCTGTTGGTATAATCTATGATTCGTAGATAGCACTATACAAGCAAATTTACAACAAGCAAACGTTAATTATATAATAGTTATTTGTGTAGGTATATAAACCTGTTGTTTCTAAGGTAGCTAAGCTATGGCCCTACTTTATAAGCCCCTTAAACGAAGTACCCTTATTTACATCGTAGAAGTTTTGACGATGAGTACCTAATTACATAGAATGCCAACTCAGCAACTACTATTCTTCCACTAGTTAAGTAGGATTGAAAGATTCTTATGAGTAGCTAAATTTCACAGCTTGTATCTCTGCCCTAGCCATAACCGCACTGTTATTAGGAAATGGTTGAATGCGGCGTTGGTATATTTGCCGCCTGTTTACCAACCCTCCAGCTGTTTCCCCGGCGAAAGACGTGGCACTCGGTCATGGCCATAAGTAGGACTCGAGGCGTCTTCAGTATCCGGTCTCTAAATACTAGCCATAATTGGTATAGGGACGGAAACAGTATTCAGGTCAACTGCATGGTCGACATTGTTAATGAGGGGCGAAGTTCTTCTGTTCCGTTGCACGTATAATTGCGGGCTAGGATTCACTGAGCAATAGCAGAGAATAGATCCAGATCATATTCTGTCCCTTCGAGCTATATCAATTTTATCTACAGGTATTTGCTGAATCTTTCGGTTAAAAAACAAGGAGATATTTTCATACTCTTCAGGCTATGCCTGATGACCTTGGTTTCAATGTTAATATATTAACTAGCATCATCATTTTTTAGTATTGAACAAGATTATCGAAGACGGCACAAAATGTTAATACATATATATTTAGAATATTTTATTTTTAGTATATATTACAAGTTTGAACAACGATCTCAATGACGTGCCTAATGCTGAAGAAGCTGCCAATTCAACAGTGGATAGTATCGTTGACGACGAAATAATTTAGAACTATATTTGTCTCCTTTTTAGCCATGGGGTCTAATGGACATGGTTCTAACTCTTTGTACCTAACATATTGATTGAGTAAATAATGATTAACCCTAACCCTACGGCCTTATCATATATCATATGCACATTAAACATAAAGCTATACTTTTTGACTTGTCTACTGTAATAGCTGTGTTACTATCATTGGTGCCCTTAGGGGATGTATTGCTACAACATCTCATTCTTGTGTACATTATTTCGGAAGGATTCGAGGATTGTACCAGTGTTTGATTAGAAGCAGACGGTCTAAATGAATTTCGTAACCTATTGAAAATAAGAAGGGGTAGTTATAATGATACGCTCTGTCAGGTGTATTTGAATTCAGCTTCGACATTATTGGGCACATAAAGTCAGATAGCTATACCCACGGCTATACCAATGAGGTAACTACATATGAGTCGGTACACAGGTCTCAGGATAGAACTTCTTTCTAAGTCCTTTAAATACATAGAGCGGGTTATTGAAGTGAGGTAGGGAAAGTACCTGGATATTGGTGAATACCTTAAATCAAACCTAAACTTGTAACGGCAGCGACGATGAGATGGTTAGAAGCTGGGACCCTAACCCCGAATTCTATGCAAAGCAACTAGGTTTATGCAAGATAGGTACCTAAGTACAAACCTATACTTTCCTCTTCTTCCCTGTGAGATCAACTGATACCTTCCGTACCTACTCTGTAAGTTAATTATATACCTAGGTATGCTGATAGATAAAGAAGCAACTACCCTTCGCCCCTGAACTTTGATTAGTAATCTCTACTGTTGGTTGGGTCTTATTGAGCTTTTGAAACTCCCTTAGGAAGGAAGGAAGTTGCTTGTGAGAGAGTTTAGCACGTACCTAACTGCTTTTTGCCGCAAGATTGTTTCTGCTGACCGCCTTATTTCCAATACAAACTCGGCAGGTCCAAGCTGAGGAATATAACATCATCCATTAATCTAAAATATTCAGGACACAAGTCATCATTCATCATTCATCAGACAACCGAAACCATACCTAACCCCTAGCACCTCAACCTACCTACACAAGTTTACATATTCTATATTGCAATATAACCTCTTGAATATTTCCGAGAACCTGCAATATCATACAACGCGCCTTGCCTAAGTCTCAATAGTCTCGGCACAGACTTTTACATCCTTAACCTAACAACCTAAATAAACCACAATCCAAACAAACATCTACATAAACAAACTATACTCTTTTAAAAGAGTTGCACCAAAGAAATATACTTCTCTATTTGTAATGCAGTGTTTCTGATTTTAAGCTGATAAGCTTTGCTCATTATGACGGAAGAGGCTGCTTGCGAAGGTCGCGAGGCGCAAACAATCGTTCTCGGACATATTCATCATCTCGGCACACTGCAAACTCACCTTACACTATCCCCATCGCATTCACTATCTTAACATAAGGGTACCTAAGCCATGCACACAGTCACATACGCATAACGCAGTCTTATATCCTACCTGGACCATCTCAACAATACACACCAAGGCCACGCCCCAAACCAACAACCACATCACCTATCGAATCGGTTGATTCTAGATCAGCGGAAAGCTACGAAGAAAACAAGGTACTTATGGATTTGGAATGGAATCAACAAGCAACCTTTGAATGGGCGGCATCCAAGCAAATGGCTTACTAAACTATTGATTTCGGGACTTGAAGGATATTCAACAACGCTAAGGCTTGTCACCAAATCTACTGCGGCCTGGGTTCAGACTTAGAACATCTGACGCCGATCAAAACATTTTGTGGCTCTTCTAAAAATAAGCTACGCTTTGGGGAAACGATCACCGCGTCAGGGTTTACTCGTTTAGGGTTAAGGACCCTGACGCGGAGGGCGGGTGTATAAAATAATTTCTAAAAGGATGAACATCTTGCACATGTGGCTTGGCTTCTAAATTGCTTGGTTCACTACCTGAGTTTGACGTCCCGGACAAATACCAGAAACAGGGACAACTAAAAAAAAAGCTCTCCAGACCCTAGATAATACGAAACGAAAATGAGCCTCAATTACCCAGTCAACGAACCCCTCTAAGAAGTCGGTACAGCATAAGAAAATCCGCACCCAACAACCGACCATCGATGAAGACGAGGACGACGAGACGATGGTAGGTATCCCACCAAAGACAATGGCCACTCCGGTACGCCAGATGGCTTCGCCTCTCAATTGGTAGCTCCACTACGTTACGATCGGAGGACCTCCGTAGGTAGTTACTAAAACCACGAACGGATTTTTCGCAAAACATTCTATTTGACATGTATCATGTTGGCGCCTGTGGAGTTTACTTTGAGGTGGATATACCCAGGTCTTTGTTCTGATAAAATGGAAAAAGCTTCAGAGTCACTAGGACTCCAGCATTCTTGTATTTCAGCATGTCTCATAGGACCGTTGGATTATGATTCTAGTTTGCTGCATCATAAAACAATAATAATCAAACTCCTAGACTCGACCTAACTACATAGCTATGCCTTCTGGTTTTCCATGGCAGTATAGTTCCCTGAGGAATCGGCCTAATCCTAGAATATTGATTATGATTCGACTATAGAGAACACTTAGCCCTATGTACCTAGGTACCTGTTTGATATAAAATCATGGATATGAAAACTACGTGCTCCGTGGAAAGAGAATCTTTATTGAATGTAATGGTTATTTTAAGAGCAAAATGGCTATCGTTTGATTGAGCCAATAGCTGTACTTATCCCTTTCAAAGAACCTTTAGACATGAGGGACTTCAGTGTTTCTTTCCTAATTCTGTCTACAATCTCGGTGAAGCAACAACAAGTGCTGACGATATGTCAATATCCGTATAAGTCACTAGCTTAGGACATGGAAGTATGTAACTTAGATGCTTTGAAAAATAGTCTCGCACTGGTAATATTGATACGAGCAAAGCTTATGTAGATACCAGGTAGACTACCATCTCCCATCCACCAACTGGACGTGCTGATAATATGTAACTGCCAATGAAGCACCGTAGTCTCACAACGCCAACGCCGTAATTAGGAACAGGGAAAACATGACTCAAAAGAGATTGCTATGCATCTAATAACTCACTTAGACCGGTTATAATCTGATCCAAGTCCTGGCTGCGGCGCAGCTCGGATGTATCAAGACCACACCCTCTTCCTACAATTCATCCATTCTAGACTCCTCTATTACTCTCTTCTCCTACTTAAGATCCAAGGCCGCGATTGCTAACAAGCGGGTAAGCAGGTGTCTTGGTTAGTTAGCTCACATGGCCATTTCGGCTTGCAATTTCCGTAGTTCTGCTTCGTCATCGTCCTCTGCAATGGCTTGTGGTTTGGTTTGGACTATTTGATAGTATTAGCAAATGGAGGACAAAGTCCATCAGGGGAAGCATAGGCTTACTCTCTTGGTTCCCGACTGCCGGCATTCTATGGATAGCATCGGATACTGGTACGGTGCCTGATTCGAGCATCTTCTTGTCGAGCTGTTCTTGCATCATCGCCTCTAGCTCGTCGTTCAAATCTTCTTCGTCGATCGTCTCGCCGATGTGCGCACTCGTGATAGCCGCGACGATCTCTTCGCTGAGCTCGTTCTGTACCCGGAGTTTGTCCCTAAGATATCTTGGTAAGCTGCTATATACGCCGAAATTAATCGGAGTTCTAGTTGGAGGACGTACATAGTCTCGTCGACCTTTTCCGGTGTGAGTTTCCCGTGGATATCGCTCATCGCTTCGCCTGCTCTCTGCATTGCGGCAAGAGTCTCGCGGTTAATATTAGCCGACTCGATAGCGTTGATTTGTTGTTCCAACGTCCCAATTTGCGATATCGTCTGCTCGAGGCTGTGCTCATGCCCCTTCTTCCTCCGCAAGGCGGCCTTTGCGGCTAACCGCTTGCGTGTCAGCTCGGACCTATGGGATTTCGTCGGCGAACAATAACTTACCGGTCTTATTCGTGTTGACATTCTTTCGGGCGAGGGCGTCCTGCTCTTCCATCTGTGCCATTAAATGCTTCTCGCGCTTCTGCAGCATCTCGAGCTGCGACCGTAGGCCGAGAATCGCATTTTTCGGGCTGTCCTTTTTCTTTGAGCGGCGCTGCCACCGAACCAGGCCCAGACGCCAGACATGGTGAACGACGCGTACTTATCGAGGCCGAAGTTGATTGAGCGTTGGGAATCGGTAGGTATGATTTAGATAGGGGTCCTGATGTGATAGCCGGTGAGATATCGATCGCGGGGTAGAATCACAGTAGAATCGTAGTTAAGGAGATGACGTCGCTTTTCTTAGTGTGCCTTAGAAGGTAGATCCGTTGACTATGTTGTCTGGAGAGCGGGAGTTTAGACGGTATCAAAAAGGTGAAGGAAAGCTGTAACTGTCACGAGATTGTTGAGGTCTAGGCAGGTAGATGGATATGATGCAAGTGGTTTACGCTTTAGGTAGGTCGATCAGGTAGCAGAATAGACGGAACGGATTGGATGACGCCGCAGCCGACAAGAGCGACAGGGGGGCAACAACGTGCCCACCGACGCCTGACCTTTTTTAGTAGCCGATATTTAGCCGGATTAGTCAATGAATGACCCAGGTGACCAGTAAGGTTTCAAGACGCATTAGTGAACCACTATGTACACAGTAGCAATCAACTAATAAAGTCAGAGGCCGAGTCTATTTGTTACCTTGCAGCCCTTGGTAAAGATAATAAAGTATTGATTCTTTATAGAATGCCCCTTTCTTATCTTACCTATACTGGATGAAGCTACATACCAATTAATTTATTCTTCGCCTTCCCAACTTCAACGTTATTGATCATACTCATCTGTTCTTAACTAATGTCTTATGGACCTCTTCCATCGTTACGCTGTCTCCTCTCGCATCTTTCTAAAAGGCACGTGGGGGATAAGGTCAGATTTCTTGGGTGGTAAGACCGTTTGCTTTTCTCTCTTTCTCCTCATTTTATTTGCGAATGGGCTTGGACACCTCCGCACTCTCTGCGGCCGTTTGGTATCATGTAAAGTTTATGACGACAGCTCTCAAACCTCGAGAGACGGTGATTAACCTACCTCTGGGCTTTCTTATACGGGCGTGTGCACTGATAACATTATTAGTGTAACTGGATACTCGACCTATTCAGCTATATTGACTCTTCAACACGAGTATCCCAAAGGTACTAAAACTAGAGTCAGTACCGATGTTACACTTCTTCTCCAGAACCTCAACTCCGAACAGACGGATATTGGTCAATGGGTCCATGTAATAGGCTACATCACATCTATCGACCGGACATTTGCTAAAACCACGGTGGGATCTCATACAGAAAGCATCGGGGTCCAGGCACTTGTTCTCTGGACAGCTCGTGACCTAGACATTTCATCATACGAATACACTGATTTCCGAGGTTGAGTGACCACAACGGAAGACCCAGATTCAGACACGATTAGCTCGGGGAATTTTCCATGATCTCTAAACAAGCAGAATAAAGCGAGGTACAATATGATGCATACCACTAGCGGAGCCGTCAATGTGCTTATGCCGCTCCGAAACCTGGACGCTACCTACTCATTTAACGATTAAGGATCTATGTGCATTCAAAGCTGCCAATATTGCTTTGTTTGGACTACGAAAACATGATTATGAAAGAATTTATGAAGATGACGAGTCACTAGAGCATATTTTTGTCATTTGGTACCATTACATTGCCAAAAATGACACTCATTGCGGACTGCTTTTTAGCGAGAAGTTTGCTTACTGCAGATTCAAACGCAGGCGATGGGCTGGTGAGGTTGTTGATGGGCTTTACAGGTGCTGAAAGGCTGTGCCAAGAGCTATCACAGCCAACCCTGGCTTATATGCCAACTCAGCAAAGCTAAATACAATTGAAGCACGGCTGTTCTACAAGAGATAAGCTCCGATCGATCTCCGGTGCTACCTTACTTCATAAAAGCTCCGCTCTCGGCCGGTCACGACCTTCAGACCTCCTGGATGTTGTGGGTTATGCGGTAAACCCCGTTTATTGGTAGCTAGGTCGAGTAAACAAAAAAGGGGCTATATCGAGCCTTATATCTACCTAAATGTCTCGACTTCTAGATGGCATGGTCCGCTTACCTGCACGACTTCTGCATGACATGCACACAACCACGGATAAGATGCTTAGTGTAAGCCAATTGGGGACTAGGTCTCGCCAAAAAGAGCTTAAGCTTCTCTGGCTTGTTGCGGCAGGTTGAGCGCCTTATGTACCTAATGCAGACAACCATTGAACTATCACGTTTCAATCTCTGGGATCCACAGAGGCTTCAGCAATGCCAGATGGCAAACCCTCGCTGGAGGACAGCTACCTCCTGCAGCTTTCAATCTAGGAACAACCCATTCTTGATCAACTTGGAGCCGCCGAAGTCCCGCTCGGCGGTGGGACGCATACCCTCGAGTCTTTTGCGTCGTGCTCCCGCCTGTCTTACGGCACATTTGCGTTACATCGGCGATCTGCTGCATCCCCAGACAGTTTGCAAGTTTGCAAAACCTCACTTCCGGGACATCTCGCCCCCTTTCTTGTCATCGTATGGTCGCCGAGAATTATGACTTCTTCGATCTTTTCCGCGGCGTTTTGAGCCCTCTCCGGATCCATTTGATATCAACACTGGTTGGTGTAATGGGCGCTTGAGCGGCCTCTCGGGATTCAATTGCGAGCGCGCTGCTGCCTGCTTCTCCCACATCTCCTTTGATTTCAAGCAGATATCGTCAATCTGTTCCTGAGCGCATGTTAATATCGATAGAGTTCGCAGCGGGTGGATTGCCCTACGTCTGTCAAGCATGGTCCGGGTGTAGAGATTAAAAAGCCGTCCTCTCCCTAAAAGCATGAGTCAATGCATTATTCGCAACTGGTCGTTGTGGCTATCCTACTTCTCTGGTATACGGTCTAACGGTGGCATCTGGCCCCAGATAGTATTGGAGCTCCTGGGTGATGACCTTCTTGTGGATGTCAAGATGCGGAATCCAATATCTATTCATGGGAGAGAATGCCATCTTTTGAGCATACACTAAGCAAAGGAGGAATCTCAGGAAAGCATCTAAGATCAGCACGAAGTCGGTCAACGGGGCTATTTATGCGAGAAGGCTAAGAATAGTTGCGCCTCACAAGCTTAGTGCCGACTGTTGAGCAGCAGCGCAACACTACCGAGAGTCTGGTGTATTTTATCTTCACACCGCCCTCGACGTGAAAGAGAGGCTTTAACAGCCGTGTATTTAAGTTGTCCGGCTTGCCATACCTTCGTCCCGAATGCGACTGTTGTCCGGTAGGTGCATACATACACAAGGGATGCAGGTTCGCCTCACTTACACGCCCCATTTTTCTACAAGGACGAATAAGCATCGCCCATCTGCTCATAACACAGGGCATGGAATATCCACAACTTACACATTGGTATTGGCTCTCATTGCTCAATTTTCTTTTGCGGTCAGTACTGTATCTGGATCACATTGCAGTACTCCCCCTGCCGGTACCGAACTCTTACCTCTTCTTACGAAACTACGTTACGCATTCACGCCCGAGCATGTCTATACTTATGAGTGGGATGTCCTATCAATGATTCTTTCTACCTTTGTGGCGTTTTTACTCATCTTTAACGGCAACCAATAAGAGACTCAATAAACAAGGTATGCGCATTTCCTTGTTATAACGTCTCGATAAAGGTCAGCAGATATCAGGAAACAAATAGTGGCTAGCCTGCTTTGAATACCGTCTTCTATTCGCGATCCGGAGCCTTAAACTTAATATTACAACCATCCGCCTTTGAGCTTCCTCCCCAATCCATGTTTCCCGCGTCATCCTACCCGAATCTGGAAATTACACCATTTATTGATACCTACCTAGGCTATAAGTGCCTCATATCCTTCCTTATAAGGCTTTCAACCGATTCGGGATACATCGTCTCGACTTATTCCCTTGGCATAGTTCGTACGCTAGTTGCTTCTTATCAGCTGAAAGCTAGAGAAAGGTTCCCAGTTTCAAGCTGGTGTGACATCAAGGAATAAGAAAAATCCAATCATGAACCCGGAATTTGACACCCCCAAACTCTTGATCTTACGTAATACGGTACACTTTCTCGTACTACTCACCCTACGATTTGGTTTGTTCAACTTCTGCTGCCATGTTGGCAGTTTATGTGAGTATGACCGACTCCGCGAAATCCCACTATAATATGGTGTACTATTCAATGTCTTTGTTTATTTTTCTTCATTTGATGCCGACTGCATGATTAGGTATATTATAGGATGGTTTATTCCAAGCGCAAGCAGCGCTTGTTAAGAATCAACTGCACGTACACCGGTTGCTTGCAGTTCAACAGACCTTCAGATTCAGCATTGCAGTACTTACCCGAACACTTAATCATTCGTCGTAGATATATTGCGGGTGAACGTGATCAGAATGTGTTGCCAGTTACAACAGTAGAGAGATGGGACGGTATGAGAACGTTACTTCTTGGAGGCAGCCTCTTTAGTCGCCTACAACACTCATTTTTTCTAGCAGTAGCTAGGAGACCCTGATCCAGTCAGTGCCAGACAGCAATTATTTACTCTTAGATCCCTTGTCTTTAGTAAGCATGACCGTCCCGAGTTTTTAGTTAGCTGTCTGCTCGAGGCAATCAATTAAACGGCGATCCCGGTTATCACTATACAAGTCGAGAAGGCCCTTTCTTCCACTTCGCACTTAGTAATCATCTGATTATTTTTTTGGTTCAACGATAGCAGTATCCCGAAGGCGTCGCGCTCTTCGTAATGGCAGGTTACTGCTTACTTTTTATTTTACCGGTGTGATGTAGCTATCATTCGATTCTCGGAGCAAAAGTCATAATTAAAACCTATCAGTGGAGGGAAGGGGACATTACGTGGCAAATCATTAGAAAGCAACACTTATATGGCAGTGGCCTATTAAATTGTCTTAACAGAACGAATAAGAACATTGACAGATAACTTCAATGCCATCGGGAAATCCCTGGCCTATACGCAGGAAAGCAATATTCTAAGCCAAGCAGCTGACGTATAATTTCCGTTCTCTGTCGATAGTTCCGGGAACGGAAAAATACGAAAAAGACAAGAAAAGGGGTGGCACGTTTACGATTAAAACTACCTTGAACCCCTGATTCTGCAAACTTCTATTCACTTTGCCTTCCCTGTCCACCATGTTCTCCGCGTAATTGCCCATATATCTCGGTTGATTACCCTAGAGCATCTTTCGGAACAATATTAGATCTTATGATGATGGATACGATGCAGTACCTACCTAATCAGCAGTTTCTTAGCTTTATCACGGTCTCAGTACCATAAACTTTAGTTATCGAAAGACGTCTAGATGAGTACATAGGGAGATAGTGGCGCGGATTGAATGTTTAGACAGCTTATCCCAGCTTCTTACACTGTGTATGTATTTCTGAGGGAATTTTCTACGTCCACAAGTACATATAAATGGCTTGTCATTTTTGGCAGATGGAGGTACCTCCCCATCCCGTCTATACTCTCAGGTCTGGCCTAAGACAAGTTTTGCATTATTCAACATATGCCAATATATTATTTCCCACTTCAATAGCCCTCCATTGCCTGTAGAGTTAATTACGCGAGCCTCCAAGCGTAGCGCCTTAGAACTACCAATCTCGGACTGTGCATTAGCTTAGCAAAAATGATGGCGCAGTTAAGATGTTGATCAGATAGTATAATTATGAAGTCCGTTCCATTACCGAACAACTTTGAGAAGTAAAATACGCACTTATTTTCACATGTAGATTTAATTATAGCGTGGAGAGTTACTTTGGGGTCTACGCGGCTTTTCCCCCGCGTTAATATGGTAGACTAGTTGTCCCCCATGGTCGGTGATCCAAATAATTAACACTTCGCTAAGTTTCCTAGTTAACTTTAGCGGTACTAGAAATGGACTCATTACACTAAGATTTGCGTTTCCGGAGTTCATGAAGTCCCAAGATGTGAAGCCGAGGGCCACCAAAAGAATTTTTGGCCAGGAGCGTAACGAGTGATAAATACAGGATGACTAATGTCTAAATAAACATGATATAGGTAGTATGAGATCTGCATTCGTAGTATCATAGATATTGACATTCACCAGAATTGATTAAGATACTTTAAGTAGACAGGAGGGCACAGAATGAAGCGATTGGCGAAGACGCTCCATACTAACCCAACGAATCTTCCTCGACAGAAATGTTAAACGACTCATTGAGATAAATACCATCAGCTTAGATAAAACCGAATGCATATTTATATGGACCGAGATCTGCTCTCCTTGAAGCGCGATGGTTAATCCCGTGGAGAAAGTAGTACCTAGAAAGTCGCTAAGCTCAGACAGGGGCTTTTGTAAGCTGCCCGCGACGACGTTTGGCGATCAAATTCGATGGTGGCACATACGACGGGTAGAACTCTCTATCACTACTTCCAGCCTACCTACCTGTCTTTATAATGCTGCAGGTATACTTATAGAAGAAATATATACCTAGGTAAGCTTTAGTTACTAGGTTTCTCTCTAGGTCATCTACATGTAAGTAGCAAACCAAAAATACCTTTACCTATATAAGTCAAGGCCTCCTACAATTAGTGACTACCCAACTCATACCTCGAAATAAGCATGTCAGAACGTATACCTAAAAAGACCTTAGCCATCATCCCGGCCTATGTTTCTAGGTCGAGTATATCAACGACAAGGCTGCTTAGCTCTAAGTCTTAACTATAAATTAGATTCACCTGTGCTGATGCTTTAAACTTTGTGATTTTTAAGCAGACCTCTCTTGACGAAATTCAAGCAGGTACTTCCCTTGGCAGCGTCTATATCAAGTGAATATTGATGGCTGTGTGTGTGCGGAAAGGGGGTCAAGTTATTGAGGATAAATATTGTTAGCATACGAACAGTTTTTCCTACAACATAATCTTCATAATTTAGTTTCGGTAACTTACACACCGCGCATTCTTGGGCGAGACAGGAGTTAAACTTGTCTTGCTAGTATCTCTATAATTTTCAACCAGCGCAGCTAACAGGTAACTATCATTTGACCTCAAATCGAATAAAAACCATGACTTTATCTTGTTTAAAAAACGTTCCCATTATACTCACCGCACCCACTATCGTGTATATACTGCCTCACCCGCGTTCTCCAACTTTCCCAGCCGCTGGAGTGTACCTCCCGACAATTCTAATCTAAAAAGCGACAACGTAGCAACTCGCCCGAAACTGATCGTTGAAGAGAACCTATGTAGTCCATCCCCTCCATAGGAGGAACAAGTAGCAAGAAGCCTAACCTTTAAGTGGGAGCTAGTATAATTAAGGAAGTGGGTAAGATTAAGAATACCAGTTTCTGATAAAGAAGTTATCCGAGTCTTGCCAATTAACCACTAGGAAACTTATAGATTTTAGCGTGTTTGAAAATACCTTTAGAATATATGGGATGCTCTCTTGTTTGGAAGTATCTCGGATCGATCCTTACCTCCTTACATTTGAACATATAATATTTTTAATAACCCCTTTAGAAAGCTTATTTTGAATCTAATTGGTTGAAGAGACTTGTAGCGCTAAAGAATATTTTGCCGTGTGTTCCGCGATGGCTGCTTGGCTGTTTGGCTGCATCAACGCGGGGCTTCGCCTTTTTAGGTACTTGTACATAGCTGAGCCTTACCGATTACGTCAGCTAAGGACATAATCATGCAGGTACGTACCGAAATTATTTGTATGACCTCATCTTTTTGACAACGCAACACGCGGCATACAACTGGTGATTTGCTTGGCCACAACTTTCCACGCAATTCTCGAAAGAACTGGATTAACTATTCAAGCCACATGACATTTACTTAATTCACTGTATTGGTTCTCAGCAAACCGAGCAAGGTTGAAGTCATGCTTTTGTTACAGATTCTGGGGTGATTGACCGATCCGCAATATGGACCAAACACTCCGTCGTGTCTTGCGTGTGCATTTGCAGGCTGTTAAATACATACATATTCAAGTCCATGAGCCAAGGTAGTATTGCTTTTGATTGGGACAAATAGAGCAAGGTATCCAACCCAAAGATATCATGTCGCCGGCCTAGACAACTCATGTTGCGTCGTCATACCCCAGCAGCCCAAGTTGTGGCTCAGATCGAACAGCTCAAAATGCCATGTAAATAAATACTTGATTAGGTGCCTACAAAGTGTCTCACTTAGCCTCTCTTCATTTAGAATATAATCACCATAAATAATTGGTCGAGCACCCTATCCTCCTATAAGTGCCTACAAGCGGCTTTCTAATAAGGCATCATCGTCTACATACAGCCAAGATGATCTTGACGGACATCTTCTCCATGATCCTCCGCCTTGCGGAGTTGGCGTTTGGAGCTATTGTCGCCGGAATCAACGGGCAGTATCTCCATACCGTCGAAAATACCGACAGTTGGGTCCAGGGCCGTTTCATCTACACCGAAGTGGTAGCTGGTCTCGCCATTTTCCTTTCCATCATCTGGCTCTTCCCGTTCGCGGGTAGCTTCGTTCACTGGCCTGTCGACCTTCTCATTTCTATTTGTTGGTTCGTTGCCTTCGGCTTGTTGGTTAATGTAAGTCATCCTCCACGGCTGCGATAGAAGACTAGGTTCTAATCGTTCAAATAGTACCTCGATGGCGGCTGCGGATACATCTTTGATTGGGATAATGTTTCCTTCCGTCGTGGTGATCAGTGCGGAAAGTGGAAAGCTATCATCGCATTCTCCTTCTTGTCTGCTATTTGCTGGCTTGCCTCAGCAATCGTCGGTATCGTCTGGGTCCGAGATCATGAGGCTCGAGCTTACCGTCGACGAAGATGGCGTGGTTCCCGTGTCTAAGATGTACTCGAAATAAAGCCGGGATCTTATATCATCACATGCTGGATTTCCGACTGCGAGACATTACACCGAGTCCTTTTCTAGTCACCTTCGCGCACAGTTTAATAACGACAACCCCCTTTATTTTTCAGTTTTATTAATGATGTTATGAGAACGAGGAATCTGGTTAGCGTTATCGGATGTTTTTAGGATACTGCTTGTTGTTGATGATCTTTAATGACATTGAGCTGGAGCATATAAGAGTACCATAAGAGATACCCATATTAATAATGAGACAATAAACTTAATATTTACCATTGAAATTTCCATGAGACTAGATGGGAATTATATGTAGGTTGGTGGGGTAAATGATACCTCGTCCTCGTAAATAGTAACCGGCTACACACTGCTACGGTATGGTCCAGGATGATTCCAAGTGCTAATCCATAAACTAATATAAACCCTGATCTACCTTGAGCATATCGATGGGTCCCATCGTGTACTATTCCCGTCAAGTCAGCCGCAACATCATGTCTTCAATGCGTAATAAGATACTGACATCATACTGATGCATGTTATATGACATCTCACTTTAAAATTATGTAACAAATAGTCTATGTTCATCCGTAGATAATTATATAGAAACTTTTTTTGATGAATAAATGCCGCAGTCATCTGCAGATAAAACGGATATGGTATTCTACCTATCTACTGGATGGGATTTCATAAAGAGGGTGTCTCTTGTTGGCGCTAGAAGTTAAGAAGTTGGTAACGGGGAAGTCTATGACGGCGTTCAGTGGGGTCGACAGGGGTTAAGGGTCGAGACCCTGTGGCGGATTGGTTAAGGTGACGCCACATCTTACAACTTCTTTTGTCTCACTAGCCACGGTTTTAATCCCTAACAAGTCTTTCCTCTAACAAGATCTCTCGGATGTCGGCAACATGATTCAAATACACTTCATACTGGAGCAAGGACACCAAAGTCCCAACTCTAAACCACTAAGATACTTGAATCCATCGGGATTTTTCTTAATTTGGAAGCTACCTAAGTAGTCTGGTAGTGTAAGAGGCTACGCACATTCGACAAAACGGACCCCATTCAGAGCTGCAGGATCTGGCTTTGTCCAAGGAGTGTACCCTTACATGAATCCCCCACATATCGTCATCTTCCTGCCCACCAGTAGCATCTATGAAGATGACCGCCACAGCATATGGACGTTTACTATGACGCCAGCGGGCAAGCCACATAAAAGTATACTAACGTGCCTAAGCAGTCAAGGTAGCCAGTAAGGCTAGGGGTAACGAGGTAAGTCTGAAGATCTGTGTCACTAGTTCTAGGCCTGATACAGTACCTGGCACTAGACTTTACTTATGAAATTCTTGTGAGCCTCCGGATTTAGTTTGTCCGGGATCGATGCGGGAAGGCTTAGCAACCGCGTCTGTCAAGGATCATGCATCTCCAATCAGGGGCGATGACGACCGATGAAGTCAGAGATACTTTCACATCGTCTTGTAGCTTAGTATCTCGTATTGATTGGGCAAGTCTAGCCTTTGAAGGCGTAATCTAGGAAACGGAGGCTACGATGCTTGATCGAGATTCCAGATGATGAAATATGGCGGCAAATCAAGAGACTGCCTTGGAAACAAAGGGTGAAGATATATGTCGAGGCTGGCTTCGTATCAGTATAAGAAGTCGACAATCCCAGATCTCAACAACATTTCTCCCCTCATCATTATCAACAATAACATCAACAAACAACTACTTGTTATCTAGAAGATAAATTTGATACCCTTTACTACTATATTTATATTTACTACATATTCATACAACTATCCAACATGTCTGGCGTAATCAACAAGGTTAAGGAAGCCGTCTCTGGCCACCACTCTTCTTCTACTAGCAACAACACCAGTCACAACAGCGCCCCTGAGGGTACCCACGGGCCCCACGGCAACCGAACAGCCAACGCCGCAGACCCAAGAGTCGACAGTGATCGTATGTAGCCGTATTCCCATGATACTCTCGTACCATAAGGCCACTAACATTCGTTCTAGGCGACAACCGTGCCGCACCCAGTTCAACCCTTGGCGGCTCTAACGCATACTCCTCTGGAGACAACTACAGCCATGGCACCACTGGCACCACCACAACTGGTGCTCACCGAGAAGGTGCTTCTGGACCTCACAACTCTCGTGCGGCTAATGCTGCCGACCCACGAATTGACTCGGACCGAGACGGCCGCTTTGCGGGCAACACCGCCGGCGACTATGGTGGCAGTGGCCGAGAAGGGGTCACTGGACCCCACAATTCTCGACTAGCCAACACTGTCGATCCTCGCGTCGACTCAGACCGAGACGGCTCTCGCACTGCTGGTAACACATACGGAAGCTCCGGTACCGCCGGAACTACTGGTGCTGGGTACAATCCTTCCGGCACCACGGGTAACAACTTTGGAAGCACTGGCACTGGCGCCGGATTCGGCTCTACTACCGGCACTCACGGTTATGACTCTACTACTACCGGCACAACTGGCACTACTGGTAACTACGGGCACGGTGTTGGTAACCATGGTGCAGGCGGTGCTCATGGTGTAGGCGGTACTCATGCTGGCACTGGTACCACTGGTACCCATGGTCTGACCGGAACCCACGGTACTACTGGTACTCACGGTCCTTCTGACACCTACAACACAACCGGAACTCACGGTCTAAGTGGAACTCATGGTACAACCGGCACTCATGGTACTACTGGTACTCATGGTACTACCGGCGCCTACGGCACGACCGGAACCCATAACACGACCGGAACTCATAACACGACCGGAACCCACGGTGTAGCTGGATCTCACTCTGCTCACTCTGGCCCAGGCCCTGCCCCCGATACAGCTGGTCCTCACAGCAGCAACATCGCCAACAAGCTTGACCCCAGAGTCGATAGTGATCTCGACCACTCTCGAACCATCGGCGGCGACAAGACTTACCAGTCGTAAGTACGCCACTGTCGCCTTTCGGCTTGCTATTCCGTATTTTGGATAAATTTTATTAACGGTTGCTGGAAGTGGAAACTATGCCAAGGATCCTACAGACGCTGCTCAGGTACCCCCTTCTACCCTACGTGCACACATCGGAGAGCCGGTGATCGAGCATGGAGGCCAAGGGCACCACCACCGGAATAGTGCGGGAACGCATCAGGAGACACATAGGGGGTTATAAGAGCTTTATTGGGTTGGTAATGATGGAATGAACAATATTACGATACTTTAATTGTAAATTAGACATATTTCCTTTTATCATGAAGTCCCTGGTGGGAAATGGACATATAATTTATCTCTATACTATGACAATTTCTCGTGAGCTTTAATATTATCACCATAAAGAACTGTAATTGTGTTTTCGATTATCATGTTTAGCCAAGGGGGAAAAAGAAACATCGTACGAAAACTAACGTGGCGTTACAAGGGTACCCCAATAAAATAAATACCTCATACCCCTCTCGAAGAGATGTCCCCCCCTTTCCGATGATTAACGAAGCTCTCTGAGTTGCACATACTCCAACCAGCCTTGACTTCACAAGCAATTATATATTTATGATCCTTTCATAAAGTAAATAGATTCAATGAGAATATCTAAAATAATATCATTCTAGTCTAAACACGAATAGTCCTATGCGTATCATTGGCCAGCTCCAGTTTGTGCTGTCATGATTTGAGGAGAGTAATAGTAGTAATAGTTCCAACTGACACCAGTCCAGCCCATTCTTTCCTGTCATATAGTATATATTTACTTCGTAAAAACCCCTAATCTGTGTGGGACGACTTGATACCACGGCTCGGTCACGGGCTGAGCGACGTCGATCTTCTCCCAGGACCCTGCCTCCCGTAGCGTCTTCTCCGTCTGTCGGCAGAGCAGACACCCGCCGATGAAGTGCGGCCAGAATACGTTGAGTAAGCCTGTATATAACCGATGGTTAGTACTGCGCTTGCTATATCTAGTAGGAGGTAGGGAAGGGAATGGAAGCGAAGGGAAAGACTCACGTTGATACGCCTTCATGTACCAGCTGTTGTTGCACCGCACATGCTCGTATATATACCATCGTCCTCCCTTCTTGAGGTACTGGTATAGCTCGCGGATATTCTTCTCCGGGTCGGGGATGCTGCACAGGCACAGGATACTCACGATGCAGTCCACGCTGCCCTTCTCTACGACTCCGTCCCATTTCGTCGCGTCGTCTAGGTCTTCGATTCCTACCGGCACGATCCGGTATACGTCTTCGAGCCCGGCCTTTGCGATGGCTCGTCGTAGGGCCGGGTGTTGGTTCACATTCGGCTCTATGCCGTATACGCGTGTGATAGGCCCATCGACAGCAGCGCTGCTACCGACCTTCCGCCGCCTGGCCGCGCCGTCGGGTTCGGCGCGCACCTCGGCGATCTCGCTGTACATGTCAACCCAGAGCCCAGAGCCGGCGCGCACCTCGGCGATCTCGCTGTACATGTCAACCCAGAGCCCAGAGCCGGCGCCGACCTCTATGACCGTGCCAGCAAGTCCAGGGGAAACCTGTTCATCGACGACAGCCCCTTTAGTAGCACGACCCTGCAACAGCGGGATGATACGCACGGCGGCATCACGCCTGATATTCGGCCCAGCGATGCCTCCCCAGAGATCGCTGAACCAAGCTTCCTTCAATCTAGAGGGAGATAGGAGTTCGGCGAACTTGCGCTCGCGCAGGAGCCTGAGTATGGTCTTGGGCAGACACGTCGCCGACACTAGTAAGAAGTTCCAGGGGAAGAGCAGACCCAAGAAGGCGTCTATTGTGCGCCTGGCGAGAGACATGATGGGATGAGTTACTCTTCAGGGGAAAGCAAGCTATACCTGGAGATAAGGGGGGAGGGGAAAAATAAAAAGGAAGTAAGAATTCCAACTAGGCAGGCCCCTGGGGTTGGTAACTATTTATATGACCGGGGAAGCGTAACCCTGATTTAACGTAACCCTATCCCCTATCTGACAGCCGCACCATGAAACAATATATTCGCTTCCGTATACGACAGGAAATATCTCCAACTCGATTGGTTAGTTGGAGCACCTATCGATCACGCACACACAGTGCAGAGACTGTAAGAACATTAGCGTCTTATATATGTGCAATGGGTGCAATGGGTACAATGTGTACAGTATTTTCACATGTTTTCATCTCTATATTCTATAGGTATATCATTACAGTTCGTCCTTTTCTTCCTTTATAGGTATGGCGCCTTCCGGTCTGCCGCTATCTTTTTGTAGGTCTACACCGACCTTGCCTCTCCATTTCTGGAACACGGACCAGAACTCCTTTTCCATCCCGGACTCCATCTGGTCCGGTAGGATTACGACATACTCGACATATAGCTTGCCGAATTGGGTTTGGTGGTATACCGAATCCCCATCCTCATTCCATATAGGCATCCCTTCACCTTCCACGGTTTCAACATGACCAGGCTGCACGATCTCGCCGCGCTTCCGGCTTAATCTCACAACGTGGCCATCTAGATGCGTTAAGTTACGGCTCCACTCGCCCATCCAGGCTTCCCGAAGAGATAAGACTTCTCGCCAGAAAAGATCGTTGCCTCTACGCCGGAAGAAAGTACCGTCCACATGATCGGGATTATCATTCTCAAAATCGGGCTCCTTTTCGGTGAGTGTAACAACAAGGTCACCGGCAATCCAATCAGGGCTCGCATCGGCTTCGTTCTCGTATATAATCTTAGCATCTCGGGCAGCACCCCGCTCAATCTTAAGCGAGACGGTGGTCGGTTTGCGGATAACTCTGTTACCACCACAAACCGGGCACTTATGCTTGATCGTCTTGCCGCGACCGCCGCAAGCATCGCAAGTGGTCTGAATCTGCTGGAACATGCCTGGTGCTAGCTGGTGCTTAATAATGCGCACACCATGGCCGCCGCAATGATGACACGTGTCTACAACACCGTCTTGAGATCCTGTCCCGTCGCACTCCTCGCAAATTTGCTGCTTCTCCACTGGAACTCCGTATCCCGGCCGTTGTAGAAGTCGCGTAGGGAAATCCCGACCTTGATCTCAATGTCGTGCCCGCGCGGCTGTCCCCTCTGGTAGTGACCACCCCCACCGAAGAATCGGCTGAACAAGTCAAACGGGTCGTGATGATGTCCGCCCCCCTGGCTGCGCTGCTTTAGACCATCATGTCCGTACTGGTCGTAGATCTTTCGGGACTCCGGGTCGATTAGAGCCTCGTAGGCCTCGGCGACCTCGACGAATTTGTCTTTGGCTGTAGAGTCACCTCTAGATATCGCATAAGCTACTAATTTATATCACTATTTGCTTAGACAGTACGTTGACTTACGGATTCTTGTCCGGGTGGTATTTCTTGCTTAATTGTCGATATGCTGTCTTGATCTGCTTATCTGTCGCCTGACGGTCTACCCCAAGAATCTAATCATGATTATACGTTAATACTGAATTGCTAGACAACTTTAAAGGGACGTACTTTATAGAAGTCTTCGGCGCAAAAAGCGAGCTGCGCTAGAATAAAGAGCAACCAAAGGGTTGCCCACTGGAATAGCATCATACCAAGCGAATGGCGGCTTGCAAAAGCCCGCTAAGTTACTGCAAAGGAAAAAAGGTATCGTATATCAAACCCAACCAGAAAATATATTAAGTATGGGAAGCTCTATGTATGAAAAAGACTGAAAGATAATTCTCCCATGGATATTGAAGAGTCAACATGGGAATTGGTCAACGTGGTGTCTTGGGATTATGAGGTATAAGTTGTAAAAGGTACCCAAGTAGAATAAATGCAGAGACGTAGCTCTAAGTTAGATGCTACTAATAAAATAAACCGTCTACCCTTGAAAAATACCAGCGTGTCAACGTGGTAAGAACTTGTAAGCTAGGGTGTTCGACCCGCTTTGATAAGATAAGCCCTGCAACTTTAAAAAGCGGGTTTACCTTGGCAATAGTTGAAGCTGTGATTGGCTAATATTTCGTATGTAGTGACTCCAAAGGAAGTAATCCGAAAAAAATACTAGGCAACTACGGCAAAGCTTCCAACTACATGATATAACATGTTTTTCATTTCTTGCTCATATCTCCAGCACTGACTCTCTATAACGTCTCCGAAACAATCCCGAATAGCTTTGTTATTCCCCTACATATGCCCCGGTGTCAGTCATATGTGGACAAATCTCATCTTCTAGCATTGGGATATTAGTCGGGGTTCGTATTCTCAATAGCAGCCCCGCCGTCATATAAATATTCTTAATCTACATACTATCATAACCTCGAAGACCAGTCATGAGCAACAAACGATATGCCTTCATCCCTATGGATGAAGGTGAAGTGGGTCCCCAGAAAGTCGAGAAGAAATCCAAACATAGGCGTCGCGACGAAAATGGAAAATCTAGTTCTCATCGTGATTCGCATCACAAGTCGCATCGTACCCAGAGTCGGAGTCATAGCCGCAGTCGTTCGCCACGTCGCGATTCACATAGACCGAAAACGAAATCCATCCGAAAACACGCGGAGGATGACTTTGATAATAGGTGGGGTGATGAAGAGCCAGGGAGTGAGCTTGAACCTTCAGACGACGGACGTGACGAAGAGCCCGAGTTCAAAGAATCCGCTCCCAAACGCGTCAAGTTAAGTCCTAATCAACGAGAGGGAGAGGATGACGGTGCCGATTCCGATACTGCGCGCGACATTGCCGAGCGAGAAGCCTTCTCCATTCGTCTCAAGGAGCGAGATGGGGGCAAATCAAAGAGCGAAGGCAGGGCCGAAAGGGAAAGGCAGCGTCTAGCCGAAGAACTTTCTGCAAGCAGGGCTGCTATGCCAGATTTACGGGAGCGCTCGAGACAGGATTATCTAAAGAAGAGGGAGGCAGAAAGATTAGCACTATTACGGAAACAAGTCGCAGAGGAGACGGCAGAATTAAATAGTGGTGTACGGTTATCTGAGCGAGAAAAAGCCGAGTTCGCGAAAAACCGAGAAATTTTACGATTAGCCGAAGAGCGATTGCGGATTGATGACCACCGTGACGGCTATTATATGCCTGAAGATTATATCACGGAGAAGGGCAAGATAGACAGGAAGCGGAAAGAGGAGGCGCTATATAAACGATACGTCGAAAGAGATGAATACGGCCAGGAGAAGTTTGTTACCGAACACGAGGAGTGGGAAAGGGAGCAGACACAAAAGGCAAAGGCTCAGATTAACAGGGCGGAAAGAGAGTACGAAGGAGATTATGCTCCTGTTCTTGATCCCGAGCAGTACATACAATGGAATATGGGCTCGACATTAGCTGGGGAGGGAAAGACATTAACCAAAGAACAGAGGTTTTTGGAAGCGCAAATTGAGGCTGCAGAGAAGAAAGCATTATCGATCGAAGAAACTCGAAAGAGCTTGCCAATATACAAGTACCGAGACGAATTCATCGCTGCTCTCGAACAACCAGATCTTAGTTCTTGTTGGTGAGACGGGCAGTGGAAAGACTACGCAACTACCTCAGTATTTACACGAAGCCGGTTATACGAAAGGTGGTCTCAAAGTAGGTTGTACACAACCTCGAAGAGTTGCTGCCATGAGTGTGGCAGCTCGAGTTGCAGAAGAAATGGGAGTCAAGGTCGGCAACGAAGTCGGTTATTCCATTAGATTCGAAGATGCTACTAGCGATAAAACCATTCTGAAGTATATGACTGATGGCATGTTACTTCGAGAATTCATGACGGAGCCGGATCTTGCAGGTTACTCGGCCTTGATGATTGACGAGGCTCACGAGCGGACAGTTCATACCGATATTCTACTTGCCTTAGTGAAGGATTTAGCCAGGGAACGACCGGATCTGAAACTGCTTATTTCTTCGGCTACGATGAATGCTGAAAAGTTTGCGCAGTATTTCGACGACGCTCCGATTTTTAACATTCCAGGGCGAAGGTACCCCGTCGATATTTACTATACTCCAGCACCTGAAGCAAACTACTTGACGGCTGCTATCACAACGATATTCCAAATTCACACCAGTCAAGGAAAAGGAGACATTCTGGTATTCTTAACAGGCCAAGATGAGATCGAAGCTGCAGAGCAACAGTTAACAGAGACCGCAAGGAAGCTCGGAAATCGAGTAAAGGAACTGATTGTCTGTCCCATTTATGCCAATCTGCCTTCAGAGCTCCAGAGCAAGATATTCGAGCCCACTCCGAATGGTGCCCGTAAGGTTGTACTTGCTACCAATATCGCCGAGACAAGTCTGACCATCGACGGTATCACATACGTCATTGACCCAGGATACGTAAAGGAGAACATCTATAACCCAGCGACAGGGATGTCGAATCTCGTCGTTGTTCCATGTTCTCGAGCCTCTGCAAATCAGCGCAGTGGACGTGCCGGACGTGTTGGCCCTGGTAAATGCTTTCGCCTGTATACTAAATATGCCTATATGAACGAAATGGACGAATCGACCACCAGAGATACAAAGAACCAACCTGAACAGTGTGGTGCTATTACTGAAGTCTCTCGGGATTAACCAACTGCTCGAATTCGAATTCATGGATCCTCCCCCTACCGAATCTCTAATCGGGGCTTTAAATCAACTTTTTGCCTTACAAGCCCTAAACCACAAAGGCGAGCTTACCAAGGTTGGTAGGCAGATGGCCGAGTTTCCTACGGATCCAATGCTTGCCAAGGCTGTTCTTGCTGCAGACAAGTTCAAATGTGTTGACGAGGTTTTGTCAATTGTAGCAATGCTAAGCGAGGCTTCGGCCCTGTTTTTCCGGCCGAAAGACAAGAAGATACATGCCGACAGCGCTCGTAACCGTTTCACTGTCAAGGAAGGTGGTGATCATTTAACGCTACTTAATATCTGGAATCAGTGGGTTGACAGCGACTTCTCTCCCATCTGGTCACGGGAGAATTTCTTACAACAGCGCTCTCTAACCCGTGCGCGGGACGTTCGCGATCAACTTGCCAAACTCTGCGAACGTGTAGAAGTAGCGCCGTCTACATGCGGTTCGGCCAATATTGAGCCCATTAAAAAAGCTCTCACTGCAGGTTTCTTCCCGAACGCAGCCAAGCTACAACGCAACGGCGACAGCTATCGAACCGTTAAGAATAACACAACGGTGTGGATCCACCCCAGCTCGGTGCTGATGAAGTCAGATCCACCTGAGAAGATGGTAATCTACTATGAGTTGGTGCTCACCAACAAAGAGTACATGCGCAGTTGCATGCCCATTAAACCGCATTGGTTGAATGAGGTCGCGCCGCACTTCCACAAGAAGAAGGATCTGGAGGAGCTCGAGGAGAAGAAGATGCCGAAGGGACACTCTGGGAGGTGATGAACGGGCTACGTATTTCTTGGATATAGGCAGAGAATGAGTTTTAATGCATGAGCGGGATTGTTATTATAGGGTTACCCCGTTCAGCAAACTATCTATATAAGTGATATAATATTAACTTCAATGAGATACGTGACAATGTCTCATCTATCTCATTATTATGTGAAGAAAACATGAAAATCACCTATAGCGTAGCCGTAAATAACTAGTCCGCTTCATGATAAATGACCCATTCAGTCATCTATTTCAGCAAAGCCTCCTCGCCGGCCTTAGGAACCAACTCCTCGTACCGCCGCAAGTCCATAGGCTTCTCTAGTAGAGGCACCACGAACGGGTCGAAGGTCTTCCAGTACGGGTTCTCCAGGTGGTACTTCTGGCTCCCCTCGTTTTCGAAGCGCTCCACGACGGTGAATTCTTGCGGATCGTGGATCGATTGCACTGTGGTGGGTTTAATACACGTGTGTATGTGTGTGTGTATTTCGGTAAGAGATGTGCATATGGATAGGGAGCTGGATAAAAGGAGGGAGATACTTACTGACGAACCAAGATATGGTCTCTCGATCCTTGGAGTAGATGGCAGAGGCCTCGTTGAGCTTGGCGTGCACCTTGGCGATGTTGTCTGCGCCGGGCTTGGCGCGGATGTGCACGACTATTGTGTAGACCATTTTTGTAAGTAGTGGCTGGTTTGGGTATGAGGGTTAGATGTCAACGTAGATGTAGTTGTAGTTATAGTTTTACCGTGATGTCTACCTCCAATGAGGGGTTTAGTGAGCTCTCACTCAGTATAAGCTTAGTTAGAGCTAACCTCCACCTTACCTCCACATTAGAAACTCCGAGTTGCCGGTCTGACGTATATAAAGATGGGAATTGATGTTTAATTGGCTGGAGCTAGGTAGTTTATGTTTTAGTCGTGAGATTAGTGCGATGATATTTCAGCCTCTTTTTTTAAAGACAAACACATAAAATGACGTAGTTAGTATTAATATTAAGAAGATATCTTATGTTTAGTATTCGTAAAGTCGTACCAAAAAGATGCAAGAAAAAAGAAACAAGCTCTCTCAGCCGTACCAAGCCGTTTACCCCCCCCAGCCACAACCACATGTCGATACGTACAACATCCTACCAATTCTTACTTCGTCTTCTCAGCCTTTAAGCTCCCCTTGACTATCGCAAAAGCCCTCGACGTCTCGCGCGCGCTACTCACAACCAGACACAGCGGAATTACGATCCAGAACGCGTTCAGGAAAACATAGTACCCCCAGAAGTACGCAAGCTCGGGGCGCGAGTACTCACGTCCAAACTCGATAAAGTCGATCGTGCAGGTGCCGTAGTACAGCACGTCGCCGTATAATTGGCCCAAGCTCACGATGGACTGCAGCGGGTGACGTAGGGGGTGCTCGGTTGCGATGCACCACGCGATCGCGAACGATAGCGGGCCCCAGAACACGGCTGTTACCGTCTCCATGCATACTACGAAGGTGTCTGCTGTTAAGTACCGCGAGTCGGAGAGGGAGTATTCCTTCCAGAGCTGCGCGAGCACAGCTGAGCGACTAGCTATGTCGCGTGCGTGCAGCGCGAAGTAACCTACTTGTTGTCAGCTTGGAAATCCAACTTAGTGAGGTTGGATGCTGGTCTACCTTCTAAACCGAGGTGGATGAAACCGCACAGGACAAACCATAGCGTCGTGAAGACGTCGCTAAGCGGTAAGTTAGGCCGTGCGTGTCGCAGATAGAACCACGTCGGACCGAGGATACAGATGCATGTTACCGATAGCTAGAATCTCCTGCGTCGAGAGAGTCTTTGCAGCGTAGTTCACGATTACAACACCGAGGGGGTAGTAAGGGTGTAGAGGCGTTTCTGAGCTTTCGCTTATCGTAGAATTAATAATATCCGCCATCGTAAAAGATTGGGTTTGAGCGTTCTGAGGAATTGTATAGAAGCAAAGATAGAAGTTTTAGTTGGTTTATATATTTCAGGGGTAAGTTGATCATAGCTGCCAAGTTATAGTCGGGTACCGCGGATACCCGAACAGGGGCTTGGAAACTAGCGTTGTTGGTTACCACCCGGATTTAAGTGATTTGATACCGGAAGTGGTTTTATTTGAAAGTTAATCGTATAATTGTACAATTCTAATGGGGAATTAATTCATGTGTTCTTTTTTGATACGTCAACTATTATGGAAAACGAATAATTAATAGCAAACGACATTAGTTTACAGGTACCCATTTGGGTCTCCAAGAAATGGATAGTTACATGATTGTAGACGTATACACCTGTATACACCTGTATACACCCAATGATATATCTTTTTTTTAAGTATACTAAGGCAAGTATGGACACGAGGCAGTTACAGTTGATACGTTGCCAATACCAATATCAAGCCCATTACCATATGCAATAGCCGGCATATTATAGTTGAAGAGGTAAAAGTGCAAGTCACCTCCACGCTCAAACTCAAGCTTGTCAAAGAAACGAAAATCACTAGAAGTAAGTACACTAAAGACATCAAAGTTCGCCTATAAAATTATTTCGTTATTGATCAGCACTAACTCAACTCACTAAAATCCAATCTTCAGCATTGATTATGGACTTACCTTTTTCGCTAGAAAGAGCGCATCACTGATCAGGGCATATAACCTATGCTGCAATCTACCGCCGTCCCCCGCGAAGGCAATCTCGGACGCATAGAGGTAAAGATAGGCTTCGTGGGCTGTGGCCTGCCCGCTTCGATAAGTAATGCGTCCAGCTGAAAAGAAGGATATGAAATCGGTAATGCTTGTCGTTTTCGGGTCTTCGACTACGTAGGCCCACAGTACTCGCTCTGAATTAGTAGTTTGTTCGTTGAGAAATGTCTGTCGAAAGCAGTCTTTGGTGAGCTCGACAGTGACCTCAAATCTTGCCATATATTGATTTAACAGACAGTAAACGGAGTCCAAATCTTCATCTCGCATTGATCGGAGACCAGGCGTCGTCGTAGTGCTAGGAAGCGGTACCCAGTACAAAGAAGAAATCTCATTTCCCAACAATTTCTGACTTAACGCTCGGAAGAAATACTTGCTTGTGGTTATGGGTAGAGGCAGATAGGTCTCTGTAGCATACAGTGCTTGATAGACTCCGTCACGGGAGCATCGGCGCGAGAGTTCCTTGATAAGAACAGGCACCAGGCGTCTACAGCGAAACTTTCCATGAGTGCAGAGGAAGTTGACCTCGGCTGCTTTGATACTCTTATCGTGTACCCGAATTATACTTGGAATCGCAAATATGCAAGCGAGTAATTTTCGAGACCCGGAGTGGCGGATTCCAACATGCCAATCGCTTTTCCACCCGGGCTTCTTGAGCGTCCTACTATTGATTAAAAAAAAATTCAACCAGTACAAAGTTCATACAGTATATTTTCAACTTACCAAGCCAAGAAATTAGCAGAAAAGTTGATACGATAACTTCTCGAATCAACTTCATGAGGACGAACATCAGCAGTAGGTATATTTCTATAATGATCGCTCAGAAACTCCAGTACTTCTTTCAGCTCTTCATCATCATCTAAATTTATAGTTGTCCATTCATATACCTCCGCAAGGGGAGTCAACTCGGTTGGGATCCGTTCGTGACTAAAGTCTCGAATTTGCCCTTCCTCGCCACGGCCGTCGCCGTCGAGTTGGGGGACAGGTTGTGTCTTCCAGAATTTATAGGCCATTGCGCGTTGAAAAGCCGCATGGAGGATATATAATACTTCCAACAGACCTCCATACCATGAATGAGGGGTTATCTATCTTATTAGAATGACAGAAGCTTTTCAAAGGGATAGGACTAAAACCCCAACGCTATGTCACCCTCCAACTCGGTCAGATTAGACCGAACGCAGATCACGCGCCCAGACCCGTAATGAATATTACAAGCCAGCACATTTCAAAGAATATGCTCACTTTTTGTTCCTCAAATGATTATCTATAACATACTATTTATCATCAGCTATTACCTCCCAATATCGGATGCCCGGACGAGAATTATTCAATGTCAGATAGTAGCTTATCAGTACATATTCCGGTGTATATCATCATTTAATCGGCCGAGGATATATCAACAATGACAGCCTGTGAGGAGAAAAGTGTAGCAATCAAAGATACTGGTTTCACATTATTGACTAATCCGCATCATCCCACTACCGAGTAAGCATATCCATCTCTTTTTAATATTAACCTGAAACTCTATTTGGAAAACTAATACTTTCAAAGCTTGATATTTGTCCATGGGCTCCAGGGTCACCCAGAAAAGACATGGACATGCACACCGCCTCGAAAATATTCCAATGTCCCTTGGGTAAAAGTTAACAAAAAAGAGCTACCCAAAATTTTCTGGCCTCTCGACCTACTCTCCAAACATTCCAAACTAAAAGACACGAGGATAATGACACATGGATATGACTCTATCGTCATGAGGACTTTCCATAAAAGTAAAGGGCATAATATTCTTCACCACGCAAACGAGCTGATGGCATCTCTACATCGAGAGAGAGCAGGTGATGTGAGCTCTTTGCTATACTAAGTTAGCATGTTCTATCACTAATCGTTATACAAGCCGAAACGACCTCTCATATTTATTGCTCATAGCCTAGGGGGTATTGTGGTAAAAATTGTAAGTGCTCTTACCTTTACTTGCTCTTAACCACCTTAGGGCTAACTAAATTCCGCTCGAGATGCTCAAGAAGTCGGATGATCAATCCATCTACCAGGATTTAATTAAGTCGACGAGAGGCGTCATATTCCTCGGAACGCCCCACCGGGGGAGCACGGCAGCAGATTGGGGGTTGCTGATATCTAACTTAGCTAGGTTTACTTTCCAGAAATCAAACGACAAGATATTAAAAGCGCTGAAAGTAGAAAGTGACATTCTGGAGTCTTATAGAGACTCTTTCAACCACTTAATGCACAAGGTTCAACTACATGTCTACTCTTTCTATGAAACGGAGAAAATGTTCAATATTCCTGGAATCGACCGTTTGGTGCGATGAATCTCTACGCATTATATTGAACCTAGTACCCCCGTATCTAACTTTTGTATAGATTGTCCCTCACGAATCGGCCATCATTGGTGACGTGTTGTACGAAACTGTCCAGAGCATGAAGAAAAACCACTCCGAAATCTGTAAGTTTCCAGACGCGGAGGATGATGGATACAAGTCGGTATTGTTTGCCATAGTGCAATGTGTAGAAAAAGCACTAGGTATGTTCCCGACTTTTACTTGAGTTTTCCCTATGATTCTTTTATTGGCGGTAATTTAAATTAAACTTTTAACATTTGGTAGAAAATAAAGATACAAAAAATAAGGATTTGGACCTATACATTTCAACACTCGAGCTACCCACGCCAAACGAATTGGGTGCTTCCTCAGAAGCTACCATGAATCCTATCACCATATCTAAAGAGCTAGATTGGCTCTTTGAGGGCCCTGACTTCAGAGAGTGGCGGTCAATACCATCATCCAAGTTACTATGGCTTGGAGGTGACTTACAGTCCTTATACATGAAGCAGGCTGGATCGCTTGTAGTAAAAAGGCTTCGAGAACATGAAGAACGGGTCCTGTACTTGTCATGTACACCATCACTGGGGTTCAGTCTAAAGAAGAGACCACAGGATCTATCACTCAGAGTGACGCGAATGCTAATATGTCTTCTGAATAAGCTTGAACCTGATTCTCGGATTGTTGGACGTGTGATGGAAAGCTTCCCACTTTCACAACTTACCACGCCTCCGGCTACTATGGGACGAGGGTTTTGGATTTCGAACAGACTATTTGAGGTGCTCTATCATGCTTTGCTGGAAGTATCGGAACCACGTATATATCTAATTATCGATGGACTCGACATTCTTCGCTCTGAGCTTTACCCGTTCATTTCAGAACTCCTTCACCTAAATGAGAGGCTTTCAAGTCAAGAGGATATTGCTATCAAAATACTCTTTACCACCCAACCTCGTCTCTTTTCACCTCCGTTGAGCTACATCGAGGAAAGAATGGAGACTATCCCATACATCGACGAGGATAAAGAACGAAAAGGTATCATACTACCCTACCTTATTGCCTGAGGAGTTTATTATTAACTAGCTTATCGCGAAGATTGTCTTCAGAGCCTCCGCACTGTTGATTTTTATGCACGCCCAAGTACTATATTTAACGCCGACTCTTCTACTGGTCATTGGCTTTGGGAAGATGCAGCCTTCAATCAGTGGATAACACCGGGCTCCTCGAGTCTCCTAGTGATTGAGGGAAAGCCAGGAAGTGGCAAGTCGACACTAGCAAAGCAGATAATCCAGGAGAAAGATAGGCTTTTTGGCTCGGGGGCATATGCTCAAAAACCTCTTATTGGCTACTTCTTCTACTCATCCCGCGGGGGGCCGACCGAAAAGAGCCATGAAAGTATGCTTAAAGCCGTTCTATGGCAATTGTTATCAGCCGAGCCTTTGCTCTATCCTATCTTCAGGAAGAAGTATAGAGTTCAACGTAACGAGTCTGGATTTAACTTCCACTGGAAATTTGAAGATCTCCGAGATATGTTCGAATCTCTTACTACGATTGATGTTAAACTATTAATCTTCATCGTATTAGATGCCATGGATGAGTCGGATCGCGATGAAGGGGGAAGAGGTCTGGTTGACGTCGTCGACACTATGCAGAAGGTCTGCTCTTTAACATCAAAATGCACTATAAAAATATTAATGACAAGCCGGCCTCTGCGGGAGCTTCCTTACGTGCACCAATTCCCTCGCCTAATCCTAGAGGAGTATAATCGTGACGACATCAAAATAATTGTTGATGAGAAGATCGAGGAAATTGTGGAGCAGCTGAAAGTCGAGAGTAATGGAAGTGATGATGACATATATGATAATGAGTTTGACGATATAAAAGAATACATCAAACAACATGCCGATGGCGTGTTTCTATGGGTCGATTTGGTATTGAAAAAAATCAAAGTTCTTGCGGAAGCGGGTTTCAACAACATTGAACTCATGCGCCCACAGAATTTTCTCCCGCTTGAGCTTAATGGTCTTTACAAGCAGATCATTGACCATTTATCGAAGAATTCAAAAAATGATATAGCAGAGGGACGAAGATTCATCTCGATCGCTATGTTTGCGCTTAGGCGTCTTACCTTGTCCGAAGTGAAGGATGCCATCATCATCCCATCAGCCATAGAGTCTGATACGTTCGCTATTCCAAAGGATATTGATAAACACAGAGTTCGACTCCTACGAAATCGTATTACGGCACGATGTGGAGACCTTTTAGAAATCAAACCACCCTTTGTACAGCTGGTACATGAGAGTGTAAGAGATTTCTTACGAAGAGAAGCCGCTGGTCCATTTATCATGAACGATCAAGATGGAAATGACGAGATGCTATCGATTTGTGCCCGGTATCTTAGAATTTCACTTACGCGGGACACAGTATCAGATAGTAGTACGAAAAGCTGGACAGAACAGGATTACGCGGAGTTTTTGAAGCTGATAAATGACAGGCCCTTCCTCAATTATGTTATATCATTTCTCCCGAGTCATTTGAAATTAGCACGAATACTATCTGTGGTGAAGGAATGGCAATTATACAAGGACGAGATGAGGTCGCTAGAGCCCGCCTATTTTCTTCTTAGATCATTGTTCAATGAAGATCAACTCCTAGAGGAAAAGGCAAGGATTTTAGAAGCATTCAGGACAAAGGCACTGGTTGTAGCCGCCAAAAGAGACTACTACGAGGCTATCAAGTCACTATTAGCTGCTGGCGCCAAGCTCAATTGCGTTGATGATACGACAGGGGCATCACCTCTATCTGCCGCCGTTGCAGAAGGACGGTTGAAAACCACCAAACTCCTTATTGATTTGGGTTCTAAGGTCAATCATCGGGATCGCTTTGGAGAGACTCCATTACACAAAGCTGCCGCAGCGGGAGTGAGGAGATAGCCCAGCAACTTCTAAATGCTGGGGCACTTGTACATGAGAACAATCTAAACAGTGAAACCCCACTTCATTTGGCCGCTGCTTGCGGCCACGAACATGTTGTCGCTTTGCTGGTCAAGAATAAGGCTACGACATATGAGAAAGATAGGTACGGGAGAACGGCGCTGCATCGCGCTGTGGGAATTGGCCATTATGGAATCGTAACGCGGCTCATCGATGCGGGGGCACGCGGAATTGGTAAAGATAAAATACAGGCTATGAGGGTACGGGTACTTGGTATAGGGAATGCGCCATACATTGGTACCCCATTGCATATTGCAGTTGATAAGAAAGACGTAAAGATGGTACAATTGCTTGTTGAAAAGGGGGCTAGTGTAAACAGCTTTGTAAAGGACTCTATAAGAATTTATGGAGGAACTGCGTTACACAGTGCTGCGACAGCGGGAGATAAAGATATAGTGACGATACTACTAAACAATGGCGGGGAAAATGTACTGAGAACTAAGGACCGATATGGGTTATGTCCGGCTGATTGCGCTAGGGAGAATGGGCATATGGAGATTGAGCAGATGCTTCTTCCGAAAGAAGAGAGTGATGATGAGGAATGTGAATATGAATATGAGAGCGAGGCATGAGTGTAAACCTAACACATCTACTCATCTCCCTTCCAGAGTCGTTTAGGCATTTAACAAATTACCCTCACTATCATGATCCCACACTAGTTAACCCCTTTTGCAGTAGAAACCAGTGCTAGCAGATCCATCTAAGACTCTAGATTTATATAACTGGAAATCTAAAATAGACAAACAATGTACGGACCGTATAATGTCCTCTATACCCCGAGACGATGTAATACTCATACCTCATGTCTCATATCTCATACCCTCATCTAACCCCCGTCCCCATCAAACCCACCTCCGCCACCTCATCTCCGCCTCCCCACCCAGCGGCGCTTCCGGCCCCGGCAAGATCTCGCGCAAAACATCATTGATATCCTTCCCGCTCGCATGCACATCGCCCCACTGCTTCGGATACCCCAAACTACACTCCTCAAACCTAACCCCCTTCTTCCAGTCTGTGCGCGGCACGTGCAAGTGCCCCGACACCACCACCTTCGCCGGGAACCGCGTATGCCAGTCCTCCGTCGCCTTCGTCCCGCACCAGAGGCTGAACCGTGGCACCCGCGGTATATACACGAGGTCCTCGCGCAGCGGCCAGTGGTTAATAATAACTAGCTTAGCGTCTGGATGGTCCGCCACAGCGCGCGTCAGCTTGTCCTCGAACTTCCGGACTAATACGCGGCACCAGTCGTCGCGCGTTGCGTGCGGATCCGGGTGCAGCAGGAACTCGTCTGTAGCAACCGTATCCGTCTCCTCGGCCCAACGCAGCGCGTTCTCGCGGCTGACGTCTGCGGGGCGGAAGCTGTAGTCGTACAGCGTGAAGATGGGCGCGATGACAACAGGCCCGCCCTCCCCCTCCCAGCGCACGAAGTCGTCTTCGGGCGTGTGCACGCCGTGCTTGCGCGCGATTTCTACGCAGTAGTCGTACTTGCTCTCGCCGCGCAAGTCCGGCCTTGACGACTGCATCGAGTACAGCTCATGATTGCCGGGACACCAGAAGACCTCTTTGAAATTACGTTTGCCCGCTGAGAAGGCCAACTCTAGGTGCTCAGCCGTCTCGCCTACATCACCGCATAATATCAGACCGTCGTCCGGGTGCGGTTTCAATTCCTGGAGGGCTTTCCTGTTGAACTCGTAGCTCAGGTGGAGATCTCCGATAGCGTAGAGCTTCATAATGGCGCTGTTGTTAGCATTGCTTGGTTGGGTACGGATGACGAAATGTGATGAATAAAAATTGATTTGAGGCGTCGGTAACAAATATGTAGTCAGACTCAATCTAACAATTGTGGTAAAGTCATAGGCTTATCATTATGTCCGAAGAACCAATTATGTCTTGCTTACCTTTCTTTATATCCATTCGTACAATGTCAGGAAGTTGCAGGTGGTGGCTTCCTTTCCTCTACGTAGGTAGACTTGGCTATAATTGCATATAAATATCTATCTATACCGTTGATGCTAGTTATCGGGGCGATCTGAGGGATCACTCAAATTATAATTCTCAATGCCCCCGACACTTAACCAAAACATTTACTTAACCTAGGTGATAATAGGTTTAAAATTGAAGATCTAGTTATTCTCATAATACCAATACAGGCTTAGAAGTACCATTCTCGGGTTCGGCCTTAGGATTAATAACCCCCCTCCTGCTTGAGCTCCTCTTTAATCTTGTTTCGTTACTTTTGAACCTCTGCGGCTAGATTTCCCACTCGAGTCAGCATCTTCGAACTCTGTACTTGCGGACTTAACCTTGCTCATATACATATGAGCGCCGTGCTCTTGGGTTAGCCTTTCGATTTCCGTGTCTACTGACTTGGCCTTACCTTCGCCTACGCCATGTTGCTCTGAATCATCCAGCTCAGCAGGCTTGACCTTTAATTCACTATGCGAAGTGTGTTCACCCTGGATGGTATCCATGTTGATCACGTAATCTCCCGTGTTAGGTTCTCCGCCTCGCACATTTTGTCTTTTGAAGTCAGTGTATGGCTGAACCTTCGAGGTCATATGAGATGAATGATCTTCCATTTGTATCCATTCATGTTCGTCGTCCGAGTCGTCGTCCGATCCGTCGTCTATCGATGAAACCTCCACTTCCTCTGGCACCGCCTGGCCCATGACGCATTCGCGCTCGGCATAAACCTCACGGGGTAACGAGGAATGCTCATGTTCAAGCCCGGCCCCTGGTGGACCTAGTGGACCCATGTCATCGGGATCGTCTCGGGAAGTGTTATCATGTCCACTATCGTGGCTGCGCTTGCTCCTCTTGCTTACTTTGCGGACGAGGTCCCCAACAACTTCTGCGCCCCGGTGGACGTCACCTATGAATTCATGGCGCCTCCGGTCGATTTCGTCGCGTGCTAAGTCGACTGTCTGTCGGTTAAGATGTATTCCTTTGTCAATTAATCGGTTCTTCTTGCGAATTTCGCTCCAGCGAGTCAATGAACCCAGCTCAAGGATATTCATACGGCGGAATTTCTCTGATGGGTTGCCAAGAACGACAGGCCTCTAGCCAACGTCTTCTTCAGGGATCTCGGCGATATCTTTGAGACCCTTAGCTTTGGCAGCGGCTACTGCGGAGGCATGCCGGAGTATACTGTGTCGACGTTCTTCAGTCCATCTTTCCATCTCGAAGCTCTTTGAGTTGGGTATGATTTGTATCCTGCGAAAACGAGCAAACACGGCCAGTAGTAGGAGAGTGTATGAACAAGATGGATGCAACAATACCCGTTGCGGCCCTCTGCCCTAGACTCCGTGTGACTATGCCACCAATACCGGTTGCTCCCGCAGCAAGAATAAAACCGATGCTGTGAATAATGTTCCATCCAGCAGTGACTCGGGGAAAAGATGAGTAATTGGTCCGTTTTGTGCTATCCTTTCCTGATCTAGACCGACCCGTCATGCCCGGCTGAAAGTCAGAGCAATCCCATGTTTCCATCAATATACCATTGCATTCGGCTATCGCAAGACAGGATAAGAACCCGATCATAGCTGCGAATAAGCAAGGAAATACGACATGGACAGGCGGGCCAGACGAGACTACGGTGTAAATAATTCCGGCAATCGGGAGTACGATAATGAAGATAGCTCTCCGAACAAGGTGAGAAGTCCAAGTTATTGACTTGTCGAAGGTCATATTGTTTGTTGGCGGACCTGTCCATCGGGACCGTGAAAAGAGATTTGCCTTTTGGAACGGTACTGCCGCAAGCGCTCCGATAGCGACTGATGAGACTGTAGCACCTACGTACGGAGACCGGAAATGGTAGTGTCTGGAAGATAAGGACCCCAGAAGCTTTAGGTCGTCAGTGAATGACGCAGGTTAATAAAGTATAAGATCGACTTACAACAATGATCAAAACGACTTGAGCATATATCCACGCAGAATATACAGCCATAATAACGAAGCCCGGTTGACGAAGCATTTCAAGAGATAGAGCAACCCCGTGATACATCTCCTGTCCCCACCATTTGGGGCCATCTTTAACTCGATGCATCATAATCTCCCCGCGAGCTACTCTTCGGGATACTCCTAGGGGGGTCCTGACTTCGGCTACGGAGCGTCTCCAACCCGAACGTCGAACTTCGGGACATAGGACGTTAAGAAGGAGCACGAGTGCAATTAGCATGATGCTAATGTAAAGTCCCCACGATGGCTTTAAAGTGTCAATGACTACGGCACCGATCAAAAAGCCGATACCTAATGAACCGATGAAGCACCATGTCCAGACGCCCAACCAAATGCCGAGCCCGCCACCATGCCTCCTTACGTCGTATTGGTCGACGACTTCCTGGTGCGGATTGCTGCTCATCAGAGATGCCCCAAAGAGGTCAGTTAGTATGGAATGAAAATTCATACTTGCGAGACCTAAAGCACAGCCCATGATTGCTCTAGGAAGAAGCAACGCCCATCTCCAAACGCTAGTGTACGGTGATCTAGGTATGCTAACCGCAACAGCTTGCGGGAAGAGAAGCGGCAGAGCTACGCATAGGCTGCATAAGATATATGGCTTCCGGCCATGCAGCAGTGGCAATGGCCAGCAAAAAAACGTTGACAAGGCCATTCCAAGGTATAGCACTACGTTGCCGATGATTGAGTAATGATGAAAATCTGCAATGAAATATTGAATTGATGGAACCAAGCCTGCGTAGATTCCCACTAAGACACCAATCAAGGCTGTACTGATGCACGCAACCGAGGCGACAAATCTCTTACGGATAGGAGACCAGTCGCGAGCGATTATAGGCTGTCGCTTCACCGACTTGGTAAGGCTGAATCGTTGTCCATCCCTGATACTGACATGAGACCTCCTCCGAAGGTTGATATTGCGTAACTCGTGAATTCGCTTAGAAGTCACCTTCCTTCGAACCCTTCCGAGTTTAGTAGTCAATACATTCCGGTTACCGTTATATGTCGACACTTTGATGCTTGGTATGTCTTTCCCCTGTCTATCATTGTTGTATTGGGTAGAGAAGTCTATTGTATCATCAGATGTATCATCATGCAAGCTGTATACACCCACATCTTTGCGGCAGCCCTCAGAAATGGTGGCCCATCGGCGGAGTTGAACATCCATCCCTAGGGAGTTATCGCTGAGGTTCTTGGAACTGTGTCGAAGGGTGATTGGTGGCTCGTGAAATACACGAATATACTCCCTAACTTCTCTACTGTTGGGGACGGCCTTAGTACGAGGTCTTATGACCCCAGTGGGATCATCCTCATCATATGCCAGAAGCGTTGGAGATAGATATCGTCTCTTGAGTTTACTGCCTGGCGGTGGCAGAGGCAAAATATCCTCCCCGTCGGAAATTTGATGGCGTACTTCACGACTTTCCTTGTAACTTTCTTTAGGCTTCCGAAGGCCACGGATATTCGGTCCACTTTTCATATTTGACCGCGCAATATTGCCGTTACGCATATCAGGTTCTATTGGGCCTTCTTGGGTTTCTTCTTCAGCCGCATCCACGATGGTATCTGGCAGCTTCTCGACAAGTGTATGTCGATGCAGGTTTTTAACGGACTCTCCTCCACAACTTACCTGAGAATCAGATAAGATTGGAGGGCCCTTAAATGCCTCAGTTGCATTCTGTAGACGGGAAATGAGGTCCTTGTCATCATCATGCCCACAATGGTCGTTTTCGGTAGCTTCATTAGCGAGGAAAAGTGCTTCGTCAAGTAGTTGCTCAAGGTTATGCATAGCCGTGTCCATTATTCCGGCCTCCTTTGAAGTTTTCCCCGAGAAAGTTGTCGCTCTAGATACCAACGCCTCGTCGTTGTTATTAGGGTAGTCGTCATGATTCTCGTGACGAGGGTGGGATTTCTCCGGTAGTTGGGTAAGATTGGGAGGGTTTGACTCTGGATATCCCAGAAACTGACGAAGCCAAGTTGCGGCATGCGCTGAGTCAATCCCTTCAGGTAAGATACCTTTTTCTGCAACATTGTCATCACCCGCTATGCGATGCGCATATGAAGTCGGAGAAACGGAAGCTGTAGGAATTTCCATTTCTTGTCCATTATCCCGAGGAGAAACTCTGTCCTGTGAATGGCTACCACTAAACAATTTTCCAAGTGACGACAAGTTCGCATTGGTATGGCGAATAATCTCTTGATTGCCAATGAATTCTGCAAGTCTTGCAACGGGTTTGGAGGCAGCATCGAGGCTTTTTTGAGAAGCTGAATACTGACTAGCGCTCAATGAAGGATGGTTTTCATTACTAACATGAGGGATTGAGTTATCCACAGGTTCACCAGTCACCTCAGCCTTCTCGCCCTCTTGATTTCTGAATCCTGGTAAGAATCCCCAGTACGAAGTCGATTTTGCTGAATCGTCACCCTGTTGGACGTGCTTCTTCACGGATAGCCTTGGAATTGAGTTTTCTTCTGTCAGAAAAGCGGTAGATGCCGATTCGTGGTAAGGCTGTACCTTCTGAACCCAAATATGGCCTCCATGGGGATCGCTATGGTATGTGCTGTCTCTAGAATTATCTAGGGACAGACGAACTTTTGGCGCGAGACTGTGCCCATGGTGGATGTGCTCTAAGACGTATGGCGTTTCCGGCGTAGAATCTCCTCGGGAATTTACTTTGCTTTGGTGGATTATCTTTTTTTGCTCGATCTTTTGAAGAGCAGGCTGGACCTTCGAGATACGAAAGTGGCCGCCGTGCTTTTCGTTATTGTGAATTAATCCAATAGCCGGACGAACCTTGGTAGCTGAGCTGTGGTTCTTGTGGATATGCTCGGAAACATCAACTATATCTTCGCATATGTCACCCCCTGAAATAACGCGGCGAACCCGGCCAGTTAACACAGGCTCAGAACGCTCAGAAGCGGGCTTGCTTGGTGGGGTCCTGATGGGAGAATCGCGCTCAACAGCAAGTCCAGCATCGCAGAAGTCGGCGCCTATAATTAAACCAGGGTGGTGGATTTCTGCATGCTTGCCTGGAGGATGTATTGTAGGATCAATGCACACTGTTCCAGGTCGTCTTGTTTCATCGAGAACAGGAGTTCCCGAGATTCGGCTTTCAAGATCAGCCTTGGACGACTTTCTTGTAGGTATAGATACATGAGAGAGCTGATGGATCGTGACGGCGTTTCTCCCTGTAAGCTCTAACGGGCCCTGTGTCAAGACTGGAGGTATCGGTAAGTCCCTGATCAATTGGTCGGCTGAATCCTCTGATTTTAACAATATATGGCGGTACGATCTAGATCCTGTAGAACGAACAGATATTGGGCGGTTTTTTGCAGCTTTCAAGGAAGGGGTTGAATTGCTAGGACGCAAGCTCATGTTCAATTTGGGCTCCCTGGGAGTATCTTGGAAGACGGTCTTGGAGGTAGCCATTTGGTTCTCGGCGAGCTACCGCATATAGGTATCCGTGGTGTTTACCGATAGACCGCCACCGTGTTGATTGGTGATGGAGAGGCCGATATGAAATATAGGTCGTATAAATCCCGAAGCAAGGGTTATGCGAAGTTGGTCTTGAGACCATGGAAACTCGAGTAAGCTTTTAACGGAGAAGTATGACCTCTAGTTACTGGTAAATAGGGCTTTTTGTGTACTAATAATGATATACATAGGGGTGAAAAGGGGCGACGCGAAAAGATTGATGTTTCCTAGTAGAGAGGGTGGCGAAGAATGATGAGTTCAACTAATGATGTTTGTATATATGTTGGGCTAGGTATACACCTACTTACTGCCCATTTCCCAAAAATTCTGCTACAGATATGTTTTTCATCTTTCCATCAACTAGTGGTACATAGTTCTTACCCTCAGTTTCGGCTAATATGACAGAGTAGCTACAAATTATGGGAAGGACTCACTCGGGCGATAGAAAGTACAATCTAAGTTTCTTAAGATAAGGGTTGTAAAATTAAAATACAAGAATCTTGTCAGGTCTAGTAAGCCCCTGATTATCTGTCGTTCTTGTCTACTTAGAATAATAGCCTATCATATCCGTCCTAACCACACTATCCTCTTATTCAATAACTCATCATATTACACCATTTCACGGTGTCGGAGTGGGAGTAGGCAGCGGCGCTATTCATAAGTCAGAAATTAGCCCTATAGATTAGATAAAAACCGTGACGTGAAACTAACACTTAGTGGTAGGGCGTCCAGGGCGGCCAGTGGGGTGAGGTCGGCTGGTAGGTTGCGGTCGACCCGTGGGATGAGGGCGGCTGGTAGGCTTAGGACGGCCTGTAGGGCGCGGGAAACCTGATGTCTGTCAGATAAAATTATGGAAGTGATAGGAGTTAGAACATACCACCTGGGCCACCTGGTTCACCAGTTGGGCGAGGGACTATTTGGACTATATTAGCTTGTTACCAATTATAATATCATAAATCGTTAGCTCACATCCGGGGACTATAGAGTATATATTAGCTTGTATTTACAGTGTTAGAGAGTATAGTTTTCTTACAGCCAGAGCCAGTTGGTAGTGGGGAGTGACCAAGTGGGCAACGGTGGAAGCGAAAAGCTAACAGTAGGAAGACCGGTGGATGCGGGCGAGCTATTTGATACACGTTAGTAGCTTGCGTAGTTAATCTCATGGGAACAATAGTATTTACTCTTTACGTCTTCACCCAGGCACTGTCATATGTTAGCTCTTGTATAGTTAAGGCCTGGATAGGGACTAACTTACGTTCGTTTTGAAGCTCCTGATTGACAGGTGCTGCAACAGCGAGGCCGAGGAGCAGGAGAGTGATGATTCCCTTCATGGTGATTATCATAGGACGACTGAGTAGAACTTGATAGTGATTTGGCTCTATTCTCAGTTTCAGAGCGAGGTGATCATAGGGTTATATATATACCATTTTGACTCTACGAGAGACTTCTCCTTTCTAAAATCAGACCACGCCAGCCCATCCCCATTACTAGGTGCTCAGGGATGAAGCTTTTCGGCAAATTGTCGAAGAGCTACAGGTGAAGTCTACACCGCATGCTCCCCACGACAACAACTGTAGATCTACGACCGATATGTTTACCTGATGCCATAAGCCAGCATAGTGCAAGGCCGGTTAAGCAATGCAGGAACATCGGAACAAGCTTTGCCAAGGCTCAAAGAGCATGGCCACCTGGTATTGTAAGAGGCCTAGACCGCTGGTTGGTCAATTGATGGAGAGATGTGCTTTGGTCTTCAGCCTGCCGGTCCCGACGCGTACGCTACCCATAGCTTGAAGCAATCAGATCGGCATATGTAATTTACTTTCTTAATTAACCGAATTTGATTCCGTACTTGATACTACTACTTTTGACGCGTCACTTAGAATATAAGAGAAGGGCTATAAGCGATTAGGATGATATCCCTTGTCTTTCGCAATATCATTGACGTAAGCATAACCTCTTGGATCGTGCTATGTCCATGATATATATCAATAAAGCATTGGTCGTTGGCGTGAAGTTTTAGGTAAAGTATCATTATTTATCCATTTACCCTGTTTTCAGGATGTTGATAATTGGACTAAACAGGTGTTCTTTTAAAAAATTATATGCTCCGTGTAGGCTTAGGGAATGCGGGGTGGAAGCATAGAATCGTGGATAGAAATGAGGGTGCTTGTCAATTAAAACGTGGCATATAATGGCCGAGTGTATTGTTTAATGGGTTAGGGCCGGAGATTCAGGGTCCATATTCGAATGAATCGAACTTGATAAACCACGATCAATCGACCAAAAATAAATATGCCCACCGTATACTTACCTACATGATCTAAGCGTAGTCCTAGCATATATTACCTACACTTTATTTTGGTGAGGGATTCGGGATCTAGCAGCACTATCGAGATATAACTTTTCTATGTGAGCTCATCGAGTCATATATGAGACCGATGGGAGACCCCAATTCGACATAATGTGGATCCTTGTAATTTAAGAAGATATTATATACCTACCTACCTAGGTAGGTATATATCTTTTCTATCCCAACAAGTCGGTATAGAAAATTAATCAATGCATATGAATATCAAACTTCTGGACCTCCAGGATGGGGCTCAATTCTTGTGGGTCAAGGCAGAACGTGGATGTTGTACTGAGTAAGCTTACTTGATGAGTATGAGGCTTCAGCTTCTCTTCGTAAGATCGCGAAGAATATAATCATTTTCTCATCGATATATAACTTCGAGGTATAAGGTAAGGTAACTATTTCTTATCTGGGCCTTATCCTTCGAACGTAGCATCGAGAACTCTGTACTTGACGTGAGAATGGAGTTTTGCCAAATACATACGTATGAATACTTCGAAAACTAGGAAATGCAAACTAAGAATAGTTGCATTTTGAAAGATGATGTAGATTGTTACAATTGTTGGTGGAAAAGGTTCACTAAGAGTTGGCAGGACCCACTGTAACGATCACTGTAACCATCTCAATGCGCCGAGTCCCGTTTTTGAGGAGCTAGCCAATACATATTCTTCTTCGTACAGGAAAAATGACGACATTATTCCGACTTGATTTTCAAGTACCTCGTACAGAACACGAGAATATTATGGAAGCTGGGAAGGCGCGGAAAACATGAAGAACATTTGAGAAGCAGCTAGAGGGAAGTGCACATTATAGGCCACGGGACCCAGCTTACATGGATAAAAGCTGCATATGCACATATTCAACCCACTCACCAATTAAACCACAGCAAAAAGAGACTAGAAGTTATCACAGCCCCCAGCTCAGACAATGATCACAAGGTGATAAAAAAAAAGTCTCACCTATTATCATCATCAGCAAGTAGCCGCAATCATCTGTCTGCCTGGTTGGTAATAACGAAAGTCCTACAATAGGTATGTACGGACGTTGTGAAAATTGTTTGGTATTTCGCGGCTATGTTTTTGAAGTGTTCGATATCCTGGAACTGAGCGATATAAGACGTATTATGAATATTGATTAGGTCGGGAACCCCGCATCAATACATCAGAGCTGAGGGTCTCATCTTCTCCCACGCAAGTTGGCGCAAATAAACCCCCCTACCTACCTCTAACCTAGGTACCTCACATACATACACGATACCAAGGCGCAGCGCAAACGAACTGCATACGTGCTTCCAAGGTTAATCAGGAAATCCAAGAGACCTGGAGAACCGGCAAGCCCAGAGACTAAATAGCCACGAGGCAGGGCAATCATGGCAGGGTTGACAAGAGACTAACAGCGTCACTCATCCTCTTTGCCCCTCCACAAAAGCTCCGAACGCCAAGTAATCAACTGGGCTGGGCTTGTTTAGAGTCACAGTCGGCGCCCCTCGGGAACCCCATCACCCATTTGCCCATCACTTAGCGTTTTGTCGCTCTTCCCGATCATTCTCGAGCCCAACTTAATGGGTAGAAGTCCTGCGTGACACTATCCATCATCCCACATCGTCACCAGCCTTTTTTTTGCCGCGATATATATAGTCCCCAGTACTGGTGTTGTCTAGTTAGGTATATACCTTTTATCCTCATAAATCGCCTTTATTTTCATCTTCGCATTTATTAAAATCAGCCATCTACGCTTCAGTGACGTCACTATCTCCCAGCTATTGGGATTCACAACAATATGTCTCAAGTTTATCGTGAGCGCGATGTGCGCTACACGAGGGAGGATAGTCCTTCGTCTGATGATGAAAGATATAAATCTACAACGGTGAGGCGGTATAAAGTAGGAGGTGGAGGTCGAGTTGTTGAGCGGGATCGCATCGAGCGCTATGAAGAGGACGACGACCGAAGGTCAAGACATTCACACTCACATTCGCACTCTCACTCGCATTCCAATGTCGGTCGTTCCTCTGGCGAGATGCTAGAAGTAGATCGCCGTGTTGAGAGAACCTCTTATCCCGAGCGACCTAGATCGGCCGTCGACTCGTACGACCACGACCACGATCACGACAGGTACAGGACTGTCGAATACGAGCGAGAACGCGACGTCGATCGGGATCATTACCCCGAGAGACATTCTCGCACCAAAGTTGTTGAAGAGATTAAGACATCCTCGCCATCACCTCGTGACCATTATTGGGACCGTCGGTCGGCTCACCCTTGGGAGGACATCCGGGAAGATGTTCGCGTTGAGAAGCGGATCGTGCGTGAAGAACCAAACGGAGAGATACAGGTTAGAGAGAAAACCGAGGAGTATAGAGAAGACCCCCGCGACTATAAGGAGCGGGATCTCATGATTGAGCGCCGCGTTGAAGTAGACAGAAATCCTCATGACGTCGATGTTGAGCGATACCGAAAAGAGGTCGAGTATTACGCGGCACCATCTCCTCCCCCAGCACCTGTCGTTATTCGCCAGAAGTTTCCCGAACAAAAAGTTATTATCCATGAAGCTCCCGCGCCTGCTCCCGTCATACTTCCGCGACAGGAACCGACGTATATCGTCTTAAGGGATGAGCGTCGACAAGTGGCGCCCCGCCCAGAGCCCCGGGAGGAAGAAGACTATCATTATCGCCGGGAAGACCGACGGCGTCGAGACGAGCGACAATATGAAAGCGATGGCTATGATGAGGACTACTATATTAAGAGGACAATCATAACACGAGAACGTAGTTCTAGCTCTGACCGTCACAAGAAGCGACATCTAGCAGAAGGTGCCCTTGCCGGTGCCGGCCTCACGGCCCTACTTTCCGGTCGTGGTGATAAAAATAGCGAGAACCACGAGCATAGAGGGCGTAAGGTTCTCGCCGGTGCTGCTTTAGGCGCCTTAGGTACCGAGGCTGTACGTCGTGCAAAGAGCGCATACGAAGATAGGCACGAGGACAGGTATGAAGATCACTACGATGACAATTATCAACATCAACACCGAAGCAAGTCACGGAGTAGACTTACAACCGGATTGGCCATCGTAAGTATTACAAACATCCAAATGAACAATAACCGAATCAATACTAATAATGTAAAGGGTGCTGCCGCTCTAGCTGTCGCAGGTGGACTCAAGTATATGCAGAATAACAAAGTCGAGAAAGAAGAGGCAAATCGTGGGCGTGCACGGCGCCGTTATTCTACTGATGGGTATTCGACTTCCCGAAGTCGGTCAGGCCGTGGCCGCAGCCGAAGCAAATCCAAATCCAAAGCGGCTAAGGCAGCTCTGGCAACTGGGTAAGTTAAGGATTTTCGAGCTCTATTTTCTTATATCTTCTTAATGCTACAAATTACCTCTATCTTAAGTATAATTGAGTACCAAATTACTGATTGTGGAACGCATTAGTGCTGTTGCTGGTATCGTGAAGCACTATAGGTCTAAGTCCCGAGGGAAATCTCGATCCAAATCTCGCCTAAGGACTGGTAAGTACAAAGTCTATCATCTAGGTGAGGCAGTATCTCTAATTAGCTAGGTGCTGAAATTGCGGCTGCTGGCTTGACTGGCGCTGCGGCGGAAAAGCTCTGGGAGCGTCACAAGGAAAAGAAAGAGTCGAAAGAACGTGAACATCATAGAGACTCAGATGACGAGTACTACGATAGAGATCGAGGCTACTCAAGAAGCCGATCCCGCTCCAGGTCACTTAGTCGCCATTCGCATTCACGAGACTCTACGGCTGATAGAGAATTAGGCCTGGTTCCCGTAGTTCCCGGGGTAGAGTACGGGAGTAAGCCCATCGAGGGCTACGAGTCTGCTACCGAGGAGCCGCGACGTCGCCGTAAACACGATCATCGCTCACCTTCCACGTCCGATCGAGAGGCTCGCAAGAAAAGGAGTCGTAGCAGGCTGCGCGGCGTTACGGCCGCCGGAATCGGCACCGCAGCCGCAGCGGCAATGGGTATCAAGAAGTATCAAGACCGCCAGAAGAGTAAGGAGCGAGAAGGTAAACCTAGGGACGTAAGCCGAGATAAGTCGCTAGACAGGGAAGATCGAGACAAAGAAAAGCGTAAAGCCAGGCGATCCCGTGATCGTGAGCGAAGGCGTACGTACGTAGTAAGGAAAAAAAAATTTAAAATGAAATTACCTAGCTAAAAATATGAAATAGGCTACGAAGAGGAAGCACCAGACGATCCATATTACGATTATCACACCGCGATGCCCCCATCGCCACTCCATGCTTCTGGTGGGGCATACTATCCGCCTCCTCCCGTCACGGAACCTACTGGCCCACCCCCAGCCGGCCCGGCTGGCTTTATGCAGCACTCGAATCAATCTACCCCTAACGTGAATGCTTATAGTCCCTACCCGCCCTATAATCCTCAAGACTATGCGGGAGTACCTGCGATGAATCTACCTCCTCCTCCCGGACCTCCGTTATCCAGGCCACACTCTGGCTTGGATAACCGAACCGGACCAGAAAATGTGAGTCATCCACGCTCTGATGACATGCAATCCCATCTTGATGCCTCTCGGAGCACGGCTACTGAGCAGGGTGCGTCTCCTTGAGTTTATTCCCTTTCATATTACCAAGTGTTTATGACATGATACAAAATCCTATAGTTTCTAACTAGATTACTAGATGGTTTAAAACATCGCCAGCGATCTTCTTCTAGCCTCCGGTCGAAGAGTGTTGATGTAGAACCTGCTAAAGTCAAATTCGTGCCTCTCTCACCGAAGTCTTCTCGAACTCTCCGAAGACATCGCCGACGGATGGGAGAACGATCGGAGGAGGAAATTGAGGATGAACTAGCCCTTCTTCAACGACCCAGAAATCTACGGAGGCGCTCAGGCTCAGACGTGTCATCTAACCGACCACGTGTCCAGCGACGTAGAGTGCGCGGTGACGACTCACCAGTTTCTGACGATAGCGAAATTGAGTACCTACCGGATCGTTTCGACCCTTCCGGTCGGCCACTTGAAACTAGCAATACTGCCGTTGATGGTTTTCCGAGACAGGGCAGTTTTGAATATCTTCCACGCAACGACAACGACTGGCACATCCGCGGAGCATGGAGATCACTCGGCCTCGGCGAGCCGGATCCTGCTTTAGCCAGAGATATTGCCCAGACTCTTGGAGGATTACTACAACCCAGAGGCAGCTTGATGAATATATTTGGACATGTGTTAAGAGATATATGAATTTTGACGGCGATGAATTGGATAGAAAGCGAGGTTCGGTAATACTTTTCGCATTCGCTTCGACAGCTTTCTTAGCGACAGCATAATGAGATACGTGGCTAAAGTTATGATTCATGAGCCGTTTCTCTTTCTACGGCAGATTCTTTTATTTTATTTTGGGTTTCTGGATATTAGAGTTTGCCTACCTATGTTGTTGACATTGGCTTTGGATTTGGATTTGGATTTGGATTTGGATTTGGGTTAATTGATAGTACCCATAAAGATGAGATGAGCGCGTTATGATTTTCTCAACGATTAATGATTACCATTCTGTTTCTCGATATAATTAATGAATAGTTTTATTCCTATCTATGTTCAATCATTAAATATCCTTATGTCTTATGTGCTATATGAAAGGTCATAAGCTATAGTTATAGTAAATGTTGTTGTACCAGCTATAAGTTTTCACTTTAAGAAACAGCTTACAGTCAGGTCAGCCTTCGCTACTATCTTCATATACTTAAGCTTAAGATGGCACTATTCAGACACTTCTAATAGTTCTTGTATTATCAATCTCTAAAGCCTGACATTAAACCTCGAAGCTAAAAAGTGAGTTCGTTACTTGAGGAAAAGTCACAGTTATAGTTGTCTTGCGTCTCTATTATGTCTTGTTTAGAATGAATCATTATTAGATATTAAGTCAATTAACTATAAATATACTTACCTAGACATAAGGCATATATCCACTAACAATTTGAAATCTGAGCATAACTCTAGGATTAGTTACCTTACAATAGGGCCGATTACAAGTCAAAACAAGCTACCATATGATCTTGTGTTCTCGTATTGCTATATTGTACCCTTATATACCGAGCCTAAAAGTATAAACATTCTCAAGAACATCATAGTTTACTGGAGGATTAATGCTCTCCTAGTTAGTTTAGTTTGGAGACAGAATGCGGGGAAATCAAAGAGAGGAGTATCCCCGGCAGGCAAGGTGACATTGCGGGAGGATAACCATGGGGATCCCCAAGGTCCATGCCTTAAAAAGCATTCAGCCGAGATGATCGCAAACATTTGGTTAGCATCCCAAGAAAGTTGGGACTGCTAGTCGTCACGATGCATGGTACGGGACCTGAGAGGACGGCACTATATTACGGGAACCGGGTTTCCTTCGGGTGATCTTCGACCTTGCCAAGCAAGTATCGAGCTCCTCAACTTTATAAAAGGGTCATTGGCGAACCATAAGTGTAAAAGTGCACTGTTATGTCATTTTAGGTTGTACCTCGTCCCCACGAGATATAAGTCAAGATGATCAAACAAAGGCTTCTGAGCTTACTGGCGTTATGCTCGACGAGGGTATCTGCTTCGGTGACCGTGCGGAAGACGGATAAAGGCCCAACCGGCTACGAGGTGGACTTCAAATATATAAACACCACAGCCAGTCGTGTGCTCATCGGCGGAGGGTTGCAGCCGTTTTCGGATCACTTCCACACAACTCTAAACACTCGCGCGTGGTACGATCCTCATGACTATCAGCCCGGAGACTTCTATGTATCCTTCGGCCAGACACCCGACGACTACCAGTGGCCGCGTATGAGATGACGGACGAAGGTGATGGTTTGTGGACTTATACAACGCCTCTCCCATCGGGAATATACAGTTACGCGTACTTAATAGACTGTAACTACGCACCAAACTGCAGTATCGTTACCGGCCAACTCGTCACTGATCCGGACTTGCCTCCGTTCCAAAACGTCGAGGGAGATCAAGTAGCATCTAGCTTCCAGGTACCGTTCAATGCGCAATTCCAAGGCACCGAGGACATAAACGCGAACTTCGACTACGCACTACCTGCCCCCGCTGAGTTTCGGGGTACCATCAAATCCGTCAACTATACATCACCGGGGTCTATCCATCCGGAGCCTGACGTGCATCATCTTGGTCTTTACCTCCCAGCAGAGTACGGCAAGGTAGAAGGGAAGAAGTACCCGCTTCTGTACCTGTCACACGGCGCTGGCGGCAACGGAAATGACTGGGAGAACCTAGGTCGAATGTCGAGTATCATCGACAATTTAATCGCCGGAGGCCACATCGAGCCTACCGTTGTGGTAATGCCGTCGTTTTATAATCTAGACGACAGCTTACCGCGGTTCATCATGGGGAACGTGTCCACCATGTGGGAGTTACCGACATCACAACATATCCGCGAGAACTACGAGAAATACCTATTCCCGTGGGTAGAAGAGCACCTTGACGTATGCGACACGCCCTCATGCCGAGCCTTCGCGGGCCTGTCGTGGGGCGGTCGTCTCACGTACGAGATGTACGTCAACGCGACTGACTACTTCAACTGGTTTGGGATGTTCTCGCCCGCAACCGAGGCGCCGTACGTCGACGAGGCAGCGCTGGCGGCAAATCCCGCGTTAGCTGAAAAGGGGCTGTTTGTCGCGTACGGACTATACGATTCGGTCTTGACGCGCGGTAAGGACATGCAGGCCGCCGCGACGCTTTGGATATCAAGTTCCTGTCGCGGATCACGCCGGTTCGCGGCCACTACTGGAATACGTGGCAGGACGAGCTGTGGTGGTTCGGGGTCAAAGCGCTGTGGAAGCCGTTTCCGTACACGCAACGGACCGGGCGGTAGGGTTTAACTTAGCTAGATAGATTATATATGGAGATGAATGTCTTATCATGTCCGTTCGACACCGCGCGATTTTAAGATCTGTTTGAGATACAAACGCAGTAGATCTCTGCAAGAGCCAAATAGTGCAATCTTAGCACTCCCGTCGCCACCAATACCGCAAGTCGCCGCGTCGTCAGGTTCCTGAGTGATAGTCATACCATGTTGACGGGTGAATTGCACATAAATGGGTAGATACCTAGTAATATATCCTAGATCTTTTCTCGGTGGTGAATTTTCGCTTTAAAAAATATCAGAGTTATCCTCCGGAAGATTACCGTGATAAAAGGGGTATCTGCATACTATTCCGGCCCGTACGGCTGTGTACCTCTTAATCTAAGCTAACTATATAATATTAAGTAATAGCGGTGGTCTGACTTAGAAGAGCACACGGGAGCTTTAGGTTAGTAGGTAGTTACGTTTCTAATGTAGATCCAATACTTTATGTATAGTAGTATCAATGCATGGCTAGACAACTGGCTTTTTAATTAGTATCAATTGTCGGGGCTATACCCTCAATTGCGAAGGAGGCATGATGCATTGCTCAATTAAATATAAGTTAGGTACCTAGGTAGTTAAGCTTTAAATATACCCTAGTTATATTTTAAGTATTCGTGTCTTGCTTGCGATCAAGAACAAAACGTGGTTTCTACGAATTGTCTATTTAGATGAAGAATGAAATAAGCTAACTACCTACCTAACCTATATAAGTCCTCAGTGCAACCCTCGCATTTGAGGACATGGTGCAACTATATTTTAGCACAAAGCAGTAAATGTACCTAACTTAACATAGCGAAGAACTATACGTAAATCGAGAAAGATCAAGGTGAGCAACTTTTAAGGTTGATAGTACGGATGAGGTATCGATAGGGTGTGATTAGACACCGGGGGGGGGGGGGAGTCGGGACAAAAGTCAAATTAAATGATGACCTAGGTAACCTATAACCCAATAATATCATTAAAAAAGCTTTAAGTAACCTGTATATCTAAGTTACCTATGTGTAGTTGTAACAGGTATATTATTCCAAGATTTTAATTCAGTACCTTGAAATACATATGACTTGAACCATATATTCTAGATATACGTTGCGCGTGTGCGTCTATATTCTACCTACCTCTTACCAATTATATACCTGTTAATCTGTATTATATAAGGCTGACGGTTTTAAAAACAGCGACGGAGATAGCGAGTGGGTAGAACTCTGCTCTTTTCACGAGTGAATAACTATATAATATTAGATGTCCACTTTCGCATTCCCAATATTGGTCAGGAGAAATAAACGAACCGTAAGATGCGGCTCAAACATAGAATGTACGTATGTGTCTTAGGTAATGAGGTAGGTATGGAGGTACATATATGCATTAGGTACATATTGAAGACATGCATATGGATGATTGATTTGTAAACCACGGAAGCTGTCAGACGACTTTACATATGTAGGTACCTATGTAGCCTTAAAAATGGCGATGGCTTCAATTTAGTATGGGATGACGTATCCCGACAACCGAGCCCCAAGCCGACGGCCTATTATTATACCTGCGGGGCTGAATCGGAAGGTGAATTTTTCTCCAGTAAAAAGCAAGTTGTTCGCAACTACCGAATATACAAACAAGGCAATTTATTCTATCTTGTAGACGCTATGTAAATAGTAGTATTGTGTGGTCGCGTGCAGTGTCTAGAGCGTCCATCCAATCCGAGCTCCTCCAATCCTGTATTCCTATAAGGTTAGGTGCCTACCTAATCATATCTGCTTACTTAACCGACATGATATTAACCTGATTCTATTAAGAATTCCGTAGGTGTTTGCGTGTTAGTGATAAGGCTATCACATCTCGTACACTAAACCAAAGTGCATACCTTGTATGTAAACACCCACCCAAGTCACCTAGAATGGTGTTTGTGGGACTAGGCTGAGCTAGAACTAAAGGGTAAGTGTTTGCTCATGGCTAGCAAGAATCGCGCGACTTGGGAGCTTTGTAACAATTTTTAATATTCACCGACGGGCAACGTACAAGTGTTGTAAGCTGGTTGTAGACGGGCTACGAAGGTAGTGGGATACGAATTACCGGGAAGGGAACTTCCAGGTGGTGTGGTCGTACGATCGGATCAGCTCATACAGCGTTGTACAGAGTCACATAAAGTTCGTTAGACTGCTGTGTAATGTGAATTAGATAGCTCTTGATTTGTCGCAAGGTCCTACAGTAGCCGTTTTAGGGGTGTGGTGACCTGATATAGCGGGGACACCCGGTAGATACGACAGCCGACTAACACCACTGGGTCACCTACTGGATCGCTACTGTACCAACTGTAACTGGCAATTGGCTGCCTTCTATCCCTTTTCTCTTCAGGCTTCAGGGGACTTTATTTTTTATTCTACCAACTCACAACATTCCCCATGTAAATCCATTCGTAAACCCTGCAGTACTTACATGCAAATTGGCAAGCTACCTACCTACCTACCTAAAGTGACTTTCTAGACTTTCCCAGTCTGATAAGATGCGTCAGTCAAAATAGCCAGCTGAACACATACATACATACATAGGTACCTACATACCTAACCTACCTATTCACCCTTCTGACTCCACGCTCCACGCTCCACGATACTAGTAGATCATAAGTATTTCTATTTCTATTTTGGGAATATTCAAAAAGGATTTAATCCAACTAATAGGCAAATAAATAAAACTCCCCCTACCTCCCCTTTACCTGTTCCATTTTCCTCTTTCCTTTCTAGTATCTCCCCACCGATAACATCTTGACCATCTCGTCTGTCTATCGACTTCCTTTCTCGACCTATTACCTATACCGCCAAGCTCCTATCGAACGGTGCCTTTCATACTTAAGCTGGAAGCTAGCAGCTCTTGATACCCTTCTTTCTTCTCAAGCTATACCTACATTCATACAAGCGTATTACTATCCCGTCTAGTCGCACTACATACTTCACGACCTTTCTACGAGATTCTTCTCTCATATCCGACTACCGATAGTATCTCTACTTCAGATCGAAGGTCACGAGCCCACACATCCCACCATGTCGCCCACCTATACCATGTCTGCACACCTGTGCAAACAAATTCAGAAGTCGTTCCAGACGCGCCAGACTTCGCCCGAACCCCTAAGCCCAACCGCTACATACCTACCAACATACTTGCGCCGGTCACCTTCGCCTCAGCCTGAGAAGCGCACCAGCGTAGATAGTGATCGCAGCGACACTAGCACTCATACCGTTTCGTCAAGTTCAAGTTCAAGTTCTAGCTGGAGGTGGGGTGGTCGCTAAGTGCTAAGTGCTAAGTCGGCCTATGATTATTAGCAAGAAACATTCAGAGGGAGATGTGGAGATATTAGCGATGACGTACCGGCAACTGGAGAATTGATACCCCTTTATTATACCGAGAATTGGCGAACTTCTACTAGCAACTGCAATTAGCAGACCACATAACATACGACGAACGAATAAATGGCGTCATCTAGTCTCCCGATCACGCAACGCACAACATATTAGTCACCGACAAGGTGATATGGGATTATAGCACGGAAAGCCAGCGTGATGGTATACACATTTGTCGCGCAAAAGTAGCCTACTACTGTGTAGGCTACTAGGATGCAGTTTTGCTATCGCTTAACCTTGGGAATTACCCGCATTGGATTGGAGGTTATGGATATTTCTTTGGGAAAGGAACATACCGCGATGCATTACGAGAATGAAATTGCATCAATAATGATGTGAAGTCTACATTATCAGCAAGCAGACTACCTATATTAGGCTGGGAAAAGTAAAATGAGCTCTTCCTACCATTTAAATACATAATTATCTTTCCCATCATTGCGTTTGCCTTATAAGTGACCATCTACCAATTATATAATTACTCCTAATTATTAGTGTCGTCGTCCTATTTTGAACGTGACGTTTTAGAAGATAAATCTATCATTTGAAGCATTATTTGATGGCCATTCATTCAAGCTCTTGTAGATAAGACACTTGGTTTTCAGCATGAGATTTCACATGGAAAAGATACGGGAACAGCATATGTATGACACAGGCGGTGTCAGCTACCTATGCTGCTGCACCCAGTTGTGACACATCCACACGGGTTCTTGCTTATAAACGCGGTATCTAACGAATCACATCCCGGCCAGCGTTACCTGGACGTCCATGACACTAGCCACGTTGGCCCAATTAGAGGGTGCATGGTGAGGATGCGGCTACCTGGGAGGAACGTTGCTAGTAATAAGGTCTACAGTATGATGCTATTGGAACGCACCTACGTAGCTTGGTCTTATCTATAGCTTCGGTGATGTATGATGCTGGCTGGGTAGCTGCGCGGAAAGCAGCAGCGTAAGTTTTCTTGTATGTATTCTGTAGCGTACCTAGGTAGGTAGTATCGTTTGTAAGAGTTTAATGATCATACAACAAACCGAATGAGCAACATAGGAATAAACATACCTAGGAATAAAATATTACAGTAACGATCATAATAGATGAACATGTTCTTAGGGCACCACGAGATAGTCTAATGCAGTTTTCAATATCATAGACAATGCCGGTCTGATGAATACATATTATCTTTTCATCTTTTTCATAATATATAGGAACTAGATTCTGATAGCTATCTACAAATATTATAGACTGGGTAGCTGAGTATATTTTGCAATTCGATCAAATACGGCAAGTTCTATTACACAGGCAGAGAGTTATAGGTACACCAAGTAGAGGGAACGGACAGTATGTAATATTAAAGATAAATAACGCAGATCATAAGTACTGTTTTCGAAAAGCCAACGTCTTAGCATATATATAACATTACTCACATGCATCTCATTAAAATCGTATTCATCCACCTACCCCTCGACGCCGCCTAATGCACATGCCTTTCTCTCTCTCACCCTCTGTCTATCTATCGATCTATCAAGGTAGGTTATCCAGCTACCCACGACTCGTCTCGTCATGAGGAAACACAAAGTCTCGCTTCTAAAGTAGAGTACCTAGACATGCTGCCGTTCGCGTAATACAGGTATTATAATGTAGTAGGGGTGAATATTATTTATAATGATACAGCGCTCCCGTAGTGAACCGTGCTTATGCCCACGATCCTTTTGACCGTAAGCCACAGCTCGAAGACCTCGAGCTTTAGCTCCACACGCAGGTATCCCACCCACGCGGCCATAAACCGTAGCGCATTGCCAGGCCATAGCAAGGTACCGGGCCGCTCCCGGATTTCCTCGACTTGCTCGCGGAATACCGTGCGTGCGCAGTACCGGGCTAGGATCATAAAGCTCCGCATCGGGCCTTGGCGGGTGTGTAGATTTTCGTCGAGACTGCGTGTTAGGTCGTTGGTTTTTAGGATGAGTAGGATGATTCGAGGCACTTGTCCGAGCATAGTCACGAGATCTGATAGTAGGCCTTCTTGCAGCGCATCACCCATGGTCTTCTTTTCCTCGTCGGATCGTGACTTTAAGATAGATGACTTGACCACTGTATAATCGCGGCCTGTAATAGCGCTGGCAAACAGAGGAAATTGCTCATCCGTGATCCCGGCTACTTCGTGTGCGTATCGCTTCATGGCAGGCATGTTTCCATCGATGACTGCCAGCCACATCTTGGCATAAGATCGTTGCAAGCTCTCGGGAATATCCCGATACAGTCCGTGGTCATATATAATAATTTCGAAGTTGGCACCTCCTCGTCTCTTCGGGGTTGCCTTCCGGATAGCGAGGTTGCCACCATGGGGGTCGCAGTGTAGCGGCGCACCCTTACCAAAGATCATTTCATTGAAGATGTGGGCCAGCGTGGCAGAGACTTCGTCACGATCGATATGATTCGAGTCTAGGTATTCGAGGTCATCAAGACGATGGCCCGATTCATTCGCCATAACCAATATCCGCTTCTTCGCCCAAAGGACATCGGGAATCACGAGTGGTAGTTCAGTATGCTGCGCAAAGTACTTTTGCGTTCGAATCGCATTCGCGGCCTCGAGCTGAAAGTCAAGTTCTTGGGGTAGAGAGACTTCCATCTCAGAAGCTAACCACTCCAGATCGTACTCGGGGAACCACTTCTTCAAGGTTGAGAAAGTAAACTTGGTTAGGGCCAAATCGAGAGGTGCCCATTGCGCCAAACCTGGATGTTGGACTTTTACGGCAACTTTTTGACCATTTTCTTTCACCGTCGCTAGATGGACCTGAGCAAGAGAGGCAGCCCCTATTGGCTGCTCTGAAAATTCGGAGAAATAGTCTTTGAGCTCTTCACCTGTATCGGCGCGGAACATTTCTTCGATCGATTGGAACGAAGATACTGGGCATTTGTCTTGTAGCGGTATAAACGTATCGGTCCATTCGCGTGGGAGTAGATAAGTCATAGCACTCTATCTCGGAAGTCAGCTAACACTCTTATGTCGTGTGCAACTATGTATGAGGAATTACCAAGTGCTGTCCTAATTTAATAAATATCCCTCCATTTTTTTCGAGCACTTTGAGTGTCCGTTCTGCACACCTCTTGTGGCATGCTCTTAGTATATGGTCCTTTTCATCGAAATCCTCTGTATGGTCACGTTGGTTTAAGGAAGTTCGGTAACTAAGACGAGTTAGTTTTCCGCCCCCTTTTCTTCTTTTGGTATATTTATAATTGGTCATACTCATTGATGCATAATGCCAGTGTTGCAGCAACTCTTCCCGAACGTTCTGTAGCATCGTATCCAGCTTTAATGTCATCTGTGAATGCTAAGACACCTACTCCAGCCGCAGCCGTAGTAGCAGCAGTCAATACGGTAACTCTTGTCTTCGGTTGCTTATGTGTTTTCCCCGAGTATCCAGAAGAGTTGGTCGTATATTGTCTTGCGATAGATCGTTGTGTCGTCCTGACATGGGCTACGAGTAACTGGGTGCGGCAATTCGTACATGTCCATGACCTGTTGCTGGCAAGACGGCCGAGGGAATTGATCGAGGGGCATTTCATGGTGGCGTGGTTCTAGTCATTTGAAAAGGCGTGTTAATTAAATAGAATAATAAAATTAATACTATGAATAAGAAGACAATGAAGACATGTTGTTCTTCTCGTCTCAATCGGTGGAGAACTTGACCGCCCGCGATTGATTGTTGAACCTTCAATTAGGTGGTCGGTATGTTGGGATAGCGGACTAATAAAATTTCACTATCGTTTTTTTTTCTGTCGGACATACAATCCCGGGCTCGTGGAAGACCTCGGCGTCATAGGGACAGGGGTAAAAGAATGTTCTTTCTCCTATCGGTCGACGATCTGGATCGTGCCATGCAAGGTTCTATTTCTATGGGTTTCTATGGCTTGTCACACCTTCTTTTAAGTTACGTAGGTACCATGTATCTGCATACCTAAGTACAATATCACTAATCAGGGGGGTTTATATATATTGTTCATTAGCATATTACATAATGATAACTCAAAAGCGCGAACTATTCTAATATCTGCTAATTTATATTTCCCGCAATGCTCTTTACGCGTTAAGCCCCGCTTATGTACATTTGAAAGGACCGCGTTGCTTTCAAACCCGCGTTTGTCTTTGTTAAACTACTCGCATTGAAATAATCTAAGCTGTCACTTGACTCTGGCTTCGTCACATCATCTTACCAAAACATTTAATCTGCTCATCGTCCCGTTCAAATTCAACATCATATAATATTATAACGGACGAAATGTTAGCCACAATGCCAATTTAATATCGACTTCTCGACGCCACACCGCCTACACATTCATCGCCGCTTTCTGTCTTCTTCTCTCCCCATCAGGCCGAGCTCTCCACCATTATGTCACCGGGATCCTAACACGCTCCCTAGACTCGATACTCAGCTACTCATCTTCGCCTATACAAGCACCGCCCTCTAATTCAAATTTGCTTCGCGTATGCAACCAAACCGCTAAGACAGAACCGAGAAAATGCGCAAGAGAGCAGGCGGAATTTGTTTTTTGCGAATGTACGGAAGCGAGCGGACGATAGGAAGTGGGAAAGAAGAGGAGCGATCAAGAGGTACGTGGCCCTGCTGACTAGTTGAAACAGTATTATCGATATTAACAGACTTTGTAGGCCTTGAAGCTTGAGTGGTCCATGTTAGATAGGCAGCGACGAGACCAAAAGACGCCGATCTTGACGGTATGGTATTCGAAGATGAGATATCGAAGATATCGCAGAACTCCAACACGAAACAAGGACAACCCTGATGATATGATGATCGACGCCATAGCGCAAGAAGAAAAGAGGAACTAGACGCAATGCTATCCATGTTCGAGGCCCAGACCCAATCGTCTCAACCACCCATAGGAGCGGCATCGCCGGCGATTTCCGATGATGAAGACTATGACCACCTCTTCATGGATTTCTTATCGCAACAAGAGCAGAATAGTCAGGGCTTTATATCTTCAGGACAAATGGATATGTCTTGAAATTTCATTTGATTTTAATGGGTTTAATGGGTTGCATCAATCCACACACAGGAGTTCTTCGGCAAGGATAGGTTTATCGTTGCGGCGTATTAGTATTAGGGACTCTATGACAGGGTATGGTAGGGGTATGATATCACATCGTTTGTGTACATGCCAGTTTTGGTTTTTGGCCTCGAGAAGGTCATGTATAAACAGTTGAAGAATTAAATTCCTTGTATATTATCACTGAGGCGCGCACGACTCATCAGGCGCATCCAATACTTCTTTGGCTGATGGCATATCTCCAACTAGATCATGAGGAGGAGAGCCTGCTGCTTGCATCTATTGCTCTCTAGTTAGTAAATAGCATAATGACACAATCAGACAACTCACCTTTTGCATCCTGTCCACGATGTATTCCCGGTCCGCCGCGTTCGAATCACCATACGTGGGTTGCTCGAATCTGGCTACCATCTCTGCGACCAGGACTTGCTGTTCCTGGAAGCGCTTTAGATCATCCTTTGGTAAGGTGTCCTTGTTCTTCTCCATCCATGCGGGAAATTTGTCATTCAATTCCTTCATAGGTTCGTATAGAATCTCCTTGTTAGTGAGTTGTTCCATCATCCCCATCAATACTTTGGAGAAATCCTCCTCGTTACCTCCCTCATTAGGAAGATCTTTCATTGCCTTGATCATCTCAGCAATAAAATCATCCTCGGAGCCTTCAGCAGTAGCTGCTGCTGTTGCCTGCTCACCAGACTCTTGCATTCTGGCCATCGTTCGCCGGATTGTCTCCTGGAACGAGGCATCCTGACTTATGTCTGAGGCTGCTTTATCGGATGATTGTGGAATCGACTCCGATCCGCTCCCTGAGCTTTCTAGGCCATCTCCTCTGAGCCCCTTGAATATGTTCTCAAACTGGGCTTGCATGTCTGGCTGTGTCATGTTAGGCTTAACATGCTCTTCCCGTGGTTGGAGAGCGACTAACCGAATTGTCCAATCCGTTCATTAGTTCTGCCATCCCAGCCTGAAGATGTTTCTGGAATTCCTCCTCAGATAAATCATCGAGCCCATCTAGTGGATTCTCCGTGTCTGACGATGCGCCCGCTGGAGCAGATGTTGACGGCTTCACAGCAGCTTTCTCGGGGACACCAGATGCTAGGGTTGCTTGATTTGCGCCCAGTTTCACACTGGAAAACTCGTCCAGCATGTCATCGAGGTCATCGAGGTCATCCTCATCGGGATCTGGGACGTCTTCCAGGTCGGGCACTGAAGCTATGGGTTGGTCTACCTTTTCTGGTGCATTTTGCCCATCCGGGTTGGTACCCGCGGCCGCCTTTTCCGCCTCCATGCCGCCGTATCCTGCGCTTTTTGCAACCTAGACTTGTCTCCCAGATTACAAAACAAAGCTTAATGCTAAATCAACTTTTGTAGTTATTAGCTTAAAGGGATGGGCGCATAGGATGCCCAAGTCAGACACACAATAAGGTACCTTAGTCAATGATACGAAATGCCAATAATAGTAACAGATGATTAACCCTGACGGGAATAATGACGAAAGGGTACCATATACTTTAAGAAACAAACCTACTTAGGTGATAGATGAACAAAGTCGCAAGTAAAGAAGATCGATAGTTCGGGCAATGCGCTTTGCGACTTGGATCAACGAAGGTGCACGAGTTGCCGAGGCCTTTAAGTTGTGAGATGCTTGGCGGCAGCATCCAGAGTTTTGAATAAATATCAGTTTTAAAAACGTATTATAGCTTAGTTATACCTAGCTTATTTGGTTGTACCTATTTTGACACGAACCGTTTTAAAAGGTAGGTACCCACCTAGGTAATCTATCCGTTTCAAATCTCAGTTTCTTTCGGTGACTTCTAGGTGGGGTGTCTGATAAGATAAGAATACCTATACATAACCCCACTAGGTAGAGGCATTGCCTCACTCGGAGTTTAGGTAGAGGTAGGCAGGTATGTACCTAACCTATAACAGAGCGTTATTATGGGAGACTAGCCCCTAGGACCCCTGTAAGAAGGAAGGCTCGATTAACATCTATTCACGTTCACGCATCATCTTTACCCTTGGGGTCTTGCAACGCACTTGCCATTCTTTTCATCTTTTTCTCTTCTTCTTTTTCATTCTCGGGCTTGGTCCATCACCTCCTTACAGGCCATCAGAGCATTTCTCAGCTTCCTGCTCGTAGCGAAGTCCTGAAACTGATAAATTCCGTGGGCAGCCTAAGCAACTGTCTGGCCGATTCAACACTGAATTCTCACTCTCTTCTTTTTTTCGGCACTTTGCGCAGCCTCAGACGAAGGAACACCTACAACTTCACCTCGAAACTCCATCTCCCACTTACGAGGCAAGAAATTCGGCTGCTATAGAGACTACAAGATCCACGCAATCATCAGGAGGCTATCTATCCCATAAATATGTCTCTATGCCAATTACGCCTTGGAGAGGAGAGGTACGTCAAGCATAAGATCGCAAGTCTCTTATACGCCATATAAGAAGATTAGCCACTCATTTTACTAATGTATTTGTAATGTCATAGAAAGCAATGGAGAAAGGATCATCCTTTCGGATTTTGGGCACGACCAGTCAAGAATTCTCAAGGCGTTCTTGATCTAAAGATCTGGGAATGCGGTATTCCTGGAAAGGAAAAGACAATGTGGGAAGGCGGTCTCTTTAAACTGACAATGACATTCCCTGACGGTAGGTTTTGAGTGGGGATATGGAACACCGCGAAAACGAGTTGTGCTGACCGATACTGTTTCAGAGTACCCTACGAAGCCTCCGAAATGTAGGTTTATTATATGGTCCATATACAAACTTGTCAATCCAATACTAACTATCATACAGGAAAATTTACGCCGCCTTTGTTCCATCCCAACGTCTACCCATCGGGAACCGTCTGTCTTTCGATCCTAAACGAGGACGAAGGATGGAAGCCGGCGATCACGGTCAAGCAGATCGCACTCGGCATCCAAGATCTCCTAGACAATCCTAATCCGGAGTCTCCCGCACAAGCTGAAGCATACAACCTCTTTAAGCGAGACAAGGCCGAGTACGAGCGACGTGTGAGGCGAACGGTGAAGGAGAACCCCGCCTCTTAGAGCGCTCGACCGGTGCTGGTGGGGTGGTGTCTTGGGGAGGAAAATTCTTACTTGGTGTACTTTCGGCATCGGAGTTCAGGGTCACGGATACCAAATACGGATGGCTGCTTTCAGCATTTGGGCCCTTCGGAGTTAGCACAGGAGGGCTATGTGAAGATGTCAAGCAGCATTTAGCATTGCGGCTACGACAGTTAACTGGTTTTCTTAGCTGGGGTATTGATCTAGCCTTTGCCGTGAAGAATTGGTGCTACATGGATGCGAAGCAGTTATGTAAGTATAGATTTACAATCTATGCAATCGATGATTTTTATAACGACTATTATTATGCCTTACCTACCGTATGTTCATATCCAGTTGCCTTCATATTGGTATTCTACTTTTATAAGGCTATTAGTCGTAAAGCAACTCCACGGTTGGCTACTTGTCCAAATGGCATAGGCCGGTTCAGATCCTTACCCACCCGCCTGATGCGAAATATGGTTCATCCCGGCCTATTAGGAAGGGGTTTGATATCCTCTTGCAGATTTCGGGGGTTACGAAGAGTGATAAGGCATCCGATAGCACGTGGTTATCCGAATATGATGCAAACGTTACGTAGAGTTCCTACCTTTACCCTATAGTTTTTAATTGTTTTGATATTTGAATAATATTAATCCCGTTTCTTCTGATTCGTAGGGAATTAGAAATAGATGACATAAGATGAGCAGTAAGTCTAACTAAGGTAACATAGAATAAATACCACCTTTTGGGGCTTATATACCGTTTATAGTAGTATAAATATCTACACCCCCGTTTGTCATCTCATGTCTTGATAACGTGAATGTCACGACTCAATAGACACCTCGTGGTTGGTCAGTAATAGTATTTTTAGTCGTTTTTAAAGCTCCCGTCCGAAATCGGCTTTTTTTTCCGGCGTGACAGTTTTAACTAGCAAAAGATTGCCGTCAGGCTAAGATCCATTACCCCCCTACCTTTAGGTACCTGGGTTTTAAGTATAACGGGCCAAATTTAGCATTAGAAGGCGAATGTGATAATAAAAAGTACATCAAAAGTACAAACTGATAGCTACCTCCTAAATAAATTTTTGTGACTCAAAATCTCCGGGTCGCTCTTGCCTCTCCACGTTTCTCTAAGTTTTAGTCGCGAGGCCCGTCTTTTTTTATTCTGACAGAAATACCTTCTTCTTCTTTAGTTATTCTTTCCAAAAGCCCTTCGGTCATATCCTGCGTCCTACCAACTACACTTTGAGGCTGATAAGATGTGTGGAATATTTGCGTGTCACTGGCAAGTTTACCTTTTTCCCTGCATGGATTAAGCAATCAATGTCATGGAGGGGCAATTGGCAATTGCTAAAACCCCACCAAAAATAATTATCGATTGGATTTACTTGTGATGCCATTGGAAGATCGCCATATATACTAATAAGACGTTTGCGCCTAGTCATCCCGACGTCCAGAAATTCAAGCCGACGGCCTTGAAATTGGCAAAGCAGTACGTATAATATGTGCTCAAGCTCTATGACTTTAATTGACATGTTCTACGCAGAATTCGGCACAGAGGCCCCGACTGGAGTGAGTTGTCTCATAGCGAGCCGGTATAGTATCGTATTTCTAACCACTTCCGTATGTTACAGGTGGAAGCGTTATCTGCAAAAACACAAGTAAGATCTGAGATCTATCTATTAGAGGAAATTAGTATTGGGATGACCTCTAATTGAAGCGTTTCTAGTCTTGTGCCATGAAAGGTTGAGCATCGTCGGCGTCGGTATGTCTTATCAATTTTTCAACTTACCAAAACCTCTTTACTTACAAGGCCGCAGAGTCCGGTGCACAACCACTGACCAATGCGGACGAAACCATAATACTTGCCGTCAATGGCGAGATCTACAACCATCGGTTAATTCGAAAAAGCCTCAAGACCCCCTATCACTTCAAGACTGCTTCTGACTGCGAGGTTATCATTCCCTTGGTGAGAATGTCTTTAATATGTATTGTGTCTTATGATATTACATTATCTAATGTACGTGTAGTATATGGAATATGGACTCGACGCTCCTAAGTACTTAGATGGTATGTTCTCATTTGTGCTATACGACAAAAACCTCGACCGAACTATCGCGGCCCGTGATCCCATTGGTATCACTACGCTATACCAAGGTTGGTCCTCCAAGGAGCCGGGTACTACCTACTTCGCTTCGGAGCTGAAATGTCTGCACTCCGTCTGCGATGAAATTCGCTCCTTTCCCCCGGGACACATCTACGATACCAAAACCAACGAGACCACTCGATATTTCCAACCGACTTGGTGGGACGAGTCAAAAATCCCAGATACTCCCCTGGACCTGAAGCTCGTTCGAGAATCACTAGAACGGTCTGTGAGGAAACGGCTCATGGCCGAAGTTCCTTATGGTGTACTATTGTCAGGCGGTCTTGACTCAAGTTTGGTTGCATCAATTGCCCAAAGAGAAACACTGAGGCTCAAGAAGGCGGCATTGGCCGCCGCTAATGGCACCGCTACCGAGCCGACTGAAGACCCTGACAAGGGTGAGGGCTTAGTCGGTATTGACGACGAGAATGAGCTCTCCACCGTAACATACCTCCCACAGCTCAACTCTTTCTCTATCGGGTTACCTGGCTCCCCCGATAATGAAGCTGCTGTCAAGGTAGCTAAGTTCCTCGGCACGAAACATCACGTCATGACCTTCACTATTGAGGATGGTCTTAACGCATTATCTGATGTCATTTACCATCTCGAGACGTACGATGTGACCACAATCCGTGCCTCGACACCTATGTACCTGCTGTCGCGAAAGATCAAGGCCATGGGGATTAAGATGGTACTTAGTGGTGAAGGAAGTGATGAAATTTTTGGAGGATACCTCTACTTCCATGCAGCGCCGGATAAGAGGCTTTTCATGAAGAGACCGTCCGCCGAGTCAAGAACCTCCATCTTGCAGATTGCCTACGAGCTAACAAGTCTACTTCGGCTTGGGGTCTCGAGGCTCGTGTCCCCTTCCTCGACAAGCAGGTATGTTTATTATGGCCGTCCGTCTATCACTAATGTATGTGCTTTTATTAACATACTTAATAGTTCCTCGAAGTCTGCATGAACATCGACCCCCAGGAGAAGATGATTACCAAGGAACGAATTGAGAAATGGATTCTGAGAAAAGCGTTCGATACTTCTGACGATCCCAGCGCCGAGCCATACTTACCGGACGAGATCCTTTGGAGACAGAAGGAACAATTCTCTGATGGTGTTGGCTATGGTTGGATTGATGCTCTAAAGGATAACGCTGAACATCATGTCACCGATGAGATGATGAAGAACCCCAAGCCTGAGTGGGGCAACGATATCCCCGATACCAAGGAGGCGTATGTTTTCTTTATCCTGTTTAACTTTGGATCTTGCTAATTTTCCGATGAAGTTACTGGTACCGTACGATGTTTGACGAGCATTTTCCCTCCTCACTGCGCATCTACTGTGATGCGATGGACCCCGACATGGTCAAAACAGACCGATCCTAGCGGACGGTAAGTTGTTATGATTCTATATCAATCAAAGCTGTTAGGTACTAACATAAAATGTAGAGCTATCGCGACGCACGTAGCTAAGTACAATGAATCCGCGTAAATATGTTGGGTAAATGGCATGAAACAAAGGAGAGACGCATAGTTTGAGGCTTCAATAGTCTAGATAAGAGGGGCAACTTACCGGGGATAGAATCGCATGACTAGCGATGTTGAATTGCACCATTATGGGGAATCTCAAGCAAGTATGATGAGACTAATCTTTTTGTACTGGTGTGATGTTAGACTTTGGCTGTGACAATACCAATGGAAATTTGCCTTGCCAGCAACATATTCGTCTTACTAAATCCTGTAATTTGTGAAATAGGTTCTTCACTTGAATGTGCATAAGAACAACTGAGCCATTATTTTGCTTCGGGACGAAAATAAATCAAACCAATTCTTGCTATTGTGATGTAGTATGACAGCTCAAAGAAACTACTGCAACTTATAGAGCATTGAACCGACCCTAGGTAGTTATAATCTCACCGTTATGGTGCTTTAAAAAACCACTCCTGGTGTAGACAGTTCCCACGTGCACAGGGGTTGATTGGGTAGTAAATCTGATAATAAATGTAAAAGCCAATGTTTACTGGGACCGCCAGGTGTCACATTTTATCATTTGCATTCTGCCAGCTGTAACTTCTCCAATTAGCTTCCTCATCTAGTTGGAATTTACTGAGTTTGGGTGCCGATAAGAACCCGGCAAGGAAAGAGCCAAAGAAAACAAATTTGTACCTCGCTGCTGTCCTACGAAGTTGTTGAGGCTTGCGTTCTTCCAATCCGAATTTATCTTGTACCAATTCCACATCCACAAAACTTTTTCTTTCTTTCTCACCACCCAACCTTTCACTCAACCACGAATACTCGCACTGCGAACCGATCTGCCCAAGATGTCTATCCCCGCCTTCGCAGATATTTCCAAGTCGGCAAATGACGTGAGTTAAAAAAAAAAAAAAAAGTTAACAAACGACTCCGACGCCGAAGCTGTCCCACTTTGGCTGTTGCCGCTGAATATTCAATAAATTTCCCGCAGCTCGAGTTTCTGTTTTGTTGCGCAGACGTTCTAACCATGATAATTACAGTTGCTAAACAAGGACTTCTACCACCTCTCCGCGGGAACCATCGAGGTTAAAAGCAACACCCCCAACAATGTCGCCTTCAAGGTCACTGGCAAGAGCAGCCACGAGAAGGCTACCAGCGGTGCCGTACGTATCCTCAGTCCAACCTCTCCTCATCAGCTAGCTACCGACAGAAGACAATTCCTACGTGCAAGCCATGGGGTGAATCTCGCGACAAAGTACACTTAAGACTAACAAACGCGCTTGTAGATCGAGGGCAAATACGCAGACAAGTCTCTCGGTAATTCAACCACTATTTTTCCCACTCAGACCATCAAGTCGCACACCAAAAGACGCCAAGCGAGTTCGCTTACAGCATCGGTGTGGGGAATACAAGCCCCAAGCTGGCCTCTCGATTTCTCTATCTTCCTAAGTCAACATGGCTCACAATTACTAATACTATACCGACGCGCAGGCCTCACTCTGACTCAGACCTGGAACACTGCCAACGCCCTCGACACCAAGGTTGAACTTGCCGATACTCTCGCCAAGGGATTAAAGGCCGAGTCTATCTTCTCCTTCCTACCTGCCACCCAAAGAAGGGCGTTAAGCTCAACCTTACATTCAAGCAATCCGCTTTCCACGGCCGCGCCTTCTTCGACCTTCTCAAGGGCCCCACTGCCAATGTCGACGCCGTTATCGGTCACGAAGGTTTCCTTGCTGGTGCCTCGGCTGGATATGATGTCCAGAAGGCTGCTGTTACCGGCTACAGCGCCGCCGTCGGCTACATTGCTCCTCAGTACAGCGCTGCCATCACTGCCACCGATAATCTGAGCGTCTTTGCGGCTAGCTACCACAAAGTGAACAGCCAGGTCGAGGCTGGTGCCAAGGCTACCTGGAACTCTAAGAGCGGAAGTGCTGTTGGTCTCGAGGTTGCTAGCAAGTACCGTCTTGACCCCGTCTCCTTCGCCAAGGTCTGTTCAATTCCCAGTCTAACTGGGCTCTGTAACTTAAGAAATTGCTAATGAAATAAATTTAGGCCAAGATTAACGACCGTGGCGTTGCTGCTGTCTCCTACAACGTTCTTCTCCGCCCTGGCGTTACTCTAGGTCTCGGTGCTTCTTTCGATACCCAGAAGCTCGAGCAGGCTACCCACAAGGTTCGTATCTCTGACACTTGATTCTAGTTCTCAAAATCTAACAGAGAAACAGGTCGGCGCTAGCTTCACATTCGAGAGCTAAATTAGTTAGCATAAAGCTAAAGGAGTGTTTCGGACTTTTGTAGACGAATTCCCGGGAATCATGCCCAATACCCTCTCGTCATTATTTGTAAGCTTTACAAAACAAGCAGGATTCTTTGCATACGAGTCAAAATATCTCAATTGTAGACATTAGACCGCTTGGACGTTCGATGCCGTCCAAATGCTAATACTTGCATCGTTCTGAATATACAGAATTCTTTGCGCTTTTGTAATTGCTAGAGATTTCTTTGTCTCTGCATACAGCCTCAAAAATTTGCTTCCTGTGATGTATAGTAAATGCCGGTAGTTGATTCTACTGCGCCGCCGAACTAACGAATCCTATTTCCCCTTCCTCTCTAGCTTTTGTCCCCGCCCCGCTACCCCGATTCCATATCCTGCTGATCACGAATGGGCCCAGTACGCTCAGCACCAGTACACCGCCAATCAGGAAGAACATGCCGGTGGTGCTCCGCTCCGGCTCAATGTTGATGTGCTGACTATCGAGATGCGCGCGCCGCACTGCTCGCCGACTATCGATATGCCGGCCCGTGCGCTCATGCGATACCCGGTCGAAGTGCGGGACGTCGTCTTCGGCGCCACGGCCAAAGGGCGTTTGTCCTGGTCCCATGCCCCCTGCGCCGAAGGAGCCTGTACCTCCTCCGGAGGTATGAGAAGTGGAAGAAGATGAGGCATAGGACGTAGAGGAAGCGGACCCAGTACTCTCATCATGCGCGGCGCGACGCTTGGCGCCGTGGGCACCCCATCCGCCGCTGCGGAAGAAACTCGGTGGCGGGCCCTGGAAAGTGCCACGGCGGCGGCTTAGGCCCGAGGCGGGGCGACCGCCGGCGGGGTTGGTGCTGCTGTAGGAGCCGCGGTGGTGGGGGTGGGAGGGGGAGGAGGGGTGGTGTAGGCGCAATGTGTCCCGGTCGTAGGCGGCGCGCTTGGCGGGGATCGAGAGTATGGAGTAGGCCTCGCTGATGCGCATGAAGCGCCGCGAGGCGTGCGGGTTGGAGGGATTGTGGTCGGGGTGGTGGGATTTGGAGAGGGCGTAGAAGGACCTGTGTTTATGTTAGAGAGTTAAGGGGTAGGTGCTAGGTAGATATGGGAGGGGGTAAAGTAGTAGGTAGAATGGTAAGCTTATAGTGCTTATTCTAGCTTACAATGGGATATATGTAGGTAGCTAGTAGGGACGAGAATTGGAAATGCTCACTTTTTAATATCAGCAGGCGTTGCGCCCGGCTGCAGTTTCAGCGTCTCATAGTGGTTCCGGGAGTTGTCGATCTGCTCATCTCGGAGGCCTGCGGTGCTGTGGAACGGCTTTGCTGGTGCTGGTGCTCTTGACTGTCGAACTGGCAGTCGGTGCGACGAGAAAAGAAGCGTATAGCAGATATCGGCGCGGGCGAACTGCGTGAGCGGCCAAAGTGGTCCCGGACACTGCGCAGCGGAATGGCATGCCTCATCCCGAACCAATGCCGCTCTAATCCTGAGAGGGGCGTCCGGAGTGTTTCTAGGTATGAGGTGCTGAAAAGGTTGGGTGGTTTGGAGAATTGGGGAGGAGAATTGAGTGTACGAAATGAAAAACGTATAAACTTGATGCTGTGAAGCGACGCCACCGATAGTCGGCAACGAGCAAGTGACGACATCAATTGATGGGATTTTAGCGCGTTTAGTTCCGCTTTTATTGAGATCTTATCAGATGTGGCGGTGCGAATGTGGCTTATTTGTTGGAGTTTATGGTTTGATATAAGCTCGTAAGGTGACTATTATTATAAATAGTTTCATTATGAAAATAGTTATGAGACATGAGTTTTATTTAGATTTTCTCGATGCTCCTATTTACTTTACGTATATGAGGGTATGAGAAACCTATTATTATTGTTCATTTTTCTAAATACAACGCGACCTGGTATTATAACTTCCGTCCTTTGCTGACATAGTTACACACACTCAAAACATTACTATACAACTATATTCAAACTGCCTCCCAACTCCAACCGTATCCTCTAATAAACGATCGTCGCAGTCTTGTTAAGATATTTCTGGTTCCTCTCTATTACCAGATTCTGTGCTATCCACTTGCCCGCATCCTCCCTCGAGATGCTATATCCGATAGCTTTGGATTCAATCCCGGTTTTCGGGTCTTCGATGCCAACACGGATTGGCTGATCTGTTTCGCCATCGATAAGGAGCATAGCCGCCCGCACGATGGTGAAGTCCTCACTACTCGTGGCGAGCTTATTTTCCATGATTTTCTTGTCCGCGCCAGGGACCTTGAGAAGGAGGAAGCATAATGGGACGTAGGCGACAGGTATGTCTCGCCCGAACTTGGACATACCGGCACTACTACATACGATGATATGTGGTCTGCCGATGACACCTTGCTCTCTGAGTGTGATGATGGAATTAAGGATAGCTATAATTCCCTTCTCACAGACATGTGGGTCGTCAATAGTCATTTTTGACGGGATAGGCTTTCCTCCGATAGTGAAAACTATCTCATCAACAAGTTTACCGTCTGGGGTTTCGAGACAGCGAGTCACAACCGCCGAATCATGCGCGTTCCCTTGTATGACTTTAAGATTGGGCGTGTTCTCACTTGTAAATATTGAGGTAAGTTTGGACGGGTTCCTGCAAAGCGCGACGCATTGATAACCGGCAGCGAGAGAATGCTTCAGCGCCGAAAGACCTATACCCGTGCTTGCGCCGAAAAAAGCAACTGTCTTGGAAGCCATTGGTCCGGGTTGGTGAACAATGAGTAAAATATTAGGTTTAAAATGTAGTAGTAGTTTTAGCTGTACGGGTAGTGACTTTGTATAAGAGTGGTTAATACGTTGCTGTTACTGATATTTGCTATTGGACGAGTCTATCATATACATTTTATCTTCATCATACCTATATCTGAACCACTCCTAGAATTGCTCATACGCTTACGTGTTCATTCCATAAGAAGAGGTTATTCAGGCGCTAGGAAGTTCTCGCGAAGTTCTCGGAGCAGGTGCGAGTAACTCGGGGTGCAATTGCCCCGGCTTGGCACACTTGCGCCCGGGTGCTAGCCTCTATTCGGTGTGCTGACGCTGACGGAAGCCACCCTTATTTGGTTTCATGACAGGTAATTCGTTTGCATGAACTATATACTCAATTTTATAGACACGTCAGAAAAGACCACATGAAATTCAGGCGGAAAAGCTGATTAGTTGTAGCGTAATTTGTAGTAAAATAGACACCTATGTCGCACGTCCCGATTATCAAATATGCGACAGCTACCCCGGAAACTCCAGGGGAATTAGCGTTAACTAGCCATGGTACGGGTCCATCCTCCGAAATAAACGCGAACGCTTCCCGACCCGGCACCTCTCTAGGAACGTCCGCGACACCTGGACCAAGGGCACGCAGTTGTGTCACATGCCGCACACGAAAGGTGCGATGTGACAAGACGTCACCATGTTCAAATTGCCGCCGCGCAAGAATTCCCTGCGTTTTTCCTTCCTCCGACAAGCCCCCGCGATGGGCTCGTCGGCTGGAGCGCATTGCGAACAATGCTAAGGCTGAGCAAGAAGCCGGTTCGGATGTCAGTCAAGTTATGGACAGGCTTCGAAACCTCGAAGGCCTTGTGAAAGAACTTAGTAGTCAGTTAGAGCAAGCTCACAGCGCTGCAAATACGAATAGCCATGGCTCACCTTCAGCAAACTCACCGGGGAGTTCTAGCCATGATCACGATGCGGATAACCATACGATTTCGCTACCTATAACAAATTCTTCTAATCTATCGAAGCAGTTTGGTAGGCTTGTTCTCGGGGATGCTGGTCAGAGTCACTACGTAAGCAACGGCTTCTGGTCGCGTGTTAACGATGAGGTAAGTTAAGATAGACCATACCAACTATTGAGGCTCTACAAGTTTGAGTTGCTGATGGCTGAAATAGCTCGATGGCCTTAAAATGGAAACTGAGGGTCTGGCTAGTGGAGACTACGATAGTTCCGAGGACGAAGATTCACTTAGCAAGACCCCGTCTACCCAGGAACTAGATAGGACGCCCTCACAACGACACGCATTTCTGTTCGGCCACAATCTTAGCTCTCATGGACCTAATATCCGCGAGTTTCACCCACCACTATCCCAGATCCCCTTTATCGTGGATGTCTTCTATCGAAACGTCAATCTTCTAACTCAGGTGGTCCATATGCCTACATTGAATAAGATGGTGCAGAGTCTGCAAGACAGTGGCCCCTCGATTCTCACACCGGCCAACGAGGCTCTAATGTTTGCTATATATTATTCTGCGATAACCTCCATGGAGGAGGAAGATGTAAGTTTCCCATCAAACTATTTGCTTGTAATAAATACTTATCTATTATGTGTTCTATAGGTCGTAGCTAATCTCGGCCCTTCTAAATCTGAACTGAACCTAAAGTACCGTCTGGGCTTAGAGTACGCACTTGCGAAAGCAGACTTTCTAAATGTGCCTGACATAGTTCTTATACAGGCGTTTGCTATATTCTTATGTTTAGCTCGCCGATATGATAGCCCGAGGTTTGTGTACATGATGACAGGGCTTGTCATCAGGATGGCTCTGGCTCTAGGATTGCATCGTGATGGTAGCCATTTCCCTCACCTTACGCCCTTTGAAGCTGAAATGCGACGAAGACTATGGTGGCACATTTGCCTCCTTGATGTGAGGGCCTCTGAGGACCAAGGCATGGACCTCACCATCACGCCCGGCAGCTTCGACACGCGACAGCCTCTGAATATTAACAATGATGACATCGACCCCGAAACAAAGGAAATGCCGAAGGAACGAGAGGGTATAACTGATATGACCTTCTCTCTCATGACCAGTACTCAGTGCGAAGTAACGAGGGAAATGATGGCTGTGAGTCTTAAAAATGGGACACCGCAGATAGATGTCCAGGACCGCCTACTGAACGAGTACTACGGGAGGCTAGAGAAAGCATATCTTCAATACTCTAGCGCAGAGGGAAACGTCACATACTGGGTGGTTGTCGTCATAGCAGGACTTGTAATGGCTAAGATGAGTCTAATAGTCTACTTCCCCTTGCTCTTCTCACCCCAAAGTGAGTATGCTTCAGACGAGATGCGTAATAGGCTGTTTATAGCTGCGATCGAGGTAGCTGAGTATAACCACGCGCTCAACGCCGAACAGGCCTGCCGCCAATGGCGCTGGATTTACCAGACGTACACGCATTGGTATGCCGTCGTCTACCTCCTAATCGAGGTGACACGGCGCCCCTGGTCGCCTCTCGTCGAACGCGCATGGGTCGCGCTCCATAGCAACTGGCTTATCCCCACCCGCAGCAATACGGATAAAAACCTGCGCTTCTGGTTCCCTCTCCGAAAGCTCATGGCTAAGGCTCGACGGCACCGCGAAGCTGAGATTGAGCGGCTTCGGTCTGACCCGCAGGCAGCGCGGCAGTTGGAAACGGAGGACAGGGGTGCTACTCAACCGAGTAGCTCAGGCCCATTTCCGGGCCCCGATAGCGCCGAGACTTTCCGTGAGCGCTGGCGCCAGCTCGTAACCGTATCACAAAGCCTGGGGGATTATACCCAGACGGTTGCTCAGCTCACTAGAGGGGTTCTAGTGCCACCTAGTATTACCTATTCTGCTGAAACTAACGGGCCGGGCTTCGGCTCTATACCTTCATATGATTCAAGCGCCTCAGTACCCCAACCCGGATTCGCGTATCCCCAGTCTAGATTACCGCAGGGGAGCGGATTTTTTCCGCCAAACATTTCTAGCGGGAGTTTCTCCGAGCCGAACTTTGGGTTTCAACAGAATCCTCATAACGAAGCTGTACCGGGGACTCTATCAGCTGGTCCAGCTTGCGGATTATCTTCGGCGTCTATGGACTTGGGACCAGGCTTCGGAGCTTGGCTATGGGCTGATGCGGACCCGTCGGTTGACGTATTTGCTGATATGGATTTAGAAGCAGTAGATCTGAATTTAGATTTGGACGGCGAGGTCGATTGGAATAATTGGGTGGCGTCGGCGAATGGGATGAATTGGACGGGTGATTCAGCAGATGGAAATCAGAGATATCAATCTTAAATTGTAACTAACAAGTATAATGCATTGTGCCTTGGACTAACTCAATTGTAGATATATACTGTAAAAATATATACTGACTGGTCTACATGATTATGGCTCAGGTAAAAGCTATAAAGAGAACGTATTAAACATGGATAATGGTGATATCTCATGTGGTGTCGTATTAAAGAACTATATTACGGGTTTTAGTTACGGAGACGAACTCCTAAGTTTGCGGTTTACGACCTTTATACCGACTGATATGATCCAGTTATATTAGGTACCCTTCCACGTAGCTACTAAAACCCACAACCCGGAATCCGATGGCTGTGTCCCATCTTCAAAGTGAAATCCCGGGCTTGCCGTCTCAAACAGGTTGCCAAATCGACTATCTCGCGATCACCCGCGTTAAACATCATCATCATCATATTAAGATCACCAGTTCTTACAGCCGGCGCCAAGCTCGCTGGCAGTTCCTCGGGTCCAGGTACCATCGGATGATGTCATTAAGGATTACACGCGCGCCGTATTTTAACGCCGGAATGAGCGCCCGAAGCATACGCACGGCATACTTGTCGGACAAGTTGTAAAAATAGGCCCGGAACAGATACACATCGGCTCCGTGCACGGGCTACTCAGTAAAGAAATCGTACTTCATGAATCGCACGCACTCGTCAACATCAGCTGGCTTACGTGCATCCGCATCCCGAATAGTCTGCTCATCAATATCCTGTATGACCAAGTTGAGCGATGGAAAGGCGCATGCTAACGCTATGGCTGCCTCGCTGTGAGGTCCCCCACGTTCAACAGTCGACGAGATAACGCACGTGAAGATCTGGACGCGCAGCGTATAATTGCATACCTGCAGCGAAAAGGACGGCGCGGTCCGGGTGCGCCGCGAGGAGGTCGAACATCGCAATGTTAGCATTATTGGCTACAGTAAAACCAGTTTCGTTGGGCTCTTTAGACTTGGGCCAGCGAGCCATAGATTCGCAGGTGTGGTAGGCTGCGAGCCAGCAGTCATCTGCACATTAGCGGGCTTATGTGGCTAGGTCAGCATCTTCGGCGAGCAAATGCGAGGCGGCGCTGTGAGCGATCACGCCTGGGTGAGGCTCGTAGAATATGTGTCGCATTATTGCGTAGCGGATGATTTTATTTACGCACATGTGTCTCGCCTAGACCGGTGACGGCGGAGATTTGGGCGAAAGTTGTCTCACTGTTGATGGGAACATGATGTGATATCCTAAATTGCATGATAATTAGTTGACTAAGGAGGTGGGTAGAACTGTAGCTAAGTAGGTGCTCTCGCGGGCCGAGCATGAGTTGGTGTAGCTCAAGAGTGTCCTATAAGGCACCTTGGCGAGCAACTATAATGTCTGGCTCGTTAGAACGTAAATAAAATTATTGCGGTTGGCATATGAGTATTAAGAGGAAAACGTAAATAGACCTATTAGACTCTGGACGGATTAAGGGAGGCATATCTCGTATAACCCCTCATGTAAAGTATGAAGCTCCAATTATCGCAATCCATGCCGTTGATATAATAGATGAACATAGAGGAATCTTGTGAATATACCAATAAAATGCGATTGCGTTCATATACTTTGAATTTTAGCAGAATTGCTAGCTTTTAGCTGACGACAACGCTGGTTGTGTACCGACTTACAGTTACATAAACAGGTTATCACTCATATCTTCTTGACAAAACCAAACATTGAAAGCACAACTTACTCTATAAATACAGTTATTTTAAGCTATCAGATACTAACGTAAACATGAGTACCTAGTCACTGTTAGGTTGGGTACTTTAGGTATCTAATAAACTTACGAAATGTGCCCATGGCATCAGGCCCTTTTATGATATTGTTTTAGCTCTTGTCTTATTAGTTTAAGTATCTCTCATTATAGAAATTCAACGCCTTAAATAGACATAATGGTGTTTAAGTAACATATGAAAAGAAATATGAAGTTAATTAGATGAACCTTTGTTTTCATATGACCAAATGAAAATGCCTCTATTGCTATAAGTTGCAAATAGGCTTCCAGCTTGACTTGCAATTATCTTCATATCAAAAGTCAAGCCGCTAACTTCAAGTCTTAAGTAAGAATTGCCAGTTTTTACATCTCGGACCTGCACGCCACCGTTTATGCATTCGAATAAAACATCATTGCAGTCTGATCCGAAAACATAAGATTTGCCACCCGGCTATAAGATTTCAGCTTCTTGTACACCAAGTTTGGCTTTCGTAACAATAGACTTACGCTCTCGACATCAGAGGTTATGCTACGAAGGTGTTGACCCCTTATCGTCCGGACCTCAAATCCAGTTGTCGTAGTACAACAAATTATGTCCTCGTCGTAAGGAGAGAAGGAAATATCGGTTATAGCACCGTGGACATTTACCTCATGACGTTGGATGAGAAATCCTGTTTGTATATCCCAAACCCTGACTTCACCATCTGAGGATCCCACAACTAGGTCATTATCGTTCGGAGATATAGTAACTCCAGAGGTGTAATCTTCGGGCTTCATATTGAAGGTATTTCCTTTAATACCGTTATCAACATCCCAAATTTTAATTTCATTTGACCGGAGGATGAGGGCTAGTGTACGTCCGTCTCTAGTGAAATGGGTTGGCCTAATATAAGGGGATACAGTATTGAATATACGTCGAATCTGCTTGCTTGAAATATCCCAAACCTAGTAAAATTAGTACTTCAAGTACATAAATTTATAGGGGGTGAACTATCTTACGTAAATTTGAGACTCGTTGACGGCAGCTAACCATTTACTATCCGGACTGAATGTCTGAAGGATCATATTTCTGCTGTTATGTTCATTATACAACGTGTAGGACTGTCTCGTTATAATATCATAGAGCTTGACAGTCGCCTCATGGACTGAAGCGATATATCTACCACAATTACTGAATATGGCTGATATAGGTGAGATGATTTGGGGTATATGGTGCAGATCGACATCAAATAGGCGGGGACTATGCTGATTGAATATTACGAACCAGTTGGGTCCTAGATGTACGCAATCAGGAGGAAAGCCACACTCGTACGGGTCGTTTTGTGTGTTGTCTTGAGGCGAAGCTGCAATTGCCGACAGCAATTCTTGGATGAGAGATTCGTAGCCCTGAAAAACAGCAATGGCTAATATCTCTCTAGTAACTGGACGGACCTGCGCCTTCTGTATAAGATATCGGATGACAGGAGCATGTCCTTTCTGAACAGCATGTCCAAGTGGCGTTAATACATGTTCTGGTTTAGGATGGCTGTCAAATGCACGTCGATTAACTTGTATCTTCCCCGTCTCATATAGTAGCTTGACGATGGGCAAATTGCCGATTCGACACGCACTTATAAATGGCGAGGGTCCATATTCGTCAGGCTTATCTGGTAGGCATTCCTTTTGAGCAAGAAAAAAGTGAACAATTTCAATATTCTCCTTGCGTACCGCAGCATGCAGCGGCGTCATTCCGGGGGAGTCGCTGCGTACTATATTCATATCGAAACCATTCTTGAATAACAGCTTGCAAACTTCTAAGCGACCATTCTCTGCTGCTATTAATAGTGGATTATTTGGACTGCAGATGAAGAATGTCTTTTGGAGATTTCAGAAATGTCTGAACCGCAGCTGCGTCGCCGCACCTAATAGCTTGTAGAAATGATGGGCTCTTTTTGAGACGGATTTGAGGGAACTCTAGTTTAGCATCAGTCTCCTGGTGGTAAATTTTCATATGTCGGTCCAGTTTCGGCTTAGTATCAAATCCAAGTGTATATATAGGACATTCCTCAGAAGTACAGCGAAAGGGAAGGTCATGGAGATCATAATGCTGCTCGCGTTCTTCAATGCTTTCAAATCCAGTAGCAAAACGCCCACACCATGGTTTAGAACATTTATAGACAATTATTGCTCCATATAGGTTCATCAATATCCGCTGATTTGTGGAATTTAGATTGTCGTCTCTGAGTGTCTCTATAGTCTTCCGAATGTGGACTGTCTGTTGTTCGATAGTGAAATATGTGTTCCTCTCCTTTCCATCATTAGGAAGGTCCTTGAGGATTTTGACAATTTCTTCGTTATAGATCGTATCATGCTCATCCAGCATCAATAAAGAGCTGTAAGACGTGAGAAGAGTCCCGATCGCTCTTGTTACCACCTGAAATGTACTTGGGTCTAGTTTTCCGATAACTTCGACACATTCCCTAGCATGGTAGAACCAATACTGGACAGCATAGTCTTGAAGGCCATAGTATCCATTGATAGCGTGGCTATAAACTCTCTTCTCATCAATCCCACGCTTGAATGGTTCAGATGTAAGATACTTCGAGAAAAAGCAAGTAAGTCTAGCATGCTCAAGACTGGTGTCGAGCAATTTCCTTCGAACGAGATATCTTTCAAAGTTAGTTACGGCCTTAGAATTGCGTATACCGACTTACTCTCGAGCGGTTTCATGAACCATACTGACGATATGCTCTGGGCTGTCTCTTCCATCATTGGTAGGATGTACATCGACAAGGGATCCACAGAGTTCCTTGCATGTAACCCTAAGCCTCTGTTCTTCATATTCAACGACTCCATTATCCGGGATAATACAAAAGCTACACTGAATCTCGCGCCACCGGAGCGGCCGTGCGGCACAAGTTATCCAGCCCAGTATCTTCTTGACATCTTCACGTTCAGAAGGAGAAGACTCTTCAAAAATGCGCACTGCCACTCTTTCATATCTATAGCAAGAATATGAATTAGCTAGATTCTTTATTTGATCTTAAGAGCCAATGTCATTACGCTTTCTCAATCCCTTCTGGGAATGTGTCTGGTTGCATTCTCTCTTCAAGCTGGAGAGCTTCGTTTGACTTAGTAAGTTCTCTAAGACCACATGGGCGTAGAGGAACATGCCTAACATTTTGTCAACCTTAGTCAAGAGTCTGCTTTATTCAATGTATGTTACCCTTTGCGCTATTCGCAACACGGAGAGCAATGCTCTTTTGATCCTCATGGGAAATATCGAACTTTTCTCTTATTCGTTTGCAGAAATATGAGCAATATTCTTCGATATCCTTGGTATGGGCGGTATTCTCTAAAGTTATGGATGGTATATTGACAAGAAGGCTGTCCAGGACACCATCCCGTTGGCCGCAAAGCAAAATACGCAATGAGGTGGTAGTGTTCTCTGAGCGTCCTTTTATGAGTGATAAGAACCATTGTACCGATCGCTCCGATTCTTTAGGGGCGCTTTCATCAAGGCCGTCAATTACGATATATGAAATTTGATGACTTTCCAGTGCCTCCTTAACAAGTGCTTCCAGTGTTCTTGTTAGTCGTAGCGATGTTGGATCCATTGCCGATATTTTGCTGAACAAATGGTCCGACATGGCGTGGTCCTGGATGATGAGTTGATCTAAAATACTGCGAAGAAGACTATTGTGTGACTCTTTGCTAGGCTGCCGATACTTGAAATAAAAATAGGCGACAAAATAACTAACCGTCGAATCCCTACTCCTACTGTCTAGGAGCTTCCTAATCACTGCCGATACCAAAGTTGTTTTGCCTGGGATATGATCAGTCCTAATACCCTTGTACCGGGACTAGATTGAGATTGTATTTACCTGCACCTGGGATCCCGTTGATATATAGGATGCTATGTCCCGAAGCATGGCTATCCCAAGCTTGGAACTCCTTGTTTTCCAAAATCCATTTTCCCGAACTGTCGATAAACCTATTTTCCGCAGCCATCTCTTGGTCAATTGCATAGTTTGGAGCATCTAACTTTTCTCTTATGTGGGATACCCGACCCTTGTGCTTCTCTTGGCGTTCTTCATCCATTTTCTGTTGGTATTTCGTATATATAGACGAAATGTCTTTGCGCACTTGGTGAATCTCGTAGAGAGTTGCCGAGCTTTTCTCACTTTCCAAGAGATCCCGTCGCCTGTTCAAGCTATGCAAGATTGGGCTGAACTTGCTATCAAATGTTTTCCATATTGAGTGGTACATGTCTTTCCATGCTGCAGAACTTTAGTACTTATATTTTACTTGAAATATGATTCTCTGAGAGAAGAGAGGTATACATACTAGGTCGCTTGAAGACGGAAATGGCTATGCGATGGAACTCTAGAATATCTGAATAATAGTCTTCGAGTACCGTAGCTAAAGGGTGGTGTTCCGCAAAGGTCTTCTCGTAGCGTTCAAGGCCGGGGATAGCAGCTCCTATTTGCTCATACGCATCAAGTAGTTTATCGAAAGAACTAAGATGTGTGCTAGCGGTCTTAATTTAATAATAATGTCAGGTACCTCTTATTGTATTATAAAGATGTGGAAGTGTGTTTTCTGATACTCACGAGAAGCATAAATTTGATCGGCCCCTTTGCAAGTTAGAAATCGCCGAGTTGAAGGGCTTATAGAAATGACAACAATTACTTACCCATATGAAGCAAACGAATTCACTTGCATTCACAAATATGTCAATTACTTTACCAAACTGTTCCATTGCTTCAATAAAACCCCTCAGACGTCCCATGTATCGTAATTTCCTCTCGCTTCCATGTCTCTGTTGAATTTCCTTACAGACTTGTTGTACATCTGACAAGGAGCATATGGAGAATTCGTTTGTGAGATCCGGAGACAGGGATTGTTTGAATCGATTGAGCGCTCGCTGGAAGTTGTCTCTGTTTGGCCCTGTCATCTTTGATAAGGATGTTTCATAACGCTTCTTGACATACAACGAGATACGATTTCCAATGTTTCTAGTTGGGAGTGATTGGGATGGATCCAAAGTAAGACGGCTTTTGAGAATAAATACCTTATTCAGGAGAAAAAAAGCCTCGGTGCCTCGTTTTCCTCCCCCACCACATTACGAAGTTACATCAACCATCTGAGCCACCTCATCTCTCCTAGCCAATCAGTATATCCCTTATCATGCATATATGGTGTGAGTTGGGGCTGAGTTGCATTATATAATTAAATAATCCGTTTTTCACCGGTTCTATGGTACAGAGCCTTGCGCAAAGCCCTATGCAAAGCCCTGCGGGTCTTTCCGCCCCCTTCCCTGTGATTCGAAATTTTCATTTTATATGTATTAGGTACTTACCTAGGTACCTATTTGTGTGATATAATACTTCAAGACAGGACCCATCATCTCGCTGTTTAATATATGGGGTTGAAGGATAGATATAGCTTAATGTAAAATGATACTGGAATATTAAGGCTATATCTTGATACTAAGATGGATGAATATGAGATCTGTTATGGCTCTGTAGGTTGCAATGTTCATATCAGTCTTGGACCCTCGCACATCGTAGTAACTTATGTTTCTCTCTAGTTGTACGATGCGGTTGCAAAGGTGCTTATCAGCGCCGAGATGCCCCGCGAAATCGCCGGAGTATTCAAAAGATTTCCCTTACAGCGAAAGAACCATTACTATGCTCTCTACTCTGAAGCTGGTACCGAGTTCGGCATCTTGGATACGCGAACCAGCTCCAGTTTAGACGCTCTAAAAGACTATCCAAAAGCGCGGTTTGAAGCCGTATTCTTAGCTCAAGCCTTCACCAAGCGTCGACACAAAGGGAAGCCTGGTTCACAATTGTTTCCGGTGTCAATAAATATTTTTGGATTAAAATCAACAGCAAACGAGGCTGCATATCGACTGTCGAAAGCCTCTGCTTTTCTCCAACACCCCCAGTCATTGAATAAAGAGGCGATATATAACAATCCGCAGTTTCTAACCTTTGATGAAAATCTGAATATGAGTATCTTTATTGGCCAAGGTAGTGGAAATATGTTAAATTCAAAAACAAAGATTTCAGAAGAGATCAACGACATACTGGAGTCATTGACATATGTAGCCGCAGACGAGGACTTAGAGCCGCCTGTCGGGTTATCCTCAAAACTGAAAAGGTATTACCCTAGTTCAACAAAAGCTTACCAAAAAAACAAACGAACTCTACTAAGCACCTAGGTATAGACATCAAGAGGATAGCTTGCGTTTTATATATCAACGCGAAAATGAAACAGTTGCCCAAAACCTCTCGGTAACACTATGTCGTGAAGCTTCAATCGAGTGCGCGCGTAGCTAGTTTCCTAAGTTAATATGATGGCTAACTATAATCCAGGATGAATACATTACCATTCATATCTTTCGGGGGGCTCATCGCGGAGTATGCAATATTTTGGTTACCCAATATGTATCCCCTTTACCCTATACAAGATGTTACACCTACACCTTCGAGCTCTTTGAAGAATATTTCGAATCTACATTATTCAAAATCCTTTATATTTATGACTTGTTATTTATACTAATTTTGTCGTTGTGTAGTACGATGGGACTCGGGAAGACCCTTACCATGCTTGCGGCCATTTTGCGTTCAGTCCCAGCCGCGGAGCTTTTCAGCAGTTTCTACGATAAACCTGAAAACGAACGTCCACAGAAACTTCGTATAAAGGCGACTTTGGTAATCGTACCATCTTCTCGTTAGTAAAAGCAGTCATATGTAAAGTTATAGACTAATTACTCATAGAACTTCTTGAGAGCTGGCAATCTGAGATACAGACGTAAGCATGACTGGCATACATGGTATTTGTTGAATTCAACCGCTAATTCTCAAAGTCATATTTTACCAGGAGCTCTTAGCTTCGTTTGCTTCCATGGGAAGAAACGGCCTCGGAATAATGAGCTTTTGAGTTCATTTGATGTGGTGTTGACTACATATGCAACACTTGCCGCTGACTACGCCCATCAAGGGATACTCCACCAAATGGAGTGGTATCGTGTGGTATTAGATGAAGGTGGAGCCCAAGTCTCTCGTTGATTACACTTTACTTTTTACTATCTAGAATCAGTAACTGACGAAGAATAGCCCATTGGATAAAGAACTCCGGTACTCGACAATTCCGGGCATCAGCAGCACTATGCACCAAGAGGAGATGGTGCCTTACAGGCACTCCTATTCAAAATAGGCTAGAAGATCTAGCCTCTTTGGCTCAGTTCCTACAGCTTCCAAACATAGCCACTAAAGTGGTTTTCCAAAAACATATCCTGAGTCCGCTCTCTGAAGGCGGTGCGGATTTCGCAAAACCTCTTCGAGCGTATCTTGAGGCCTATTGTCTTCGCAGAAGTGAGAAGTGTCTAAACTTACCTACCTCTTCCGAGGTAAATGTAACGCTTAGCCTTTCACCAGAAGAACAGTGCCTCTACAAGTGTCTACTTGACGAGACAAGACGAGAAATTGACTCTCTAGTTAGCAAGGGAATTGAAACTCGATCTAACAAACTATTCACAGCTATGCTAAAGCTACGCATGCTTTGCAACTTAGGGACATTCTTCTCGGCCCGTAGTAACACCTCTACCCTGGGACGATCTTATCCCGAGACTGAGTGCGAGCACTGCCAACCTTCTAGCGAGGAGGCACGTTTGCTTCAAGACGACTATTCAGTATGCTCGTACTGTGGGAAACCGTTATACCGCTCAAGTCCCAGTCCCATTCAAAATTCAATACAGGGGAGCGATGCTGGAAATATTAGTGATGATTCGAATACACCCTCTAGTGGAGAAACTCAAGCCATGATAGAGCAAAAGAACCCTACCCTATCAGTTGGTTACTCTACAAAGCTTTCTGCCGTGGTTCAAAAAGTAACAGAAGGTGGGACGGATAACAAGAGGTATAAACTTCCCTTATCTGGAAACCCTTCTGTACTAACCTTCCCAGTATTGTATTTTCCTACTGGACATCGACTCTAGATATCCTACGCTGGCTATTCGAGCAGGCTGGGATTTCGTGTCGTCAAGTAGACGGCAAAGTAGGCCCGATAGAAAGATCTATACGTCTCAGAGCGTTCAAAGAAGACCCCCGAGTCCATGTCCTCCTCATGTCCATCGGTACTGGTGCAGTCGGGTACGTTCATCTAGGCTTGACACTCATTAGCGTCAATACTTATAGGGGTGTAGATTAAATCTCGCCGTTGCAAACCAAGTACACATAGTCGAACCCCAATGGAACCCTTCTGTGGAAGAACAGGCGATCGCACGAGCGTTGCGTATGGGGCAGACTAGAGAGGTGACGATTTTTCGATATATCATGGAGAAGACTGTAGAGCAGGTAGTTCATTCGAGCATTCATTTTAAGATCAGCACCTAGCTAACAAAAGGCAGAATATCGTCAGTCTTCAAAGGAAGAAGAAACATATTGCAAAGTTTACTTTCGACGCGGAGACACAAGAAACCCAATCCGGAGCACTTGAAGTGAGTGTCACATGAGTATAGCTAAAAAATCTATCACTAGCTAACAAACACACAGGATCTCAAATTTGTGTTAGACATGGGCTCCGTCTAGACAGGGGGATAATAGTCAGTAGTATTTGCTAGGGCTGTTGACCGCTCAATTTCATCACAAGAATTCTTGGCCATTTCGTGTTACTTGGGCCTCGTAAAGATACTTCTCATTCTTTGCATGTTTCTGAATTCTAAGTTTTCTCCATACTATCCCTTAATTTTCACTATAATTTTAGAGCACTGAAATGGGGTGATGAAAGATACTGAAGACCCCTTTTCCCCAATGATGTATGGCCATTGAGAACATTAGTTCTTCCATATGTAGGTACCAAGTTATAGCCTATTACCAAACTCTTCTCCTTTTCTTAAAAATTTCTGATTTGTTTGACCTGATCTATATGCCGCATTCGGACCCTGGCATACTCTTAGGCACCCCTAGCGTGTATACAAAGGTAGCTTGAAAGTTTCCACCGCCTTTCTAGGGTAATTCTCGCCTATGAATATCTCAAGCCAGTTTTGACTTCTCCTTGCTTTAATGACGCACTCTTGATAGAAGGAATGAAACCCCCAGTTCCATTTAGAGGGCCCCTAACCGTCTATCAAATGGGGGTGGCATTTTGTTACGATACCATGATCGACTTAACAAGCACAATACAGAATTATAGACCAAACCCCAGTATCCTTGCCAGGTATTCGTGGGGTCTTAAAAGCAATATGGGAACATCATTATTTTCCGCGTATCGGGAAATTCCTTAGTCCTTAGGATCCGTCTTTTTTTCAGCTAGATAAATCCCCATTAAAGATATTAAGTTGTCCTACTAACTACCGGTGATCCACAGCATATTTGAGGGGAACAACCAACCTTACCTAATGTATCTGTCCCGGCCTGTTGGAAATGTTTGCCAGCAGGGCAAGGGTTCTTCGGGATTTCCGTGCTAACTCTCATCAAGTAAACGACTTTCTCCCTATTCAATATCAATTAGCTATCTTAGGTAGGGTTACTGAATGCTTGACATTAGCTAGCGTTGGCGGAATTCGTAACCGATAATCAACCCCTGAACCATTGCACCTTTGCGTATAGAAACTTCCACATCTAGAAGCTCCAACATCTATTAACCCTATATAATCAAATTTCAACATTATGAGATATTTCTTATTTAGTTAGCAATCAAAGAAGAGGGCTATTTTGATACACATTTTCAGTAATGTTATTGGTTGTTGAGGGGATGCTGGATGAAAGGATGTGTGGCTGATAATGACTGTGGCTTGATTAAAATATGGCTTCATAGGGGTTTATAGGTTCTACGAGATATCTACCTAACCTTAGGTGTTGTTTGCTGTACCTAATAACCGTTCCCCAACTTCCGTTGTTTACAGTTCAGTATATTTTAGCAGTTATCAGAATTGTAGCAACGGAAAAGCTATCATTGATGATTTTCAAATCTTACCTATTCCGGCGACACCTAACAGTGTCGTTTTACTTTGTCCTGCATCTCCAGTATAATCTCACAAACCCAGCATATTCAACAATGTCTAAAGTTATTGCACGGACAGAAATCTATACCCTCAAGGGTTCGTATGCAGGAAAGTTCCAGCCCCCGGACCCATCCATAATTGGGGATAATTTGGTTCGGGAATATTGGGACGTCGCTTAATCGACCCGAATCAAGGGCCTGGGAGACGATCTGTAATGATTAGCACCTGATTGTTCGTTTAACAATTGTTTGAAATTTTTATGAGTTCATCTAACAGATTCACTATAAACTAGAACATATCCTCATGTCAATAATAGTAATCACTAGAACTTCAACTTTCGATAGAGAACACAGAAAACGTCAAGATGGCCGAAGTTGGTATTATGCCGCCTCCGGAAGGAGTGACTCCTGACTTCTATACTCAAACCTCTCTTCAGAGTACTCTAATCATCCTTTACGGTACCACCTTTGCATTAGCAACTATATCTGTAATTCTTCGATTATATACAGCTTTGGGGATCGTCAAGAAGCTAGATTGGGATATTCGTAAGTGCATCACTATCGGTTTCTAACAGTCTCCAAGTCGCTAACGCTGACTTGAATAGTATTCATTGTTGCAGCCTGGGGAACCTCTCTAGCATTCTATATTGGAACAATAATAGGTACGTTGCTATTTTGAAATAGTGTGGGATTTTGTTAACCGCTGTGATAGCCATACCAGCTGGTTTTGGGCGGCATCTTTGGGACGTTACGCCAACACAGTTGCTTGGATACTATAATGTAAGTTACCCCCATGTCGAGGAAAGCGCATAGTAAAAGCTGGTCTGCTAATATTGGTATAGGTCTTATCACTACTCGCTATCACGTATATTTGGCCGCCTTCCCTAACCAAACTCGCACTCCTCGTTCTCTACATCCGACTCAACCCCTCAAAACCTTTCCGCGCGTGTGTTTTCATTAGCGGATTCCTCATTTTTGCGTTCACCACCGTATTCACAGTTCTATTCGTCGGGCCTTGCAACCCATTATCTGTCGGCAGTGGTGTTTGCTTGAACAACGTAGCCATAGCACAGGCTGTTTTAAATATTGTATTGATGTTGTTATCATAGTACTTCCTATTCCTATGATACATAAGTTACAATTACCTCTGAAGCAAAAGGTAGTCATTGGCTTTTTGATCGGATTAGGGTCGGCGTAAGTATTTAGGCATAGCCAAAGTCCTGCTAAGTCGCTAACAGAGCTTCAGGGTCGTCATTGTTCTATTGCGCGAGTTGCCTACGTAAGAGCTATGGTATCGAACCCCGACGTAACTTGGACACAGGCGTCTGCTGCAGTCTTGTCAACATTAGAGTTGAATATCGGAATCGTAGGCAATTGCATATCACGTCTGAAACCTATGATTCAAAAGCATGCTCCTTCGTGGCTATCCTCCGTAGGCAGTTCGGCTGCACCTGGGAGTTACGCTCGGAACCAAAGTGGAATATTCCGCGGTCATGGGGAACAAGTAAAGGGAACCAGGGGTACAAATTAGAGAGTATTGATCGCGGAAACAAGTCTGGTGATGGAGAGCGAGGTGTCGACAAAGATATTTATGTCATAAATGACTACAGCGTCGAATACGACACGAAAGAATCGAACCAGACTAGGCCAGTTAGAACAGGAAGTACAGAGAGCATTCTCGCACCGGAGAGGGATGCTCGGCGTGTAGTATAGGTTCATGTTGTACTCGGGACATAGAAAATATGTTACACTTCAAGATAAGAAACATCTATTTGTACTTTTCAACCTATATATGTATTAGTAGAGGAGTCTAAAAAGTGGTTTGCGGATCTAATATACACAAGAAGCTTTATTTTTTCTGTTTGCTTCTCTAATTGATGACTACTTCTTCCGACCAGACCGTTTCTATTCATTGTTATCTTGCGATAAGCTACCTAATATTGCAAGATCGGCATTCAGAGAATAATGATTGGAAATATTAGTTTGCTCTGAATCACTAACTTTAGCCGTAGGTAAATGACTAGCATCATGAACATATTCAGCCATAGTTTCTTCTACTAACAGAAGTGCCTAATATCTAGGTAGGTATTAAACGCCTAGATTATTTCCACTAGTACCTAAATGTACTCAAATGTACGACAAACAAAGCTACCTCCTTGCATAGGTACTTAGAGTATCTACAACAACTTCAATGAGTTAAGGCTGAGAGATGTGTTATGCCAACATTAGATTATGTATCTAAGCTCTCTATGGTAACATCTAATACATTAAGAATAATTGCTAGTAGAAAGTCGGTGAGAAAATCTAGACTACTCTTTTACATACTCAGGGAGCGACTCCAACAACTCCAATGTTTTGTGATCTTCCACTGCTGCCGAGTGACGTTCCGTCATAGCGAAAACATTTTCGTCTGGCTGCATCCCTGGCCCCGTGAGTGCCCACGCTAACCCATGCAACGTGTGCTTCCTGTAGTCATCCCATATATCTTCCAAATCGAACTTGGGGCCACCCCCTTCGTGAAGTACCTTTAGATAGTGCTTGATCAGGTCGGTCTCATGCTTTCGACGCTCTTCGATAGTCATGACACCAGTAATGAAGTACGACACATCATGTAAGTTGACACCCGCGTAAGGTGCCTGCCAGTCAATGAATCCAGGTTGGCCATCAGGCCTGATGAAAGTATTTCCGATGTGTGAGTCGCCATGGACAATGCATTTAAGCTTCGGATTTTCTGTTGCCCACATGGTCTTGAAGGCTCTCTCCAATCGCTCCCGATTCGCCACAGCTTTCGGCAAGGGCGGAGGCGCAGAAGCATTGAATCGTAAGTCCCATGCTGCTGGGCTAATCAAAGAGAGAATCATCCCCTGAAGTGGGCTCCCACCCATAGCCTTGTCCCCGGAAAGCCAGGGGAATCGCTCCTCAGAAGCACCCCATGTCTCTGAGTGTAATGCTGCGAGCTGCTCAACCGCAGCGCGGACTCTGTCGACTGGCCATGGCTTCAATGGCTCGCCAAACTCACAGCCTTCAGTAGCCAGGTTAGCCATGACAACAAGGCCTTGTCCACTAGCTTTGTCGGTACCACAGTACCAGACTTTCGGTAGGTCCATGGTGAGGATAGGGCGGAGATGGTAATAAAACTCGGCCTCTCGGCGATATGTCCAGGATAGGCCAGGGTGAAGAGCTATCATAGGGGCGTTGAAGCCTCCCTTGACACAAGCCTGAGTCGGTACATCGGTGGTGTTTACATCATCTTCGTAAACCAGGTCGATAAGGATTTTGCTTGATGTCGAGTGGATTTCCTTTACAATTGCAACAGATTTGACTTTTTGTCCTATGATTTTAGAGCACCATTCTGCGGTAATCTCCTCGGTCTTCACAGGTAATGGGTCGTTCGAATTCAGTGCGCTCTGCGCGCTGTGGAGTGCCTGGTGAGTAGTTGACGACATTGTGTAGACTTGTTGATGAGGTGGGATGGGAATTATTGTGCTTGGCTTTGGTTTCTTTGCTTTAGCAGAGGGAGAAATGGCTTTGATAAATACTGGCAAATGAGAGAAGCGGTGAACAGTAGTATCGTGGCGTTAAGATGGAATAGTATTCCTCGCTTAGAGGACACTGACCGATCGCCACGAAGCAGTTGCACTGCATACAATATATCATACGTATACATATTATACCTCTAAACTAGAATATCACCTCGACACCTGTACCCTAGAAAATTATATCCCTTACCGTGCGGGACGTTCTTATGCGAAATGCCATTATGGACGGCTCATCACTTCTTGAGGTTGTACCTACCTAGGTACAGGAGCCTATTGAAGAAGTAAGCAGCAAACACGACGGTCCATTTAGGACATGGATAAGTTAGTATTCAGGTCCAACATGCATTCAGTGTCAAGTCACTACTCGTTCTATGGAGCAACATCCCTCTTGGGGAACCCCCTTTTTAATACGTGACACTACCTAACCTAGTACGCTCCATTTTCCGGAATCTCTCCCCACTTAATTGTTGACAATTGTTACCATCCATAACTACCTACATAATAGTGGAAATACAGAAGGTATTTTGCAAGGTCTTATCATATCATACATAGGCTAGGCTAGGCATGGAGGGTACCTACCTATATAACAAATAAGGAGAGGGGGATCTGGCTGGGTCTACGTAATTATTGTGGTAGCGGTGAAATCATAGTACATATTGATAAACTAACATCTTCTGGCGTTCTTCTAGCGCGCAGTTATGCAAGCCATTCTGAAATGGTTCAAATTGGGAGAAGGCCTTCTCCCCATGATTTTATTTATTCTTTCTCCAGAAAGAAATCACGAGAATGTCACTCTGAACGATTGTTTGACCTAGTTTACATGCAGGCTTATATTGTGGGTTAACTATCCCTTTTCATAACAAGTCACACCGAACCAGACACCTTATTATATTGGCGTCTAATCACCAGGGGGGAGGGGAGTTGAAACATGAAACGCTCAAAACACGATGGAGAGAGTCAATTGACTCGTATTACGATCAATATGGAAATAGCTCATCTAATAGTAGCTGGGAAGTACTATAAGTGAATACTAGATGTAGTAATGGCGAAGCTGGTGACTAGATTCTTGTAGAGCTTACGATCACATTTCAAGCGTCACGTCGAAGCCAAGTGGCACTTATTTACCAACATAATGGGGTATCCTGCGGAACAGGAATGTTGGTTGGAGCCTGCAGAAATTTGCATGCCTGTATCACTCTTAATGCTGTATCTGTGCTAAGTAGATCGTAAAGAGGGATAGCGAAAATGTCCCTGATTGGTCTGCTTCAACTGACTAGGAATCCCAAGGTCGATCGAACGTTCCGCTCGGGCCGCTCCACTCGATATTCAGCGATATGGTCCTTCGACTACGGTGGACTCTTATACGAGCACGTTCCATGACCACATCCCAATTAAGCAAACACAGCAAACAAATGCATATTCCACCCGGGTAGCACCAGTATTATCGAGCCTCGAATGTGTACTGGAGACACTACACAAGCTACAATTATAATAATATTCGAGAGAGAGAATGCACGCACATCATATTCTGGGAACATCTCAATGTCTCTACTAGAATTTGTTTGACCTAAGCTCTTACTATCGGTATAGGCTATCTGAAGTCTAAGGGTTAAAGTTCCCACATCATGTCACAATCCCATGACCATGATGGATTCACCAACTCCAAGATCCAGTTGCGCTATGGTCTATACCCTGGGCATTTGTGAGTTGACTATTTCAAATACTTATCGACGATCAGAATGGATCTTGAAAACATTGAAGCTATTCAGACGTACGTTGTTTCGAAACCGGAAAATGACCCGGGCGATCGCGTCCCCCTGTACTCAACCAAACAATCGTAATCTTGGCAAAGCTTCAAAGACTTGAACGTACGAATCTATGATTAGTCAGTTACTTTACCCCAGAAGGTCCTAATATGTAATAAGTGACCCATAACGTTGGGATTGCTTACCAAAAGAAGAAGCTTTTAAGACAATAGGCAGGGATAATTTGTTATTTCAGGGGCTAATTCGGGATCCATTTGGGTGGATATCGGTTAATTCAAGCTTAAAAAATGGTCAGACTTGAATTACGCTTAATTGAACCCACCTGAATGGGCGGAAACATTGGTTAGGATATCTCTGATCACTTCCTGGACTGTGTTATATCGTAGCTAAACGCATTCAAGACCAAGAACTGTACGGGAAATTACTATACGGTGAATACATAGGACCCTTAATCTAAAAGTGGATCTACACGAATTGCCCAGGCCCGAATATATACCAGAGCCGTGTCAATTAACATCTGGTTGAGATATAAAAGGAGGACGCCAAGTAACCTTATTGTAAACTTATAAGTTGAACGTATAAAAAAAGAGATAAATTTTAGCCCCTAACTACCTAACGTTAGTACTCGCTGGTTGGTGATTATTTCTACCGAGCGACTAAGCTCTATCACTCTAGAACATTCATTAGTCCCGGTAGTGAAAGAGCTTGGTATAACTTTAATTCTAGCTCCATTTATATAGTGTAGGTTCCATGACGTTATACATGGTATAGCATACTAGCTTAGCGGTATTACGGAATTAGCCTCACTCGTTAGTTCCTTGAGCTGTCATCCCCCTCGACCTCTTCCACTTACATAAGGTACCTAGGTAGGTAGGGTAGGTAGGGTAGGTAGATAACAGCACTAACTTGAATAAGCGGTACTAAGCTCCCGATTGCGTTGAACTTCAATGTCATAAGATTCATTCATGTTCGACTGTTGTCTTATTTTATCAAGACTTGACGCCAACGCAAACGTAATAGCCCACCCAGAGTTGTGAGCAGTCCAACTGTGGGGGAACAACACTTTATCAGCTATAGTCCTCATCTACATAGTATAGAGAAAAATTGACTTACACCGACAGCAGGATTCCAATTGTAGAACTGCTTCAATGTGAACATATCACCGTAATTATCGACGATTTTCTGGCAAGAGTCCCCAGACTGGACGAGATAATAGGAGTTGCCTAAGATTGAGTTGTTATCAACGAATAATCCATTGAAAAGGGGGGTTGTATAGTTGATAGGGGCCATTGTAACACGATAGATGAACTTAAATGCTTACAGTTTGCCGCGATACCTGTCTGTGTCGGTGTAGGCCCAGTCGCAGTGCTAGTCGTAGTCGTACTCGTTGCTGCGGGCCGGCTTGTGGGCGTCCCGGGGAACCGACGCACACATAATAACCGATGAAGAGTTGGGAGCAGTCCGAACCGACAGCCGGGTTCCACGAGAGGCTATATCATTTTGCACATTAGACGTATTCTCAAATAGTTACGAAGTTCTTATATTATATCTCGACAGGTATAGAAACTTACAAGTCTTTGAGGGTAAATGTGCCATAATTGTCAACGATCTGCGAACAAGTGTCTCCTGACTCGACCTTGTAGTAAGATGTACCTAAAATATTTATCAGCATATATTCCTTAGCGAGATGATTGGGCCGTTAGGTTTAGCTATTATATGTTCCTCGAGGAAGCTTACAGGTTGAAATGATTCCAGTTTGTTCCGGTTGAGGTGGACCCGTAGTGGTAGAACTAATCGTAGTCGTAGTCACGCTCCCACTCGAGGTTGTTCCCACGCAATAATAAAATCCAAGAAAAAGCTGGGAGCAGTCTGAACCGACAGCCGGATTCCAGCTATAGCTATAAAATGAGAGTTAGCTTTGGTAGACTCGACTAGTTCTGTGAACAAGATAGAATTTACAAGTCCGTAAGAGTGAAATTTCCGAAATCTTTGACGATTTTTTGGCAAGTATCGCCTGACACAGCCTTGTAGTATGCGTCACCTTTGAGATTCTCAATTAGCTTCTGTAAATACAGTGACAATATATACATAAACTTACAGTTGGAAGCAATGCCAGTCTGGGTAGGGGATGGCCCAGATGGTGCTGTAGAAGCCGTTGAGGTGGCAGTACTAGACGTCGTGGTGGTGCTAGTGGGTGGTGGTCTACCATCATCCCACTCAATACAGTAATTGGTATCGACTGTGAGATCCTTGGTGCAGTCGACACCTGGGTTGTAGCTTTGAAACTGGGTTAAGGTGATCCCCCAATAACTAGCAAGAGATGAGCAAGTATCACCAGTAGATGCAGCGACAGAAAATGTGCAGTCTTTCCGGATAAGATAACGACACTGTGCCGCGGACACTAAGAATACTCCCAAAAGGAAGGTAGTGAGCATCATCGTGATCACTGCAAAGATATAATATTTAGGCTGTAGGATCGACGCAAAGAAATACCAATATATATGTAGTTCGGTTATTGTGGAATAATAGGCCCGGCTCAAGTTCAACAGGACAACTGAAGTCAGGGGAACTTCTGGGAACTATCCCAGAGGTTTTATTAGTCTATGCCCTCAAATAAGATAGTCTTATAAGTACTTGAGATTATTCATCTAAATATACAAGTTAAATTCTTTGAGATTCTTAGAACAACTAACACATTATTGAAGACATGATACCACCCTTGAGTTAGCCCCTTTCCTAATGTTAACTCGGTGAGGTGAGACTAGAAGTTAAAAGCCTCAATGACGGACTAATAATCTACCAACATGGATGACTGAACTAATTCAACATAACCACACGACAACCATGAGTTAAATTAATTAAGCAGCTGACGTTGTTCACTTATTCAGCCGCCTGGTATTCACGTTGTTGGGGGAAGGCTAGCTGGCCTGTTTTCGAAAGAGACATTTTTAATCAAGCTTCTTGCCATAACAATAGCCCCTGGTTGCTTTACCATTACTGTTGCAGTGCATATATCAGTATTACCAACAAGCAAGCTCACTATCTGACCAATCTCCGGCTAGTTAACCGCAAATGGCTTATTTGTTGGGAGCACTGGTATAATGTGTAAGCGCTATCGGGCCATCCTAACTGGTATGCGGTAGAGAATCTATAATATGCGTTTATGCGACTTTCCTATATCGCGGTATCACGTATAGAAGGAAGTTGTTTCTATTGTCTCAATATCTAATTCGACATCTCTAGCTTGGAAGCTACACACTTGTCTTACACATCTTACACTCCACAGTCGGTATCTTAACGCTAGACATCGATGTAATGGCAGAGAACCTTCAAAACATCCAACCTGGGACGGACATATCCCCTCTATGGGGAGCTTTCCCCGCGGAACAGTATCTCATTGTGAGTAGTTCTCACCTATCTCTATCTAATTAGGTTCTAACATGTGCTTTTCCCCTTTTAAGCGTCATTGGGATTTCTCATCAACGCTATCCGCAGCTGACCAACGACGTGATCTGGTCCGAGCCTATCTCCAGCTTGATTCAATCCCCAAAGATTGGGACGCAACGGGTCGGGTCTACCTAACTACTACAATCGCGCGTATTCCCACAGAACATGAGATTCGCGAGATTCTTGTACCTTGGAGATCTCTTCGCTGGCGCGAGGTAGCCCTACACCTATGGAGGGACCGTAATGATGAAGAGATCTGGCTACGCACGTATTATAGTCAAGGCTCGGATGAAAAGTTTCACGAATTCCGAGAAACTGATGAGGATTATGACCCCGCATTTGAGGAGGATTGTCGTACGTGGACAATTCTTGATGATCAGGCTTTGTTCGAGGGCGATTGGTCTACTGCATTTGATGTACTACCTGAGCTGGCAGGCCCAACACCAAACTATGATCCATATGTCCACCGCCATCTAGGAAATCCCGAGGAGCTCGAAACATTGCGCCAAAAGTTGCGTGAGTCAGTGGCCTCGGCTCTTCGACTTGAAGGAGAGGGCAACACAGCCGAGCAGCTGAAGATTGACGATATTGAAGCTGGTGCCGCAGGTATGGCGCTACAAGCAAATGTTGTCACAAGTTTCCTCTTTGTTGTTGATGCTAAGGCTTTTGAGACGGAGAAGCTTGCGGCTGTTGTATCTTGATGTACGAGGTAATATTGTGCGCGAAACACGGGTGCCGTGCACAGAAACGTGGGAGATGCGGGACGCGTGGAGCGCAAAGAAGTTTCGGGATAGTCCGTTCTGGAATGACCGGGATAGGAGTGAATGGGGCGTGGCAAACGACCCTGGAAGCGTTCTGGGTGAGAAGTACAAGTTCTCGGGAGAGATTGGGCGTGTACTTTACAAGCTGGACTAAGTTCAAATTTTGAACTCTCGTCTGTCGTAAATAAGAGGTAGTTAGTAGGCATACATAGAGCGTTTACAATTGATTATCCACAGCGTAGATCTGCTGGGGTCTGTGCACTCTCTCGGATTATCCTTTCAGGTGTTAGAAAACCTCAATATTAGACCATGTGAGGTAGCTATAGTAGTTAAATACTTGAAATCTTAGATAAATAAAGCAAATATAGGTATGATAAGTATGTCTTTGTCTCGATATTCCTATCAATATTATAATGTTTTCTAGTAGGTAAGATGACACTGAACTACCCAACATATCGCCAAGGAAAAAGTCCATATCGTTTAATTACATAATCGGATGAACGGGGTTCTCCCCTTTTCCCCTTTACCCCTTTTCAGTCCGACAGACTATCACTTAGGCGCCAACACAAACATAGTAGCCAAGAAATAACGATTCGCAACTATCACCCACGGCAGGATTCCATCCATAAAACTGTATCATTCTTTCATCAGCGGGTACGACACGTATGAGGGATAGAAAAGTAGCAAGCGACAAAATAAGAGCACAATTGAAGACACCAGTATATCTTACCTGGGTCAAGGTAATCGAAAAGACATCAGAAATCTTCTGGCAGGTATCCCCGCTCAAGACTTTATAGAATTGTCTGCAGCCGGCAATCATACCGGGTTGATATGGTGTCGGCGTGGCGCCGGGCGCGCTACTGCTGGTCGGTGTCCCCGTGATATATGTGCTACGGTCCGGGGTACACTGGGAGGGGATGCGACTGGGCGAGGGCGGCACTGGGGCACCGGGCGTTGGAAAACAATACTCGTCCATCAGGCTTTGGCAGCCCTCGGTATACTCCTCTTCGTCAAGATAATCAAAGTCGTCGTCGGTAAGCCAACAGTACTTCGTCTGCTGGGCTACTTCAGACGCAAGTGTCTCGTTGTTAGAGGCTGTACTTGTTATGGAGGCTGTGGCAGTCGAGTTGAATACCGATGAATACCATGATGTGGTAAAGTTGGTGGTCGGAATCATGCCTGTAGCGGGGATCCAATTGGTGATGAAGGACGAATTACTAAGTGACAAAGTATGTTAGATGGTACCAATAGACTAAAAGGCTTTCTTTTTTAGTTACTTACAGTGTTGGCAGAGGCGCATGGCTAATGGAAGAATTATATTCGAACGTCCCACCTCCTGGTGGCCTTGATGCAGAACAGTCGTCAGTTTCTATTGATCATCACGATATAATACCATGACTACCGAGGTCTTGAGCTTTCATATTTGGATGGAGATTAATAACTTACGAGAGACAGATGCTGCGTCCTTCCATAGATGCAAGGTTGTCACAATTGGTATGAATTGTGCTGCCAGAATGTCAGCATGCGAATAAAGTGAGTGGCTTTGTAGGGTAAATACGGGTTCCAAGAGACTAGCTGAATAATCGTGAACGATTTACCCTTTAGTATTCCATCGCAGGTCTCATTGCCCCCCAGAGTGTAAATCGTGCAGGTATCCTGTAAGCACAGGGACATGCCCGTCGAAAGCGCGCTGCAGTTGTAGTCCAAATGGTTGCGATTTATCATGAGATCAGTGCCTACTCCATTCCCCTTGGAAACAGATTGGCACGTATCAGAAGACTGCACGGTGTACGTTTTCCCGGTACAGGTCGGAGTAGATGTTGCCGTCGTTGTGCTATTGTCCGTCTGTTAGTTTTCTATTTCAATTTGTGCGGGTAGAAATCCATGATATACGGAATAACGAGGGGAAATTTAACTAGGCTACTTACGTTCTAGTTGATGTCGATGTTGTTGTCGAAGAATACGTATAAGTATAGCTTTTCGGATCTGCACTGCAAGATGAGAGTGTAGAAGAAAACTTGTCCGGACTGAGTTTCGCTCTCCCATAATCTGAGCTTAGCATTGCGGCTCCATACTTGAGGGCACAGTCAGAACACGCCGTTTCATTCCCAGCGTATAAGTCCCAAAGACAAAAGCCCGATCTATTGCTATTAGTGGAGATAACTATAGAAATTCCGAGTATAAAGGATTACTTACGCATCTTTAATACAGGTTAGATTATATGCCCAGCTCAAACCGTCGGCAAGAGCTGCAGCAGACTGAGTATAACTGCTGTTGAGATACAGCGCATACTCCGTGCTGCCACACTTAGCATCGACGCTAGTCTGGAATGTCTTCAAAGACTGATAACAATTTGTTGTGCAATACGTGTTGGCTTCGCTGCTGATGAGTGCTAATCCACTGGCCGCCTGCTCAGCTGTGACGAGATTATTCTCGCCACTATAACCCCGAAATTTAGTAAATTCTTCTTTGGAATTTTTCTGAGGAAAAGCCATCCTCATCAAAGTTACCTGGAAAGGTAGGTAGTAGGTAGTAAGTATAAGAGGTGCTCACTAGTTACACGTGATGTTCTGCACAAGTGCCGCACGGCACGCTGCCGGCACGGCTGTAGGAATAGCAGCTGGTGCGGTCCAAAGTTGAACTGCTTTCGCCGCCGGAAAGAGAAGATTCCCTATAAAGACTACTTCGGTAACGAGGCCCATGATGTTGCCGATATCAATCGAGACTAAGTTAGAGTAATGGATGGATGGCAGGGCATCAAGGAACAAGAGACAGATGTGTGAAAAGCATACCTCAGGTACCTAAGGTACTCCATTCTGAGACCTAAGCACGGAGTATGTTCTTGTGTTGTGACAGATATAGTGATATATCTCATTTTCCGTTAATACTTACTCCCAGCGCTGCTTACGTCCGTTTCGGTCAAAGCATTGAAGATCGTACAAGCCGTTGTGGTCAGCATGCAATGTGATGAATAATATTACCAACAAGAATGTAACCAACAAAAAACGTCCAAAGTCATCTACAACAGCCTGTGACCAATTGACGCCCTGGCAATACCGTGTTGGGCTTACTTCTATAGTCTTCCTTATAAACCCTAGCTATCTAGTTGATATAGGTATAGGTATAGCTACCTTCTAGTCAGACACACGTAACATCTAACCGGACCTCGTTATACTAGTAATAAAGGATTAAACACTAGAAAACGCATATGAGCATTGCTAATTTAGCGAACTCTACGGCGATATGACATTGCACGGTATTTGATCCTTCTAGGTGTGAAGATAATTAATCTCACCGTGAGATTTCGGATCACTCCGAATATGGTTCAAGAGGGACGTGAGATTTGTAAATGTGTAATGTGATGAAGATAGATATCGTTTATACCAACCGAGGTAGGGGTATGTTCACCATTGGATACGTTCTATACCTAGTAGATTGGAATACCCGCCGGAGGTCGACATATATCAAATTATGGCTAAAATTCCCAGTTACGGCTCTTCGCTTTCTTCTTCTCATTTCTACTTATTATGTCCTTCAGTTTTATCTGCTAAGTTTATACTAGGACGGAAGTACGCCCAATATGCCCTTGAAGATGGCACGGCATGATATAAGTCTTTTCTTCATAGACTTGCAGAAGTCCTTTAGTCTAAATTTACTGCTTATGATAGTCATTCTAGCAGCCTTTTCCCTTTCACAAGATGCACCGCCTGCTTCAGGAGGTACATGCTCAGACGCTGTGCCGTGTGTGTCTGGGTGCTGTAATTCCAATAACGCATGTGGATTCGGCCCCAAATACTGCAGTCCTGAAGCTGGGTGCAAAAGTAACTGCAATGCCACGGCAGAGTGCGGTCAATATGCTGCAGAAGCCCCTGGAGATTGTCCTATAAACGTCTGTTGCAGGTATATATAATCCAGTGTCTCGGAAAAGGGGTCTTTGCTTAAGTGCCTAACCTAACCAACCCTAAGGAAAGGAGGTCGGTAATGGCGTGTGATGAATTATCGTCAGCTAACATGTGCTCCCTTTATAGTCAGTATGGATTCTGTGGTGTGACAGATGAATTCTGTGGCGATGGCTGTCAGCCAAATTCGGATGGTAGTGGATGTGGTGCTGCTCCGTAAGTACGATGCTTCGAGAGAAAAGCATGATATCTACCTGGTAGTTTACCTGCTGATGGAATCCTAGGCGGCCAAAGGACTGTACAACGAATACCGATGCGCTTTCCTATGAGCGCCGCATTGGGTACTATGAGCTATTCGCTACCCAGCATGACTGCAATGTCTTTGAGCCTGAAGATATAGTAGTTGCTGGTCTAACACATCTGAACTTGGCTTTTGTTAATTTTGGGGACGACTTTAAATTGCAAACGGGCGATGGGAGCCTGATTTATCGCTCATCGCTTCTAAAGGTCAACAATCCAGGGTTACACGTCTGCATATCAGTTGGGGGCTGGGATTTTAATAACCCTCCCGACCAGACTCTTTGGTCAGATAGTGAGTTTCAAGAATGAGATCCGTCTCCATAGATTTGTTGTACGTGAGAGGCCTAACTGACTATATCAGTGGCTAACGACTACACGAACCGACAGACGTTCATTAGCTCTGTCGTGGACTTTCTTAAAAAGTATGGGTTAGATGGCATCGACCTTGGTAAGATTATCATCTTCTAAATATGTCGTATCTTCTAATAGTATAACTCGTGAGCAGACTGGGAATACCCCTCTGCGAGTGATCGTGGCGGTATCCCCTCGGATGCAGACGCCTTCGTGCTGTTGGTGTCGGATCTACGCGATGCATTCGACTCGGAAAACCCCGGATGGACTATTTCGGCAACGCTGCCAACCAGTTACTGGTATCTACGAGGGTTCAACGTTGAGAGTATGCAAAAATATGTATCATGGTTCAACTTGATGTCATACGACCTAGTAAGTAGCTCACTACGCTAGTATTCATTCCGAGCATCTTGAAAATGTAGAAAAAGGAAGGTCGTCAAAATTTTATCCTAATATGAGGTTAATTTTTTATTAGCATGGTACTTGGGATCATGACAATAAGTGGACTGGGCCATATCTCAAGGGACATACAGACATCACCGAGATTGACTTAGGGCTCGATCTTCTATGGCGCAATGGCGTCGATCCCGCTAAGGTAGTGTTCGGTATGGGCTTCTATGGGCGTTCATTTACTATGGCTGACCCTAATTGTTACGAACCTAACGGCGTTTGTGAGTTTACTACGGGTGGCCGAGCCGGTACCTGTTCCGACACGGTGGGTATTCTCACGTATCAGGAGATTGCGGCACGCAATAGCAGCTGTAAGTTACTTCTGGACTCATCCTGAACCTATATATTCAGATAATAGCATAAGAGATTGGCTATGAGAAGATATTACTGACAGCACCTTTTGCTAGTGGATGTACAAACATTCTATAACTCTACCACTACGGTCAAGTTCAACGTATATGACGGTGATCAGTGGATCTCGTATGACGATGAGGAGTCATGGAATGATAAAAAGGCATTTCTCCAAGAGATGCTTGAGTGGCCTAATGATTTGGGCCTTGGACCAGGATAATTCAACATTTGAAGCCTATGATGGCGTAATGGGAGACACGTCATTGCTAGAACTTGAGGGCAGTGGCCTAAGCCCCGAGGCGACGGCTCAACTTGCCGACCAGTTTGCTGCATATACTGGACAGAACTGCTTCGTGACGCCACGTTGTACGGATGGGAGTCCCAAAGAGCAAGGCCCTCAGCAGGTCTGCCCAGGCGGATATCAAGTCAGTATTTAGAAGCTTATTTCCCCCTTCCGACTTATTTTCTCTGTTTTATTTGCCATAACTACCTACCTACACTATTTATATGACATTGAAATGTCCGAAACAGCTAAATAACACTGCAAAGAGAAATTGCTAATACTCTATTTCTTCCATGTACAGTCCGTCTCTACAGCCCATACACCCAGACAAGCCCAAGGTCATGACTACTTTGGAGAGTGTAGTGAGGGCTGGTGGCGGAATATTTGCTGCCCGAAAGATGCCCTTCCTAAGAACTGCCGCTGGGTAGGTGCCCCAGAGCGTAGTGAGATTGGTTGCTCGGGATCCTGCGGCAGTACCCAATTTGAACTTAATGCGGACAGCTACTTGGATGCCAAAGGCGAGGACAGCTGCTATTATGGCACACGCTCTCTCTGTGTGACTCCACCGATTTGGTCCGGACTGCTATTGGAGTCCATGCCAGGGACCGATCCTGACCAACCCAGAATGTAACGACGGCTATACGTTCGAAGGGTATCGATTAGACAAACCCGATGGCACGCCGTGGTGCTCGGATACGTACGTTTCCCCTGTTGGTGGGACTAAAGGAAGTCCAGTCCACGGTAGTTTCCGAAGTGCGTTGTGCTGCCCAGAAAAGCAAGCCTGGACTAATTGTGAATGGTCTAATAATGTCGGAATATTAGACCCTGAGCATGTATGTATACCTTCGCCCTGTGGAAAGAACAAAATCCAGATCGGAACTGCCCTTGATCCACCCCCATCGCCTGCGCTTGATTCAACATTTCCGTTTTCCTGTGATGGCGTTGTTGCCCCTCCAGGGAGAGATATGCACTATCCTCTGTGTTGTGACTTGCAAAGTAAATACAACAAGAAGTGGCCTGTTGACCCCGAGAAGGTCTTTCAGACATACTATAACAACCCTGGAGATTCGGATGTGATGTGGCAATATAGCGACGAGTACACCAACAATGACAAGGATGACGGCCAGTCAAACTCCGAAGATGGGACCGACGCCTACGGTTTCCTAATGCTCGATGGACCGGAAGGCTCTATCGACAGCAGTTTCTCTACTACAAACACTATTGTCCGCAAGGAGGCGGCAATACCGCGTGTCAAGCGGTCACTTGTGACTTATAACCAGACCGTCATGGATACCGTCTTTGATCATACCGAGGAAACGTTTCAGATCTACTGCAACTTCCCCGTGGGATCAGCCGAGTGCAATCGTCTTTGGATCGACGGAGCTGAGGATACCATTATCCGGATGCCAGATATGTAGGAGAGGGGCCTTTTGCTCGTGTTGTTTCCATTAAGGAACTTGTGGCGGACAAAAAAGACTTCGGTCTTCCTGCTCACCATATCGAACATCGGACTCTGCAAGGAATCCACAACACGAATCCTGTTTATGAGGTCAAGGTTGATTACAACTTCTTGGCCATAACTCCTAAGCGCGATGATGAGCCTGTCTACCTTCGCGTCGATTACACGAATTTGCTGGGGTACTGGGACGAAGTCGAAGCCGCTGACCCTGGAAAGAAAAGGAGTAATATGCCAAACTGGCAGTCACGCGTCAAGCGAGCAGCTGAAAGGGATAGGGCCATAAGGAAGAGGTCGGCTCCGATTAATGTCACAGTTCCTATGGATCCCATTGCCGCTCGTTGTAGTAATGGTAGTGCGGATATTATTACCCGTTCTGTTGATAAAAGGTTGGTGATCTTCTGAAGCCAGTTTCTATATTCTAGCCTTTATCCCTCCCCCCTTTTTTATAAATCTCCACTTTAAATTTTTATCATTAACCTCTTGGCAAACTTGACTTTAAAAGAGTTAACAAGATCGTCTTTATAGGTGGTGGGGAGTAATTGGAGACTGGATTAAGAAGTTGACCACCGTGGAGAAGTCTGATCTGGGCGTAATCCCGTTAGCCTGGGGAGATACTATCAATCTATTCTCAGCTCAATGGGGATGTCCAGGCCAGACCTTCTCAGCAAATCTTAGGATGGACCTTGAAGCTAATATCCAGATGGACGCCACGTATGCATATTACTTCCAGGGCCAATTTATTCCTCCCAAGAGCCCTGAAGTTTATGCGTATCTAGGCATGGAGCCTTCAGCATATGTCGGCCTTCACTTGGTGGGCAATGCCATGATGCAATATACCTCGGGCAGAAAGAAGATTATTGATACGCTTGCATACCCTGGATTAGCTGTTAAAGGCATTGCCGCCGTTGGGCCAACATTGGATGTTTACGGAGAGGTGAGTCAAGTTTGCTTAGTATCTGGTGAAGCTCTCAGGTTGTCATTGTATAGAATCTGACATAATTTTTTTTAGATTCGAGGAAAGATCACTATACATGGCGAAGCAAATGCTGGAGCAACTCTCAACTTTGGCAAAGCCGAAGTATATTGGCCCTCGGATGCCGCAGAGAGCGAGAGTGCCCAACAGTTGCTCGGTCTCGATAGTACGGCCAGAAAGCCTGCCCCCGACACAATCGCGCCGACATTTGAGGCGGGCGTGGAGCTCGATGCACAACTGGATGTAATTGTCACGCCCGAAGCTAATGTAGGGATAAAAATTGGCGGTGGAAGTCTAGTGAGCGCGACTATTATGGATGCGCAGCTTACAGGATATGTCATGGGTGACCTTTCATTCCAGGCCTCGGGCCAGGCGGACACCAACACGGGAGTTTTCCAGTACAGCTATGGCGTTTACGCTTTCTACAACATAGGGTATAAGGCCACGGCCGCTATCTTGGGCCTTATTAATTGGGTAGGTCATTTTTCTCTTGCCTTTATTTGAAAACGCAAATATTAACATCCCGTTCTTCAAAGGCAACAGGTCCCCAACAAGCATATACGCCAGATAAGCGCATTAATATATATGGTCCTATAAGTGGTGAGATCCCACTTCATTCAAAGAGGGGACTTGAAGAGCCGCACGACACCAGCGAAAACATAACCACGGGGTCTCGTCTCAACTTAGTGCCACGAGCCGATGGTGATGATGACGGTCTGTCCCCCAATACCCCTGACTTCACCCAGCAGCTTAGCTGTCCTCTGGGATCATCGGCAGACGTGAAACTGCCAGAACTCCGCTTCAATTGTGACCTCTTCGGCCCCGTGCAGGTATTGCCATTCGGGTCCGGACTGTCGTATCTACAGCGAGGCATGTGCGATGGTTGGAAGACCATGTCGCCGCGCCCCACGGTGCTAACCTACTCGACCGACGGTCCTCGCAACATGGCACGGCGGAACCAACAGTGCCCTCAAGGATACTGTGAAAACGCTCAGAAGCAACTAAGTGATACTACAGGACGTGACGGTAGTTCCATAGGAAGGTTAAAACCTTTACTCGAATGCGACGAAGCGCCTTGGGCGTCAAGCGAGGAAGGGGGAGACTACTTACCAAGTAACGAGCGCTCGGCTACTTGTGTTCCTGGATATCAAAATGGAGGATGGGGTGGAAGTTCGTGCCAGAGTAAGCTGAGTAATTCTCATAATTACTACCTAACATGTCGTGTGAGCGTATGACACGGTGGGCATATCGCTAACGTACGAAATATAGAGATGGTAGGCGATTTATCAACCAACTGGGGCCAGTTGGACCCAACCCTCGGCCTTGATGATTCACAGAAAGTCGACAATTGGCTCAAATGGAGGGCCGATTCTGATTCGTGGACTACAGTCAAAGCAGTGGGTGCTAACACACAGAGACCGGTAACGTATCCCAACAACCAACCCAACCCTGACGGCATGGCCACTCGGCCAGATTCTCAGACATCATGGTTGTTTCGCCGTAACTATACTTGGTCGCTCGCTGAGGACACAGCCGATGCAAGCCAGTGGTGGGGTGCAACTGGCCGTGCGTTTGTTACCAAATCCTACACTGGGCCTGCTGGATGGGACTCCGTTTGTAAGTTAAACTTCTGTTACTCCCCTTTACTAAAGATTATCTACCTCTAGGTTAGGTAGTTATAGAAGTTTTAGGGGATGCTTACAAAATTGTAGTGTGCGCCCTCAACACTTTTGGTCAGGATAATCTTTTTAAGATAGATGTAACTTCTGGTTACAACGGTTACTGTCTCCGCGGACCCCAGTACACCACCAAAGGCTGGCAATATGTTTACCACGCCGCGCAGTGTAAAATCACATTCGGCACGGTGACAAAAAGGAGTATCAACGGCAGCGAGGCAGTGGATGTTGAAGACGAATGGGGTGTTCGGGGTAAGTTCATCCTGATCTATTTAGGACCTACCCTTTGTCTTCCTTATTTATTCCTTATTATTTTATTGTCTCGGGACGACCGCTACTGATATGGAAAATAGATATTAAATTTGTAGACACGCCCGAGGATGAGAAGCTCTCCTTTGCGGTCCCGGTCGCTGAGCCCAACCCGTTAAACGACATAGACAACCCCGTTATGGAAAGAGGGAGATCGCGATTATAACAGACGATTTTCATGGAGAGGACGTTGCAGATTTCTAATTTTAAAAATATATCAACTATAAAAATTAAATAAGTTTTGATCCTGTTGGATTTATAGGGTAATTGTATAGTTACCTATATAGGTATGTTACGTGTCTTCACTGGGTCTTAATTTACGCCTGGCAAACGAAATGGAGGGGTCGGTATATCGCATATAGTTCTTAAATGGGGAATGAAGATACCTATTCCCCCCTATGTTAACATGCGTCAGTTACATGGAACTCGTAGGACAGATACAAAGCCCATAGATTCTTACCGTAAATAGGCACATTAAGCGACCTCTCCTATAGTATAATTATCTGCTCTAGATCGTTCCAACACACTAGAAGGTCAAGTCGCCCGCGATAGATCCACTTCACAATTCCCATGCCTCCGCACGCCCCCCCAATCGATCCCGTCGAAGAAGATCTAGAATCTATAGCAGAGCAAGCTAACCACTAGGAACAGGGTCCAAGCAACACCCATGTGTGAGCCTCAGCAACGGGACATTTCGCAACATTTAATACGTTAGGTAAGTGTACGTACGTGTAGTGGACGCGCGCCAAGACGTTGCAATCCTGCGGATAACACAATACCGGGTCAAGCTTATTTACCTAGACTCGCATCGTCTGGGCCAGCCAACCAGCGCGGGCGACAGTGCCCGGAATGGTAAAAACCCTTAGTTAGGAACATTTTCGTCCACATTGGGGGGTCCGTGGGGCAATAGGGGTAGCATTCAAGGTAACTGACCATACCGCTAGTCTAGATTATTTGGATAGCTGTCTTCCATAGTTACAAGAGCGGAAACTCTACCTTCTGCTATGATGGAGAATTAAGAATCAATTCTATTCGATTGTCAATACCTTACGTATTCAATATCAACTAAAGACGATGGATAGTAGCCTTTTTTTAGTCCTCTACCAGGGTCTCCACTACAGAAAAGCCTGGATAAACGAAAACGACGCTGTTCCAGCAGCTGTTGATCGGTCCGAGATAATGCAAATGTCCTCATTGATAATACGAACTATGCTAACCTAAGCAAAAGCTCATATCATCCTAAACCCCGCGAATTCTATAATGGGTTGCTCCCCGAGCCCCCGCCCGCGAAATGCCAAGAACGCCGTATTGTGATATCCTCACTGAGACCTGACCGCCGGAAACCGTCCATGTTTTACAAATATAGGCCGTGATGAAATCTCTCCGGTTCCCCCGGTCCGATATTTCTTCTATTAGTTTCGTCATATTGCAAAGGTGTAGAAAACGTTACTCGTCTTTCCGGTGCCAAGAGTTGTCTCCAAGCGAAACCGATCAAGAGTCGGGCGTCTTCCAGGCAGGCTTTTTGCACTCCCCCATTGCGTCAATCCAGTCGTTGATGCCCTTCAAGTGCCAACCACTGACCCATTTGGCTTTAGCATCGCCATTATCAGGCGGCATCTTAGGCGCACCCAATTTAAAGCTCTTTGCCGTACAGCATACATCCTCGTGCCAGCGGTACTGGAAGCAGGATCGATTCCGCTTCTTCTCGTTCATGGTCTTCTTCCACTCTTCCCGGGCTGCAGCGTCGCTAGGTGAAGTGTCCTCAGCAACCTCCGTGTCGTTAGCAGTGCTAGGGGCGTTATCTTCGCGTTCTATGATTCCTCGTATATCCCATTCTTCTTCATCTGGGACATCCTGGGACTCGCAGACCTTCGCACAGTTCTCCCATGATTTCCATGCCTCCTTTTCAACATCATTCATCTCTTCCTCTTTCTTCTGTCGGTCGCGTGAATGCCCATCCGCATGTTGTTGAGCCTCGGGATCTGGATTGAGGTAGCACACATCATCTGAGAGGTTATCCCAGTTTTCTCGCGATACCTGCATTTTTGGTCGGATCAGGCCATCGTATATGTCCTTGATCAGAAGAACGCGCTATCAAGCGGTTAATTTTGAGACTCACGCGTGATTTACCCGAGATTGGACAGGAAAAGAATCAAGGCGATCATGGAAGAGGGGAGATAAAACCACACTTACATCAGTCTTGCGCGTCTGCTCAAATTGCCACACGTTACTGATTTCCTCCGCATTCATATGATGCATAGTAAAAATCGGCTCACACCAATGGCCGGGTCCATAAGGGAGTGTACTCGGCTTTTCACCGTTGATCATGGGCCAAACCTGCCGGATTTTAACCTTCTCATACTCTTCTAAGGCCTGCGCCAGCATCAAGTCACCACAGCATTCATGAGCCCCCTTAACATTATACTGCTTGACCACACCTGGGTGATATTCAATCAAATGCTTCAATAGCGTCCCGCTAAGTATATACCCGGAACCTCCATGGGCAAATGGAGTTCCCCCAATAAAGCTTCGGCTGCCGAGATAGAGTTTCTCACGAGGGTTTAAGCCGGACTCGGTCTTCAGCCAATGTACAATATTGGCCCAGAAGATATAGGTATCAGCCTCAGCGAATATATACCAGTCTCGGCCTGGACGCATCCTCCAAGTCTGTTCCATCATTGGGAGAAATTTGTACTTGTCCAAATTCCACGCCTTTTGTCCGTCCCTCTTCGCATCAACGCATGACTTCTGCGATACGGGGCATTCCTTTTGGTCGCGGTAAAGGTCGAAATCAGCATTGTGGGCCTTGGCAGATTCGTCAACCTCGGCGAGAGCATCGTGAATATGGTAAGGTCCAACTTGTTGTTCCTATGATCCGGTTAGCATCCCTGAATATCTTGAGCTGTAATGTCGTTTCGATGCCGATATTAAAAAGAAAAATAGGATATAAGGCATCGCACCATGTCAGAAAAGATGAGAAAGTCGGGAAGACAGTTCATAGTTGTTAGAAGATGAACGGGCATTTTATCGAAGGTTTCTGTTGCGCCCGTCTTCATTACCAGGAGTATGCCGTCGGTATCGGGAAAACTGGCGCAAGGGTTGCTAGCATTGTAATATTGGTTGACCGTTTCCTCATTCCCTTCGGAATACAATGTGTTGTTGTATACTGAGCTACCAAAGTAGCTCGTGACGCTCTTGTAATAATCACGAGCATATCCGAACGAGGATTCATCCCATTGCGAACGAATATGGACGTAAGTCGCGATTAAGGTCAGGATGGCAACGCTGCCAAAGACCCTTAGCCGGCGAGAACTGGGTGGGACAATCATGATGATAGCAGGCGCCTTGATTGTTGTAAGGCGGGTGGCATTAAGAGGGGAATTATCGAAGCGAGCGACAGGGCGAAAACATTGATAAGGCAATCCCACTTAAACAGGCCTGCGGACTTGTGAGAATTAACGTAGGATCTAGGTAACTGCTACGTAGAATGAAGAATAATGGGGTCGAAAAATCCCAAAAAGAAGTCCCAGGTGGGATGGAAGTAACCTAGAAATCATAACCACAAGTCAAAGGAGAGGTTTGAAAGAGACTTGCGCAAAAAAATAAAATAAAATACGATCTGGACCTTTTGGATAGGCAAGTGGAGGTTTGCGCTTACCTACATGTACAGAATATACATGCCATACATCTAGGTACCTAGATTGACCTGACTGGGTAAGAGGTACGAAGGCACTTTAGATATGTAGTACAGCAAGTGCTAACAAGTGTTAGGTAGAGAATACTGCAGGCATAGCTTGTACCTAGCTTAGCGTCCTGGCGTGTTAAAAAAATAATAATATCTAGGCCTGCTAGGAAGACCTTGCGACGAGTATTGATTAGGCCGGGTTACCCGGTCTGGATCTGCGGTCGTACTTTCAAAGTGGAGATATACGGATGGTTAATGCCTGAGTAGGTTAGTTATTTCTATTGTCATCAGCTCGTATCGTCCTACAAATGACAAGAAATTAGGAATACATCAGCAAACCCCCCATTACATATGTAGGTGGTATGCATGTAAAAAAAAAAAAAAAAAAAGTATTTAAGATTTTCTGTACTTGATTGATACATGTAAGTCTATTGTACGCGTATGTCAAATTGATCTGCCTATATACTTTCCATTCCTATTATTCAAAATGCTAATTAAAGAAGTGATGAGGCGGCAGGGCGGGTAGCAGTTTATTACACTAATGCCGTGCTACCCACGGTCTCAGTTGTCCCCGGCCATCCCCGTATCATCAGCTCCAACCGCCAGTCGCACCCCTTGCCGATGTTGCTAGATTATGTCATATGTTTTTATTCGCGTCTTTGAGGTCTCACAATCGGATCACCTATATGAATGAGTAACGAGGTTCATACGGATAAAGTATACTATTAAATATTTCTCGCTACATCCTAAATACCTATAATTAACCAAATCCCAATTTCTCAAAAGTAGAGTAACCCTTAATAGCCCCTAACTAACCTTCAAAAGCTGCACGTCATAATCATACACAACATCGAAAAACTCAACACCACCCGTCACCAAACATTAAGTTCGACATTGTTAAGGTTTGACATTTAAACCCTAACTACATGTAGATATGCTTATTATTTAGTTTTTAATATGCTTCGTAAAAGCTGGGGAGAAAATACCTGTGCGTCATGATTCTTTCAACGCCAAGCGCTTAGTTTAATGATATACCCTATCATATACGAGATAGGAGGGATGACTATAACATTTCTAACCTACAAGAGCCTATCCATATTTCTAGTTTTATTAAAGCTGAGATGATTTTTATACGACGTCGCATTGCGTAACTTTTATAAGAGGTATCTAAAATGTCAATAGAACGAAAACGAAGCTGTTAACCTAAGGATTGCCAGGGTTTCAATCACGAATCCTGATGGTTTCAAAATGCGCCGTTTCTCTACCGAATTTCGTAAGATCTGTCTTGATCTAAATCTGAAAGCTGGTAATATCACGTGAATCAAGATATTAGATCTCTACAGTATCTGAAATTAGTATATACTGTAAGGTAGATACGGATCTAACTTGGCTTAGATAAGTGCTACATATATGCATATATGAGGTAAGCAGTTAATATGTATGGTCCAAGCTTTGCGGAGCCCCGTCTACCCGTAACTTGACGCGGTTCACGCCGTAGCTTCTATCTTCGCAGCTTGTGGGCAGGTCTGCATGCGGTAATCGCGTCACTCTCCCGCACCTCACGGTCCTCACCCACAGGTCCTCACCTACCACACCACCAGAGAAAAATCACAATTACACCTGACCTTACCTTTTCACTCCATTCGCATCTATAGGCGCAAATATCAACCACTATATTCTAGATCGTGTTATCACCTATACCTAGCCCATACCCTTATAATTGGTAGGACACTATCGTATAAGCTCTCCATTTCGCGATATCTCCAATTCCGACAAGCTCCATCATAACAATTACAATCCAATAACAATTCCATACAACTACTATCACAATGGCAGAGCCAACTCCAACTGATACTACTATATTATCAGCCATCCCATCTGCTGTCGCATCAGCGGTCGCATCAGCTGCCGGTACTCCCCAGTCTCTACCTCCTATGGATCCTGATGAGCGCGCCAAGTCCTTGCATGTGTCGCTGGCCGACCTGACGGCGAGGGCGAACGCGCTGTATGCGCAGAAGAAGTATGAAGATGCAGCCGAAGTCTTCTCCCAGGCTACCGAAATGCAGGCCGAGATCAATGGCGAGATGGCCCCCGAAAATGCGGATATTCTATTTCTTTACGGTCGCAGCCTCTTCAAGGTTGGCCAGAGCAAGAGCGACGTCTTAGGTGGAAAGCCCACTGGCGAAAAGAAGTCTAATGGTGCCGCGGACAAGAAATCGAAGGGGAAAAAATCTCAGACCGAAGTGTCGACTACCAATACGACCAAAAACGAGAAGACCGAGGCGGAGGGAAGGGCTTGCTAAGAATGGAAGTGAGAGCGAAAAGGTACCTGATGCTAAGAAACCGCTTTTCCAATTTACAGGTGACGAGGAGTTTGAGGACTCGGACGAGGAAGAGGAGGCTGAAGGCGAGGAAGAAGAAGACGATGATGATCTGGCTGTCGCGTTTGAGATTCTAGACTTAGCACGTGTGCTTTTCGAGAAGTCTTTGGAACGAGAAGAGGAAGACACTTCAGAAGGGAAGGGAAAGGAAAAGGTTGAAGAGGATAGCCCTGCCGTCAAGCATATCAAGGAACGACTTGCAGATACCCATGATCTTCTAGCAGAGATCTCCCTCGAAAATGAGAAGTACGATAACTCTCACTTGTCACCTCTATTCGCCTACTTGTACTAACAGTAGCATAGGTATCCACTAGCAATTAACGATTGCCGTGCCTCTCTAAAGTACAAAGAGGGTCTCTATTCTCAAGAGTCAGAGGTGATAGCCGAAGCACACTTTAAACTTTCGTTGGCTCTCGAATTTGCATCCGTTACTACAAACGCTGAAGACGAAGCCGGTGCGGGACCAAAACCAGTCGACGAAGACTTGCGGAAAGAAGCGGCTGAAGAGTTGGAGAAGGCTATCGCGAGCACAAAACTCAAGCTTGACGCCAAAGAGGTCGATCTCGCGATGCTCCACGCGCCTGAGGATAACGACGCTACACGGAAGCAGATCGCCGAGGTTAAGGAGTTGATCGTGGACATGGAGCAACGGGTGAGTTTTTCACTTCCCCGTACACTCCCTAGTGTCGCGGTATGAGAACGGTGTGACAAATAAGACTAACTGCTATCAATAAAGCTTGTCGAGCTCCGAAAACCCCCCATGGACGTCAACTCGGTTCTCGCATCTGACGACACCATGCTCGGAGTACTCGGTACGGCGCTGGGCGAGTCGACCGCGAATAAGGAAGCGAGACTTGAGGAAGCGAAGAAGGGTGCCAAGGATGTATCCGGCCTAGTGCGCAAGAAGGCTAAAGATGATACCAAATCCGAAACCGAGCAAGCGAAGGGGACGAACGGAAAGCGCAAGGCTGAGGACACCGCGCCAGGTGAGGAAGAGACCAAGAAAACTAAGGTCGAAGAACCCACACAGTCCTAACGGCCGAGGTGAAGCAAGCGGAAGGAGTGAGGAAAAAATCGCAAGCTTGGACACCAGAACACACTCTAGCCGTTACTCTCCTGAGTTCTAGGTGGGCTCTCTGGGATCGTAAATAGTCGCTAAAAGGGCAGTCAAAGGGGAGTTGTACATTATTATGTAAAACAAAAGGGCTTCAACGAAGAAGTACCATGGGGTAGGCATATCAAGATCTATACTATCAGACGTCAAAGGCTATGGCAGAAGAAGAAAAGGGGAAGATACGTATGAGGAATAGTGATCCCTGTTCTTAGCTTCCTTAGGTAGGAAGGCGAATCGCATTCTGTGCTATATAATATATTTGCTTTATGGTGCAGTGATACAAGTATTAAGCATTCCCTTCTATAACTTCTATAGGATGTATTGCTACTGACGCTGTGGCTACGAAGGAGTTATTTGCTTACACCTCCAACTACATATCTCACACATAGAGGTATAGATAGATAGTCACCGTAACTAAAAAAAAATTGATGGTAAATATCCTCTAATGATTTTCATTTCTACCAAGCACCCATAGAAACCGCTAAGTAGGTACCTTAACGAACACGCAACTCAGTTGTATCAGCCAGGGGTGTCAACATCAAATCAAAAGAATACAAATAAAAAAAAACCAGCAAAAACCGCAACCAGAAACGCCGCAGAACTCCCAGACAGTGCTTGCTGTTTTGCTATGTGCTGACCGCCCATTGGAAAACGGTGGCGGTAGCAGCATGCTGGACGTACTCATACAAATAGGCTAGGTAGGAAAGGCATTGTCTCCATATCTATGCCTATCCCCCAAAATATTGTAGAAAATGGAAGAGAGGTAAAGAGAAACAAGTGATGTAAACCCATGTCATGCCCGTCGTGCTTTCTTCCTAGAGATGAGACCTTTTTCATCTTGAAATCCGTTCTGCCCCTATTCGAGAGGATTCGCCAACCGTCTCGCCACCGTATATCCGCCGGTATCGCGACGTTGAAAGATAGGGTGACAGGAACCCGGATTCCCCTGATCTAGTCTCGCCTCTTGGAGAGGTATCAGGTTCAGACGTCAGTACAGACAACTCCGTCGACGACTCCTGCGCCACTTCCATAGCTAAATCATTCCGACTCTGCCATCCCGTGCTCCCAACAGGCGTCAGCCCGCGCAAATTCGTCCCCTACGACAGATCGCGACCGGTCGCCATACCTATCGTTGGGCCGGACGCCTTGCCTTTGCCCTTCGCGGCCGCGGAGGATGGGGCGTTGTTCCACGATAGATAGGTGTGGTCACCGAGCTTCCGGGGCTTGATAAGATTCGTGACGAGGAACACTAACGCTAATACGATACAGAAGCCACCGACAACGAGCCACAGAATACCTAGGAAGTTGTTTTTGCCGCCCATGACGGACAGCGTTGTAATGACAATACTCTTCCTGCCCTGGTACTGATCCGTACGGAAATCTGTTTTGGTGTGTTAGTGGGTTCATGCAAAGCTACGGTCAAAATATGCAGGGATAACTTACTATCAATAATATCCATAGAATAGATACCTATTCTCATAGGGCTCGTATCGTTCCGCATATACAGTTTGCTGAAAGTCGGCAAACCCGCTGTACGCATCCACACAATGAAGTGTTCGTCTTCGTGCAAGTTGGGCGGAGGATTTTCAGTAGAATAGTTGCCATCGGGATACCGGATCTGCCAGTTAGGGGGCGGGACGATTCCGGTATAGTCGGTGCTCACCCTGGGCTTATATAGCTCTTTATCCGATTCCCAGGCGATCGAAGTGTTCTTCATAACATAAGTCTCGTTACCCTCTGGACCATTTGAACCTGGTGGGTTCAAAAATATGGGGCTTTGGAACGTGTCGTTGAATAACGAGTTGGCAATCAGGCCACAAGGATAATAAGCTCTCGAGTTCGGATGTGTACCATTAGTTGTAGCTAGGGGCTCGCAATTGGAATCAAAAACATCGACAAGTGAGACATCATCGCCGGCAAGCTGTTTATCAAAGAAGGACTGGACGTAGCGGCGATGATTTTGGTAAAAATTTTCAAGGCGGTAGTAGAGAAGAACTGGAGGGGCCATCTCTTCAGGTATCGCAAATGTCAGAGTGCACTTGGTGAGATTCTGAACAAGGTGGTTGCCATAACTTTGGTTAGTTAAAGAATGTTGCCACATGGCGTTGATTGTATTGTTATCTCTGAAAGATGGAAAGACCAAACTCGTGTCCATTAGTTTGGCTTCGTTGGTAGGAGAATTCCGAAAGCAGTCGGTGTAATCGATGCGAAGTTCTTTAACCTTGAAGACAAGCTGTCAGCAGTGATCCAGACGTTCGCGAAAGAAGGCATATCATACTGTAGAGCTAGCATAAATCAATAGTCCACCAATAGGTGCGCATATAATTCCTATGACGAAGAAGAGCGGAATGACCGTCTTAGGCGTGAGGATTGGCTGCCATGCCTTCAATCGTTGCTGGCGAAACGCGGTATTCGCGGGTCTTCTGCTCTTCTTCTTCTCCTTGGTGTTGTCGATACTCTCGGGGGGCGACGAGTCGTCCATTGTGGACTATTGAGATATGAAATACTTTAGTTCTATGAAATATCGAGGAGAATGATGGTGGGGACAAGGCGTCAGGTAGTTCGCGATAGAGCTGTGATCGGGGGGGGCCTGGAGTTTACGTCGCCCGTCTAATGAGGGACTCGGGACCCGGGGCAGCCGGGAAGTTCGTCGCTCGGTCTCGGAAATTAACACTCAATCGGACATGGAAGCACTAAGTTTCAATATCGTATACACCAGTGCGACGACGAGAATATCGATTGTTGATAACAAGGTAATGTCCCAACGGTACGTTCGAAACAGAAAAGATTGATGTCGCAGACAAGAATCAGCCATGAATCTCCAGGGCTGATTGTCAGTGCGATTGCGTGGCTTAGCCAATGCCAGATACGAACTCCACTCTCCTTAATAAAGCACAGCCACCCTGCACAATTACAAAAGATGGACCCACTTGTAGCCAAGATGTGAGGTACCTATGTAGATCCACACGTGATTACCCCTGAGGCCACAGGAGACATTGTTCGAAGTGTAAACAACGTATTAGGCCAGAAGATTATAACAAACTGAATACCTCGTACTCATACTAGGTGTTATTTGAATATTCTAGGATTCCACTAATATACTAGCTATTTACAATATGAAACTTCATACAAAACATCGAAGGTCCCTACTGCCGCTTCTGGGACTCAATATTCTCTCCACCTTAAGTGATATAGGAAGTCTTAAAATAAGATGTTGTTAGTTTAACGTAGAACTTTCTATATCCCGGAAATTACAAAAACCAAAGGAACAAATACCTAAAACATTGAAGGATATACTTCCCCCCTAAGGTATGTTAAATATAAGAGGTAGCCCGTGTTATAACCGGTAGATACAAGTTTATACGTAATACAACTAACCGAAAAGCCCCAAGCCCTGAGTCATGACACGGTAGCATCAACCCCACTTGCTCAAAGTCGATAGGGGCTAGGAGGCTACGGGGTTTGACTTGGGTAGCCATATTCTATGGTTGATTACTATGTTAGATCATTGTACAACACCTAGGTAGGTAAGTATATTTAAAGGGCTTTGTTCTCACAGATCCAGTAGTTGGTTCTCGAAATTCGTTATGCCCTCAGTTTTCGCTTTTTAGGCATCTTACACCGTGTAAAAAAGAATGGCTTCAGAAATCCTTCTCAAAATTGAGGCTTTTCACTACAAGCTTGAATCCGTGACGGATGAGGCATTCGAAAACTATGTCTGTGAGGTTTTAATTCCTAAATGGGTCAGCATTATGAAGAGGCACAACGTGGTTCGCTATACATCCGTACGTCTTTCTTCCACAATCGTGTTTATAATGGATAGGAGTTCCAACTGACTCAGCACATAGACCATCACTCCCTCGTCCTTTGCCGAGCAATTTGGCCCAGCGCTTGCTAAAATCCGTCCGGATTGGTCAATGTTGGAGGCTCATTTCACTCGTACATATTATGTCCGCAACTTCGACGAAATGAAAGCAATCATAGGCGATCCTGACTACCAGGGGAAGGGGGGCAATATAGAAGTTGGATGGATTGATCCTTCCAAAGGATATGTTAAAGTCGGTTGGGAGACTGTGTATATAGAAAACGGCAAGGTTGTGAATATAGTTCTAGAGGAATGAAGTCTGCTTGGTGAAACTGGCATTTATAGCTCGATCAACATGTCGAAGAGGGGAATATAGGTTCCTATCATTACGGACAAACTACTGTTCCTCTATGATACCTGCGTCCACCTAAGTGTAAGATGATGCATATAGTCTCACGAAGTATATAAAGCCCGAAATGTACATGAGGACCTGCGAGATTGTCGAGCAAGAAACCCTTTAGCTACCGCGATATTTACCTACCTGATAGGTCTTGCTATTTTCGAAAAAGGGAAAGAGAAATTTAACGCGATTATTTCTCGGAATCTTGCAGTAGTGCTTATACGTTACGTCGGTATCAAGAAATGATATATGATAGATTAAATACTATAAGTTACTGCGGTTTCTGCAACGATGTAATTATACCATAACCCCTCGGTGGTATCCAGTCAAGTCATCATCTAGAAATTACCATTTAGTAACATTGGATACCCAGGTACCTACCTGTCTAAGATGCAGGATCCGGCAATTTACAACCCTATAATTGAGATGTATAAGAGTGCTCAGTAATCCATTTCTAGGTACATGACGCATATACGTCTCGCATATTTCAGGTAGGCTGATGATGGCTCCACAGCCGTATTTCCCTCTTATTTGCCCTATACTATTACTAGAGCAATTAGACGCGGAATCACAAATCGTGTATATTATCCCTTCTATTAAAGGGACTCCAAGCCTTATCACATTGCATCAAGCGACAAAGACGTTAAAGGGAGGGGAACATCAAATTGCTATACCAAATGGCGTTAACCTAAATATGAATATTAGGCCGTTTTAGACTATGTCCGCGCGGACCAACTGAATGCCCCTCGTTTCGTATACCGCAATTATCTCAATATTGATGCAGGACTACATGATAGAGGTATTTAGCGATGAGAATGTGGCAATGCTAGATCTATAAAAAAACACACACACAGGGATAGCATAATAGACATCTGGTCGCATTTAGATCAGCGAAGTGTGCTGGTATAACTCTGACCTACAACATTATCAACTCCTTCGCCGGAATCTGTTATTGCGGTATAAGACTTCATATAGATGCATCGCCGTCATGCCTTGACGCCAGCGTTTGTCTTAGGCGCGCCGTGACTTTTTGATATACCAGCCTTGGCACTAATCCACAATCATGTCCCGGCACAGGCCAGCTAGGTCGTGGGAGATTGATATCAGCGCCACTGTCAAGCAACAATTCAACAATTTCCTCATGCCCCAACTCCATGGCTAACTCGACGGGCCGACCGCATGAAAACCAGATCGGGTCTTTCCCTATGTTATACTCATATAGATCCCAAAGCAGACCATGGTAGCTGGCATTGACATCTGCCCCGGATGAGAGCAGCAGCCGAACTAGGTCCGTATTGCCTTTCTACCGCACGGACGAGTGGCGGTATAAATTCCTCCGATTCCGTCCGGTCGAAGAAATAGCAGCCGTTATCTTGGGGGTCCCAAGGAAGAGGCCGATCTGCTTCTTCGAATTCGCAACGGACGTTATTTTCCAGTAGAAGTTTGACCATTGGGATATCCTGCTGATATACGGCGAGGCCCAAAGCTCTCGTTGAGGCTACCCGATCAGTAGCTCGCACCAGGGCTTGGACGATTTCTCGATTCCCTTTTTCCACTGCCCTAACTAATGCAGGCCCTCCTTTATGCATTCCGCGGACGGCAAAATTCGGAAAATTCGCATCGGCCCCCTTTTCGAGGAAGAGCCTTACCAGAGGGAGGTTTCCTTCCTCCGCGGTCCATTCTAGTGGACTTACTCGCTTGGCACCAATCCTTATGTTCAAATCCATTCCATATTCCAACAGTTGTAAAACAGCACGATCGTGTCCGGCTTGCAATGCTACCTCGAGTACGTCTTGCTTATGGGTTTGACTAGGAATAGTGGGGTTTGCGCTCTCATCAATCACTGCACTGTCATGCTTTAGGGGTTCCACGTGTCGAAGAGGGACTGGCTTTTGTGCCTTAGTGAGGCGATTGTATAAGTCGAATTCACAGCGATCTTCGTCCTCTCGCACAATTGCTTGATGGGACCCCTGAGATGGAGAATTGCTAGTCCTAGGGGCCTTGGTAGATTCAAGTGAAGTTATCCAGTGAGATACAAAATCGTCCTTCTTCTCAGGAGGGTCGTTAACTCCATATTGCTTGAAGGAGCTGGAAACAAGTTTAGGGCGGAAAGTAGGCGTGTACTTCCGTTGAATGAGTTTATTCCAATCCATGCCGTCAAAAAAGGGATGAGATTTGACCTCTGAGGCACCTTCATTAGCCCCTAAACGCTGCTCGGGGTCGCGGTCAAGAAGCTTGGTTATCACATCCTTGGAAATAGGAGAGAAGGACTCGGGAAACCAGATACGTTGAGAGAGAATATTTTGGTGTATCTTATTGTAGTCCTCGTCATAGAATGGGGGTAGCCCTGTCAATATTTCGTAGAGGAAAACTCCTAATGTCCACCAGTCTGCTGTCCTGGATACAGATTGGCCAAGAAGTAATTCCGGTGCTGGATATTCAGGTGCCCCATGGTTTCCGCTCTTGATATCAGAATTGAAAAGACCGAAGCCGCATAGAACAATATGACCCAATAAATCAAGAAGAACATTTTTAGGCTTCAACCAGGAGAATACCTTACGAGTATCGTGTAGATATTCCAATGCACAGATAATCTCGGCAGCGTAGAGCCGTGATATATCGACATCGAAACATCTGACCTTCTGAAGTTGACTGAAAAGGGGCCCGCCGCCAATGTATGGGGAAAGGAGGATTAAACCCTCCGATGATTCGAAAGCAAACGAAAGCGGCGCTATAAAAGGATGGCTGACCTGGTAATCCCAAATGCTTTCCAATTTAGGTTGAGAATTAAACTGGGTTGTTCTAATCTTTGATTCGGCATATACCCGCTGGGTATCTTTCTTAATAATACCGGAGGTCCATACACCGAAGACGGGTCTTCCACGCTCGAAATCCCTCTCTTCTAACGCTCTATTTCCAGGGTTCGTATATTCAAAGCTAATGCGTAGCTTCCCCCTACCATCTTGTAGTTCCAGCCAACGTGCTTCGGACTGGTCAAGTGTGTCAAAGGGGTTTACCCGTGCTACACCCAGACAAATATCCTGACTCTTCAAAGAGTGACTAGGATCTCGAATGTAAAGATATATTGTCAACTCAGAAATGCTCGAAGCGTCAAATTTACATATCGCAAACTGGGACACCCATACGGGATTTTCAGTTGTCCCCCAGTAGCATTCGAGAGTCGCCTGAGATTTTTCATAATCTAAAAGCGCATACGGATAGCATCGCCCAGACACGAGGGCGGCGCCCCGCATGATGATTATGTTCCTCGCCGTTAAAGCGTTCCTTGTAATTATCCGCTACGGAAAGGCCGACGCCTTCATAAAGTGTTACTGTCAAAATGCCCCCTGGGCTTGGTGTAAAAGTTGATGGGCTACTCAACTTGATAGGACCGATGTCCGTCTCACTGATTTCTATGGAAGGGCATCAGCCACATAATAGGTACGTAGAATTGACAGGAGTTAACGTAGTGATAGTACCTACTTCTAGATAGTTTATAATTCATCTTGATGCTCACGTTCAACCATGTTGTGAAGCAAGAAAAATCTAGGGGGCTGGGGTCAATGGCATGTTCGGCTGTACGCAGCGAAAACATACCCCTGTAATTATGCAGGGTCTTGGCAGATTTAACGCAAGGTATGCATATTTTATAACAAGAATAAAAGGGCACGATATCATGAATACTTAGACTCGGAATATCCGAGTTGAATATACGTGCTGCAATTTCCTTCCATCCCGAAATCCAAGAAGCGCAGTCCAGTAAAAACTTCTGGAGATATTAATTGTAAGGCTAATGCCTTGTGCATATTTTAAGTAAACCTATTGACAACAACGTAACCTATAATGATCTGTTACCCGGGATGATAGCATTTGGGTAGTATGGCACGAGTCCCCAGAAAGACGACTGCCACAATTTATATCAAAGCCCAGGAAGTAAATAGCGGCAATATATCTTGATGCTCGTAAGAATCTAAACGTTAATGCTTTGACTTACAGATTCTTTTCTCTTATTAGAGTCGTAAGTATCATCAATACTACGAGCTCTTGGAAGCGTGAAAGACTCAACGATATCTCATGATAAGGTTCATAATAGATACCTGACTCGAATAGGAAGTATATTAGACTTTGAGTCGAATGAATAATCGTTCATTTAGACCGTGATATCTATCTACCTATTATATGATTCGACAAATCTACGTCAAGTATTCTCGTCTGAAGTATTCATGATATATTCTAGAACGTAATTGAGTACCCCGACTATGGGGTGGGATGTTTTAGAGACGAAAATAGGTATTTTTAATTCTTGAAGATGTTGTTTAGTAAATTTATCAGTGTAGCGAAGACTATGAGCTACTATAGCCTTACGACTTCAATAACAGGTAGGTAGTTAGTCATTTTCATATACTGGTATAACACTTGAATCGAGATGAATAGTTTCAAAGATGCGAACAGTCTATCTCTTAAAGCCATACGGTGTATGTTTATTGAATGTATATAGGATTCATCACCACAAGGCTTCCGTATTAGGTATGGGTTGCTTTCAACTAGAGAGATAAGCGATAACCTATGGAGTATGTAACTGCAGAGTTACAACGCATTACTACCGACGGCAATGAAGTTTCTGATGCATTTCGTACCTACCCACTTAGGCATGTCCATATGATCTATCTCGATCTCCAACACTTTCGGCAATACTCTCCCACGCTGTGATGTCAAGCCCGAAATCCCATATAGGAAGAAATGTGGGCAAGCCGTAGTAGGCACAGGTCCACATCATCAATCTCCACCTAATCCCGAAAACAAGCAAACCATTAAAGTGGACACTCCGCTGAGATACCCTTGTGATAGGAAGTTCTTAACTGATATAGGCATGTATGAAGTAAATGATCTTAAGGGGTCTATAAATGATCTTAAATCTAGATCTTAAATACCCTACTATACTTCAAATAGTCCAATCATGTATACATAGTACCATAGTTAGATTAAATACATATGTAGAAGCGTGAGTAGATCTGTGTGACGTCAGATAGCACGATCCATGTGACCCCCCATTGGGCGCAGCGGGTGCCAGCGGCATGCGCAGGTTGCAAGCGGGTACATACGAATTAGGCAATAAAATATCCCAACTCTGCAACTCTATTGGCTAACCACTCGTACCACCCTTGGTCGTTTTGTACCCCGTCCACCTCAGTGACAGACATCATTCAATTGAAGAAAAAAAAACCCCCTTTAATATTATCCTAAACCTTCAAGGGATATGCTTGATTACCTATGTGCTTAACCGTCCAATATTAAAGCTTCTGCTATTAACTTACGTTTTCATTTACTCTTCATGTACATATTATGACGTCTTAAAGTGATTTAAGTACTATCGTGAATCAATATTGCTGTAAGATATTAAGTACCTTGAGACACTATGAGTGCTCAATTGCCAAGTAAGAAAATCAGGACTATGATCGGATTTTATTTTTCAAATTTGGGCACAAAGCAAAGTTGCTTATACACTGATCATTAATACGGCTAGTTAGGTAGACTTAGCAGTAAGGGGTTTTCGTATTGCGTCACCATCAAGCAGGCAAAGGTAGAGTAAAGTAGTTCATAGTGAAATCAATCAAGCAAGCAAGGACCGAAAACTAGGCAGACCAAGTTAAGGTGAGAAATTAAGTATATTCGTATCAATTCATGTCCTTAGAGACTCCGTTCTATGTCGAAATAAGGCTGCGCCTAAAAGTAAAATCATTACTACCAAAGGGGTATCCTCCTGCCTAGTTTGCTGCGCCGAAAATCGTCTCCATTATTATACCCGTAATTTGGTACGGGTCAGCGTTTGACGCCGGACGTCGGTCCTCAAAGTAACCGTAGCCTTTGGCAGCACATTCTCGGGGAATGCGGATCGAGGCACCTCGGTTGGCGATACCGTAGCTGAACTGGTCAATGGTGCCAGTCTCATGTCTGCCAGTTAGACGCATCTCGTTGCCTTCACCGTAGACGGCAATGTGTTCCTTGTGTCGGCCTTCAAGCTTCTTGATCGCCGCTTCGATGTGCTATATAGGTTATTAGTAAATGATATAAATGATAGGCAGGCGCTTTTAGTCATACCTTCATGCCGCCTTCGACGCGCATTTCCTTGGTGGAGAAGTTGCTGTGGAGACCGGCACCGTTCCAGTCACCAGGGATGGGCTTAGGCTGGACTGAGATCTTGGCACCGAATTCCTCGGCAACACGGTGAAGGAGGAAGCGAGCCATCCAGAGCTGATCACCCATCTCGATTCCCTCGCAGGGGCCGACCTGGAATTCCCACTGGGCAGGCATAACTTCGGCGTTGGTACCCGAGATCTTGATGCCGGCATAAAGGCAAGCCTTGTAGTGAGCATCGACAATATCACGGCACATGACCCTGCCAGCGCCAACACCGCAGTAGTACGGTCCCTGAGGAGCAGGGTAGCCGTTCTTGGGCCATCCGTAGGGCCTGTCCTCCATGTCGAAGAGAGTGTACTCTTGCTCAAGACCAAACCACGGAACGTGCTCCGCATGGGCTTCCATCAGCTTGGCGCACTCGTGGCGGTGGTTGAACTTGTTGGGCGTGCCATCGGCGTTCCAGCATTCAGCAAGAACCAAGATGTTGGGAACACCTCGCATGGGGTCGGGGTAGACCGCAACGGGTCGTAGGTAGACATCGCTGTTGTCACCCGGAGCTTGGTCGGTGGAGGAACCGTCGAAGTTCCATACGGGAAGATCCTCGGGTTTGAAGTTACCGTCCTTAGGAATCGAGGTGATGGTCTAGATACGTGAATGTACAGTTAGCGCATATCCGCAGCCACACGGTACTGAAACGTGAAATAAAATCCAGCCTAGGATACAAAAGAGGCGGTACAGTATAATTGAATAATGATAGTAGTCGCCACTGGGCGCTGGATACGAATTATGACGCCGGTTGCCCACATGCCCACATGGTCACTTGCGCCACAATTAAGCGGGTGCCGGAAAGGCGCGCTGTCGACAAAGAATTACAGCGCGCAGCATTGTGGGTCGAGGGTATTCTCGGCAACATGAAGTGTAGCGAACAAGTGCCAAGTGGGCGAGGTCGGAGCAAGCCGGTTCTATTCTCGATCGAGTTTCGAACCAGTCAAGGCCTAAACAGGGATTTGCGAGCCTAGAAAACCCCCAAACTGACAACAGCCCACGAATTAAATCTCATGGGAGTTGATCAGAAATCAGGGTCCTCTCATATGTAGGTTCCGGCCAATTCCCGCGCAACTAGTAATGTGCCGAGAAGGGGCCTGACACGAGGGTATCATGTAACAGGAACGCAGGCCATTCGACCGAGATAATGGGAGAATGTACATAGATTAACGTACCTTGCTCTTAGAGCGCACATGGCCGTTAGCATCGATCCAGATGTACTCCGCCATGGCGTTTCCCTTCTGGTCGAGCTTCATGTACTTCATCAACTATCACGATAAGTCAGCACCATTGTTCGTAAGGCGGACAATCGCAGTCGTAGTCGCAACCACAGCCGCAATGGTGGTTGCCAATGGTGCGCTTTGTCCATGTGTTAGGGGTGATCGCGTGCTCACGTTCTCAGTGTACGAGACATAGTGGTTGTCGGCCTAGCAGAGGGATTCTGTTAGCAAATCTTCACGTAAATTGAGGGGTAATTGGCTGAGGATGGAAGGTCGGTGGGGTTTCGATGCAGGGAGAGGCTCACCATCTTTGCGGTATTGGAGTATTAAGTCGATTTAGGTGTAAGGTTTTATTTTCTGACGATACAAATTCGCAAACCGTGTGTTCTTGAAAGACAAACGTTGAACGAAAGAAGAATATTTATCGACGAAGGAGAGGAATGAAAGTTTGGGAGGAGAGGCGATAGGAGAGAATTAAAGAAGGAAGCAACTGCGGGGGACGCTGAGGCTTTTATGTGGGAATTTCCGTCAACCGGAGAGCGCCCTCTAACTGTGATCAAGGCAGGTACAACTCAAGGTTAATGTAAAAGATAAGGCGCCTTGTTCTAGCTCGTGGCGCTGAAAGTTCAGCGTAGAGGTACCTAAGGTAACAAATCGCACCTGCGTTGCCAGGATAATAGATGTATACAAGTGAATACTTAAATACATAAGTACCTCATATACAGGTACTAATATTGGATTGCACACTGTTACGCTATTAGTTGATACGCTGCAGGGGACTGTGGACTTCTATGCCCGCCTTCTGGAGCCTGGGGCTTAGGATGTCCCACAGTCCCATTTGCAGGTGCTCCTGCAACCTGTACACCTATACCGTTGCTGCCCCTCAATAGCTGATATGTCGCTTCCCATTAGTCCTCCCTGCCCTCCTTGCTTTAATCCTCCTACCCTTTTAGCAGTGGGGTTGATGGGGGTACATGATATGCATCTTAAGCATCTTCGACTTACACGCCGCCACTTATCAGTATCGTGTAGGTCAGCTTAGATACCTAACTTAACTTAAACTAACCTAGATAATTCGTGGTAGCCCATGGTCAGATTTTTAGCTGTTACTAGATTGGATGAAGTTATCTACCCAAGTTAGGTACCTAATGATACCCCCTTTTTTTGTGGCCTTCTAGAACTCTTGCCAACGTCTCTATTCCCTTAACCGCTACGATTATCCGGTTCAACTAACACCGCCTTGTGCCTGGAACATCGGATCCGATGTCGTGGAACCCGCCTCGAGTTGTCTAACACGTTGCCGTGCTGAATTCCCTTGCACCACGGATATCTAGAACGGTACCGAGCTCTATTATCGAGAGCCCAGCTTCATGACAACTCAACAGGACACCAACTTAACTTCCTAACTTCTCGTAACTATTATTTACCGTAACTACGTCTCTAAATTATTAATTTACAGAATTTAAGTATGACATTAACTATGCTGATCTTAGTGCCGGAACGGCTACGGGCTACGCAACATGTGCAGTAGGCTTTCTGCACACTCTATCAAAAGAGAAGCATCGTGGTCGATCACAACAAAACTGGTTCAGAGTTTTAAGACATGCGGTGGGAAACAGTCAATTCGAATTGGTTTTCAACAGCGCTTTGTAGGTATCAAGTCTGATATATGTTTACCTAACTACCCATCTCGCTGTTGGTTGACCCTTTATGTCACATTCAGTCCCTTGTATGTAACCTAGACGGGAGTGATTTCGTCACGTATCGTAGACTATCTTAGCACAGTAATAAAATTATTAGAAGTAAGACGAGTGAACTGACTCGAATATGGAGATGCCGCTTGACTTTTCTGAACCCGAATTGCCGCCGCCGCTAAGTTTCAATCTAACCATCTGATATTGTGGATATTTTCACGAACAAAGCAATAATGTGTGGGGAATATGGAAATATACTTAATTGTGTACTGAGCCAAGACTAAGGCCCGCGATTCGGACCATGGGGTTTTGAGTCATTAATTACGGTAATTCGGTGTTGTTCGAGTTTTTCTTTATTCAATTCGTCTCGAGTTGATCACTGCAAAGTCTGGTATTTGTTTGCTTATTGGTTGTGAAAGACGGAAAGCTAATGTTGAGGCAATATCTTTATATGCAGTTGTCCATAAGTAGAGGCGAGAGGCGTAAATTGTATCACCGAGATGTGTTGTATTGCCAACTTGCTTTTAGAATATAATAAATTTGCTCTCTTCTCGTTGTTTCTGCTTAGTTTGTTTGTTAGGTACCATGTATCAATAGTTGCACTGTAAACAAAAATTTCAGTTAATACAGTTAATATATTGTACTGTAACGATTGTAAATTTTGTATGTAGTTCGCTTAATCTCGAATCCTTTACTTTGGGTTTCGAGACATGCCTGGCCCTAGGCCGAACCCCCATTATCCAATTCAAAATTTGACAAATTGATTTCTTAACATCTACAGGGCTGTATGTAATTGAGTTACATTCAGATAATATTAAAGCCATGATATGACTTATTTTGAATGGCACCTTTCATCGTCCAACCACGAAACTCTTCTTTCAGCTTACGAAGTATTAAAGTATTGATATACATATATACATGGAAATAGCTGACCCCAAACTTTTGTATCAAGGTAGATTGCGGGGTTGGTGCGACACCAAAACATTTAGCGTTGTCACCGGCGTCTTATGTTATCGTCGGCTTGTAATTGGCTACTTGACCTTTCTATTGCTCAATTCCATCTAGTACGCAGTACGTAAGTATTCAGGGTGAGCAAGGTCTGCAATTGGACCCCTCCAACTCTATTTTTGGATAAGGAATTTTCAACTTTATTAATCCCTCACCGTTTGTTCTTGTCATTCCAGATCGTCTAAAAAATTCGAACTGTCTTTTTCTTCCACCTTCGTATTGCATGTTTTTTACCCAATCTGTTTTACCCCTTTTTACCACAGTTAGATCTCTTACCAAATGTCTTTCTCCCTTACGCGAAGCAATCAAATACGATACGGTGGCTTCAATCACCTGTTTCATTCTCCAACTCCCGTTAAGGAGCTGGCGCGTCTAAGCAATGATACATCAGGGCATAAATTTACTACCTTACCTACCAGGTAGGTAATATACGGTTATTCCTGATAATCGTAGCATCACGAGGACCTCTTCGACTACTTATCCTGGCTTTCTGGCCGCGAATTACAAGTGGTAAACCTCGAAATCATCATATCATATTATATAATACCTGGGATTTGCCTTTATAAGTATTGCTTTTCCCTTGTGACGAAAGAAATCACGGATCTGTGCAGTTGCACAAGTACCTAACCCCCTATTTTAAAGTATACTTATGTACGTTGCACGAGGAAGGAAGGCACCTGCAGGTAGGCCAAATCATGGACACGTGCTATACTATTCTACTGTTCCTGAGAGGAAAGAGAAGTCAAATTTAGAATTAGTAGGTGCTAGCTTGAAAAAATGGTAGGAACGGCAGCTGCATGCTGCCTTTATTTACGGTACCTAGGCAAGATATTACTTTAATCTTCGGGATGCATATGTAGGTATACACTCATTCATCAACTTACTGGGAGGTAATATACCACATTATCATCAATTTCCGTACATCTATCCCGATTCTTCCATATCGCCGTCTAGACATACTTTAATAACTATAATTATGTCCAAACTTCTAGCTAAGTTATGAACTGGACTGAAGGGAATCTCTCCCGCCATTCTAGGGGTAGGCAGCGCAACGAGTTACTTACGCGACAAAAGCAGCATTTTGCCAAGGTTCGCAATAATCTACTGAAAACCGACGTAAAGAGGAGTCCCGTGTCTATATCCTTCCTTGGAACTCAGTACTCGCGAGACCTAAAGCGCCGCAATGGTTCAAGTAGCGCAGCATATAAGTCACCTTCAAGTCCCCTTTTAGCAGAGAGGCGCAAGCGGGCTCATAGCTCCCTTGATAATCCAGATCATCAATCCTCCACGCAGGAGAAAAGAAAAAGGCTGTTGGATAAGGCAGACTGGGTTGGATTAAACTTGCAGCAGCCTATTGATATTACCTTCCCAAGGCAACTTCAGGCACCCACTGGTTCAAGATGGAGCAAAGTAGAACGCCCTCGAGTTCGCATGATTCGGAAGCACCATGAAGACTCACATACATCTCAACTAGGGGCCAACTATAATTCCCACGGCCCATCCCTGAAGATTCAAATCGGGAGTCAGGAGATCCTCCCAAATACTAGTATATCACCGCAGTCAAAAATAAAAAGATACAGTCTCGTACCACAGCCCATAACCAACTTAACACGGAGAAAATCGAATCTAACCTCAAGCCCGGGGCCCAGCCAAACCCGGCGCCCGTACGTAGTATCTAGGAACAGCCAGATCTCACAAGTGCGAAAGGGTGAACGTCGTAGGATAACAGGGGAACAGCCGGACGATGCGTACCCTGAGGCAATCAAGAAGTCCTTGTTTCCAGAAGAGCCAATCATGTTGTATATTCCTCTTCAATAATTTACGAACCGACTCCTCTCCGAGCCAATTATTTTACTGTACTTCGATGGACTCCCTCCGGCTCCGATGATCAGGGGAGCATGCAGGTGGAGATTGATCGCCCCTTGAGACCGGTTCCATTATCCCAAGAAACAGACGAGGAGATTTGGAAGAACTGGGTGTCTACTTCCTCAATGATCCAGTCAGTTAACGCCTCGGGTAACTCTCCAATTGCAGTATCATCTGTTAGTTCAAGAGCCGGTGTCTTGCCCTCTCACCTACAGAGACAGCTACCAAGCTATGATATCTCAAGCGAGGCAGAAATAAGCATAAGTTATCCGTCTCACGAGCCCAATATAGATGACCAAGAACCCCAAGTTACAACCCATGGAAGTCTCCATCAATCACCTGAGGGAAAACTAGATCATAGCAAAATCGAAACGCAGCCACCAGACGATAATGCCGTTTGGATGAAGTTTGCTTTGAGCGATAACAGCGATGAGTTAGAAGCAAGAGTGTTCGCAGAAGCTGCATATCAAGCTGCTGCAGAATTACGTCCTTCCGATACGCCTACAAACTTCAATGATACAGCTGAAACAATTGCGACTCATGGGACTAATCCGGCTAGCAATGGGAATCAGGATGAGAGCATTTCCTCTGGATACTCCGATGAAAGTCATGTGGCAACAAATGGCACCGTGGCCTCGGAATCGGTACCTAGCAATATAGTTACAATCGGCTCAATAAGTCAAATAGAATTGGAGCCTCGATTTCGCTTTGCGCAGCCGAGAACGTTCGTAGGGAAATTCGCTCATTCAAATGTCACTGCGACAGAAGGATCACACCTTCTATCTCATAGTAAGAAAAGGGGAGGTAGATCTAAGAAACGGGCCGCGGATGGGAGGGCAAATATCCGACGACTTCCAGATTTCGATGGGGATCCCATCGAAGAATTTGAAGATGACTAAAATACCTCCTATACTCGCTAAATTCTCAGCTATAAAAGGTAACCAATTAGTCGAATTTATAATGAATAGCTACCACAATGTCCACAATATTAAGCACCAATTGAAATTGGTAGAACTCGTGTAAACTGAGCAACTTCCTTATCATAAATCATGCCCTAAGATAGCCTACTGCCTTATAACCTACCTATGTTAGGTACCTAAAGTATACCGGAGTTTTTCGGCCGTTCAGGTTGGGACTTATTAAGACAACAATAGGGCGTAAGCATAAAAACCGGAACATATAAGTCAATATACAATATTCTTCTTCTTCTCTACATAACTCACAACTCACTTCCTAGTAGTCGACATTCATACGGCCAGGATCGTTACGTTTTTTTTTTTTTTTTTTTTTTTTTAAATCTTACACTTCATACTGCTTATCGCCAATTGGGCCGAGTAATTATGGCGCCCACGTCGGAGGTTGATTTATTTGCGCCCTTCGAGCGGGATGTCATACTCGAAATCCGGACGAGTAAAATGGAAATTATGCCAGGACTGAAGATTGAGACGGGTATAAACAAGAGGATTCGTACCGGCCGCATCCCCGTGACCTTCGTCGGACTTGATGCGGATGAGCACGATCTTGTATTCCACGGGGGCCCGGATAAAGCAATTCATGGGTGTAAGTCCGTGCGCCCCTAATTTGTAACTTGCCATGAGTTATCTACAACGATTCTAATATACTCTCCAGACTGCTGTTCTCACTATCCTACATGGCAAAAAGAGTTCCCTGAAGCTGCTACGCGTTTTAGGCCAGGCGGATTCGGGGAAAACTTTGTGACGGAGCGTAGTATGTACCTATTTTTTACCGTTATTTAATTGCCCCCCCTATTCAAGAATTCTGTCTTACCCCTCATAACTAGTGAATGAGCGTAATGTATGCATAGGCGACGTAGTATCCGTCGGTGACGATGGCGTATTGCTTCAGGTCAGCCTACCGCGGCAGCCATGCTTCAAGCTAAATCACCGGTTCCAACTCAAAAACTTCGCACCTAATACATACAAAACTAGCCGTACGGGTTGGTACTACAGGGTGCTACACGAGGGCACGGTACAGACTGGTGATGAGATCCGGCTTGTAGAGCGCAAATGGCCTGGATGGACTATCGAGCGCGTTCAAGAATATCTTCACCGAACTCAGGATAACGCTACTATGAACGAAGAGCTTGCTGCTATTTCTGATATGGGCGACGAGAGTAGGAAGGCATTCGAGCGACGCGTCGAGAAGCTTAAGTCTAAGCAGAGGCGCGCTGCCGCCGTACTCAACCAGAATGGAGATGAAGTAAAAGAGAAATGGCGCGACTTCAGAATCGTGGAGAAGAAAATTGAGACGCCACGTATCTCATCATTCATTTTAGAAGCACTACATCCTGACCCCGAGGCAGGGGAGATGCAACTCGGCGCGCATGCACGTCTTAGATTACCCAACGGGCTTCAGCGGTCCTACTCCATCGTCTCAGGCACGCCCAACCGCTTCGAACTAGGCATCGCCCTCGAGGAACCTAGCCGCGGCGGGTCCTCATATCTACATAGCACAGCGCAAATAGGCGATATCGTGCAGATCGGGCGTGTGACAACGGACGTCAAGCCCGCGGGATCAGCTAGCAACCACGTCTTCATCGCGGGCGGCATCGGTATCACGGCCTTCCTCAGCATGCTCGAGATGTATCGCAAAATCCACTGGGAGTCGACGCTGCACTACGGCGTGCGCGACGCATCTTCAGATGTTCCGTTCCGGTCACGGATTGAGGCGCTCAGCGACTCGGTGAAAATGTACGATCGCGCAAAGGGCCAGCGGATGGATATCGCAGCGATTTTTAGCGGCTTGCCGTGGAATTCCCACGTGTATGTGTGCGGGCCACAGCGCATGATGGACGAGGCGATACGAGAGGCGAAGGCGCGCGGGCTTGGCGAGGACGAGGTCCATTTTGAGGCCTTTGGGGCAGATACGAGCGGTGACCCGTTCGAGGTTGAGGTCACGTCGGCTCGGGAGAAGAGCAGTACAGTTTTGAAGGTAGGTGCAGAGGAGACGTTACTAGAGGTGCTGAAGAGGCATTTTGGGGATGATGATGTACCGTCTAGTTGTGAGGTAGGCAATTGCGGGACGTGTAAGGTGGTGCTGAAGAGTGGGCGTGTTGATCATAGGGGTACGTCGCTGATGGAGGAGGAGAGGAAGGATGCTATGCTGAGCTGTGTTAGCAGGGGTATTGGTAAGATTGCTATTGAGATATGAGGCGGTATTAAGTTAAGACCAGATAATACAATTCATAGTTACCGCAAGTAATTGTGGGAATTATACTCTTTTTGCTCCTCATCGTAGTCTCGTCTACTATGCCATTCTCAACCCCATTGGAATACGCCCCCTTTATAAGCCTAATAGCTAGTTATATGATAGATATTGATAGACCTATAAGATATCTCTTGACTGAGTTTAGCTACATATAAGAACTTGAGTACGCTTGAAGCAGATAGTTCAGACTTTTCTTCTTGAAGTGACTACGAGGTGAGAAGGTTTATTTTTCTACAAGATAGGTGCCCTTGCAGATATGTTATTACACAAACAGTCGATTCACAGTTAGCAGTCGATCTAGTTGCGGCCTGCGCAAAGGGCTTTGAATAACGAGGTTTTAACTTTATGAGACCGGATCTACGCCAGCAACTCTAGCGACCCCGAGTTGCTAGCAGTATGAAGTAGATTTTCTTGTCCAACATGACACTAGAAATATGTAGTAAATATATAGTATAAATGTGACCTCCTGTGCCGATTAATAGGTACCTAGGTAGGTAGGTAATGAGTTCAAGTGCTAATTCAATCACTCCAATGCCTCCTCTCTACTAACTGTAATACCCCACAACTCCCATTGCCATTGTTTGTTTCCATGCCACAGTATTCATGAAGCAAGTTAATGATACCTTTATGTCCGGATATAAGGGCCAAATCAAACGGTGTTTCATCGTATTCGTTTGGAGCATTAACATCTATTTCCCTAGTGTCCAGTAGTAATTTCACGATTTCTTCATTTTCTTCTTTGATGGCTATCCCCAATGCTGACTCCCCATATTCGTTTATAGCATTGACATCGGCTTCATTAGTATCAAGGAGTAATTGGACGACGCTGTTCTCGTTATATCCAACAGCCATCTGTAATGGTGTATTATGACCGTTTCCGTAAGAACCATTAGCGTCTATTTTCTTGGCATCGAGAAATAATTTGATGGTGCGTTTATCCGCGTAAGCAATGGCCAGCGCAAACACTGTTTCGATCCCGTTAATCCTTCCGGTATCGAGGAGTAGTTTGACGATACCTTCATGTCTTTTCTTAACGGCTATTTCAAGCGGCGTTAGGGAACATTCCGTGGCCTTAACATTAATATCGGCCTTCCCAGTATCAATGAGTAATTTCATAATGCCTTCATTCCCAGCACTGGCTGCCAATAGGATTGGATTCCTGTCGAAGTTATCTCTGGCGTTAATATCGAAATTTGCCATTTCAAGAAGCATTTTTACAGTATGCTCATGTTTTCGCTCGATAGCATATGACAATGTGGTCCTACCGAAAACATCTGTCTGGTTGATAGGGGTTCTCTTGATAAGTATTCGTATGGCATCGTCGAGTCCAAACCAAGCCGCCAAATGTAATCCAGCTCGAGGAAATCCTCTCCAACACCTGTAGACACCACCAATAACCTGACCGGCCGACTCAACCTTTTCATTGGATTCGAGGAAGCTAATGACAGCTTCGTTTATATACGAAGCTTTCCGAGCATGATAGGCCCAGTAAAGAGTAGAATACTCATAAAATGGGTTTGAAATCATCCGCTGCTTAAAATCTCTTATGTTTTGACAAGGGCCACTTCCAAATACATCGAACGATAGATAAGTAACACAAGCATCCGTAATATGAGCTTCCGCCTTAGGAAACCAGCTGTCCCTGGTTTTGTCAAAGTATTGCCTTGCTGTATAATGCACTAACCGAATGTTGCCGCTTTCTATGTCCATCGTAACAAGCCCAGCACATACTGAGATTATTGTATCAATATGCGGCAACGACTCTTTTTCAAGTCTTGTTGCTTTAGTTTCTATAGCGATAGCATGCTGAAGCTCCACCACGTGAGCGTCCTCTTCGAGTAAGTAATCCAAGATAGAACCCGTTTAGCAAGGTCCTGGTGGCTCGCTGCCTGTTTTTCAACTCGGATCATCGCCTCCTTATATGTAATATCGTATGCATTTGACCCATTTGGTAGCTTTTTAAGGGCGCTACGAACTTCTTTTTCCGAAGTCTTGTTTACAAGAGAGTTAAGATGAAGTCGCGCAAGAAGGAACCTAATAGTATCAGCATGTTTACTTTACTAACTACCTACTAAGGGCATTGACTTACATCCCCCTTGCTGAGTTGCATATCGTATTTATGATGTCTGCTTGAAGGATTGAATCGTAACGGACGGAAGGTGGTAATTCTGACATAGTATCTCTACGCGATGTTTGAGATATTTTCGCACGTCCGCATCCTTAGCATGAACTCTCAGTACAAGGCTACCTTTGAATAATTCCACGATATCAAATATGTGCCTTGACGTTGCAAAAATGTTGATTCCACACTCGGCTTGAAGACTAAAAATCCTTTCGAGAAATTTCTGCCGATTCCCCTCAAATATATGGCATTCATCTAGAGCATCAATAAGAATAAATACTTTCGAATAAAGTTTGGCCGTAGATTGGATGGTATCCGAAAGTTCTTCTAGCGACGGTCGTGTCCGCCTGTTTTCTGTGGTATTCGTGTAGTAATTTTAAACTCTCTGGGAATGTGGGCAGATTTTCAGCCAATTGTTTAAGAAGCTAGCCAGAAGTTTATCTGCCGTTTGCTCATGTTGCCGTCCGAAGTCGAAATAGACGTATGCATTCCGATATTATTTTGATTTGAAAAGCACTCCCTAAATTGTCAACTACAATCGAGGTAAGAATTGACTTTCCAGCGCCTGGAATGCCTGGACAGAATAGAGTTTTGCCGCTTATATTTAACCAAGTTCGAAACTGTTTTGTATTAAGAAACCACGTACAGGTTCCTGGCTGTCGACGTGCGAAATTATCACTTTGTTGAGGGCCGTAGTTGACTAGACTCAACCAGTCTAGGATAGTATCGCTTTTCAATTTCTTGATGATGAATAATTGTGTCAGCTTTCTGGGATGTAGTCAAAACCTCTTTTTGTAACGTGCTAAGGCTATGATCTATTAGTGATTCAAGTATTATACACTAATAAAGTGAAAGATATATAACTTAATATATGGAGTTAAACTATTAGTAGGCAAGTAGAAATATAATTCTACCTAAGGGAACATAATGGAATAGAACTACGTACTATTCTCGAATCTCCCTGCCCAAGATGGTAGAATTTTGATCTTTCGAGGTTTTAGCACATGAAGAAATTCCCTTGCGTATGCTGCCGCTGCGAGCGCCGCATATTTGTGCCACTCATCGTTTTTGTGCGAATCAGAATAATCACAAATTCCTCGGATCACTAAACAAGGGAAGTTGTTCATTAAGCCAGCAGCTTCCATTTCAAAGCATAAGACTTTAAGCTCTGGATCTTGAGCAAGTTGGTCTCTTACTTCGGAGCTCTTCATAACCGAGTTAGCGGATGCGATGATACCGTAATGGACATTAACAGCTCGTTTGGCCACCCTGGGAAGTCTCTGCTCGAGTCCATCTGCTAGACACTTTTCGCATGTGATTCCACCCTGGTGCTTGTAATTTGCGCGGTATAGTCGATCTTCATCAGGGCGCTGATATTCAAGCATATCATCCATTATCTTAATATGTTCAGCCAGTTTATCTGGCTTCCTGGGGTCGTTATGTCGACGCTGCATCTCGGGAATTGCCCCTAATAGCACCTCTGGGGGGGAGTTCATTTGGCCGGTTTGTTGGAACCGGCCTCTTGATAACCTTTTCCCAAAATCATACTGTATGACACCTCCTAATCTACCTTGTGGTACACTGACAACCACATCGCCAAGGCGTATGTCTCTCTTTGGTGTTGGAGCACCTCCGCCAATGCCTACCATTAAAGCGAATTTCAAAGAAGGAAAAGATCGAATCATATCCTTAGCAACAGTAGCAGCAGAACTAATACCATATCGGCCATGTGGGAGACATCCAATTACCCACATTATGTTCATGAATGCGACCAAGCACGTAGGTATTGTTGTCATTTTCGTTGGCCACATCAGGACCTTCGAACTCGTCGTCAAGCATACGGCATGCGGCTTCGTACTCTTCCTGCAAGGCGCAAATCCAGCCGACAGTGTACTCATCGGGGTTAGCCATGCCTAAGAGTAGTTACTAGTAAATATATTGTGTTTAAAGCTTGGCGTAACTACGCTACTAGACTAAGAAGTGAGTTCAGCTATCGAATATGACCACGCCAAATGTTGGCTACTAGGAAGACTTGAATGGTCCTTTTTAAAGCAATTTGAGAAGGACAAATACTAACGGGAAGTGCTAGGGGTTTTAAGGGGATAATAATAAGCTGAGAGGCAGAATTGCGTAAGAAATGACCTACCAGATACGGCTGACGTGGTTACATCAAGGCATTCTTCTTCATATATTCTGCCTTGTAATATGTACTTAGGTAGGTATCAATGGAAGATATAGTGGTGTGGGTGGGTATATTGAGTATTCGCTATATGGATCATAAATACCTCTCAATGGTATGTGCTTAACTTGCAGTTTCTTCCGGTTGACTTGTAACTGACCTCTCTATATTTGTGCCTTTTCCGCCAAGCCAGAAATAAGCCACTACTGCCCCTGATGCTCCCCAGATAGCAAAGCTCCAAGTCAACGTTCCCCATCCTGCTGACTCTACAACGTAACCAGCCCATAAAGGCCCTACAACTCCTCCAAGAGAAAACGCCACGTTAAAAAGCCCATAACCGAGTCCGTAAACACCTTTCTCTCCAAATATTCCTGGTTGCTTAGCGACTTTCGCCTCGATAACGTAGGTGATCTCGGCCATAAGAGGAACATTTGCGAATGCTAGTGCGATGCCTAACAGGGCAAGCAAGAAGCAGAGAAGTACCTTATGCTGAATGGTGTTCTGCGTGACAAAACGTAGACATACAAGTAACGGAATTAAAAAACAGAACCCAAAGAAACACGGCCACCTAGCACCATACTTATCCGCGAGCCAACCAACCAACGGTGAGATGAAACCCGGGAGAAATACTGCTAGAAATAGAATTCCGGCAGCTGTGGAATTCCAACCAAAGGTGCGCTGGACGAACAAAGCTAATGTAGCATCAAATCCCATCCTATCCAACGTTAGCCTAGATTATGACTACCATTTAAAAGCATAAGTATGATTGCATGGACTTACATGATGCCAGACTCGACGACGAGACAATATAGTGCGGCAAATAGCCTCGTGGATTTCAAAAGGCTTTTAGAAGTACGCCATATGCTAATAGTTTCCGGGGGAATCGCCGAGTCTTGGTTTAGTATATCCGCTGTTTCGATCCGTTTTTCTTCATTATTATGATTATCTTGAAGCTGGCTCTTATCTCTTGGATCCGGCTCTGCAAGATTGTGTATTCCGCTTGCTTCAATGGAATCCGTGCGGCCATCGATACTTGGCGTTATGAGTGAGTTGCCCGTCTCTATGTCGACCTGATCTGTCCCTTCTTCTGAAGGACTAGGCGTCTCATCCTCTTTTATCCATTGCTTAGCAACCTTCTTCTCGATCATCAGCAGTCGTAGTAGGATATCTACCGCAACGACGCCAAATGCAATATAGTAAACAGCATAATAGCCTGCTGCAGCGTAGACCGAACCGCCGATCACGGGAGCAATAAGCAGTCCGACACTCATCGCTACGCCGACGTACCCCATAGCAACTCCTACCGCGCTCTTCATAGTATCGACGAGCAATGCACATCCTACACTCCAGACGATAGATGCACTAAAACCTTGAAGAATTCGGCCCAAGACCAGGAGGCCTATCGAGTTACCGAAACATAGCAATAGAGTTGACGCAGCAAGTGCGATTAGTCCGATCAGCAAAGGCCATCGTCGCGACGACGTGTGATCGGCATATATTCCAGCAATGGGACTACCGATGAGTAAAGCTACACTATAGCAAGCTAAAAGAATCGATGTCCAGTGTTGCACTTGATCCTCAGCGATTCCAACTTGAACGGTGAGCGAAAAGGGGATGACCGGAACAATCAAGGCATAGTAGAAGATATCGGTGAAGATAGCCAAGCCCACTTTTTATCATCTGTTAGCAGGTCTAGGTTGAATGAATGTTATAGGATTCGTTGAAGTAGATGTCTGTTCAAACTCAAGTTTATGGATATTAGGTATACAAACCGGTTAGTACTATCAGAGTCGTAGATGATCGGATCGAAAGAAGATAAGGAGGCTTGGATTTTGAGTCCTTCTTCGTCCCGGAGAGGAACTGCCAGGCAATGGTAAATAATCTCATCTTGAACACCACCTAATGCTGTCTATCTATAGTTAGGTGTCTATGAGAAAAGAGAATATATCACTTGGATATCTTGTCAAGAGTTAAAAAAAATAAAATCAAAGTAAAAAGCTATCTTCCCCGGAGGTAAGAACTTTCATCATTATGTAGTAAAATTGGGTAATATCAAGACGAGACACAGAATTCTCAGATCCTTGGCCGAAGTGGATATATGAAGAGGCAAGCTAGGATTCCGCGGGGTCCGTCTGGCAGTCGGGGGTAGTTGACTACATACGACGGTGGTATTGATTAGGTTACATACTTCGGATCGCCGCATAGAAGGCATCGTTTTGTACGGAATATTTGATTTATTTTCATAGTAAGACTCTCCTTACTAGAAGCTAGGAATAAAAAACTAATATTATTAAATTTAATATTATTAAATTAACACGAGGATAGATACCTAAACTAAGGTAAGAAATTCTCAAATTAACTAACCAGAATTTTATAAATTGAAGTAGTTATATAAAAGTTAGGCCAAGATATTGGATAGAGATCCGCGGGACCCGACCAAATAGGAATGACTCACGATCTGAAAGAGATTAATACGAAAATTGTTCATTGGGTAATATTTAAGGTAGACAACTAAAAGAAAAAGATTAGTCTTCATCAATATGTGAAAAGTCGGTGGGAAATGCGCTAATGTCATTACTTCACTCATCTGCATGCTATGGTTTAATAAATATATCTACTACCTTTAGATGCATGTTTAACTGCCAATTCTTATCTGTTTTACCTTGACCCACTAAATCTTTTTTCTGTTTTCTTCCCATCAATAATCAATGATCAACAATCCATTATCATCACGCAAGGCTGATTCTCTTCGATTCAAGGTCGCAGATTTGCGACGATTTACTGTCAAAATGCTTCGAACATCTACCGCGACCGAAGAATTTACCGAACTTCCCATTTCTATTCCACCACTTCCATCCTTTCCGATCGAGGCAATACATTCAACCTATCTTCGGCGGAATACCCCTAAAATACCAACTCCAAATGATTCCCGAAGCCTCTTTATCGCCAACGTTCCTTGCGATAGTACTATAGAGCATTTTCGAGCTTTATTTGCCAGCCTAGTCGGACCTGGTAAATTCGAGACCATCACCTTTGAGCATGACAAAAAACCCCTATGGCCTACCCATGAGCCTGCCCAGGCCACAAGATTAGCTTCGCATGGGAAGAGGAAAAGAGAAGAGGAAGAGATGCAACACGTTGAAATCAAAGTCCGAGCTGCCTTACCTCCCACATGGTCGCGAAAAGTGTATCCCAGTGGCAGTTCTGCCGTCGCCTTGTTCGCCGACGAGAAGAGCGCTGTATTAGTCCTAAAAGCTGCCAAGAAGCTGAAAAAGCCAAAACATTACCCTATTTGGGGCAAAGGTGTTAGGGATAGCGATAACGCGCCTCTGGGTTCTCAATGGCTAGTAACCCACAACATCCTGGCCTTCCCAGATAAAGATGAAATACAGGCCTCGACGGATGCCTACTTTACTCTTTTAACAAGATGGAGAAAGAAGCGCGTCAACTCGCCAAGAGGCTCCGTAACGAACCAGACGAAGATGGTTTTGTAACGGTCACACGAGGCGGTCGTGTTGCGCCTGCAAGAAGGGACGAGGCCGAAGAGGCTAAGCAGAAGATGATCGAAAGAGAGCAGAAGAAGAAGGATGAAATGACAAATTTCTACAGGTTCCAGATGCGTGAGAAGAGGAAAGCTGAGCAGACCGATATGCTGCAGAGATTCGAAGAGGATAAGAGGAAAGTACAAGCTATGAAAGAGAAACGAGGGAGGTTCAGGCCCGAGACCTAAAGTAATATCACTATTAGGAGTAAGCTCGTGTCCTAAGCTCACCTTACGGGTCACCTCCGTGTCCAGCCCTTGTGCTGTCTGAAGGTTTTTAGCCAATTCTTATCCAAACCTACTCCAAGTAAGCCCCTTTCCAATTTAACCCCTATCCCTCCTAAATGATGACGAGCACGGGGCCAGCGAAATGCTGTCAAGTCTGGTAACCCGGATCCTTGATGGTGCATGCCGAAAAAACCGTGTTATTATTATATCTTCTCAAACTTGTCTGAAAAGGATTTTTATTACTACCTATTTTATACCTATTACCACGTGTGGCATGTTGCTGATACAGTCTCTAGGTCTTCCAGTAAGATATAATGAGAGGGAAAGAATAGCTGAACGCTATTATACCGACGATGTAATTAAGGCAAGATGTCTTGCTGGTAACCTTGATAACTGCTACTGCTGCTACTAAGACTTGGATCTGGCGATTCTGCTATGTAACGCCATTAATACTATTGGTTGCTAGATGATCCATAAGCGCACTAGAAATAGTATCGATCGGATGTAACCATTATGATGGGACCGGAGGTAGTACAGAGTAGTTTAATCTAATGCAGCTAAATCTCTCCAAGATTCATCAAGAGTATCCCACCACTATATTTCCGATACCTGTCTTACTCTTACGCGTATATTTGTGTGTGTTTGACGCCGTGGCTGGCCTCCCCCAAGGGGGTATGCGGCCTATAAGGCTACTAATCTCAATACACAATCTTACAAATATAACCTTAAGAGGCATACATGACTGACCAAGCCCTTCCAACGTTAATCGCCATATAAAGGTCTTCCAGGTCCCCTAGTCGAAAAAGTCTTACTCCTATATGAGAATCTCTAAGGAAATTTATAGCTGTTAACGCTTAACTTCCCACCTATGACATCTAAGTAGTGATATGAACTTGACTATACGATTGTATAACTACCTACTTTGGTTGTCAGTTCACACTAGAACATCTCAATAGGTACTTCAATTTCTATTAGCCAGTACTGCCTTAATTTAAGACATCAAGATACACTACTAGCCAACACATCTATTTACGTTTAAATTATAGTATCACTAACACTGTCGCGCCCTACTAGTCTAACCAATGACGAGCCTCTATAATCGCGGAACTGAAATGTATATATTTGTCTTTGAGACGGCTTGAGGGCCAAAAGTTTTGTATAAAAGCCTTTGGGGCAATGACGAGTAGTGACCTGATACCAAGGATGTGACACTGCAGCCCTATTCCTGCACGAATATGCGAGGTGATCCTGTTAATAGCCAGCCCGGTTTATGGCGCGTAAGTTACATTCCGTCATACTATCCCTCGACGTTATCTACATGCTGTAGCGGCCTTTAATACCCGCTCTCCCCCTCCCCCCCTTCAAGACGATGCCAACTTGACTCGCCTGTCTATATCGATACTCATCACTAGTACTTAGCGAACGAGGCAAGTTCAAGCCCACAAGCGCATCAAAAATGGACTGTCTCAACTTCTGGGGCGGTCGCAAGAGTGGCTCCAGCGGCTGGAAACAGGCTGCTAAGGTCAATTGCGTTACTCTTACTTGTATGTCGGTGTTCCTGATCAGTTGCTTGATATCTGCCATATCCAGGAGTGGCGGTCTTGGAAAAGCATTGTTCTTTTACGATGGTGACTGCGACGGAGGCAATGTGTCCCAAGTCAATATGACGCTTCACTTGCTTGTAAATGTCGTATCAACACTTGTGGTAAGTTCTCTTGGTACATTGATATTTATCACTTGGAATAGTTAATGCTAATTCAGACCTATGCAGTAAGTTAGCTCCATTGTCGAATCATGTATGAGATACAAGACGGGTCGAAGCCAATTGCTACCCATATCACCCTCCTACGATATTATGTACGACTATCCCTGGAACGGCTCGGCTTAAGATTTTGCAGAGGACTAGTTCAATTTTCTACCTCTTAAGTTGACTCTGATTTGTTAGGTTGGCTTCAAGTAACTTCTTCATGCAAGTTTTAAATTCTCCGTCAAGAGAAGAACTGAATGCAGCGCACTTCCAAGGTTCCTGGTTGGGAATCGGCATACCGTCAGTCCGCAACGCCTTCAAAGTCTCTAAGTTCAAGACTGTGTGTTGGATTTGCTTATTTATCAGCTCTATTCCTATCCATCTTCTATTTAACTCAACGATATTTGAGACAGACTGTAAGCAATATTTCTTGACCCCTTCCCTCTACCTTTCTATTATAGGATTGGTAACATAGAGGCATTTTGTGCGGCTCAGCGTTGCTTTCCTAATCGTAAGATTACTAATGATCGTGGTTATAGATAGAGGATCTGATTTCCACCTAACGATTGCAACTGAGGAGTTTCTGAACGGGGGGGACTTCTACCCCCCTGGAGGAAGTTTAGCCCAAGCCGGCTTCGAATTGTGGTACCCCGAGACCATTCCAAATTCATACGTCCTAGAATACGATATTGAATACACTGGTATCTCTTTTATCAGATATGGCTCACCAGTCAACCTAGCCGAATACACTAATAAGGATTCTGATGTTATGAAAAACATATCGACTACGGCGAGGAATGCCGGACAGTGGAAGAAACTTGAAATAAGCGACTGCAAGCAAGAGTATATTAACTGTAGTGGACTTAAACGTTATCGTAACCTAGTCCTCGTCGTCGACAAGCCAGGTGGTTGGATAAGAGACGAGATGTGGCATCTAATGGACAATCAAACTGAAGTATGGGATCGATACGTCCCTGCGGACCAGCCTAATCACTTATTATACGATGCACAATGTTTAATGTTCGCGTCACACACGGAGGGGCCAACGGAGTGCTGGAATAACTGCTTCGGAGCCTTTGGCACATACAAGACTGATACAGTGATGACTACCTCATATACCAGTATCACGGATTGGCAATACTCTTCTTCGATGTAATCGACAATATGTGGCCCAACAAAATGACAAGTCTACAGCCGGGAGCGACAATATATCTGTACAATACTGTCTTGCAGACGACCTCGACAGAGTCTGTCATATTGGCTTGTCACCAACTCTACTACTAACGGTCACATTATGCGTTATATTCAAAACTTTCATAGCTATCGTCATTATGGTAGTTCTGAGACACCAGAGCCAGGCGCCGTTAGTGACCCTAGGAGATGTCATCGAGTCTTTCATCGAAAAGCCAGACCCTGTCACTGCCGGCATGTGCACTATTGGACAAACGGAAATCCGAAGGTCGATGAGATCCTATAAATCCTTATTATTACCAGGGCCAAGGCAATGGAAAAAGTTGCAGAAGCGTCGATGGGCAGTTGTTCCTCTGTTAGTATGGATATCAAGCTACATACTATTCGGTATAGGCATTACTATTTGTGCTTACTTCTTCGCGGATATAAAACGCCACAATAACCTGTGAGTACTCCTAAACTGTGCATAACACCGAAGAAACCCCCTGACTTGAACGACAGTGTTGGCTCATTCTACGAGAGCGAGATGAATTCATTCGTCGACTCCCCTTTCACCTTCACGCAAGGTGTTCTGATTGCTAATAGCCCTCAACTTCTCCTTTCATTCTGCTATCTTGCTTATAATAATTTATTTACTCGGCTTCAGATGGCTAGAGAATGGTCATTGTTTAGTGAAGGTTACCAGCCGCTGCGAGTTACCGACCCTAAAGTGTGTTTAAATAAGATATCAGTGCCTGAACGTCATGTTAACATGTAATTAGGGTGGCCAATACTCTACATACCGACTCCAACTACCTTATAAATATAGCCTCCCTCTTATAGCTACTAGTATATTCCTTCATTGGCTGCTCTCGAATACTATTTATCTATTCATATCAATCGGGGGTAAGTATCTCTAACACACTTACTTTCCAGATAATCCATTGAGGTTTATCAAGCTTACCAACTTTTAGGTTACTTCAGTACCGATGAATTCCTTCGCGGAATCGAAGCCGACCCGAGTCTGCCACCTAACACTGCTATCGCCTTGGGATATTCGGGCTATTCCCTTCTGGTTATGCTTGTAGTCTCCTGTTTTCTTGATCTTGTTACCCGCAATTCTGAGCATCAAAAAGCTCCCTTCGAACATGGTGATAATTGGGAGCAATTCACTCGCGCTGTCTGCTGCGTGCCAACGTCTCGAGTTTGTCACACGCGGTCAGTTCCCGCGCAGCATCATCATTTACCGATTTTCCAGCACTGTCGCAAGTTGATCCTCTACCGACCCTAAAATCGTCGAAGCGATCACACACTCCTCCCACAGACGAGATATATACCGATAAGGGTAACAGGAGCGACAGTATTGAGATGCAGAATCTCATGCCGATGCTAACAACCACAAACTGCTACTCACCATTGAAATCAACATCAAAGAAGTCGCTACTTGAGCGCACCGAAGAGGATTTATCTGACGCGGGAGATGAACAGCAGAACAGCCAGTTCACGAAACTTGCTAGGAGCAAGATCCGTTGGGGTGCTGTGGAGATGCCACCTGAATGGTACGCTGAGTACGATAACGAGGACGCTACCGTTGGACACCTTAGCTTCGGCGTTGAGGAAGACGACGTTACGCCCCCGGAACCGGGACGTATGTATGCGTAACTAGAGTATGAAAGTCTAGACTTAGACAATGCGTTTTCTTATCTCAGGGGCTCTCCTTATAAAAGAAGAGGAAGAGTGAATAAGCCTCGACGATGGGAACGTCGATATCACATACGATCCGCTCGGCCATTCTCGGTAGTGTGCGGCCTCATCCGCTTAAGGTGTCAAATTTTCGCCTAAGCTTATTATAATCTCGGATTCATCGAAACGGATATCTTGCTTGACACCATACTTGGCTCCCACCTGCTCCGGGTTGTTTGATCTCTCACCTTCTACCACGAAGAGAATAGGAGTTCGTGCTCTGGATTTAAATCCTTCCATCCAATATTTGCTGTTTTAAGTATGCACTCAAACCTGCTATTCGTAAAAACCCGTCATAAACGTTGCGAGGCAGTCCAGAGGTTAGACGGTATTCACACTCTATTCTAGTCGCTAGTTAACACTTTTAATAATCGAGCTGCTATTATATTAGTGTATAGTGAAAACCCACTTGGACTACGAACTGGATGCTCGAGGACTGACCTAAAGGAGGATATCAAGCTATATTTGTATTTATAAGCATTTGATGGGTACTACTGGATTTAAGTAGAGCCATTGCGCATGTTACCCGATTGTGTTACTACCTACTAATCATAATGTCGTTATGTGACAAAGAGGCAACAAGTGATACACCAATAAGTTGAATAAATCATGCTCAACAATACTGGTGACATCATGAATCCCACTTAAGAAAAGACCGGAGGCATAAATGAGTGTAATGAATTTTAATACAGATAGATCATGCTATACATCCACTAGGATTCGAAATTAGCTCTGCTGAAGAAGGTATCGTGGGCTTCAAATTCTACTAAAGCGGATAGCAAAAATTATGATTTTTACGAATAGCCGTCTTACCGTCTCACCAATCTCATCATGGAAAGAGAAATGAGAAAGTCCGGACTAAAGTCCCCAGGCTTGACCCGAACTGGTCGAATTGGTGGGCGGTGGGTGGTAACGCCAGTACCGGACAAGGGGGTAACTGCCCAGCGGAATCGATTGGTGGGTCGATCTGGTCTAGATCATGTAATAGCCCGCATGGGCTTACGGGGATTAAACCCCGACTTGGTTTAACCCCAATTAGAGATTCGTTCCAAAATTTCGTAGTGCTTCGCCGCTGCCGATTCTTCTTTTCTTTCTACCTCGCGCACATCTCACCCCGCGAGTCCAATCGAGCACGAATAACAGCAGATTTGGTATTGCTGCATGGCCCCGTACAGTACAACAATTTAGCACTTGTGTAACCTTATTCTATACATAGATGTACGGATCCTGTATAGTAGATCTCATAGGGTGCATACATGTATACCTACACATAAGTATATGTCAAAAAAAGAGAAGAAGCCACGCTTTCTTTCTTTCCAAGTTGCTACCTTTTGGTAAATTATTTCGTTTACATAGTAGGTAGTTACTTTATTATTTCTAGTTACCTATATCGTTTCTTCTTATTTTTTTTTCCTCCTTGGCGACGCTTGGCAAGCTTACATGCAATACCTATCTCATTTAATGTATGCCGCATAAAATTGCTTTTCTCTTACTGGAACCTCCTGTTTTATACAGTATATACTGTGCCCTTACGGTGAGGTCTAGATGCTTATGTAGTTGTCAATCTGTTACCTTTTTTATCCTCTAAGATCTTGCGAATACACATGGCATGACATGGTCAATATTTTTCTTGTCGATCAGCAGGCCAAAAATTCACTGACAACTTCAACATGCACAATATGTTAAGTACCTGTTAAGTAGGTATTTATATAAAAGTTCAAGACAACAGAGCGTTCGTTACCAAATGCCAATTATCCAAGCAGATGTAATTGGAGTCGATAAGGATAATGTACGGGTCTAACTAGAAATGGGCTGAGCTGGAGCTTTAGCTGGCTTTTAAGTACATGTACGGTGGACCATTATTACAACTGTGCCAAAATCAAGAAAATAGGTCAGATCTGTCCAAAAAAGGCTAGTATGAAAGGTGCACAGTATACTATGCGGGGTATATACAAGTTTTCTCATTACTTGTTTATATTATTAATAACTTTTTGAATATTCTTTCTAAAAATTTAAATAAAATATCTTTATTTCAATTAAAGTATGAAAAAAATTATTAAAATTGTCTTGTAATATTTCTGATTTATTTTGTAAAGATAATGTGTAATATATGATGTATATATAGGATTCCAAAGTGGTCATAAAGGGTATCACGTGCTAGCTTATCTGTATAAGACTTAACCTCTTTGTATAAGACTTAGTTAACCTTTTTGTATAAGACTTATTTGATACTGACACAACACGCCAGCCAAAGGCCATATATAAATGCAACCTGCATTGTTATTTTCGCATTGAATGAGGCTATAATATCATACTAATTATAATATTTGAAATAGTATATTGGTAAAGTTATTTGAGTATGTGTATACGTGTAAGTAAGTGTTATTATTGAATTTACCTATGTATCTCGTATATATAAGGCTAAGGCTAAGGCTAAGGTAAAGGCAATATCTGATTGGCTAATCTTTTAAACTTTTGGAATAGGAAAGACTACCTACCTAGGTATATAGCTGTCTTAATATCTTTACGAATATTGGGTCAAATTACATGCGATTTGGATAGTAATTTTTATCATTTTTGAATCGAAATATTGGTGTATTTTGAAAAATATTTGGATACATATTCGTAAAGTTATTGTGGTATAAGGTTAAAAGGGGTGTTAACTGTGTATACAGCGCATATTAATTGAGCTTACACTGTATTTTTGCCTTACTATTACCTTATTAGACATAGTGCCACCTATTTTCTCGATTTTGGCACAGTTGTAATAATGGTCCACCGTAACATGCATAATAAAACGAAGGAATGAACGACTGCCACTACCACTGTCACTGTCCTTGTGTACATATGGTACAGGTTGTGTGGTAGCACCGCGTTCTATTACTCAAGTCCTTGCTAGGCAATACCCAAGCAATACCCATGTATGTAGCGTGGCAGAATACTAACCTAGGCAATGGGCAGTGGGCATAATAGTCTATTCGCCGTTGCACCTGCACCCAAATTCAGTACCCCCTTCCAATTGACATTCCCCTACCTTGCATGGAAGTACCGGCCAAAGACAAGGGTACCCTACCGAACCTACCGAAGTTCCGTGAGCTGCGAACGGTGATCAATGTTCCTCTCCGAAGTTCTTCTCCTTCCAATTCCACTACTATCCACTATCTGAAGGTAGACAAGCTTACCTTACCTCGAACTTTTTACCTTAGCACGTAACCATACCATCGTTACTTTTCACCTTCTTACCCTTCTTCCCTCGTTGCACTAACACGACATTCTTGACACGGCAGGGTGGGTGACCGTTGTATAATATTATATTATATCTGTATAATCATATTATCTTTCTTACCTTTGTCAGACCTGCCTATACTTCGGTGTGTGGTGTGCTGTATCTTAGACGAAGTAGAATTCGTTAAGAGATTTGATAGCTCGTCTTTCATCGTCGCGTCGCTTTTTTATCCCTCCCGACTTGCGATCGAGCTCGACTAAACCGCGACGTTCGGAGGATGCATAGGTTACGGTATCCACCAGATTTCCCGTTATAGGCCGGAATAATGAGAGTTGCGATCCGGGAGCAGTTGGCAGCCCTCGTGCTACTTGCTGTGCTCGTCGCGCTCGCTATCGTCTCTATACCTACTTGGATTTACGTCAACCGCTTCGTTATTGGAGTAGAGACTAATGGTCTCTCCTTAACCGCTTCTCTCAAAGCTGCTCGCGTTGCCTCCGAAATCGAATTGATCCAGACGACATGTAATCACATAGCAACGAGACTACTTATTCAAAACGCTCTTGTATCTTTTTATCGCGGTAACGAATCTGATGCTCTTTGGGACTCTGCCTCCGCCGATATTATCAGCGCCTTGATCACTCCGCCGGGCGTTTCTACGAATCTTCTACAATCAAGAATCTATTCGCGAAATGAGACTGGCGCAGATCGATCTGGTGGACTTCTAAGTGTAACAGGTAGCAACATTTCCGAGGTTAGACTGCCTTATAAGGCACCTGATGGGTCACAAGCTATCTTAGGTGATAACCCTTCGGGTTATCCGCCGTCACTGTACCCAAACATAACATATTACAGTTCAGCAAATCCCGACCCAGGCTATCCTAACCATACTGCTGTCGTAGCTAGGCCATTTCCAGATATACGAATTGACTCGAGTGTTGATGGCATGGTATTAGGACCGCTCGTAATCAATGAGACATACGCCCTCATCTCATTGACTATCCCGATCCGCAGCAATCGGAACGATGAGGTGATACTTGGATATATGACTACGATCGCCGATGCTACCTCGCTCGTTAAGATCGCTGCGTCTAAAGAGGGATTAGGAGATACTGGCACAGTTTTACTCGTCGGTCCTTCTACAGGTTGGAATCGGTTTAGCAAATACAACTTACCTGCGAATGCGAGCCATGAAGCGGCGACTAATTTCTCGAATGTCGACGTCAATTTTGTCTTACCACCGCGGGTAATGCCTGGTCAATCAGATAGGCATACGCTGCATAATTATGCCTCTGGAAATTTCAATCAGCCTTTCAAAGTCATAAGATACAATGCGGCATACAGGGCCTTTACTAGTCGAAACCCCTCGATCAATAATGCTAGCAGTATACTTTCCACCAAAAATGAGCAGGGGGTTGACGTTGCCGTCGGATATGCTCGGCCGCAGACTTCGCTGGTTAATTGGACGCTCATCGTCGAACAGGACAGGTCCGAGGCTTATATTCCTATCGATACACTCCGACGTATACTGTTAGGTTGCGTTTTCGGAACCGTTGGACTCACCCTACTTTTAGTTATACCTTGTGCTCATATGAGCGTTTTGCCTATTCGCAGATTAAAGGCTGCCACCGAAAAGACCATTGCTCCTCCCGGCTACGCCGAAGCGTATATAGACGATCTAGACTACGATGAAGACGAGGACCATGAAGGATCAGGCAGCGGGAGTCGAAAATCTGTTAAAGGGGTTGTAATTCGGTTGAAAAGATTGATTCGAAGATCTACGCGATCAAGGACTACGCCATCGACCCATGACAGCGAGCCGCGAAGACGGATTTTCAAGATTCCAGGCAAAGTTAACGATCGCAAGCATTATGTAACCGACGAGCTTACAGAGTTAACTACGACTTTTAACGAAATGAGCGAAGAACTATTAAGGCAATACACTTCCTTAGAAGAGAAAGTTGCGGAGCGAACACGCGAACTCGAGATTAGCAAGAAGGCGGCTGAGGCCGCCAACGAGAGCAAGACTTTATTCATTGCGAACATCTCTCACGAGCTCAAGACCCCCAAACGGTATCTTAGGCATGTGTGCTGTCTGTATGGAAGAAGACGACTTGCCTCGGATCAAGCAGTCTCTGAAAACCCTTTATAAATCTGGAGATCTGCTCCTTCATCTCCTGGAAGATTTGTTGAGCTTTTCGAAAAACCAGATTGGTCAGCAATTAAGCCTAGAAGAGAGAGAATTCCGACTAGTTGACATTCGGTCGCAAGTAGCAACCATTTTTGACAAACAAGTTCGTGAAGGCTCGATCGATTTCTCAGTCGAATTCTTAGGCACCGAACCAGATATGAGTCCCGGTTTCGAACGAGCTGAAGTGGATAAAAAGCTCCCGGCTATTGGTCCTCTAGGGACTGGTAGGTTGAAAGATATGTGCTTGTGGGGTGACCAGCATCGAATTCTGCAAGTGCTCATCAACCTTGTGAGTAACAGTCTTAAGTTTACGCCGGCCGGAGGGAAGGTATCAGTGAGGATAAGATGTTTACGTGAAATTGAAGCCTCTTTCGATGTAAGCAGAACTTCATCTTTATCGAAAACTGGATCTGGTCGCCTAGGTAGGACAAGACATAGAATGGGGTCGGGTTCGAACAAGTCGAAAAGCTCAAACGAAATTCCAACTCCTCAGTCCCAATATAAGGGAGGAGGTACAGCATTGTCGATTAATCCTTTGGATCCTAAAGCAACACCCTACGTACGCATACGTGAGAGGTCACCAACACCACCTCCGCCAAGCGCGAAGTTATTCTTGTTCGAATTCGAAGTAGAGGATACCGGTCCCGGAATTCCGGATCATATGCAGCAGAGAGTTTTCGAACCTTTCGTCCAGGGTGATCTAGGTCTCAGCAAGAAGTTTGGAGGAACTGGCCTAGGGTTGAGCATTTGCCAGCAGTTGGCAAATCTGATGGGTGGAAGTATTTCTTTAAGAAGTACTGTCGGTGTTGGCACTACTTTCACAATGCAAATACCATTGAAGTACACCAAGGATAGGTAAGGTGAAATAATTTAGACGCTCAGATCGCCGGCTAACAGTTTATATTCTAGGACCTCCAGTACAGCTTCGAGTAGTGTCAAGTCACGCCCGACTAGCATTAGTTCGGTCGATGGGGATACCAGAAAAAACTCCCTAACATTAACTCAAACTGCAGCGGGTGCTAACGCCAATGTGCTTGATCAAAAACCGCGTCTTGTTGGACTTAGCCAGCCTTTCTTTGCTACTACCCCCAATGCTAAGGCACAGCCGACCCCGACCCCAGATGATCGAATGAAAGCTATAGAGATGGCTAAGGCAAGTAAAGGTGACGGGAAGCTGCGAGTTCTCGTCGCCGAGGACAACCCCACCAACATTGAGGTTGTCAGCAGGATGTTAAAACTAGAAGATGTATACGATGTGACCATCGCAAAAGACGGCCAGGAAGCGTACGAACTCGTAAAGGCGAACATGGAAAATAATCTTTATTTCGACTTAATTTTCATGGACATTCAAATGCCTAACCTTGATGGGCTACAGAGCACTCGCCTCATTCGGAAGATGGGATACTCAGCACCGATTGTGGCACTGACAGCCTTCTCGGAAGAGAGCAATATTAAAGATTGCATGGAATCCGGGAACGAATTCTTAAGCAAGCCTATCCGTCGACCCGCACTTAAGCAAGTTCTTAAGAAGTTCGCAACAATTCCTGAGGAGCCAGAAACGGCATCCCAATTAACTAGGAAGAGTACCCCTGAAAAGGGCGACCGACCCGCCATGGCCCGGGCACTGAACGGAGAAGCCCCTACGCCTTCAAATTCAACCCCCACCCCTAAAGAGCATCCCATTATGAATGGCGTACATCCAATCACGAATACAAAAATATGATCTCACCACCGCAATATTTATTTAAACCTGCATTTACTTACACATACCACGTTACACGATATCTCTAACGCTTGTCTATATCCCATTTTTGACTTTACCTTTAATCACTGCTAACCCTATTGTCATACTATTTTTTATATTATATATGCTATGTCGGTGCATCACGGCATTCTTCTACCGCATTCTTTGCAGCAGTTATATTCCGAAAGGGTATTCATACGGAAAGGCCTAAGAAAACGGCGAACCGGGAGCAGGGACACAAAAGCATCTGGCGAATCTGATTAAAAGGATGGCGAAGGCGTTACGGTTATTCTTTATTTTTATTTTTTTTTTTTTGGTTACGGAACCGAATCTCTCGTAGTGAAGTTGCGGGAGACGGCGAGAAATTTTCGGTTTCTTTGACCTCGCTGTAGGTCTAATACACGTTCCCAACATGCAAACAGGGAAATATTTTACACGCCATTTTAGGGGGAAGGCAACAGCTGAGTTTTTGGAAGAGTCACCACTTAGGCTAGGTAAACGACTTTTTAGGCCAGAGGTTAAACAGTCACAATTTGGCGATCAATAAAAAGTCCAATGGCTACCGAGAGAGATATAGCCGATCTGATGCAATGTACATATTTATCATATACAACAAGTATATATACTGATTACTGTATCAACTTGTCATATATCACAAAATTCCAATTTATTTGCTCTACGATGATCTTTTGGAGGTTTAAAACTATCATTTACAGCTGTAGTAAAGGTGCCGGTTAACTTGCCGAACTAGTGAAGTAGTCAAGACGAAGAACCTATGATTGGCGCTCCCCGATCTCGATGTACCATGCGGTCCGATATTCGGGATGTGGAGAGTTGCGGATTGATTATACCCGAGGATGTCATTATCGGAGATGTGACACATCCAGCTTCAAAGGTAGGTTGGTTAGTGAGTTTTACCCGTCCTATTTTATAATATAATTGATATATCGTATCTCGACTCTACGTATTCTTTGTCATACACATTTACATTATTTACATACTTACACGTTCACTTCATCACACACACTGTATACATACCTCCTATCTGTCTATTTATCCAGCAGCAATGCGTCTCCCTACGTCCCCAACCCGCCGCAGCCGGCCTCCGAAGACGACGCCGCCATCGTAGCACGCATCGCGGCTCGTCGGGCCCCGCGCCCCTTACAGGCGCTGGATCTGACGTTGCTACACTCGCCGCCGGTGGCAGACGGTTGGAACAGCTTTCTAGGCGCAGTGCGCACAAAGACGTCGCTCGACGACCGGGCGCGCGAGATCGCGATCTGTCGGGTCGCCGTGTGTAACGGGGCGTGGTACGAGTGGGGACACCACGCGCCGCTTGCTAGGGCGGCGGGGGTTAGCGAGGAAGGGATGGGGGTCGTGGGGAGGGATGCGTTGTTGGTGGAGGGGGGAGAGGATGGGGATAGGGAGGAGAGGGGCAGGAAAGAAGCTGAGAGAGCGGGGTTGGGGGAGAGAGAGTGGGCGGTGTTGAGGTATGCGGATGAGATGACGCGGAACGTGCGGGTGTCGGAGGAGGTGTTGGGGCGCTGAGGAGGGTGTGTAGTGAGAGGGAGGTTGTGGAGGTTACTGCTACGGTGAGTTGGTTTTATTTTTACCTATGTGCTAGATTTATTACATACCTAGGGATGCTGGATACGGGATGGGTGTATTGGAACTTTGTCGTATTTCACCTGATGAGAATTATGAGGCTAATGAAATTTATATAGGTTGCGGCGTATAACTGCGTCAGCCGGTTTCTAGTCGCGTTGGACGGTAAGTTCCCCCTTCTCTTGCATTATATCTTCTTCTAAAGGGACAGGTTGGACGAGACGGCTCTAGCTAACGGTTGTGATTATAGTTGGTGAGAAAAATGGTACTGGGCCTGAGGCTGGACATTGAGAGGAATTGGAACTATTACTTGGAGTTGACAAGATATTAAAATTGGTTGCTTCTTTTTATATGTGAGGCAATGGTTGTGAGCGTGTAGTATAAATACATATGCCAGCGAGACTCTTAACATCCACACCCGTACCCTTTATCCTACGAGAAAACTCAGTATTGAAATGCTTAAATTAACCGCTAGCTTAGCTAGAGCTTAGCTAGGTACCTATATTCTCGACAATGTAATTCGATTTCCTTTCCTTAATGACCATCCACCCAGTTCTTTTACACCCACCCAAGCCTACACTAAACCCGTCCAATACATATGACATTCCTGAGGGATAGTAACCAATCCCTATGAGGCCTAGTATCTAAATATCCTGATATGTGAAGATACAAAAAAGAGAAGCAAGTTGAAATATACCCGTGAAATGTGCGGGGGGATGTAAAGTAGTAATAGTAGTATGTAGCGAAGAAAAATAAATAAATAAATAGATAAAAAAAAAAGAAGGGGTATCTCGTGAAGTGACCAGAACTCCGTGTGGAATAGAATAATATAGATATGTGTAAATGCTTATAAGTAAGCTCACCAGCATCTCGAAGGGTCGTGAAGGGTGTCGTTATACATGGTCATCGTCGTCGTCGCGTATGCGATGTGCTCTTGCTCGTGCTCCTGTTTGTACTGTATTCGTCAGGGGGTCGTCTCAATCGCTCAGTTCTTAACTCAAGTCTTGTTCTTTTGTCTGTGTCTTTATTGTATCTGTATCTTTATTTTTATCTTCCGGAATAGAGTCTATCGCGTTGCGAAACCGCCCGTTGTCCATCTCTGGTGTTAACGATATAGGGCTACCTAGGGGCGATATGAGGGGCGGCGATCTCATGGCTAGTTCTATCGAGGCGTGCCGCTTTTGCATCCGTGGGGATCTCTGGAGCTCCTGCACGACACCCATCCAGTTCATTTGGTGCGGTGGTTTTTGCGGTGTCCTGTGCGGCGTCTGGTGGGACGCTTGGTGGGACGTTTGATGCGGGGTCTCATTCTTCTCGTGATGTCCTGTCGTCGCCTGTGTTGTTAACCTTCTTAACGGTGGTTTCTGTTTGATGCCTTCGGTCAGCCCCTTTGGAAGACACGGTCTAGTAGGTATCTGATGTTGGAAATGCAGAGCTGCCTTCTCCGAATCTTTCGGCGTTGTCCTCTCAGCCTGTTTCGCACGGTCCCCCGCTATCGTCGCGACGATACCCATATATACCACTAGGAATCGCATGCGCAACATGTCGAGCCGCCGTACCCTCTCTTCCAATTTTTTCTATGACCCGCCCAGAGTAATCGCGCGCTGATACGCAAGGTCCGACCGCCCTCGGCTAGGATGAGGCGGTTTAGTTCCTCCCGCAGATCGTCTCCGCTCTTCTGGATCTCGCGCAGCAATCGGCCCAATCGCAACTTATCCGCCAGCCTCGGCACCTTCTCGACGTCTCCATCGAATCCCTCATTCTCTTGTATAGAAGAGTCTACAGCTTCGAGAAAGGTGGCTATCTCGTGGGGCGCGGCTAGGTATGCGGTTGCGTAGGAAGTAAGTATGTGGGCAGCGACCAGAAGGGCAAGACAAAGGGCGGTGACAAGGAGGAGCAGGGTCCACAGCAGCAGTGAAGAGGGGTCAAGCATGATGAGTTGTTGCTGCGTGGCGGATGGAGACGGGGATGGGTAACGGGACCATAGAGGAGAAGGGAATTTTTGACTATAAATTCATGGTTCGTGGGGTTTGATGCGAGATGAAAGGTGAATAGCGAATTAGACAAATCTAAGATATTCTTAGTGGAGGGTAGAAAGTGGTGACGTCCGTCTAGGTCCCCTTTGGTTATTTGTGGTTGGTAGATCGGTTGCGCGCGTGGGAGGTCCGGAATAAGAGAGACAACTGACAACTACCTAAGAACTTGAGAATTGTTGAGGGGGCGTTTCTACTTCGAGAAGCTACTTCGAGAGACCTGCTGCCGCTTGCCGCTGCCCGCGCGAACTTCAATAAACTCTTGCATATTAATTATGTACAATTCCGTGTCCAGAGGCTAGGGTTGCAGTCTATCGCCCAATAGCGGAGGCCACGGGATCGGTGGCGCAGTGGTACCTACAGTAGACCAACCCCTCTAAGGGTTAGGGGAAGAAAGGAAATGCATATATGGTTATCTTATCATACGACACCTCATTATAGGACGAGTTCTCGAGAAGCTTTATTCTACATAGTGAGCTGAGGATGGGGGTTCATTGTTCTATAGGGCTTTATCTAGCTACTATGATCATATGTTATCGCCTGACATAGTAGAGGTTGTATCTATACCATAACTAATAGGACAATATTAAGTATAACTACAAACATTAGTATCCCTCGAGTCTTTGTTGTGTTGGAGTGTATAAATCTTAGTAATAGAAGATGGTATAAAACTGATGATTAAGTAATTCTCGCTTACTGCTATATTCTACGAAGCGGTAAATTTTGTTAGTGTATGGGACTTATATAAGTGCGAGATCGAAGAGAATCTAACGTCTCTGGCAAGCCCTAAAACGAGAAGAATCTTTAACGACTCCTGTATCGGACTTTGGTTTATTAAATACTAACTACTATTTAACATTAGTTAGTAATCTTTTAAGTGTTAGTCGTTTATGATGGTTCCCTATCCCGATAAAATACCCTGTAGCACAACGAGTTGTGCTAATTGGAAAGCTTGCCGGCGAGGCTTTCCAATTAAATACGTTGAAAACCAAAGCCGATGGCTTCGGTTTTTTAAGAAAGGTACGTATCTGATTTTAGACTAAACTATATTTATACATTTCGGGTAAACTTCAGCCAATAGGGTAAATGCAAAGTCGTAAGGTTTTACTAGCTTGAAAATCCGATCCCTCTACAACTCTATAGACAGACTAAATTTAACTTAGGAAAGCAAGCTTCCAATTACTTAGATTGAGGACATGAGAAATCAATAATAAGGTATCAAGGCCTTATTCAAAGAGCACTACTCCTTTTTAGATATGTCTAGGTAGTTAGACCATCTTCTAGCTTTCCAGAAAAGAGTATATCGAAGTTTACTTGATCTACTATTAAGTATTTCTCATTGGCTTAACTACTACCTTATACTTGGTAACTACCTGTAGATGGGTTAATGGTAACTATTGAACTCCTAGAACTTCTTACAAGGCAACTCTAAAACTCCATAAATAAAAGATTAAACCACCGACTTGGCTTTACTTTAGTTAAACCTACTATGTATGATTTAATGTTTTTAGAAAAGGTTCGTGTTATCTCATATTGGTTAGGTGGACCATAAGATGATTCAATCTTGAATCAAATGCGGACTAGAAACCCTCTTGGCCTCAGGAATCATTATCACGTAGAGGTGTCAAACTTTTATACTGACCGCTGGCATTTCGATGTTTACCGACGAAGAATAATATACTTGGAATAAGTCATCTTCCTTTCCCACTCCTTTGTTAACTGTCCTACGTACTAATTTTTGGGGATTTCATACTTGACTTGGCTTATTGTATAACTAGTTACTATAAGTTAAAGATCATAGTTGTCTTAGCTGAAGTATAAGAGCTAGATGAGCTGAAAAGAGTAGGGAGACCTAGGTGGGTCAGAGTACCAGCTAATCGTTTCGTCAGACAGCGGTGTGCTTCGCAGGTATCCTTGCAATGGAACAGTAGAATGAAGATCAAGATAAAAGAATCTATTTTGTTTTAGAATATGCTTTAGGTGCATGAGCCTTACTGCTTCCCAATCTTTCGGGTTCTTCCCTGACCTGGCGAAGTGGGACTTAAGCTAATGAATGAGGTGCAGCCGCAGCTGCTGCCACTGATGGCACAGGCGCATATCATCGCGGGGCAGTTTGTGTTACAAGGTAGCGATAAGCAATTCGATTAATAAAATAGAACTCAATAATAGAACTTGCACTAAATATACCTAACCTAACACAATAGACCTAATAGACCTTCAAATATAACCGGCTTCTATATAATCGCAATTTCAGAACTGCTTACAAAATACCTATCAGCACAATGGCGGCAGACACACCACAGCCTTGCCATCCGCACAACAGAAAGACGACAAAACCGATCAGTTCCCCCTCCCCACCATCCTAAAATACCCCTCGTCCACCCCGCCAGCCCTCATCACCCAAGGCGCCGAAGCACGCCTCTACAAAAACAACCTACCTCCTCCCATCCCTCCCCGCAGCGCTCAAATACCGCCCTCCCAAACCATGGCGTCACCCCGCCCTCGACGCACGCCTGACGCGCCACGCATCCTAGCCGAAGCCCGGGTCCTAGCGCGGTGCCGACGCGCGGGCGTCCCGGTCCCCGCCGTATACGCCGTTGACGAGGCAGCTGGGTGGTAGCCATGGAGTGGGTGGGGGGCCCGCCGGCCCGCGCCGCGATCAACGAGTGGTTGCGGCGGAGGAAGGGCTGAAACGCTGGGGGAACGAGGGGGATGCGGTTCCGGTTACGGGGGAGAAGAAGGAAGATAAAGATTTAGTGGCGCTGATGCGTCGGATAGGAGTGCGGTGGGACGCATGCATGGCGTGGGTGTTGTGCATGGCGATTTGACGACGAGTAATATGATGTTGCGGCCGTGGGAGAAGGGTCGGGAGCCGGCGAATGGGCATGCGGGAGGAGGTGGTGGTGATGGGTTGCTGGATGGTGATATTGTGATTATCGATTTTGGTCTCGCAAGCCAGAGTACGTCTGATGAAGACCGCGCTGTGGATCTATATGTTCTAGAAAGAGCGTTTGCCAGCACGCATTCTCGCGCGGAAGGGTTATTTACGGCTATGCTAGAAAGCTCATATAAGGAGACTTTTAAACAAGCGCCTGTGGTCTTGAAAAAGCTCGAGGAGGTTAGGATGAGAGGGCGCAAGAGGAGTATGATAGGGTAAAGCCACGAATTAATTATATTCCACGAGTAATTCGATGCTGTCAAATGATATTAGGGATATCGAATTTGGTGTGTTCGCGTTGAAAATAGATGCATAGTTACTACACACTCTAGACTCGTGTAGTTGTGTATTCATAATCTAATGCTGGTAGTCCCCAATCACCAAATGCCATTGTTACCCGAAATATGCATAAGGAACAGATAGAACGCTGAGCCCGCCTTATGCCTCCTCTACCGTCTCCGCGCTCGCAAAGTAGCCTTTATTCTCAATGACTCCCCGGTCCTTGACAAACGCCGTATACTTGACAACCCACTCAGGGATGATCTCCCCTTTGAGTCCGCTACTATTAGGTTCGCCGTCCGCCAGGACGCCAGCGCCCTGTGGTCCTTGACCAAGAAGCTCCCGCAAGGTGCCGCTGGGTAGGATATCTGTAGAATCGTGATGGGTGTACAATTCGATGCCTTCGTCCTTAGCAAGCTTTGCCAGAGGCGGAGGTACATTGCAGCAATTCCTGATATTGATCTGGTTAACGGTAGGCCGCACTTTGACCTTGTCTAGAAACCTCTTTAGTTTGTCGGTGCCGAATTCGGAAATTCCGAGTTGTTTGATCTGGCCCTGGTTATACAACTTTTCTAGCAAACTCCACGTATTCACTTCTTCCTCGTCGTTGCCCATTGTCGCATTCTTTCTATCGGCTTCCCATTCGCAGTCTCCCTCAAACGTTAAGCCAGGGTATGAGGCTATAAGGAGGTCGACGTCGTTTACGTTTAGCTCTTTCCTAACCAATCGCAATGCTTCTTTAATATAATCAATTCTCTTCTCGGGAGGTGCCGTTGGTAGAAAGAATAACTTCACGGTAATCTCGTATTGCGAGCGATCCTCTTGTAGCCCGGCCGATTCCCAGTCGATGCGGGGCACATACAAAGTAGAGTCTTCCTTTTCCGTCCACACCTCTGGCGCTGGTCGGCTGCTGTATCCATTTTGCCCAGAATGAGAGGCGTGGCCATTACCGTTATGAAGTATAGAGGCGTATTCTTTTTGCGCAGCCGAGAAGTTACTTCGGAGGGAATTTGTAAGTTCAAGATTGGACCGATAAGTGCCTGGTTTCCGAATGATAGAGGGGCCGTCCAGGATGACGTTCCCCGTAGATAAGATTATTCGTGTCATGGCGATAGAGAGGAATATGTTGGATATGAAGGACTAGACAACAACGTCGATCTAAATAAGAAGATATGATAGGTATAATATAGGCAATAATAGTAATAATATGAATGAATATTCAAGATAGGGAGGTAGGTACCATAAGTCTATTACCAATCGTATTTCATGCGATGCATGTGCAATGTAGGGGTGGGTGGGCTGGTGGGTAGAAAAACTGAAGCTTTATAAATCGAAGTGGGGTCTTGATTAAATTCTAGCAATATTTCCATCCAAGTCCGGAGATAGTGAAAAAGGTACTAACCTTTTTACTAATCATAGGGTGTTGGATTTGATCTGCTTAGACCCGAGGAAAGACGATAGCAAACCGACGAAAACTCTTGTTGTCGTATACGAAAGAGACGACAAGAGTGTTTGGTGGTAAAGGAAGCGTGTAAAGCCAACATTGATGAGATGAGATGAAGAACGCCGACTACGGCTTAAACGAAATGGTACGTATTGCCACTAATATAACAAGTGAATCGCGGGATCTGCTCGCATGTGGTGGTGATACGACTAGCGGGAGGACCCCTAGATTATAGCGTAGGTTGTAAATATAATGTAGACAACCCATAAGCTAAGTTACGGGTGTAAGTTGCGGGTGTGGGACATAGGTCATTCGAAATCAAACTGTTATGGACAGGTCACTCACCCCGATTCACCCACTCAAGATATGCCAAAAATGGAAAATCCATACTAGAGACCATAGTGTAAGGATTCACCTTTCAGTCATAGAATCATGTGGGGTGTTGCAATCAACGTTATCGCCAAGGCTTCAGGACTTGGATTTACTCGGTGGGTTGATAAGTCTCTCGGTTGGAGGTTGGAGATATCATGCCGTCGGCCTTATTTTTATTTTTTTTTAAATGTTTGGTTCTAGAAGCTGAAGAGATTATAAAATATTGCAGGTCGAAGTTTTGTTGACTAATACCGTGGGGTGATAGAAGTGAATCGGACCGGCAAATGTTATGTCGGCTGGCTATAATTTACATGGGTATTTCGTACCCCCTTAGCTGAATGCGGTCGCTTAATTCGAAAATTGACAAGCTCGTGCCCAACCCCACTATCGGCTACTAAGAAATTGCTTCTGCTTCTGCTCTTGCTGTTCCATTCCATCAGTCATTTTACTACTACCAACATACTAATAACAGCAAAGCACATCCAATACCTGACAGACCTCTTCTTTTTTAATCCTGCCATGGTAATGTGAGAAGCGTGAAAATGGCTATTAAGTATGCCATCAAACTCTCGCTATTAGCATTAAAACACAGCTAATCATTAACATGACAGCTACTTGATCCTGCTGTCTCGGCAGGGCAAGGTGGTATGTTAATGCAATTCTTCTTTTGAGCCCTGCTTCATTGAAACTAATCGCATATCAGCGCCTAGCTAAATGGTTTACCACCTTGTCTCCCAAGGACAAAGCGAAGATCGTCAAGGACGTCTCTCAACTAGTCCTCGCTAGACGAACTCGCATGTGCAACTTTCTTGAATATAAAGGTCCGCCCCCTATTAACTACTAATATCATACAAGGCTGCTCACCAACCAACCAGATACCAAAATCGTCTACCGCCGTTACGCCTCTCTATTTTTTATTGCCGGCTGCTCTTCCGATGACAACGAGCTGATCACGCTCGAGATCATTCACCGATACGTCGAACAGATGGACAAATACTACGGCAACGTCTGCGAGCTCGACATCATATTCTCCTTCACGAAGGCATACTATATATTAGATGAGATATTATTAGCAGGGGAACTACAAGAGAGCAGTAAAAAGAATGTACTCCGCTGCATAGGGCAGCAAGACTCTCTCGAAGATATGGAGGTAAGTCGCCTATTTGGGTTTTTATTCATACTATTTATCCACGCTCCAAGTTATCGTTTCGGCAACCTACGCAAACTTCAATCTCTTCCCTAGCAATCCTTAGTCCCACTGACATGGCTTTTTTTCGGTCCAGGTCGAGGACGAGGTTACGAAAATCATGTAACAAGTTACAATGTATTTTTTCCCGATCGGATTGCAGTCCAAGAATGATTCTTTTAGGGCACGGCGCAACGGGTTTCAAATTATAGTATTATACGCTCTGCATTTACAAACATGCTTACCTATATTCAATTACTTTCACAGGTCTCCAAAGAAATCGAAGATGCGTTAAAGGAGGCTGGACTCATGTGATCGCAGAGTTGCAATGTCGTCCGCGACAGGCGAGTCGTGTTGCATTTGTTAAACGTATGACGGTCGTTTTGAAGTGACGCAATCTCAATGCCGTATCTCTTTCCAACCTATCGCTCAGCATCCATTACGAATCGTTTATGCTACGAGCTTATCAGCAAATCTAGGACATCTTCCGGCACATGTTTACGCAGTTATTCAACCAGGCCAAGACGATGCATATTATAAGCGAATAGAATTCAGCTACTTGAGAACTATCTGAATGCTAATTAAGCGTCTATCGGTTACGAAGCTATTGCATGATGAAGATACTAGGTATGTTAGTCCAAAACGCGCCGTTGACGCTCGTGGGATCTTGACGTTATCCTATTCGCTTAGTCTTCAAACTGGGCTATTAATCGCTATTGGTGCTGTTGGTTTAGGTATAGTGGAAGGCTGCCAACCCCTTAACTAGCTAGTAGCAAACCAGTATCAAGCCACACCCCTCCAAGCTCCGATAGTTCCCCCCCCTGCGCCCTGAGACCCGCGTTACTGCCAACTTGCGACCGGATTCGAGAAGACAAGGAAACGGCACACGGCAAACACCCGGCTTCCTTGGGGGGGTGGTCCTTCCTTGTCAGCCATGTCAGACAAGCACCAAACACCTGATCAATCACTGCAACACATTATCTCCCCCCGGCTCTCCAATCCGAGAAACCGTCGCAACTCACCTCTTCCACCTTCAAAGGCTTCAATTATACATTCGACGACCATAATACTCATTATATTCCAATCCAATTTCGATTATACTTTTACGTAATGTTCTACGCTCCCTGCGTCTACTAGACGATACATCGTCTAGTTTATTCTATTTGAATCAATATTGCAGGGATTGAAGTGCGCATTCGTTGTCTTTCTTTATCAGCTTACGGGCTCCAAGTCAACTACGCACACATCCGTCAGGACGATAATTATCTTTTAACCAGCAACTCATTACTCTAGACCAGGTGTCACCCGTTTACTGGTTGACTCCGGTCTTTTTAACGATCCTTCGAGGCCATACACAGCTATTTCCCTTCGGCTCCGAGCTTTCGTTTCATTTCGCGGTCAGCATCTACATTAACCATACCCGACTATTACCCCCTTCGCATCATATGATATATTCATTTATGCCATTGCGAAATTATCACCGACGCAAAGATGAAGGTTCGTGCATTTGTTGTATAGGGTTAGAGCATGTTTATGGATTTGGACTTGGAAGTATTGCAGGTCTTAGCTAACCATTATCATCCACGTAGTTTCTCCCACTTCGCGATTTCGACGTCATCACCACGGCGCTAAACTTCAGCACGGCTGAGTGTCGTGTCAAAGGCGGATGCGATCTTTATACGACAAAAGCCGCTGGTTCTGATAAGAAACTATACAAATCAATCGAAACATCTCTCGAAGCTCAACATGCGGCGCTCATTAAATTCGGTGCGTCGCTCTCACCGCCACAACGCAAGGAGATGGCTGCATCTCTTAATCTATCCCGTTCCAGCCCATTTGGTAATATGAGCGAGATTTCGAGCCGTCGCACCTTTGCCTATCTAATCGCGACATTAAACGCGAGCCATCCCGACTATGACTTTTCCCACGTCTTGCGCCCGACGGACTTCCGCCGCGAGCGCAACCTACAACATGTAATGGCGAACATTGATAACACGCTGAATAGTGTGCGACCATTAGGCTCTTCGCTTCTTTCACCTGATGCGAATTCTTCGTATCGTTCTTATGGTGGTTCTCCTGCGCCAAACCTGGCCTCAGGAGGTGATGCAATTAGTCCTGCTTGGAGTCCACACATGTGGACCATGATCGATACGGAGATGACACTAAAGGACTGCACAGTATTTTCGTATCAACCGCTCGAGGACCCTTTTGATGGTGACGAGTCCGCTATCTGGCGTCTTCATTATTTCTTCTTCAATAAGAATAAGAAACGTGTTGCCTATCTATATATTAGGGGTTTACCAAACTTAGTCAACTCGCCCGCGCTTGCACCCCATAGGCGCGGGAGTAATGGACTGTCCAAGCGCCATGCAACGCCCCTACCGGGTAGCTTGGGTGCAAACAAACGCGCTAAGTTCTGGCTGGGAGATCAACTCGCAAGTCGTATTATCGTCGACAATGATTATGATTATGATGACGACGAGTATGACGATGCCGATATGATCCAGTATGACCCAGATGAGGATATTGAGATCGATCCATTGCATGATCCCTCTTCCGACGAGGAGACCGATCAATATGATGACGATGACGAGGAAAGTGAATACGAACAAGCTGCGCATTCTATTAGGGGCATGAGTGAAGACATCGCGGCGAGGATGGAAATGTAAAAAACCGGTATAATATTATCCCTACGGTCAGACTCGGCTCCCTTTCCATTATTCCATTTCTTTTTGGCGTTCAAGGATGGAATGGGGACGGGGGCATCAGGATCTGGGGGGTAATGACGGGCATGAAACCAATAGATGACCTCTGTTCTGAGGCCAACGAGCCAGGTTCACGATGTCTTCAACAAGACAGCACAAATGGGTGTATGAGTTTTTGGCGTTTTGGACATGATGGCATGCGGTTGCGGTTATGGTTGAGGAGCGTGACTCGACGCTCGATACCCCATGATCAAATATGTCCGAGTTTTTTTTCTTTTGTAATAACCAAGCAGGCTGGCTCGCGGGCGAATTGGCAGGCGCTCGAATGTCGGCGTGTTGTTGTTTAAGCGTAGTTCTGATGATAATACATGCTTTCGTTTAGTGTACTATTTGATGGTCCAACTCGTGCGAGTGCATGAAAACTCCATACAAATTCTAAAGCTGCACAGTATTATACCGAAGATATAATGCTTCATTATAATAAAGCAAGTATACATCAGGTACTTTAGTTGTTCAATGTTATAAGCATGGAAAGTTTGTAATGCAAGGTATGTTCACCAGAATCGAAACCGAACCTATTATAAAATTACTTTTTGAGGGATAGACAGCTCAAAAGAAAGATAGCCTTGTGATACCAATGTTTATACTCACTATTACTACCTTAATCGCTTGACAAATTATGTCCGTAAATCAGGGGATTATCATATCGCAATTCAAAGAGTCCGGTAAAGACTATATCCTTATGTGAGGAATACAAGGTTAAGCAACTACGCTGTAGTATGAAAAGTTAAAAGACCAACTATGTTAAACTACTAGTATGCATAGAGGTGACCGAGCACCCCTTTTCATAGTTTTCTTAGGATCGTCATTATATAATAAACTAAGAGGCTATAGTCAGGTAAATAAATCCCGTAAAGGACTTTTGATTATTAAGATACTTCTTCAGGAAGGTTACTGAAAGGAGATGGTATTCGAGTGGTGAGTTTAGTGTTTGTTTTCATATTATGCATAGAAGGTACGAATAAGTCTGAAGGTATCTGAGTCCCATATCCCAAAATTATATGACATGTGTACTTAGCTGGAGGGAATGTTAGCTTACTGGAATCATTGGGAACTCGATATTTTTTTATAAAAGAAAATCCATTTCCCCTAGGCTATTAACGTATATATGCATCCTACTATCTCCTTGGTCTCCTCTATCTCGCACCATAAATATCGTCAACCTTACCATCATCACCACATCACACTTTAGCAACTTCCCAATTTATCTATTATCCTCGTATCAGTATGAGCTCGTCTAGATCATCGTGGCCACGAGATGGCAAGAAAAACGACGGAAGTGCTGGAGAGCTTGAGACATTCTGAACACAGACTGAGTCCAATTACAACAACAGCGACAGCGACGACAGTTCGAGCGTGGAGAGTGAGGGCGAGGGAAATGAGAGCAAGGAGACTGAAGATGGGGACTCTTCTGACCAGGGTGACTCAAGTGATGATGAATCAAGCCATGGTTCAGACGAGGGTGGCTCAGATGATAATAATTCAGATGGCTCACGCACTTATGTGAACTCGACTACTAGCGAGCTTAGCTCTGATAGTAGATTCAGCTCGGCTACTACTCTGGTCTGGGATTCTGAAGACGACGATGAGGACTCCGAGGAGTAAGACTGTTCTTATTTTCCTTTACGTCAGGAGTTGACTTAAGGAGGCAGTCAGTGGGGGACGCCTAGAATTAGAAAACTATGGTTAGACTGAACCGCATTGATTTGCGGTGATTTGTGAATTTACTATGAATATCTACCTGAAGCTTTGAAATATGATAAGGGGCTGAAGATGTAGTGGTGCGATATTGTGGTATCTCGAAACATGTGAGTTGCTTGACTCTCCCTTTTAACTACCTCTAAGAGAAGGATGTAGTGGTTCTGTAGTAGGCCTAAGGGGTATAACTTGTCCGACGAGGCTGAAGTTGTTAGTACAATCACGGACTCGAGCTGGACTGACGAGTCGTGTACGAGGATGTACCACCGTAAGGAATGACACAACAGTATTTAGTACGTATGGGACGAGTCCATAGATACAACATGAGAAATCACATCTGAATCTTGCGCAACATATGTGCTGCTTCATCGCTGTAAGTTCGCATTGTGACACTATCTCCAAGTCATCAGTATTTTACCATATCCTCGCCTTATAAAACGCAGGCCGTCCCCCCTGGTGCTCAACCTTCCTTTTTGTATCCCAATTCGATAAATCTCATATAGGATAATCGCCAATTTCGATAAATACTAGCCACTTAGATTGGCATTACAGGAACTCGCCTTGTCATTGCTATCGCCATTGCCGTTATTTACTGCAACCCGATAAAGTGGTTCTTCTTCTACTTTTGGCCGAAAATGAGTTCTAGCTCATCCTCCGGCTCGTCGTCGAGCAACAGCGATAACAGCGGAAGTAATCAAGACTCCTCGTCTTCTTCTGGAGGCCAGTCGGGCGCTGATAGCGGTAATACGGATGTGGGAAGTGATGATGGTAGGCCAGATGATGGCTTCATGTTGCCTCCCTCAATTGAAGATCCGGAAGATAGCGGCTATAGTACCGACCATGGACAGTAATATATTGAGATTGTGAGAGGAATTTGAAGTTCCGCTTATTATAGGTAGCGTTGCTTTGGTAATTTCGATAGCATAGGGGAAGGATATATCATTTATTTCCCTTATTTTTATTTTTCTGCTTTCTTTCCATTGTATCGTGCACCTGTACTTGAAAATGATATACGAAAAAAGCTTTAACGTTTGATTCTTTTCTCAATTTTACCTCAACTTGGCAGCGTCTGTACACACTGTTTATATACCTACCTCTATGTATGTATGAACAATGGCACCGGCCTGATGCGATATATATGAAGCCAGAAATTGGTAGAAAATGGGATTTACGCGATCAATCTGTACTTGTATTTATTACCTAATTTCTTCTGTCTCGCACCTTTAGGTAGGTGCTTATGATAATAAGTGAGAATTTATGACATCTCCAGTCACAAATCATCCAAGACACCTATGCACCTACCTGGTAGGTCTCTCTTAAGGGGAAGGCGTGGATTAGATAAGCAACCCGGGAGGGCCCATTACGGTTACCTAGAGGGTCCCGTACCTACTAAATCCATTAAACCGCGTCGCGAATTAAAGTGGGTCCACTCTCCAAGCTCGCGTCACCTTACATCCTAATTTTTGGAGCAGACTTTGATACGTTCACATTCAGCCTTCTTTCATCCCTCTTTTTTTTCTTAATAGTTTTTCATTTTACCTTCCATCAATCAACTCTTCTATCTGCCATCTTTTCGCCAACGACTTTCGGGTCATCTACGAAGATGGCAGACATCAAGATCGATGGAAAGCTCTTCCAGGAGCGCATTAATCATTTCATTAATGCCTGGAAGGCTGATAAACGCGCTGGTGATACTGTATTTAGCGGTGTATCCTCCATTCTTATCATGATGGGTAAAGTAGAGGAGAACCCAGAATTCCAGAAGAATAATGCTATGCACGTATGTAATATTTGCAATATTCATGTTCTAGTGAATGGGGCGACATACCGTTTGAAGAGACTGACTTTTATTTAGTTCTGGTTATTAGGCTACGAATTCCCGACTACCCTCATGCTCATCACTACCGACACCCTTTACATACTTACGACAGCGAAGAAAGGTAGCGACTACCCGAACTTTCTATTATTGCGCAACTAGGCGACTGACTTTTACGTAGCAAAACACCTGGAACAATTGAAGGGTGGCCGGTTTCCGATTGAGGTATTGGTTAGGGGTAAAGATGTGGGCTGCAAACGAGAAGCAATTCATCAAGATTGCCGATACCATCAATTCCGCAGGAGTGAGTCATACAGCCTCTTTACTATATGTTGTTTTTCTTAGCTAACTTGATTTGGTAATTAGAAAAAAGTCGGCCTTCTCACCAAGGATAGATCGAATGGTCCTTTTGTTGACGAGTGGAAAAAGGTCTTTGGCGATAAATGTAAAGATGCTGAAGAAGTCGACATATCCGGTGCTTTATCAACCGCTGCTTTCTCCGTTAAAGATGAAACAGAATTGCGCTCTATGCGAGCAGCATCTAAAGCCTGTGTCGCGCTGATGACACCATTCTTTCTGGACCAGATGTCGGATGTCTTGGACCAGGAGAAAAAGGTGAAGCACAGTGCGCTTGCCGATAAAGTCGATAGAAAACTCGACGACGAGAAGTGGTGGAAGACAGTTGAGCTTCCCAACAAACAGAGATTACCTTCAGATTTCGATCCCGCGTCATTGGATTGGTACTTGGGTCCTGCAGTTCAGAGTGGTGGTAAATACGACCTAAAGCTTCAGACAGAGCCTACCGGCGACAACCTTCATCCCGGCGTTATTATCGCTGGTATGGGTCTCCGATACAAGTCCTACTGCTCTTCCATTGCGCGAACGTACCTCGTTGACCCGAATAAGACGCAAGAAAGTACCTACAAGTTTCTCTCTCTGTCCATAACCTGGTTTTGAAAGAGATCAAGGATGGCGTAGTTGCTAAGGACGTTTATAGCAAAGCTTTGAGCTATATCAAGTCTAAGAAGCCCGAGTTAGAGAAACATTTTCTCAAGAATGTCGGAGCGGGTATCGGCATCGAGAGCAAAGATCCTACGCTGGTACTTAGCGGTAAAAACTCACGAACCTTAAAGGATGGAATGACCTTATGCATAACAACCGGTTTCACTGATGTCGAGAATCCTTCCCCGAAGGATAAGCTTAGCAAGACATACTCCCTGGTCCTTACCGATACCATCCGAGTAACAAATAGCGATCCGGTTGTATTTACCGGAGATGCTCCTACCGATCTCGATGCGACCTCGTTTTTTCTTCAAAGATGACGAGGAGATGCAACCAACACTAAGAAAGAGAAGAAGGACTCCCGTGTGGGTGCTGTGGCTACTAAGAACATTACGAGTACCCGTCTCTACGGTCCGAGCGGTCTGCCAGTGGATGAGGACCAGAGAAGAGGCGACGTGAACATCAGAAAGAACTCTCTCAAAAGAAGCAGAAGGAGGGTTTGGCTAGGTTTGCTGAGTCGACAGTGGCCAGGACGGCGCAGAGGTGAAGAAGTTCAGAAATTTGAATCATACAAGAGAGACAATCAGATGCCACTAAAAGTCAAGAATCTCGAGATCTTGGTTGACCAAAAGAACCACACCTTGTGCTTCCTGTCATGGGACGGCCTGTTCCTTTCCATATTCACACCATTAAGAACGTCAGCAAGAACGACGAAGGAGAGTGGTCCTATTTGCGTATCAACTTCCTTTCTCCGGGTCAGGGAGTCGGTAGGAAAGATGATCAGCCATTTGAGGACGCCTCGGCACAGTTCGTTAGGAGCCTGACGTTCCGTTCTCGCGATGGCGATCGTTACGAGAGATTACAGCACAGATTTCTGCCATGAAGAAAGAGGCCACTAAGAAGGAGCAGGAGAAGAAAGACATGGAAGATGTTGTTGAACAGGAAAAGCTAGTCGAAATAAGGAGTAAGTGGATATATATATGCCTTTCATAATATTTCTATACTAACTAGTAGCTAGATCGACGACCCCCTGTTATGGACAACGTGTTCATACGTCCTGCGATGGAAGGGAAGCGAGTTCCTGGCAAGGTCGAGATCCATCAGAATGGTATCCGGTACCAGTCACCGCTTAATCCGCAGCAGAGAGTTGACGTGCTTTTCTCCCAACATTCGCCATCTGTTCTTCCAGCCTTGCGCCCATGAACTAATTGTGATCATTCATCTGCACCTCAAAGACCCTATCATCATTGGCAACAAGAAGAAGACAAAGGATGTGCAGTTCTATCGAGAAGCAACAGATATCCAGTTTGACGAAACTGGTAATCGAAAACGAAAATATCGCCACGGTGACGAGGACGAGTTCGAGCAAGAGCAAGAAGATCGTCGACACAGAGCTGATCTTGATCGGCAATTCAAGAGTTTTGCTGATAAGATTGCAGAGGCTGGCAAGAACGAAGGTGTTGAAGTTGACATGCCGCTTAGAGAGCTTGGGTTCAACGGCGTCCCGTTCCGAAGCAATGTTACGATCCAGCCGACAACAGATTGTCTTATTCAGATCACAGAGCCGCCCTTCCTAGTTGTTACACTAGATGATATCGAAGTTGCTCATCTAGAGCGTGTACAATTCGGTTGAAAAATTTCGATCTGGTATTTGTGTTTAAAGACTTCACTAGACCACCCGTTCACATCAACACAATTCCCGTTGAGTCACTGGAGGATGTGAAGGAATGGCTTGATAGTAGCGACATCGCATTCAGTGAAGGTCCTTTGAACCTGAACTGGCCCACGATTATGAAGACGGTTACAGCTGATACCCATCAATTCTTGGCGACGGTGGATGGTCGTTCTTACAGAATGAGAGCGATGACGATGACGGCCAAGAAGAGGAAGAGGAGTCTAACTTTGAGATCGACGAATCCGAGCTCGAGGAAGCTAGCGAGTCCAGCGAAGACGATTCGGAATACGATAGTAACGCATCTGAAGACGCTAGTGATGAAGGCTCGGAAGATAAGGAGGACGACGAGGAAGGCGAGGACTGGGATGAATTAGAGAAGAAGGCGAAGCGAAAGGATCGAGAGAGCGGTCTTGAGAAGAAGACCGTAGCCGCAATAAGAAGCGACGCCACTAGATTCTTCGCCTGAAATAAGCAGATCTTCATTGAGGGGATGTTTATTTGAAGCGTTGGGAGATTCGTCCTATAGGTTCAATTTCGCAAGGCGAAGGGACCGCCCATTTGGAGTTGAGGTTGTACGAAATGCTTATTATCCAGCACATTATTGCGTCGAGCTGCCAGTCGCACGTTTTGCAATTTTTTTTATCCCGCTGCTTCGGAACGAGGCTATGATAGGCTGAAGGCTAAATTGCGTTTGCTCTTAGTTAATTCTCGGTGGTTGGCTCTTCGTAGAGCATATGTAGGCTAATGCAAAATGGACCCCTTGGGTGTCGTTGACTTAATTCATATACTATGTGCTATTAGATGCGAATTGCTGATTTATTTTAATTACTAGGCATTGTACTGTGAAATATTCGAATAAGTTGATATAGCATTATTTCAATAAACATCGAGCACGTTGAATTGCTGAAATATGAGTGACTCAACTTCCAACGACTACGTTTGTATGTTAATATACTATATTATCTAGGTAGGTACTTATATACTGATGAATGTCCACCGCCATAGCTACCTAGGTAGCTGTCCCAGAGGTCTACACGTAACGCGACTATCAACCTTCCCAGACGGCCGGGCCGGGAGCAGTGTAGGTAGTCGGAACGGGATAGTAAGACCAGAGCAGACCGGGGTCGCTAGCCTTGTAAGCACCGGGGAAAGCGACGAGCGGGCTGGGAGTTCCGCTGCCGCCATCTGTCACCTTGACTTGTGCGCACGAGAGGTACCTGTGATTTTTATGTTAGTTCATGTTGCGTTAATATATTGTTCGGTACTGAGTAGAAGGGAAAATTATTTCGCACATTTGAGCGCCACCGACGGATTGTGCCTGGTGAAGGGCTATGGATTCGACGCGCACGAGATAGTTCCCGCTCGGGACGTTCTTGGGGATCGTCACGTTGACGACTTTCTTGTCTGGGATGGCGTTAGCATCTAACCTAGTCTACGGTATAGCGGAATATGTAGAATTATGATAATTAGGGGCACTTACTGTAAGCGGGCCAGGTGGCCTCGCTAGACCCTAGCGGCGGAACGGCGGTGATGCTACCGATCTTGAACCAGACGTTGCCTGCGGGCTCCCAGGTGTTGATGTCGGCGCTGTCGGGGACCTTGGCCATGTAGAACTGGACGGGGCCGAAGTGCGTCACGGCGGCGTTGGCGGCGAAGCCTAAGACTTCGCCGGCGGCTATGGTGGCGGTGCCCGTGCCCGGGCTTGCCTGGTAGCATCGCATGTCCGGGCTGTCGACGCTGGTTACACCGCCGTTGCTCTGGTAGTTCTTGGTCTTTCGGATGGAGGTCCACTCTGCGGCTTCTTGCTCGCCGTTGATGACAAGCTTCGAGAAGCGGTCTGGTACGGTGTTAGTTGCCTCATCTGGCTGGGCGTGTACCGGAGCAGGAAAGGAGGCGTGGACTTACAATGGGCTTGGGCAGTAGCTGCCAGCGCGAGGAACGTGATTAACTTCATCTTTGGTGTAGATTTCGAGGCAAGACTTAGATAAGTTGTCGTTTTACGGTGGGAGAGGCACGGGTTGTGAAAGATACCTAGGGAAGACAGGCGCGCTAATATACCCGGCGAGGCCGCTGCGATATATACCACGGGGAACACATGTCAAATACCGGGGAGTAGGCCATCGCCAAGATGAAGCGCTATCGGCTGAGCCAATGACTGCGTTTATGTCGCTTCCCCAGATATGAACCCCGTGAGCTTGTCTAATGTTGGGGGTAATTTGTCGTCGTGGTTAAAATACCCGGTTGTAAGGGAGAAGGTCAGCTCGGCAAGGGGAGTCGGCCAATGGACTAGTTACGATATTATCCGGGGATGGCGTATGAATACTTTCTCTGTTGGCCTCTTTATATATGGAGAATCACGTAGTGGGTAATGCTTACAACTGTGTAAGCTACCCGCTTGAGGGATATATATAGATAAATCTTCTTTTGGTATACAAGACGCCCGTTTGTCCGGCATGGGCCTCGCAACGCTCCGTCATCTGGCTTGTTAGTCGGCTTAGTTCGGATATGTGATGCTATGTAGCTTGACGTCTATAAGTTTAGTAAACATATGAGATATGAGATCTTTTTACACATGATCGGATGATACCAGATGTAAATAATATGATTAAGAATATTTACAATTGTATTAGGATATAGCTTGCCTAAGTTCTAAGTTTGCTATTACCAACAGATATCCGCTTCTACTGATCTTGAGAATGTCAACCTTGCGCCATGCCTTGTCCATAATCGCAGCAGTGAGTCGGCCACGATCGACTTTATGCTTCCATAAATAAACATCTTAGTTATACACCGGTTCGATGGGAAATAATTCATTTAGATCTTCGCTTTGATCTTCCTTAAGAATTCCCCGTCATCCTCAAAGGGCTTAGCACCTAACCTATGCCAGGCCCCCCAGCCATGAGAGCCTCGTTTTTCTCCTTTGCTGGGAATAAGAACTCGGTCTTCCCATCGCCGACATTGGAAACCGATTTATCCTGCGATAAATCAATGTTTAGCATTATTGTACATACGGAGGGTGGGGTGTGACATGGAGTGAATTTCACTTACGAGTCCTAAAGTCAACTTGATTACGCCGTCAAGCCAATGCGGCACATATTTCACCTTGGGCTTCTTGCCTTCTGTACCAGATAACACATTAAAAGCAACAACCATGGACTGGCGCATTGCAGATCTTGAGTTTGGATGTGGGTGTTGGTCTCAGAGACATCTCCGCAAATATACACATTAGGTAGGGAGTCATCCTGAATCTGCAGAGTAGGTTTGGTAAGGATATGGCCTGATTCAGATATAGATGCTGGGCTCAGCTCCGAAATCAGCTTAGAGTCGGGCCTTTGACCTGTGCAGTTGACCTTTGGAACTTGTTAGCTCGACCATAAAGGGGGAACGGTAAGGTTACAAACCAGGTAATCGCATGCAATCTCTTTCCCACTCCTTAAGACGGCAATGCCCTTCTCCTTGTCCTCGCTGACCACCCTGTCCCCAGTAATAAGCTCGATGCCTAGTTCCTTGATACCATCTGTCGCGGTTGCTTGCAACTTCGGCCCAAACCGATGCATCACCGAGTCCCTTGAATGTACTAAGGTAACCTGCTTATCTGGGTACTTCGACTTCGCATCCGTAGCTAGCTCAACGCCTGCAGCACCTCCACCCACAACGACTAGATTTTTGGACTCGCGGATCTGCTTCTGCATCTCTCTCATGAGCTTCATTCCTTCATCTTTATCATTGGTTCCAACACGACTTGGTAGAGTATCGGTGGCACCTGCGCCAGTAGCTACGACTAGAACTCGTATGGAATCTCCTCGCCGGTCTCAGCCAAACGCACGCTGTCTCGTGAAATGCGAGCGACACGATCCTTAATCCATGACACCTTGCCTCCGTCGGCATCGAATGAGCCGCGGGGTAGAAGCCCGCCATAAGGTATGAATGCCTTGTGCTCGTGGCCCTCGGCGACACAGAATCTTGGAAGCACCCAAGTGAATTGGAAGTGATCTCGGGGTTCGATGACGATGATACGGTATTCTGAGTTTGGAAGCAGATAACGCGCGATATTACTGGCAGCCGAGTATCCTGCGATGGAGGCGCCTATGATGATTATGTTACGGGGCTTCTCTGGGTCCGCGGAGGATGATGAGGAAGAAAACATGGCATGGCGCAAAAGTTTGAGGCGGAAAGCCAGGTTGTGACGGAGGGTTGTGAGCATCATCGACACGACGAAGCCAGCGCCATTGATTATTAGAATTGGTTTCTCCAACATCTTTAATACGTGCTAGGCAACGATGTTTCAAAGTCTGGGTTAAGCCGGAGACGGAGAATCTAATGGGCTCGCTTAGCTACTGTAAGTCCGGAATATGAGGGTCTTAAGGAACAAGGGGGATTCTTATAATTATTCGTATTGAGGATGGGTCTAAATATACAGGGAAAAAGAGAGGAAAGAAATAAATAAAACAGGCAAGGGACAACTTAAGGAGTATATAAGCAAAATGCAATTCCCCGAGTGATCCAGGGGCCCGATGACTTATATCCATCCCACTCGGATCTGATAAGATTAGATCGTCTTCAGCTCGACCACGCTAATTGGCCGTACCATTTCCTATTGTGGAAATATAGATTTTCGACCGAGTCCGAGATCGGCTCGGAGCTCGGATTCGGGGGCTACGGAATGGAGGTTTCGGCGCCGACGCGTAATGTGAGTCGTGATAATTAAGGGTAGGGCGAGACACCGTGGCTTATGGTAATCTCGGTTCTTACTAAAGCACGTACGGTAAGACACGTGTACCCATTCCTTTTCCGTTTCCTTCGTGGTTGGCGTCGTAAACTTTGATCAATAGTAAGTTACCTGTTAATGTATCATTGGACATCAGGAATAGAAAAACTCCGTGTCCTTGACAAGGGCTCATAAGCCTTACGTTATAGACTCTACTGGCTCGATACTGTCTAGGATAGGAGGTGTTGCACTGTGCAAGCAACTTATAAATGCTTTTTCTAAACAATATTTAGTACATATCAACTTTTAAATAAAAATTGATTTATTTAAGATGTCATTTGATTGCAACATTTATCAATTGTATGGTGGATCGCCTAGAATCTAGTTGTAATAACTTACTAGTTGCATGGATGCTAAAAGCTAACCGTCATCTTGCGAGTCAATCCAGATGTGATCTGATACCAGTCTATTTAACTTAAAGGAGATAGAACATACGCAACTATCTCCCGGTCTTGCGGCGTTGTCTATTTGTGCTGTACTCGTGGGGGCTGATGACACAAGCACAGCAATCGCTGTAGCGACTGTAGTATGCAACAGCGAAAAGACCAATATGATGTTATCATAGGTCTTCATGATGCGCTAAAATGATCAATGATTTTTCCCATAGTGGCGATTATACAATCCCTTCTTCCATTAAAGCACTCAAACATTAGGGAGTCTTTGCGTAAGTTCAGTATGTAATACCGTGAGTTATACGTTCATTGGTTTAACAAGTAAATATACTAAGCTATTTGACAAGTATCTCTTCAAGCTTTCCTTCGTAGTCTGGTATGATTTATCTCGATAAACAATCGTCAATCAAATTTGAGCCATTAATGTTCGCAAAAGAAGTAGTGATTCTATTTTAATGTCAGTATTGCATATTCTTTCGTACGGAATAAAGCCTAATAAACGTACCTGACCGATTTCCGCTTCCCACTTCTCATTTGTCCAGCTACGTTCATCCATGAGAACTTCCCGTACCTCCTCAGCTCGCTCCCAGCTCATAGGAAAGCCCTCCACAAAATTTATAATCATGTCGAAAATCTCAACTGGGATTTTCGAAAAGGGAGAGATTTTACGTACTTCGGGTGCCCACCAATCCCGTCGCTGCGGTGGAACGACCCCTGTAGACAGTATACGGAGGTTGGGATCGACGAGAAACATGGCAAGTATTTTCCTGTGGCCCGGCTTGGTCGGGTCTTCTAGTCGAAATGGTTGTACTTGATGCTGAAATACATTAGGGAATGCAAGCAGGCGTCCAGGTCGCGTAAGTACACTTCCGAGCTCCTGGAAAGGCGGCTCGTATTGGTGGTCCACAATCCCCATCCAGCGCATTAGAGGTTCGAACTCTCCCTGAGGTGGTATCGCACGCACTTCCTCGGCATCGACAGCCTGCTTGAATGCGAGCCGGCTTTCGCTAATGTTCTCGACGTCGTAATAATAAAGCGCGGTGGCGACGATTCTCTCATTGATCGCTCCTTCGATATGCCACTTGAATGACAAAAATTAGTACTTAATTAATTCCTTGAAGGAAATGTCTAGATTCGATAAGATGATCCTAGACCCTGGGGAAGTACGAAGAGGGGAGAAAGGAAAATATGAATGCTACATACGCTGCCGCCATCATACTCGGGATTCTCAGGGGTCAAGTGAATATTCGCAAGCTTGAATATAACTTGAAGACCAGAAGGGAAATCCCTTTTCAGATCTGGCTTACCTGAGGGGTCTCTTTCGCGAGGAGTGTAATCTTCAGGTTCGGGCCATCTAAGAACTCTATGCTCTTCGTACCACTCCTGAAACCCTTCGGACTCTGTATCATATCTGTCAACTTCATCTTCTGGCTCATGTTCGAGATCCAGTACCCATTGATCGGGAACTTTCACGTTTTCGGGCAAGTAGTAGTCCCCCCAACCTTCGGTCTCGCAGATGACGTTGATGCGTTGTTTTAGTGTTGACCTACGGAACAAGCACTCTTCCCATAGGGGAACGGCCGCAGAAATGAACTTTTCGAAAACTTCGTATAAGTCCTTGTGATCCACGGGATGCAAGTTGTTAATATAGCTTGCAATTCTAGGACCTGCTTCTGTCCATACAATGTCGCTAGGAAGCCATTGGTTGCTCCCCCAAAGCGCAGGCTCCTTAGTTTTCTTTTGCTCACACGATATCGTAGTTTCACCTTCGCCAATGATTGAAGCACAGTCTTCAAGTGGAACTTTACCATAGGGTAAAACACGTGTGGTGCCGTAGACAAGTGGGAATAGAGATGGATGTAAGAGGTCGAGGACTTTTCCGTCAGATCTAGGATGCCAGTCTTTGTCTTTGTCAGGCACATCTTCCAAGGATTTAACACCGAGCCTAAGAGCATCTACTAGCGAAGATGTGACAATTGTGTCAGACTTGGCAACAACTAACTCGGCGTCTAGCACATTGACGATGCCGGTCTTTTTCACCTGCTTCGCCTTATCGCGGAGTTCCTTGATACACTAAGTTATGTTAGCCTGCGCCTTCGTCTTTGATGTATCTGATAGTGATTAGGATGCCTAAGCTATGGGAAGAACATACGTTTTCAAACATCTTGTCGGATAAAAAGACATCCCCGTCGAAATTTTGATGCGACACCATCTTTGCTTCCTCTTTCCATTTGGCAACAATTGTCTCATCGAAAACCTTTTCTTCCCAATTCGGTTTATCCGAAATCTGGTCGATGAAACCCATCACTAGTTTTCATCTTGTTACTAACAGCTTTCATTTTGTGAATTAAAGGAGCGGAGATGGGTAGCCTAGCACGAATGAACCATTTCAACTAGTCCTAAATAGAAAAGGAACTAAATGCAACTTACTGCGAATTTCACGCAACGTAAGGCCGGCGCTGTCAAAGGACCTTAAACCCCAAAGGGCATGAAGGAAGCATGTCATCGACTTGTCGTAGTCCGGTTGATAGTCAATAGGCAAACCGAAGCCAGGAAGGTTAAGCCTCTCAGATAAATTCAGGGGAGGCATATTGAAGTGAGTACCCAATTTAAGGTAAAAATAACACAGGTTGAATACAATAGTATGGAATACTTCAAGTTTAATACATATGATAATAAAATTGACAAGAGTAAATTTTTGAAGCGATACTGTTTTATACTACTCGTCGAGTTAAGTGTTATGTTCCTCCTTATTAGGCATCCGGCCGCTGCCTACGAGTGTTGGTGTTATCCCTGAATAAATTTGTGGGGAGTGAGCAAAGTTGCCAGAAACTATAGACGTTTGGAACGACGCCTGCGCCGTTCCTACATAACTAGAGTCCTAATTCTTCGGTGCTACACCGACGGGCCTTGGCGCTTAGCCGTCTGATGCTCCTCCGTCTTAGCTCCGGTGCTCTAGAATCAACCTTGACTAGCTCATTAATAGACACTCATTTAGTCATATGACAAGATTTATGAGAGTATTTAAGAAACTACGTTTATTTACAACTTTTATATCTCGTAAATTCTAACACTAGCCTCGTTTATATATCTCCTAGGTACCTACCTGCCCACCTACCTAGCTGGATGCCTCAGTGTGACAAGAACTATTGGGCCTGGAACTAAGTGTACGGAATCATCTAATAATTCTCCTTGATCTCAAGGGTCTTTGCAGTCTAAGTATCTCCCAAAGCCGTCCTGGAATCTACTGTCTTCTTATATACATTCTCACGGCATTCGGCATTGCCATTCTCATGCACGTTGGTACTTCTGCATCTTTTCGCATGACCAACAGGTCTTGGCGGCGTTTATCCGCGACACTCGGCCCCCGTTATGAAATACAACAATTCAATATATATTTTCTTTTCAGTTCATAGAAAACAGAATCGAAAGACTTCACTCGTCAGAATCTTACGTGTGACATTCGAATGAACTGGTATAGCTAAAAGTAGTTTCGATGCCTTCGATACTCTTAGAACTGTCATATGAGTTCCCCTAAAAATCGTTAACCAACTCCAACCACACGGACGCAAGTATATATCTCTCGAGGGAAGGCGACAGGATGTTGCACACGCGTATTTGTACCCAAATCTTCTAAGCATAGCGCTTATTATCGGAGAGAAGGTTGCGAATATCTTCATCCAAGAGCTGAGCCTTGGCTAACAGTAATGTACCATGCATCATGGTATATAGGTCTTCAGCGATTATCGGCGTGTGAAACTGAATGTAAATTGAATGTGGTATGATCTAACGATTTATTAGATACTGCTGCGTCTAAACTCGTTATAATTCTTTCCTAGCCTTCAGTCCCCAATCCCTGTTTTGACGCATAATATTCATGATAACATTGTCCTTAACCCAAGCTGGCAATAAATCTGCTGTTAATTGTTGTATCGCGTGTGACCAATATCCAATGACTATGCCGTGGCCATTGCCGGCATGCGCCAAAGCAGCCTTAGCAAACGTTTCCGTACTTGGAGAAAAGAGAGACGGCCGTTCCTTGTACCTCGCGACGCCCGTAACTCTTCCCGTCCGGATGCCCAAGATCTCGACGTCATTCGCTCTACCTTCCATCGCCATCTCTAAACGCAGAGAGCCGGTCAGGGTCATAAGAAATTGCTTGCTAGCACTATAAGTAGCATTAAGTGGCAAGCCTTGATCAGACATAGAACCAATGTTGACGAGAAGCGACGGTGCGTTCTGAATTAAGTTGGGGAGAAGCGTGCGGGTTAGGTGTAGCGGAAATAGGGCGGTTGAGGCTGACATTTTCAATGGTTCTATCTTCGGCGTTATCCTTCAGCGGCACGAAGTTCGGACCAGCTGGATTTCCTCCGACGTTGTTTATGAGAATAGTGAGGTTCAGACCATCAAGCATTTGCTTGATCGCTGTAAAGTCTAGTGCTGCTAACCCGTCTAGTTCTTCATTCTCAGAAGCCCGGAGGCAATTTACGCATGCCACGGCGTTCGCATCCGCTATCAGAGTCTTAAATGACCTTTGGGGAAATGCGCTCTGAAGCTCGGATGATACCCTAGAGAGCTTTTCATGATTCCGTCCATGTAGTACTACGTTGAACCCATTGGCAGCTAACTCCCGAGCCAAAGCGAGGCCTATGCCATCAGATGCGCCTGTTACTAGTGCCCAGGGTTGCTCCCCCTCCCGAGATGGATGGGCATATCTAGACAATTTAGAGGAGCGGGTGTAAATTCTAATTGTAGAAAAAGTTTTAGCAATCACGGTAGAAATAGTAAGTAAGCCAATAGCACTAAGTAGAGTCGAATAAGTGAAGGTTCGTGAGATATCAGCCATTTTTTATCACGCTGAGTTAAGTTCCCTGACTTTAAAAGGGGATGAAGAAATAGATCATGCTCATTGATAATAGGTACGGATTACCTAAGTTATAATAGCTGGTATCGTTAAAAAATATAGTGGTGAGCCACCGGGGTTTAGCGTACGGGCCACTGTCCAAATTTTAGCTTCTAAACAGCTATTAAGATCGAATATGAAGACTTATTCAGCAGCTTGTCTATAGCTAACAGGTACACAATTAATCAGCCAACACCCAATCTCCAGCTCTAATCAATTTCATTTTTCCTTCTCCGTGTAACGTATCCTTTTTCAAGAGTTAGTTCGTTTAACGTTCTATCTTGAGCATGCATCCCTTACTTGGAAGAAACGGTAAGGGAAACTGATGGCTAACATTTCCTAGTTAATGCCTTATAAAAGATTAGATGATGGAAATAGTATTGCAGGTCCAGGCCGTCAAGGCTCACCTCTTAGTGAGCCTTGCTAAAGACCTACACAACTACCTAGAAAGCGAAAAGAGCATATTCATTTAATTAAGGATCTCATATAGGCCAAATAGCTAAGTTAAAGTGATATTTAAGGTGAATTTTAAGAACAGGATAATTATTATGTAAAGAGGCAGTTATATTGGCATGACTAACACTACATATTGTACAATAGAGCCACCATATCCACAGTAAATATTGGTATCAAAAGTATGTGGTAGGTATAAGTAGAAAGAAGAAGTAATTAAGTATGAAGGGTATATAATATATCAACCAATAAATATGCCGAAGTATAAGTGCGTCATCCCCTTTTCATTTTTTCGTAATCGCCCGCATTCGCTCCCATTAATCAGAAAATCAAGAATTGTTTCAGGTTTCGTTTCGCTTTCGCTTTCGTTTCGTTCATTTGCTTTTTATCGTAGTTCATCGTTAAGCTTCATGGCTTTGAGTCGATTGGAGCCTGTGTTTTTTGTTGTGGTAGGATCATTTAATCAAGTTCGGGATAGTCCAATATGATTTACCACCATCGTCTCCGACGTACCGGAGCGCCATAGCCTTCGGGAACATCCTTGGCGCCGAAACGGCCATCTCGGCGTCTGTGCATCCTGGCGCTGCAACATGTAAAGAAGACTATGAACGTAGCGAGGAAGCTGCAGATGGCAGAAACGAGGATAGTCCAAGACGCGGCACCCCATTCGGCCTGGCTACCGTTACCCGAGCTGTTGACCTCGGACCGGATAATACTAAACGATACAAAGTCGCAAACAAGCGCGACAAGAGTGACAATGAAGGTGAGCAGCGAGAATAGCGATGCGAGTAGACTACCGACGACCCCAGCACCGAGTGCTAAAAGGAATGAGATGAATGCCAGTCCCGTCGCGATCGGGTGCAAGATCATAACGCGCGTCAAGGCTTTAGACGTGTCTGCAGCATAATCTGAGAAGTCCACATTCTGCACATTGTTCTGAACGATAGTGGCTGGGTCATAGCCGACATGAGACCGGCTGCAGAAGTCTTGGCCGGAACTAGATAGCACTCACTGTTAGCAGCGGCAATACATCATAGGGTTGCTAGAAGTTGAGTAGAAATTGACTTACCTGTAGTGTCCTTCACGCAATAGCCGAAGGTGCCAAAGGTTACAGCTGGGTGACGGTCTGGTGATGTATTACGGTCATCGAGGTTGACTCTCAACATCGAAATGCTGTTCACTACAGGAGCTGAGATATCGGTAATAATCAGCAGCACCGTAGCCGCTAACAGCAGAAACGAGCCGATGTGATGGAAGAACCCTGTCTGCCGCATTTTGACTGAAAACTGCTAAGCTTACGCACTTGTTTAAGAAGCGGTATAACTAAGTGAAGTATATAGTAGATTTGAATTTGCCGATATAGATATAAGGGACTTATAACTTAGAATCACGGCCAAATAGAGAAAGACGATATTGGAAAATGAAGCGCACAGAGCTGGAACAACCGTAAGTTATATGTAAAATGATTTGGGCAAACAATCAGGTTCATGTTATTCAAGTAATACCCCGGCATCGTTCACATCCCAGTCTCCTTAATAGGTAATCGATAATGTTCAAGCTAGGTATGAGTCGTGGCGATCTGATGCCTGGTCACACTCCACGAGAACTGGCTTTCACTGATACCTGACGTCGCGACGTCATGTGGGAAACTGGTGATCCCCATAATCAATCGGAACCAGCAACGGATAATCGGCAAAGTGTGCAAACGAAGAGTAAAGCCCTTTTTGGGCTGTGCTCTCTTCCGAGGTGTGGCCTATTAAAACAGCCATACATGCAGAGCTGGAAACAATACCATCCAAGCTGTGACGTCGTGGCTTTGCAAGTCGCAAGGTAGTGCCTAGGTTAGGTAAAAGCTGGGGAAGGTATTCGTAGAATTGTATGTAGGATTCTTAGTGGGGTACGGCCATGGTTCTAGACTGTCTAAGTGTCTGACCTCTGTGCCTTGTTTTGACTTAAAATGATGACGGCAGCCTGCAGCCAAGATGTATCAACGGCCCCGGCCGAGCCAAAGCCAACGACACGTCATTAACTGCAGTTGGTATATGTCGTACAGATATACATACAACTGGATGATTCCAGCAAATTTAAACCGAAGTTAGAATTCGATAGTGAGGTCGAGACAGGCCTCACGATACAGGTAGTTAGGTCGACATTATAGATGTCGTACCGTAGAGTAATAAATAGGCAAGGATCCATTGTTATCCGCATACCAGAACGTAGCGTTAGATTTTAGCACCACCTAGACGCACAATACCAAAGCTTTCGTCTGTATATCGCATATGGCTGAGTATGCGCGTAAGGATCTTTTTCGGCCCGTGAAAATCTCTGACGACTACTTTGCAGTTGTCCAAGCTCAACCGGATTCAAGATGTCTAAGGTAGGAAGCCTTTACTGTCTATAGTATACGCTTCTTGCAAGTTATGTCTCACCTGACTTTATCTTCATTGGCAAGTAGTTTCTCTTAGTCTAAGGGAACATCGTCGGGTGATTCACCGAGCAAGGAGTCGGGATTTGTTCTAAGGTTGGAATTAGTTAACAAGTTACCCCACTTCCTAGACGGATTGTCGACGTTAGAAGGTGGATCGTGAGCATTCTCATTCGCAAATGCAGCCAGACTTTTCATGATATCCGGTACTCCCTTCGCATTCCGCCGTGCTCTAATACGATCCAGGAAAATACCTCTTTTGAAGATAGACGTTTTTTCCCGAGAAGAACAGACGACGCTCTCCTTCGACGCCCTCATCTGCAAAACTGACTGAATCGCGCGATAGCTGATTGGCGGTGTGCCAGTCCCGCAACGCTGGAGCCATGGGACCAGAGGGTATAGACCTATGCAAGGCGGCTGACACAAATGTTTCTCTAGCATTATGGGATGGCCATGGCCCGTGGAGAGGGTTTTTCCTAATTGCCTCCTTATGATTATACGTCTTATTCGCAGCGAACATGTGTAGAGTGAAGACTTTATACGAGACGCCAAGGTCGGATAAGGCCGGTGTTTCTCTTGTTAATAACCTGGAGGGCGCGTACGGATTAACAGGAGTAGTTATACTTCCTCGTATGTCGTATTCAGCCCCCCATGAAGAGGATGGTGATGAGGCGGCGTTCGGATCTTGGTCAATAAGGACACGCATGAAGGGGGAATCGTTAACGAGGGCAGTGGCAGTGCCTGGCTTGTTGGTGACGATGACGAATGAAGAATTGTCCTAATTATCAAATTGTAGTTAGAATATATGCGACTTTATGTAGAAGATATAGCGCCTACTTCGAGCTTCTTGAATGTCTCGACAGTTTCATGGGTAAGTTTTTGGACGGCGCGCAGAATACCGCGACGCTCCAAAAAGCTGACTGGGGCTGGGACACATTTGAGATAAATTGTCCGGGAGCTCAAAGACGTCTGTAAAAGATCCGCAAATGCCGAGGTCTTGCTTGACATGTTGGCCTGCTGACAATTTTGCAGTAAGGATATTAATGTGGATATCCTCATTGATGTAATTGATCTAATTGATAAGAGCTCTCTAGCGATTCGATTTTGGTGAATTTCATAGAGTCCAATGATTATCGATAAGCTTAAGCTGACAGGTGGCTGCCAACTGGCTCGTATCTTGATTACGCGATTATGATCAATAATAGTGTTAAATCTAATTGGCTAGCTCACAGACTTCCCGTTGCTGCACCTGCTTTTGGTTTCTAATATCGGACCGGCCGAAATCATCTACATTTCCGGTATTACCGCCCGGCCGAATGTGGGGCAAAATGACCCGAACCGCGGTTTCTTCGGGGTGTCTTGTTATGTTGCAAAATCTACTTACTCTAAATATTATAGGTTTAACATATGAAGATAGCTAATTATAGTATACTTTGCCAGTAGCTTACGCGTACCCATATTGAGCTTTGTCTCAAATAGGACTCTTCCGAAGAATCTAAGAGAGATATCGGTGTACGTATGGGACATGAATCGGCCACACATGACTACCAATACATTACTACATTACCAGTAGAACTTTCAATTCCAGCCCCTATTTCAATTATTTTCGCATGTGGATACTTGTGAGTTAAATGGCCCTTAGCTTCGCAGAGTCCGAGGCCGTTATCATATATCTGGTCAAGCACTGTGCCCTGTCTCAAGACATGCAGTAGCATAATACCACGGATGACGGAAAGTGCTGAAAGATACGGTATATGAGCTGTATATAGCATATTGACTTACGTAGTATCTCAACTATATGAGTGAAGAGGGAGGTCCTTTTTATATACATTCTACGCTAAGACACTACATACTATACTCGAAAGTAGTCCCTTGACTACCTACATATTTCAACATCTTGATAGAATGTATCCAAATGTCTTCCTAAATGCGCTTGTCTAAGTCTATCACCATTTCAATGTCTCCAAATGTTTCTGCTATTTCCGATAAATTATCACACATCAAGAACAAGTTCAGTTATTAAGAATGGCGTAGCATAAATAACTTGGATCCTAATTGGTGAATACGTACACGTAGTTATTAAACTTACTGGCGGAACTGTAGTATTCTCTTTCCTATTGTGGATTGTTATGATTTGATACTTCAACGTCATAGGTGGAGGATATATGCATTGAAACATATGTGCGCAGCTTATTCGATAGACATTGCTACGTAGCAAGAGCGATGGAGCAGTGGCGTCAATTTTAATATATGGCAATTACTTATTATGCGGCCTACGTACGGTGTTCCTCATTAATTAAACGTTTTCGTAAATCGTTGGCGCTGGGGATGATCTGTAATTATTCGAGGCCCGAAATTTATTTTCTTCGAGTGACGCCATCGCAGGCAAGTTTCTACTTCCTAACTACAAGACAGCGGGAATATAAGCTTGTGGTTGCACATATAGCATCTGCTATTAACTTCAGATTCATATGACTTAATATTCGGCTTTCTCCGACCACTGAACTTATTTCGCCGTCTTTACAAAATTCCACCATGTCATCTGACCAGAGGCCATTTAGCGAGCGTTTGAGACTTGATAGCAACACACAACAACTTTTTAATCGGTTTTCAAATTATAATACTGAGACAGGTGAGTATGGCTGCGATAGACTTAACCGCCAACGACAACGCCTTGGTTTAGACGGAGATTGCACTACCAGCCCTGGGAACACCCATCCAGAGCACTTTGTGTGGAGTAGGATACGGTTAATGCTCAGAGAACCGTTACTCGAATTTTGGGGCTGCTTCATCATGGTATTGATGGGAGATTCCGTCCTTGCCCAAACCTACCTTAGCAATCAGGAGTATGGGAGTTGGATTAATATTTGTTTCGGGTATGTCACCCGCCGCTAGGAATACGGTTTCATGAATATGGCCTCCAGCAGTCTAGCTGATATTGTACAGTTGGGCGTGTGGCGCAGCTTTTGGTATATACATTGCAGGTATAGTCACGCAACCCCCGAGCCAGATTAATCGACTTCAGTGATCTTGTCCCAGATTATATAGCTGCTTACCTGAAGTCCAGGTGACTCCGGTGCATATTTGAACCCTGCAGTGACACTTACCAATTGTCTTTTCCGAGGACTACCGTTAAGACGCTTTCCGACATATGCTGCTGCTCAGTTACTCGGAATGTTCTGTGCTACGGGCGTAGTATATGCCAATTACATATCCGCATTTGATAACTATGAGGGAAGAGGGATACGCACCATCCCACCGAGTAAAACATCAAGTGCCAAAATATTCTGCACATTTCCCGCATCGTTTGTGCCCAAGGCGAGCCAATTCTTTTCCGAGTATATTGCCAACTTTGTCGTTATGTTCTGTATATTCGCAATGAGAGACGAGAATGGGGCTCATCTGGTAAGAATTTGCTTCTTCGATTCTTGTATTTATGTCTGACTTTGGCTTACTTGATTTCCAGAAAGGGGGTGGATGGTTCGTTTTGGCCTTGTTCCTCTTAAATATAGTAATGATAAGTAGCTTCGGTTGGGAGACTGGGTTAGACTCTTTCCAACTTTGTTACTTCACTTTAGCTTATTATAATCAGGTCACCCATCAATCCAGCTCGCGATCTTACGGGGAGAATCTGGTTAACCATCCTCGGCTATGATGGCGCATGGTCTGCCTTTGACGTATATTCTTGGGTTAGTATCTCTTCACGTACCCTGCATTATTGATAACTAAAACATGACTTAGATTCCCGTTGTTGTACCGTTTTTGCTACTATAAGCGGAGCTATTGCGTATGATATGTTCATATACACTGGAGATAGCCCCATCAACAGTACTGGGTTAGGGCTTAATAAATTATGTTCTAAAATTAGTGGAAAACCAAAGAAGCGACAAGTAGATGAAGAAGAGAATAGGGGGGCCGATAATGAACCTGAGGACAATGACTGGGTAAGATCTACCGAGGAAAGAGGGAGAACTGAAGGAAGCCAAGGAGGGTCGAGGAAACAGTCAATTACGAATAAAGATACAGGCTATGATATGCCGCAGGGCGGCGATCAAAAATCAACGGCCGGGTTTAACGGATCTAATAACGAATTACAAAACAAGACAAGTAGAAATTATAGTTACGCCAACGCTTAAAAAGCTATTGTTAGCGATAGTAATAACCATGGTAGCAGAAAGCAATAATTCGCAAGCGGAGACTCAACTCTAGATGGAATGACTAACGTAGAAAGAGAACAGCGACCTTCCTCATGCTCAAATGAAACTTAAGGTGCATAAACTTTTACTGAGACTGCTGAGCTAGGATGGATTTACTTCCTACTTGACTTGTACTTAGTTATGTTATCATAGTTGATCTCTTTGTTAATACATCTAGCAAGTCTATTTCTCGGTAGGCTACCTTGTATTAAAACTACATTTAGCTTATTCTCAAGCCTAGATGATACCCGGACATCTTGGAAGGATCTATTTAGACACTGGTATGTCAAAGGATTTTTTTTTTTTAAAAAAAAAAAAAAAACACCGTTACATTAGGTACCTGTTTGGCATACATTCACTTCTTTCCATCCGTCTTAATACTAATAACATATCGCCCAGTCAAAGGGTTCTCTAACGAGTACATAGCATATTTATGCAAAGCAAGGCAGTTTTACTAGTCTGCAAGAGCCGGTCCGGATAAGGACCCGGTTGTCACTTAAAAAATCCGAGCATTGTTTAAAAAAACAAGTGCCAAGATGCCCAGCTGTAGATAATACGCCTCTCTGGGCATCTAGTGAAATCCTACCCAAGTTACCATTACATAACCAGGCGGTAAACAGTTAAGCTGCTGTAGGTGCAAAAATCCTAGCGCGTGTAATAAGCAAATAATTGACTGAGAGAGTTACAGAAAATTCTGCAGCATGTAGGATATCGGTCGTTCCGTTAAAAATTTGTGAAACGGCGCAACATTCTTGCTTACTACTGATAATGACGGATGCAATACCGAGAGAGGATTATACTGTTGTATTGGGATATGCTTTACGCCTAGTTAGACGTTTGATATTTGAACAACGATAGGTCTGGATTGACTCCTGCATAGGTAGGTAATTAAAGGCAGTCGTCCCGAACCACTGGCTCGGGAACAAGGGGGTGGATAGGTACTCCGTATAAATGAGTATACATAGGTAATAATTGATGATGGATCTTGAATCTGATGTAAGAATTATCAATCCATAGAATCTAAGCCGCACACTTCGTCCTTCTTATGATGAAATCAATTGACAGGCTATCAGATAAGCTTTGAGACGATCGGTTATGAATTTGAAGAATCGTGAAACAATCAACACATGGGTCTAACGTCTAGGCGCTCGGGCCATTGCGATTAATTAGAGCCAAGACACTGCTAGATCCAGTGAGGAGCTTCATTAAGCAACGTGATGCGCCACTGTCGCACTGCGCTGAAATTCCACATGTGTCGTATGTACTATGTAACGAGTAAGCTGCAGCCACTGCCGCCCGACATATGTGCCTTGAAACAGCGGCTTGCAACTCATTACAGCTCAATACTACGGATGGGTTTCCACGGTTGTGGTGCTGGACCTGATGAGTTTTACCAGTGGGTGGTTGACAGGTTATTATCCATGGCTTTGGGTAATGCATGATGGCGATGCTGGTTGTACTATGTATGGTCGTGACACCTCCTCGGGTCTGATTATGGGTTTCTTAACATACTTTTCACTAATACGTCACTTTTACGAGGCTAGCTTAATCTTACTGCATTTTATGGGCATTTACGTGTTTGAATGGTTGAGAGAAAGGAGCTTATTACACTGGTCATCTATGACCCAGAACGCCGGGACGAATGTTTATTTTAGTGCCAACCGCTGATGGAATAAGTACCTGGTTCAATCAATTTACCCTTGTCTTGTGTATTTGTGACACGTCGTCTCCCACGCTTATATGCATGTTGGTGTAAGGGAGCAATGGTCCGTGGCGTTGGGGATAGGAGAATAACATAACCTAAAATGGTGGGGAATGTTTGTTACCAGTCATCAAAGATATTTGGATCTTTCACTTCACTATTGAATTGATATCATAGGTATGTATTTACCTTTTGAGTTTTATTGCATTAGTTTAATTTATTAGATGGGTGGTATGACACTTTTTAACTTTGTTATGCCAACATGACGGATGACCTCCGTCTTGCTTTTATCTTTAGTTATCTTCCATTGGAAAGTAACTAAGGTAAGAGTTATAGGTTTAAGCTGGAGGCAATAATCTCCTTATGTAACTTGAACTGGGTAGTTAAAGTAAAGAACTATCTCTCATTAGATCAATTACTCGGATGATAAAAATATTATTGTTGTGCGAAGTACTGATTGATTGACCAAATCATTCTCTTATACTTTTCATATTATACCTCAAAAGACATATCGTAAGATGGTTGAGGGGTTTTATTGTTGGTTATTAGTTAAGCGCGGTTTGCACGAGCCTTAATAAAATACATACTTCTTAACTTAATGTATGCAAATGCAGATGTTATTCCTCGTGATCAGTTCGGAGAGCTCAATCCGTCAAGTTGTGAGTGACACCATTTATATTACCTCCACCACAAGCTGCAGCTAGACATAGTTGGAATCTCATGACATAGGTGTCATCTTTTTTAATGCATCTTTGAATGATGGAGGCTGCAAATTAGTTGATAGCTTAAAATAAAACAGTAGGAAAATGGAAATTGGTACGTGTGATATTCGGCATAATACTCCCTCTTATACAGTGTATCGCCGTTTAAAATCCTCCTGATCGAAATATGAGGCTTCATAGTTATCGCCGATCGGAGACTGGGACAAAAGCTCGGATTTTGTCTAGATCCACACGGCAGTTCTTCCATTTCGCCCAGCTTGCCCAGCTCGTCCCTCCCTTTTCTATGCCCCGCCTTCGTTCCAGCAGGGCGGGAAAAGCGCCACATCAGATGTTTTTGTATAATTTAATTGGTCTAGAGTTATGTCTAGAATATTAATGCCCCAAGAACTGGATACTCTCTCCGCTATGCTATCTGTACAATGGTTCGCCCATCTTGCGATCTGTAGTCGCAGGCATGCCATTACCCGAGTACAACGTGCTTTTGCATTTCTCGTATAGGCAACTTTACCGACCTCCAGGTCTCACCTTGTCCCAAGGATCCATTTTGCCCGCATGGCGGGCTGCCTAATGTGTACTAGGCTGATTTACTCATACAGACCAAGTGGGATTAAGCAAGTTACGCTGTCCCAGCTATCTTTACTGTCCCGACTTAGGCTTGGTTTCGGTCGACTGTCCCAATTGAAGATATACGATACGGCTTGTTAGTGCGTCTTTAATAAGCCCGATTATCCAGGTACTTGGACACTAGGCCCGGTCGAGGGGTTCTTAAGGTCACTCGATATGAGGAAGGGTTGCACGTGTATCAATCAAACTGCAATGATCCAACGCAGATCACCAGCCAGACCGGAACCACATGTACGATGCCGAGTACAGTACGTATGATAGGCAGTACCTATGTACCCGAAATCCCAAGGGTGTGGTTCATTTTCATACCGGCTTAAGCTGTTGGACGCCCCCGGCCTTCGCCACCGCTTCGCTGCTACCTACCTCATACATACCTAATTTATGTATGGATTTCGATTCTGCATTCTTTTTGTATCTGGGCACCACCGACGCCATGTTCGTCATATCCAGTCTCTCGGAACAAAATCTATAGTTTTGTTTTGATTAATTATCCACGAATGTATTTACTCCACGAGTATTAGTCCTATACTATGCTCTATGTCTAATTCATACATACTATCGGATAAAAAGGAAAAAAAAGGATCCTAGGCATCTAGGTAGGCATTCGGCCACGAGCTAGACACGCAAACACGCCGTGGCGTTTACCTTAGGTCTTACATTAGCGCGTGAACCGGCTTCTTGGTAAATCAAGCTTCGTCGATCGGTTGAGTCGTGCTTTGGTATCATTTACTAAATCCCAGCGACCCTTTCGCTGGAAATCGGGTCCTACGTTCCTTCATCTCTATCCGCTTTTTTACTCTCCAGATGTTTCGCCCGTCGAAATATGTCCGGGTCTTTCGCTGCCAACCAGAAGATGGACTCCGACATCCCACTAGATGACGATGACCCGTCGCCGTCTCCGAAAAGTAAATTATACCAAAATTCCTCGCCTACGATGTCAACGTCGGGAGCTAGTCCAGCTCGTTCAGACGGCGATCGGATAGAATGTCTTGTTCGAGGGATGAGCGAACAAACGCTGATGCGAGAATCGCTAATTGCATCGGCAATGGAGTCGCGAGGCTGCCAGGCCAATTCTAACTTACCAATAAACCCAGAACCAATGCAAATGGAAATACAAACGCCGCCACATATATCTGAGCCTTCAAACGAGTTTAGTTATAGCTATCTTACCGAACCTCCAAGCGATCAATACGTAACACAATTAGGACCGCCTCAGAATTACGAGATAATGACAAATCCACCTGGCGATCCTATTATGGATGTGAACTTTACTTCTAGTATCGTTGCGCAAGATGAACAGAAACAGCCCGATATGAGCCTTCAGAGTCGCTTTCCGAACCTTCGTAGGCTAGACTTAATGGCGAATATGATTGAGAACGAAGAACAATGCAACGTACATATATCGAGACCAGTTACTTTAGTTCCAACACCTCGACTTCCTTCTTTGGTCGACCCTGCGCCGTCTGCCGGCCCCGCCAGTCGCAGGGGTTTGCGCATACCATACGATAACAATACGGTACTAGAGGTCGACGAGAGAATTAGCACGCAGCCTGACGAACAGGCTCCCAGTGAGATCCTAGGTCTAAGAGATGCTAGCGGTCCGGAAGGCATTAGAAAACTTGGGCATCTTAAATACAGGACATCATTAGAAACGGCTATGCGGTGTAAGAATATGAGAAAGAGCGCACCGAGGATGCGGAGGAGGCCCAAGACACAACCGAAGGAGATACAACAGAACGACTCCACAATAAATGCGGCATCAACGACTCCGACGAGCTCAACGGCGACATGATTTCAACTCATTCTATTTTCATGATTTTTGGTTTATTTTGATCCTATTACATATACCCCAAGGCAGGAGGCAGGCGTTATTAGCAATTGGGTCACGGCGACAATAGGGAATTGCATCGCATCAGTCCATTAGTTTGTGGAAAGGTTGGGCCCGGTATACAGGAGCGTCATTAGCATTAAAATTGGCGTTTAGGGTATGCGGTTGTAGGCTGTTCAAAGGCTGCGTGAGTTTATCGCAACTACATGAACTGTTTACCCATGATTTAATTACAGGACGGGGCTTGGAAGTAAGACGGTTTGGAATACCGTTGTATATTTACACACGATGTTGTTTTACACGTATATATGGCATGACGATAGTGTGTTTGCGGTTTACATTAGGTACCTAACACTTACGAGTTGATCTCAACTTAGGTTGAGGTAAGGGCCTCTTTAACAGAACCGACCTTATATTAAACTCAACATTGATATTAATTGATATTAATTGGGCGAGTTACTACACGTAAACCCGTGTCGATATGATTTGTATAATAAGTACCTACTCTTGTCAAATTTGAATTCTACTCATCTCAGGTATGTTTGCGGCGTAGCACAGTGCGTACCACCCTACATACCGACGTATATAAGATGTAAGTACGGATGTCCCTTTCAAAAGTTTTTACCATAGGAAGACTCCTCTCCCCCCCCCCCCCCCGGTAAGCATTGACCAAGCTTGGCAACAGCTGCTCACCTATTTAACATATGTAGGTACCTACCTATCTTATTTTACTCTATTATTTCAATAAGATATAATGCTCTTAAATTAAGATTCAAAATTCTTTAAAAATGAAAATTATAAATATGAAAGAATTCTCTTCAATATTGGAGTTTTTCGGTTTATTTTGAAATTATATTTGGCTGTAAAACCTAGTAGTAAACCTAAGGGATAATAATGTATACATCTTTAAATCACCGACAGTTGCTGGCCAAGTATCAGACAGCTGGCGACAATCTTGATAGGGGTTCCCTATGGTAAAAACTTTTGAAAGGGACATCCGTACAGCTTAAGTAAATGCAATGATATTTCTTTTGTCAAATCCTGACATACATATATCACGCACCTCTTGTACAAGTCAGTATGTCTAAAACACCAAATCAAATAATATACAATCTTAACTTAAAGGGGCACATTCTACTATAATTAAATGAAGTCAAGTTACACTTAAAGATTCTTCTTTATAACCGCGAGACTGGTATTTCTCAGCATATCATTGAGAGTTATAAATAAAGTCAAACAAATATTTATAAAAGATTCGTAATATTTATACAGCTAGACAATCCTAAACAACCCTATACACGCTCATAAGAAATATATATCGTAATACTTTCGTACATTCCTTTCATAAAACATCCCAATAACTGACATATATATACCCTTGACGCCACAATTCTCCACCCGATTGGTTCCCTTAACCTTCCAATAATCGCTGCTTCAGGCCCTGGGCCGCAAGCTTACCAAAGTTCTCCAGTGCACCCAGAGACATAATTTCCAACACGCTAATGGTCGTGCCGAACATTTGGGTCCAGAGACGTCGCAGCTCAACAGCCATGACGAGTCAAGTCCGACGTCGACTAGACTGACGGAGACGTCAACTTCTTCAATGGGCTTAAGCATGAATGAGTAGACGCGCTTGCCAATTTCCAGCAGCAAGGAATTCGGCGCTCTCGGGCTTGTCGAGCTCGCTGGGGTTGGCGGTGACGCTGGCGAGGAACTCGCGGAAACCATCGCCTTCGCCTGAGCCACTGTCGGCGTTGTCTTCCTTGGGGATGTTGTGGTAAAGACCCATGCGGCGGTCCTTCTTCCAAGCCACGTGGTTGCCAGAGTCTTCCAAGTGAGTATCGGAGTGAAGACCCATGATAATGGGTGAGGGGCCACGGTGCAGGATGCCGAGGTGAATGTACTCGAGGACTTCACGCTCAGTAAGGAACTGAAGACCGTTGGAGCGGAGGTTGCGACGAGCCTTGTCGTTGCCAACGACGACACCAATGTCGTCAATAGGGCTGACAGCGATGGCAGATGCGGCAAGACCCTGTCCGTTTCGGTACTGGGTGAAAGCCTCCAAGAAAGTGTTGGCGGCGTTGTAGTTAGCCTGACCGGGGACGTTGATTGTAGCGACGATAGAACTGGTGACAACGAAGAAGTCTAGCGATGCATCCTTCAGAGCGTTGTGGAGGTTCCAGGCACCATCGACCTTGGGCGAGAGACCCTCAGTCCACTCTTGGTGTGTCATCTCAGGGAAAAGAGCGTCCCGAAGAACCATGGCCAAGTGAATAACACCCTTGACAGGCTTAGGAGATTGCGCAACAGCAGACTTGACAAGCTCGAAGTCTTGGATAGGTCCAGCAACTGGAGTGAGGACACATCCTTGGCTCTTCAGCTCAGCAATGAATGCCTTGTCCTCGGCGGAGCGACCGGCGGACCTGGAGATCGCGGTGATGTAACGAGCACCGCGCTCAGCCATCCATGAGGAAATAGCCTTTCCAAGACCACCGAGACCACCGGTGATAATGTAAGAAGCTTCAGGGTCGAAGCTCAATTCGCCAGAAGCGCCCTGTTGGATGATTAGTTGCCTGTTCCGGTGTTGAGCATGATTTAGACTTACATTTTGCGCCTTGCTTGATACCTCAGAAGAGATAGAGAAAGGTAGGTATCGGCCAACGTTGATTGTGCCGTTCTCGACCAAGAACTCCCTGTCGGGGAGCAGAGGCTGGGAGAGGTCCTCTTCAACAACCTTGCCGAAGACATTAGCGACGTAGCTAGCCAAGTCAGACTCAGCCGGGTCGACCTCCAAAGTGGTCAGAGACAAGTCGAGTTCCGCACGAATGGATCGGAGGAGACCAATTGATAGACCGGACTTGGGGTTCTTGGTGTTCTTCTGCGCAGGAGGGAGTAGCCAGAGCAACTTTCGTGACGAGATCGATTCGGCATTCTTGAGTAGATTCTTGAAGATGGTCCAGTTCTCGGAAGAGATGTCCTCGAAGAATGGCCTCTCAAGGTCAAGAGCGAAGATAACGTTGTGCTCGTTGGCGACGTCTTCCGAAAGACCCTTCTTGACAACATCAATGCCATACTTGGACAATCCATCAGCCAGCTCGGAGGTTAGCTTGCTCTCACTGTTCTCAGTTACTAAGACGACAGGAGCGGTCTTCTCGCTGGAAGCAGTCTTGGGTTGTGTGATAATGGTAGACCAGTATCGGAATGGTAGTGGTGCGTCGTAGACAACATTGTCTGCGCCAGTGAATCCAGCAGACTTGAGGTCTTCGTCCCAACGGGCGTTGGATACGAAGGGCTCCCACTCACGGCCATCAGCCTCGCCAGACCACCACGATGAGAAGGTTCCGAAGATGAAGTTGGGCGAGCTTCCAATGGTTGCAGGCTCAGAGAGCAAAAGTCGGCCATCCGGCTTCAGCACCGCGTTGAGGTTCTTCAAGGTCTCCTTGAGGAAAGGAGTTGCGTGGACAACATAGGGTGCTAGGATAAGATCGTATGAGTGAGCCTCAAGACCCTGTGCGAGAGGGTCCTTGCTAACATCAAAGACCTTGTACTCTAGGTTGGGCGCATTGGCGAAACGCTCACGAGCCTGAGGGAAGAAACCAGGCGAAACGTCGCTGTATGTGTACACAGAGAAGGGAGGGAGTTTGCCATCCTGGACGACCTGGGACAAGATGGTTTCAGTAGTACCACCTGCTCCGGCACCAATCTCGAGGATTTTAAGAGCGGGTCGAGAGTTCGACAAAGCGCTGACGTATCCGGCATAGTCGAAGTTGATGGCAGTGTAAACATTGGAGAGGATGTCATTCTCCATCAGGAGTTGTGCGGCATCCACGGAACCAGTGTATAGTCCTTCAATGTGTCACGGATTTGTCCGATCGCGACGGCATAAGCAGCCCTCGAGGGGATCTTGCTCAGTTGAGCATACTTGTCAGCAATCAGGCTAGCCCTCTCGCTGCTAGACAGGGAAAGGAAGTTGGAAATATCTCCAAGAACTGGCGACTTGCCGCTGGCGGCAGCGTCAGCCTTAAGAGAGATCCACTTTCCGTACTTCTCGAAGTGGCCGTTGGTGGCTGTCTTGCCCTTGATACGCTCAGCGGAATCCAGGATAGACAAGAGAGTATATTCTTCCAAAAGGCGGGTGGAAGCCTCATCAGATGGGGGCTTCACGAGAGTAGAGGCTTCATCCCTGAAGTCGAAGTCAGGGCGCCATTCAAGGTAGGCACCATCGGTGTGGTGCTTAGGACCAGCATCCTCGTCAGGGAGGAGTGTGAAGCGAAGACCACGGATGCGCAGAAGAGTTTTGCCATCCGCCACACAGTCAACATTCATAGCTGAGCCGTCGGCCGTGCTCTGAGCCACAGCTCGCATCGATGGTGCTCCACGGTAAACCTCTAGCTCTTCAATCTCGGTAGGCACCTTAAGCTCGGTGTAATTACGCGGCAGACCCTTTGATCCAGCAATGATGGAAAGTTGCAAGCAAGCATCCATAGTAGTGGGGTGGAAGAGGAATGGTCCCTTCATGATCTCCTCAGTCGTGTTGACCGATGCAGCTGCAGCGTCGGTGGTTGTAGCGGCAGACAAGTCGCTTAGGAGCTGGAACTTGGGGCCATAGTTGAAGCCAACCTTAGCAAAGGTGTCGAACCATCTGGTCGCATCAGCTGTTCGAGGAAGTTCAGCTAGTTGCTCAGCTGCTGGCGCTTCACTGTCAATAGCCTTAACCAATCCCTCACAGTGGGTAATCCAGGTCGTTCCATTGTGAGATGCGATGATGAACTCAAAGTAGTCAGATCCTGAGATCGGTCGGAGCGAGGTGTAGATCTCCTTTGGTGTCTCACCGAGAACCAACGCTGTGGTGACTCGGGTGTTCTTGATGCCGTATCCTGTCTGGACACCGGTGAATTGCCGAATAGCCTCACCTGCGATGCTCACGTAACCAGCGAAAGGAACAACGGTGTCTTCACGGACCTTGTGGTCAGTGATCCATGGGACGTGGTCAGGAACAAGTATCAATCTCCAAGAAGGGTTAAGCGTGGTGCTTTCAGCAACCTTGCGGCCGAGAAGCTCGTGATGACCATACGGACGAAGACGCCACTCCTTAGATATTCTTGGTTCATACCAGTATGTCTCCTTTAGAGACCAGGGGTACTTGGGAATGCTGGTAACAACCTGGCCAGTTGGGTACAGAGAAGCGAAGTCGACGGTGACGTCTTGCTGGTAAAGCTGTCCCACTGCAGAAAGGAAGGACTGCGTGGAGTTCTTGTTCCTGAGCATGGTCGGGACATACTCGAACTTCGCGTTGCGGCTGGCGCAAATCTCACGGATGGGTCCCTGGAGGGTAGAGTGAGGACCGATTTCGAGGAAAAGAGGGTTCTTGACTTCCTCTGTGATGATCTGGACAGCAGAGTTGAAAAGGACAGGGGATGTCAAGTTGTCGACCCAGTATTGCGGTCCAAATTCTTTGACGTCTGTGATCTTCTTGGCCCTCAGACTAGAGAAGAGAGGAACTTCAAGTGTCTCTCGGTCCTGGGCGAAGTTGGTGAACTCATCGTTCAAGCATGTCTTATACGCGTCCGACAGGGCTACCATGTGGTGGGAGTGGTAAGCCATCTCCACCTTGAGAGCGCGGGCGAAAGCATCGGGCAGAGCAGCCTTGATGTTAAACAAGGCCGTCTGTAGCTGATCAACATCACCTGAGATGGTCGTGCTTGAAGGGCTGTTTTCGCAGGCAACGACGACTCGCTCAGGGAGGAGCTTTCGTGTCTCCTCAGCACCCAAACCGATGGCAGCCATTCCACCAGGAGTAGTGGACCCCTTAGAAACGTGGCCACGGTACCAAGCCGAAGTAACAGCTTCGCGTAGTGTAAGTGCCTCCGCAGCATAAGCAGCAGCAATTTCACCACTGGAGTGGCCCACCACGGCCTGCGGGCGGACACCAAGACGCCTCAACGCATTAACAATACCAATTTGAACAACTGTGGATAGAGGCTGGGCCAGCTCAGCACGACCCAACTGACTCTCACCAGCGGGCTTGCTCAACTCCTCAATAGCCCTCCATGTGGGCTTGCGATCGCCCAGGCTCTGTAGGATGTCATCCATTGCAATAACATCTTCCTTGAATCCGGGGTACGAGTTAATCAAGTCGTAACCCATCTGTGGCCATTGCGCACCCTGTCCGCTGAATACCATGACAACAGTAGGCTTCTTAGCGGGCTTGTTGCTAGGGGGAGCGAAAGTCGCCGCAGCCGCATCAGAGATGACGGAAAATGACCTCCATTTGAAATGCTCCCTGCGTCGAGCAAGGGTATATCCAATATCAGGTAGACGATCGGAGTTGTTTGAAACGTATTGCTTGAGGTTCTCAATTCCAGCCTTCAGAGAATCCTGAGAGTTGGCGGAGACAAGAGCAAGCTCGGCACCGAACCGAGACTTGGTGAAATCCTTGAGGTATTGCTCGGCGGATTCGACGATAACCTAGTTATTTGTGAGTATAAGTGGAGTTATATTAGAGGGGCTAACTTACGTGGGCATTGGTACCACCGATACCAAAGGAGTTGACACTGATTCTGTGTGCCTTCCCTTTAGGCCATGGCATAGGCTTCACGGGAATAGAAATCTTCTTCTCCTCGAAAGGAACTATAAATATGTTAGAGTAAGTCTTTAGAGTTAGCATAGATGGGAAAGCTCACTTCTAGGGTTAGGAACCTCGAACTTGATGTTGGGAGGGATAATCTTGTGCTCCAAGGCCAAAACGGCCTTCATCAAACTCGAGATACCCGCTGAGGCCTCGGAGTGACCAAGGTTAGGCTTGACAGATCCAATGTAGATACCATTGGGCTGGCCAAAGACATTTCCAACAGAGATCGCCTCGACGGGGTCTCCCACTGGAGTTCCGGTTCCGTGACACTAGATAAGGAGACAAGTTAGTCAGATCACTATAAAGTAGATAGCATTAGTAATAGTAGATCCTTACCTCAACCATAGCAGTCTCAGCCGGGTCCAGACCCGCATCGACATATGCTTTTCTCATTAGCGCCTCTTGCGCCACGATACTGGTAGCGAATAGACCAGTGCTTTGGCCATCCTGGTTGACACCAGTGTTCCGGATGACTGCCCTGATTGGGTTGCCGTCTCGGATGGCATCAGATAACGGCTTAATGTAGATAGCATTCACTGCTTCACCACGTCCATACCCATCAGCACGTGCGTCGAAGGTCTTGCACGAACCCTCAGGGGACATAATTCCCTCCTGTGTCATAGAAGCAGTGGTTATGGGTGTCATGTTCAAGTTGGATCCAGACACAATTGCAGCATTGCAGTCACGGTTCTGAACAGATCGAACTGCATTGTGAAGCGCAATCATGGAGGAAGAACATGCTGTCTTGATGACAAAGCTTTATGATATTGTTAGTAACTAGTTGTCTATCATTGGTAAAAGGTTAACTTACGCAGGGCCACGAAGATCATACTCGAAGGCAACCCGATTTGCCAGCATCGGGTCGAGATGACCTGTAAGAACATATCCAGTAGGGTGCATTTCTTCTTTGGATTGTGTCTGTAACCAATCCTCTGAAAATGTACCAACGAAGAAGCCTGTAAGACTACCCCGGTAGTCAGTTACACCAGCACTCTCCAGGCACTCACGGACAACGAGCAGGAGAAGACGTTGTTGCGGGTCAGCCTTCTCTAGTTCGTTCCTGGTCATTGTGAATAGACCAGCGTCAAAGGCAGCTAGGTCATCTTCCAGGAAGTAGGCATGATCTTGATAGACGGTGTTCGTCTTGCCCATATCGCTGTTGAATCCCTTAATGTTGTATCGGGAGATAGGTACCGGGGACCTTTGGTCCTTGCCATGGTACAATACATCCCAATAGTCTTCAGGAGTCTTGACGCCGCCTGGAAGACGCATGGCCATTCCGCAGATGGCCACGGGCTCAATGTAGCGTCCTGTTGGTTGACTCATTGTGTTGGTATTGTCGATTTGAAAGAGAACTCGACAAAGTTGTGTGTTAGAAGTGAATGGAGAAAGTGATTCAAAGCAAGGCCTGAGGTGTATCCGTCCGCTCGTCCTGTTCTATAGGGCGGATTCTGTTGGAAAGTGAATGAAGACAATGATCCAAAATAGAAAACCTGAGTATAACGAGTCCTCTCGACCTTTTTATAATCAAGATAGACTGAGACCCGTCTGCCTAGATGTCTTCCTTCTTGCGATATCGCATTATGTTGCGAGGCTGAAGACGATAGCACTTACACGGATAACTACCTGATAGGTCCATCCTTCTTTGCAGATCAACAGGGGAACACAACACGTTTTGGGAAATGTGAGCTGCGACGATAAGGTCCAGAAGACCTGCACGATCCCATCCTTTCAACAATTCGTTATGGTTGAGCTAGGCTTGGACGTGATGTCAGAATCGGCAACAAGATATCCCATTATCCCGAAGCTTAGGTGTATCTGCAGGTACTTTTGCCATCAAGTCTGATTGGTTGAGCTTATAATTACATTCCTGAAAGAGTATAAACTAAGTCTTAGTTGAGTCTTGATGTGCTGATATAAATGGGTCATGGATCTTACAGGTATTAGTGGGAACTTCGGAAAGATTATCTACAGCTGCTTCCATATCTCCGCGTAACTTGAAACTCCGAATCGACTCGGTATAGCTTATTAAGGAAGATGACTTATAATGGCGAAAACAGTAAGCATGATGGTAACATCGGCTACTCGGGTTACTAGGTATTCGTTTCCGATATCTTATACTATATCAAAATTTCTTACCTTACGCACTTGTTTTATACTATTAGTAAGTCAATACTGATGATATTTGTCGTAAACAACTAAATTATATTTGCATACTTACTTTTCTAAATATTACAATAAAGAAACTACCTAATTTGGTAACTAACGCTGCAACTGCTAATGATGTCATACATATTTGAGCTCATAGAAATATTATATGTATTACTTTGCGTGTAACTAAAACATCTCACATGCTAAGCCACCTTTGCTTATTTTTTTTATTCACATGTCTGATCGTCAAGTTGTGCATAATCAATTTTCTTAGCCTTGATGGTTATCAGACCACCTTCACCTCATCAAGGAAGATATACTAACTAGTATAGCTTCGTAATCACTTAGTATAATCTGGAATGGGTAGACTTGTAAGGATCGAACGGGACTGCATACTAATTGTTCCGAATAGTATCACCGACGTACATTGCATGATTACCTGATACATTAATGTGCCGACGCCTAGTCCGTATCTGCAGAATCAAGGCCTACATGCAGTGTAGGATTCCTATTAGGCCTATCTTCCTAGTCTATATCTACTATAATGTTGAGATTTTGTTCTTGTTCCTGCGATGGTCTATCTTAAACGGAAAATGCCGTCCAACCGAGCTTCGCAAATGTGACAGTGATCGTTGTATGTTTCGCAAATCTCTGTTTCGAAATATTGTGCTAAATCCTTCTCAAAGCTTATATTATAATCCTTGTTCCTATCCACGACTAAGCATATGCGGCTTTTGCCTCCCTGTCTTCATCCTCCGGTTCCTCCCATGCCGATGTCACCCACCGCCACGGTCTCGCTTGCAGCATGGGTCTTTTGAGAACCTAATGTAGTATTGGTGCACCCGCTGCTCTGGCTTGGTATTCTGCATTCTGGATTTTTAGCCTCTTTTTGAACTTAGCCACTTATATGTCTAAAAAACTAGGGTTCGTGAGTACCCATGGTCCCTTTTCAACATGGTGAACCTATTGGATCTTGGCGGGCGCTGCTATCATCAATCCTGAGCACGTTGATTAGCTCGATCCTAGATATTGTGATTCCTTCCCGTTTGCCCGTCCGCGCTAGGGGTATCATGTATGCCATGCCGGCGCCCCCACGACTCCCGAAGCGCCAATACGGAATGCAAAGCTTGACACATTTACTAGTTGTCTGGCTAACTTGATGTGATACCCGGTAGTTTGCATTCAAAGGACGATCATCCCGGTTTTTATAGCGCTTACGCCCAGGTCATTCGAATGCAAATCGGAATACGGAGCGGGCCGGCGCCGTCCTATAGTATATCACAATGCTTAGCAGTGTACCTAGTTAAATAAAATATTTAGTTAGTTTATTCTGTATATTATGTAGCTTGATTCTGCATGTCAAATGCATTGCTTACACAGAATTATATGCATGAACCTGTAATCCCGTTATTTGAATTCTTAAATAAAGACTTCACCATTTTCGGGCTTTGAGATCAGCCTCAATTACGTTTATAACTTTTATTAAGTGGGGGGGAATCATTTGAAGTCAATCCCTTTGGCCACAGGGATGGGAATGTGGATACTACCTTTTGATACTACCATGCATTGTAAGACATGATCCTACGCTAAACACCTGCATTATCATCAAGTTGCGGTCAATACTATGTTACTGGGCAGTGTATAGGTAATCCACATCTTGGTTTCGTGAGGAAGTCTCATCCTTAGACGGCTTCCTACGCGCCGTATTCGCATCATGTTTCCGTCAACAGAAGGATGATAGACCGGCAAGATGTTACCGTCTTCCCCTCCTCGAGTATTTTAAAAGCCCTTATCTATCAGAACATCAGGTCGGAAGAAATCAACAACCACACTTCATTCCGACACAAAGATGACTCGTGTACTTCTCACCGGTGGATCAGGCTTTATCGCCGCTCATATTTTAGAGAGTCTGCTGGAGCATGGCTACTCTGTTGTGACTACTGTTCGATCAGCACAGAAAGGTCAACAAATTCTTGACTCGCACAAGCAATATGGCAAAGATAAACTCAACTACGTCGTCGTCGAAGATATCGAGAAGCCTGGAGGTATGTTACATCTTCCCCAAATAAGTATTATAGGCAATATACTAATATAGTATCAATAGCTTTCGATTCGGCTGTAGTATCGGACCCACCGTTCGACGCAGCTGTTCATTGTGCCAGTCCATATCACTTCAACGCCAAAACACGTGATGAGATCCATCAACTTATCAGTACCGCTATTAATGGTACAACTGGTATCCTTAAGGCCATCAAGGCTCATGCCCCCACAGTGAAGCGCGTGGTTATCACTTCTTCGTACGCGGCTATGGTCGACTACGGCAAGCCGTTGACACATGTCTATAGCGAAGTAGATTGGAACCCAATCACTGAAGAGCAGGCTTATTCAAGTGCCCCATTCGCTTATCTGGCAAGCAAGACCTTTTCCGAGAAGGCAGCTTGGGATTTCGTGAAGGATGAAAAGCCTGGATTTGACCTCACCACTATCAACCCACCCATGGTCTACGGCCCTGTCATTCACGCGCTCTCCTCCCTTGACTCGATTAACACTAGCAATGCTCGATTCGTGAGCCTACTCAAAGGTAGCCCCACAACCCCTTGCCCCCCTACAGTCAACTATCTTTTCGTGGACGTGCGAGACTTGGCTTTGGCACACGTCCGGAGCTTTGGAGAAACCAGAGGCAGCAGGCCAGCGCTTCCTAGTTACTGCAGGAAACTACAGCAATGCCGAAGCCGCTCAGATTATAGGCGAAGAATATCCTGAGTATAAGGATAAGATGCCAGTTGGCGAGGCCTTGAAGCCTGGCGAGAGGCCTGCTACGGGAGTGAATGGGTACGACAACAGAAAGAGTATTGAGGTTCTTGGCTTAAAGTATAGGACATTCAAGGAATCCGTTGTTGGCGTTGTGGATAGCATCAAGGGACTGCTGTAAGATTAGGTGATTAGGTACCTAAAGTTTTCTGCAGCAAATTGATGTAGCCTAAAGATTCTAGAATCTACGCTGTAGCATATTTTAAATGCAACTACCTTTCTGAGTCTTAGCTCGAAATACATAGTCAAGTGTTTTGATAACGGTCATCTGTATAATAAAACGTGCTAGCATTAGATCGGTTTTTAGCGTTAAAAATAGGTTAAACTTCGGAGATAAATTATAATGTATGTCGCTTGAGACTTCGTATTAAAGTACCTTAGTGGGACGCTGACGTGCAATTAGGCGTTCCTGTGACGCCTGTGACAGCCTAGTAGCGTGGCAGCCTGGTAAGGTTGAAGTTAAGGGACTTGCGTGACTTACGTATATTATTTGTCATCCGCCTGTACTTAATAAACCCTGTCTGCCATCTGGGTTTTGTAGGAGTGCATTGCAGATCCCTACTAGCCTTATAAACAGATCCCGGCAAGCTTCGTGTCCTGCAGCATAGTACCTAGGTACCTAAGTAGGTACATGGGCATTGAAGAACCCGTGTAAAGAAAATGTAACAGGTACCTTAGGTACTTAGTTGACGATAACGAAGTAATAGAATATGAAAATTGTACATAAATGGAATATTCATTACCTACTATGCTATAAGAAACATAATTAAGAGGAAAATATAACTAGGTACTATAAAACCACATCGTTTTAATAATCATGCAATGTAAGAAAATTGATCTACAAAGTATATAGCTTGAGTGTCTTGGTTCAACTCCTGTTATGTATAGCCGTGGCACAGCTTATTTTGACCAGGGTCTCGGAAGCATAGGCTTTCACCAATCATCCCTGAACAGGATTCGACTCCTCTAGACCACTTATATAAACAAAACTTGCGCAATGTGGTGGATATACCTCTGATCTACTTCCTCCTTTAGTTATTAATGCTATGTCTTTTAATGATGTGCATTAGGTCACTTTCATGTACAAGCCACTGGGGTAAACTAAATTCCAAGCAATTTGAATTATACTATGCCGCCCTATGCATAGCCCTCTACCATAAGCCTTATTATGCTCTAGTTGGATATATGTCGCTTTAATGTAGTCAAATGAATATTCCTTAGCTTTCCCTTACATCTCTATCTTTTATGAGAACTACCCAAAACGTCCCTTTGTCCCTCGGGTACATTAACCTACGTAAATCTGGATACAATCCTTATTTCTTGACTAGTAGTCTAGGACCTACCAATCTAACACGCGAGAAAATAATAGCCGCGCCACCCTACGAACGTTAGCCATTTGCACATAGTTATTATTTTTTTTTTTTCGTTAGATATACTTACTACAAGCAGTGAGACACCACAGAAGATCTTGAGGCCAGAATAGGCGCCGCCCTGGGCAGTCACAATGGCTCCAGCGATAGGGCTGCCGAATAGGGCTCCGAATGAGGAGAAAGCATACAGTGTGCCAACTCGGAAGCCCAACTTCTGGATATCAGATATGGAAGCCACCAATGCGGGGATGATCGCTAGTGTTAATCCCGAAGCGAATCCATACAGTACCGCATAGACGATAATTGGAGCAACCGCAGCCGCTGGGAGCCACAGAGCAAGGGTGATGATTCCAGAGAAAAGCGTGAAGATAATGCAGACGTTGAAAACTCCGTATACATCTCCAAGATGAGCCGGGAAGATTCTTCCAAAAATACTTGCCGCATTAATGATCGGAACAAGATAGTTCGCAAGGTCGGGCGACATGCCTGCTTCCTTCGCCTCAACAATAATGAAGTTGAACGGGAGGAAGGCACCGAAGTAGACGAAGAAGGAACCTACGGCGAGAAGTAGGTACGGTAACTCAGTAAAGGGAACAAAATCCCTTAATAGTGAAAGGCTTTCGAACAGGGGGGAGACGGGACTTGATCGCAATGTTGCCGAAGATCAGAAGTCCAAGGATGAGGAAAGCAACAATACGCATTGCCCATCCGAAGCCGACCTCCACAATCAAGTGCTGAACCATAATTGGAAGCACCACGCCGCCGCCAAGACTAGATCCAGAGACCATGATACCGAATGCCAATGCTCGGTGTCTCTTGAACCAAGTTCCGGCCGCAGCAATAGCTAAGCGCTGTTAACTTACAAGTTTCGTTTTCGTACAGGTTAGTTATGCAGATATTACTTACTAGGGTAAAATAGAAAACTGGTTCCAATTCCACTGCATATGGCCTGAGCAAGGAAGAATTGGTAGTACTCTTTAGATATCGAGATCATCATCATTCCTAAAACATGCAGAATGGATCCGAAAAGCAGTGGCCATCGTGGGCCATAGTTGTCAGCTACTTTGCCAGAAATTAAACCCTGTGAAATGATTAGCAATAGAGCAAATAAAAAAGGCGTACTATCATGGTCCCACGAGGAAGAAAAGCATGAATGATTCTGCGGCTGGTATCCATACACATCGCTAGGCGTATAGGCTGCGAGTTGATTGGCTTGATAATAGTCCTGGAAAACACCAATACCTATTATCTTAGTCAGCTTTGATGTTATATTAGTCTCCATAAGCATTGGAACCCTACAATTCACCCAACCAAAACTGGAGAAAACTGTACAAAATCCACCAGCAATGCAGAACCATGCCTCAAAACCTCCATCTGGGAACGCGTTTGGATCAGGGCCAGAGGGAGGCGTGTTCTCAGCTTGCTCTGACGCCGGATCCGAAGTATATCCATTCTCGGGTGAGCCGTTCTCGAACTTTTCTGATTTGCGATCGCTCGAGTCGTCGAGGACAGTCGGGGCCTGAGACTCAATATCCACGTTAGACTTCATCTTGACTTGCTATTGACAAGCGAAGGGTAAGGGAAGAGTTAAGGAATTAATTGTCGACAAAGTCGGGAATTTCAAGAGTGACTCCTGTGTCATGTACTTATAATCGGTAAATGATTAGAAATGTAGTATATTCGGACACCGCTCTAATCCTCATTCGGAACCATCTTTCGTCGAAAGAATACTTGGCGCAGATAAGTATGCTAATCCCTATACGGCATCATCTTTCGGTGAAAATCTTGGCGCAGGGAAGAGCCGCATCGGCGCTGCAAAAGTGCGGCAGATGTCCAATGAACCAACCTATTACGGAATATACGTAGGTACACGTGAACAAATAAGGTAGATCCCGCAATTGATAACATAATATTCCGAAACGGATGAGATTAGGTAAAACTCAATCTATACTATTTTAATACTTCCCGCAAATTAGTTTTCTTAATAGATTAAGTCTAGATAGTTACCTCTTAATTAAAATAAGCCACGCAATTATTAAGCTTACCTACATATAAACAGGCTTAACAGGTATACACACAGATGCGACACAACCAAATTATAAACAAAGTTCACACAACGTGGCTTAATAAGGTCTATAAACTGTATATAAGAACTGTAAAAAAGCTGCAGTTACATATGGTGTTGTGTAACAGTTTTATCAGTTCCCGGTGGCAATTCTGACCCCTGTGCGCGTCTTGACGCCGTCAGATCATTAAAGTTAAAGTACTGACACCTTGCGGGAAGGCCGATTGTCGAAAGGTCAGATCCTGCACTGCAATTTAGATGCATTAGGTACCTTATATAGGTACTTGGGTACTTAATTAGCGCTACCAGCCAGTTTTTGGGTTTTACTATTCATGCATTGTACCTACATAGTACATATGAGGTAAGCAGCCAATCTCCTTATAGCAGTCGGCCTAATTATTTACCCAACCTTACCCCTCTTAAAAAATCGCTACACTCGCAACATACCACCTATGATAACACGCGACATCAAACATCCTATGCAGTTGATCTGTATAGTTATCTCAACTCCTCGTAGGTTAATGCTTCAAGAGCGCAGCAATGGTCATTAACCACATCGCCTACTTATCATCTGATGCCTTAGTTACCTATCATCTATATATACTCACCGTGACTCCGTATCTGAGCAATCTAAATTAGCCAATTACCACATTTAGATGCATGTTGCGCCTTTATTCTTGGTTATAAGCATCGAATCATCTTGCCGTTCCTAGCTTATTACATACCATAGCGGGAGTGTGTGGGTACAGGGAACCGTTCCCTATTTAGAAAAACGTTCCCTGAAATGTTTTCATACCATAACAGTTGCCTCGTTCCCTATCGTGAGAATGGTTCTCAAAAAGGGAACGGTTCCCAAATCGTGGAATTTTCGCCATTTCACGTGACTTTCACGTGAAAAAGTGGGGCGAAAGTCAAAAAAGTCAAAAAAAAGGAAAAGACTGGTCCTCGAACCCACAGCTCTTGCGTTTGTGTAACCATGAACCCCACCATTAAGGTTAAAGTTTAAAGTGTAAACGTTTGAGCTAATGGGACGAGGTGGCCAATCTCATCGAATTAGTTCATTGTGAAATTTTCCTTGTTTTTAGCCATTATAACCTTTACTTCCGAAATATTATTTTATTAAAAAAAAACTTTAATGAAAAAAAAAAAATTTTTTACAAAATTGTTTTTGTAAAAAGCTTTTTTCTTTTAAACTACAGGGTAATCCCTCCCGTACTTAGCCTTTTCGACCAAAAAGGGTTTTTTTTTTTTTTTTTTAGGTAAAATTGACGAGAATGCTTCCCAAAAAGGGAACGGTTCTATAAGAGGGAATGGTTCTTGGCACTAAGAACATGGGATCCAAGGTGGGTCCAAAAATCCCAAATCTAGACCCACTTATTTCCGGATTTAGCCAATAAAAGGCCTGGAATCAAGGGAACGTTCCCTATTAGGGAACCGTTCCCCAAAAATAACCATTCTCTGAAAACCCCCACCTCCGCTATGGTAAACATCTCCTACCTTGATATCAGGAAGATTGAAGTTTCCAGACTTGTGGGGCAAGGAAAAATCATGGTGCGCAATCATGTAAGATGAGTGATGCTTTGGGTATCAAATTTAGATGCCAAGATACCAAGAAATGGTTTCTCATGACAAGTTTTCTATTATATAATACATACCCCGCAAGTGATAACTCATTGATAAAGGCGGTGCATTGTCTTATCTCACGGCATCATGAGGCGATGACTAACCGAAAGCATTTAGGTGCATGGCGAAGTTTATTGCGAAGGCCGAGATGAAGAACACGGCTTACAAATAAGCACGAAGTCGTAGTGAGGTAACTATGTAAATTGAAAGCGTCAGCTTATATGAAATTGAATATAAATATAAAACGTCCAAATTTTAAGACTGATATAGCTACCACCAATACTCACATACTCACATACATGAAGATAAAATCGTCACACCCTATAAGTCTGGTAAGATCGAACTTCATATAAAACAAAGATAAGGAAAATTTATAATGTTGCATTATAAAATACTTCTCTATAAAATATAAGACTTGTTAAGTAGGTCAGCTGCCGTCATCTATCATCTTCGGCATATATATCCTAAGTTTTCAGTAATAGCCTTCCGCGGAATTAAAGGACAGAAGTCTTCATGTGATCTAAATACTACCTACAATTACTTTACAAGCCTTATCCATATTCTTGTTTAAGACACTTGTAATATACACCAATACACACCAATGTCATGGAAAATCATATCGGATAACTAACTGCTGTGAAACAGCAGCTTACGTGAACACACTACTCAACAAAGATTACGATCCCGAGTGATCCCAGCGCCGATCTGTGGCTGACCATGGTTATATGTTGAAATAATCTGAGAGGCGCTTGGCCAAATCCCTTACAGATAGTAACTCTTGTTACACAAAAGCGATTCAACACAGCTCGGATACATGGTTCAGCTATTGATAAAACAAGACATGCATAAAGGGGCGGCTTGAAATATACCAAGATAACCTCTAACTCATCTGTCACACAAACTCATCTTAACTCCGGAATATTATTTTGTTGTTTCACAAGATTCGTCACTTATTTCAGCAACCTTTGGTTTTCCTTTAAGTGATTTTAGTATTAGTAATTAGTACGTTAAATTCTAACAAAGAAATTATTCGAATCGTAAATATCACAATATAGAGATTACCCTCAAATATTAGGTACCTCGGTACATAATACGAAGAGAATACGAGGTTATAAAGTCCGAACTAAGCGAGAACAAATTAATTAAAGTATTTTGTAAAGCGCATATATGTAATAATATGTTGCTACACACTTCAATATAGCTTTGCTATCTATGATAATAATTCACCCCAGTTACTGCCTTGCTTTTTTATGACGAAGCTGATGCGGTTTTCTCTCTTCGCATCTTGGCGTAACCCCTTTACCTAGGTAGGTAGGTACCTACGATTTGCATCATATTCCTTATTTTCAATAAGATCGAATATCATATCTTCATCGGTTACACGATCTATATTTACAATGCGCTTCTATTTCCTAGCTTATTTTCTATCTTCATTTAGCTTTTTTGATTCCACACAATGTATATTCGGTTATATCTTTTAGTTCAATAAATGCATTGTTAGTGTAATTGTAAATCCTATAGCAACTGGTAAACTTCTTTTCCTGGCTTGCCTAACAGCTATTCCCTATCTATGGTTTCAATAAAGGCATACATGCAATGCTCTAACTAAGACAGTACAGGGCGTATAATAGGAAGATACTATTTCCTAGATATTTACGCAAAACATTAGTCAAAATTCATTAGCGTGTCATTATAACGGTGGCTCGCAGTCCATGGGGTTTACACACTGCCAGGTACGGGACAGAAGGCATTGAATTTACTTAATTATTTAGTATCTGCATCGTATAAACTAGAATTACCGTTTAAAGTTGTACTATGAGACATTTGCACTACCCTGCGCCTGACTGTGAACCCGAATAAGATACGAAGCATAGGGTAGGATGTATGATAAGACATGCTATACCAACCAAAACCTTCTTCGAGAGCAAGTTATAAAGGGGCTATACGGCCCTTGATATAGTGAGCCGTTCCTCCGACTATAACTACTAACAGCGCTACTAGAATCACTTGCGACGCTACTATTATCATCGTCAATTTCCCCCAGACCTATTATGACATTGTCTTCGTGTAGGCCATCATCATCAATATCATTGATGACGCTATTTCTGGGCTGACTACGATCGTTGTTGTTCCTCTTCTTAATTTCATCCGGGTGGGTTAGGAGGTCTCCACCCCAATCATTCAACTTATAGTCGATAACGTACTCGGAATTATCATCATCGTACACTGATTGTGGGTCTTGGTCGTCTTGGTCGTCTTGGTCGTCTTGATCTTGATACAACCATAATTGTATCTCAAATGTCCCGATCCGAATAAACGTTTTTTGCTTATCGTCAGACCCAGACCGGTGCTGCTCCTGCAATATCAAGCCCTTCGATGTCTCATCGCCTCTGATAACCTCCAGCAAGTAATGGCGATGGCACGACGCACACATAAGCATGTGAAATTCTTCGGCAGATGCGTTACGGTACTCCCCATCAAGATGCCAAGTGCAATTGGGAAACAGGTCGTGTGGAGCTATTTCGTTACCATCTTCGCTACTCTCGAATCGAAGACGCACTTTTATTAAATGCCCCGACAGCAGAAGCCGAGCTTGCTGAACGTCACCAAAAGGGTCTTCGGGATTGGCGAGCACTACGTCGACGTCGCGGATCTTTAAAAAGACATTGTGTTCATCGGTGACAAGGTAAGGGATGTTTTCTCTGGGTAGAAGACTAAGGTCAAACGGCGACTCGGTGTATCCAGCCGAAGCCCAGGACCAGGTTGGGAAATTGGTATCTTGGCGGTCTCTGCTCAACCTATCATTTTGCCATAACAGATCGACGGGTAGATGGGCGCGCCAGTGACCGGCAATATAGTCTTGCGGGTTACCAAAGTAGGGGGCGAATTGTTTCGGTATAGCAGAGAAAGCAGGCAATCTCAATGTGCGACTCCCGTCAGGAAATGTAGACTTTGCAGGGGACAAGAGGATCATCATAAACGAATCACTCACCTATCGCTCGAGTTCGTTAAATTCCGTAGGGAGTAGTTGTCACGCAGTCTGATCCATTCCTCGAGTGGCTTCTCAAATTCCCAGGGATAATTCGCCATGATGCGATGCACAAGGTTTTGGCCATCCTCGCCGACAAGCAACACAGTATTGCGACAAGCCATATTAGACATAGACGACAGCATCTGCGTCGAATCCGCCAGCGCGCTCTTCTTCCATGATCCAAATAAAGAGTCCTCTAAACACTGCCAGCTCATGCCCGTCCGGCCAAAAGCCAATACCCGCTTGGATACCAGATGTTCCTGCATTGCCCAACCGCGTGAGTGGATCGGCTCTTCCGGCAGATCATTACGCTCTTCGAACCATTTCTCGAGCACCACGCGCCCCGTCTCTCCTCGGAACCGGTATTTGAATGGCACGCAGAAATTTAGCTCGGTATATTCGACCTCCTCGGGTACAATGTCATCTAGGAATCCCTCGGTTGCCGTTGCCGCACGACTGGCCGAGACAAGTAAGTCCGCATGTTGATAGACTTGATTCATCTGACTCATCTCGTGGCTAACGTCGGCGGGGTTATCCTGGACAATACAAAGGCCATCGATCCAGATATATTGGAGGCCCATTGTCCTGGTAACCATGATGGCATCTTGGATTGTTTGCGGTTGGACCTTGATAGGGAATCCTTCCTTGTGACGGCTCTCAACGTTGGCACTGGTTGTCTTGTACTCGTTATTGCCGCCCCAGCAATAGCTAAGTGCCACATAACCACCGAAATCATACTTAGATCTAGATATGCTCTAGTCACAAGTCGAAGTTGACCACCGCCGCCATCTTGGCTAACCTCGATTAACCTGGTAGGCTTGAAGGCACTTTGCCGTGAGGAAGCATCGCGCTGCCGGCATCTCCCGTGATTCGCGCGACACTCTACAAGACACTCTCTTGCCTTGTCCCAGATCCCGTCACTGGCATACTTAGTTTCAACGCCCCCGATAGTAGAAGAGAAGTTTTCCGAGCTAAGATCATCTGAAGGGATCTATAAGTCCGAACCTGTCATATTGCGCCTTTGCTGGCACCATTCCGCAGTTGCGACTCACCTGACGAAAAAGACCTGATGGTGAAGGTAGTATCCTCGCTCTGGATTTGGGTACCCTGGATTTGGATATGAACTCTGTTATTTACGCTCGGGACACCCAGGGGTTCGTCTCGACCGAGGCAAAGAACGAAACCCGGGTCATAGAGACATTTCAACGGTTCTGAGTGCTCTGACGGTTCTACAGAAGACGGAAGAGACGGGAAGTCTGACGGCGCCGTTACGGGCGAAAGATTTGGCGTAGATTCTCGAAGCCTTTCGGGCCATTTGAGGCCATAGGATTGGTAGAACTGGAGAGTAGCTTCATCGTCAGCGCGTCTGGCAACAAAGATGGTATGTTTATATCGTCTGCGCATTGAAGGAACCCACAGTTGGCAGGTGGAATACCTGCACTCGTCGAATTCCGTAGTAGGGTGATCGAGGTCCAGCGTGAAGAGGTCTGGGATAGCTTCAAAGAAATTTTCGTCTCGCCACGGCGGGACGTGCCAGCCAAACCACGCTTCGGTTTCCGAGAGGCTACCATCGTCTGAATACGCGACTTCAGATTCTATCGACTTTGCGGATCAGTTACACGGTATATTTCAGCCACGCTGATGGCTACCCGTACGTATTACGGAGAAATAAAAAGAGGAACGACCTTCTTCAGGTTACATACCGCCCTCTCCTCGATTTATTGGTTTCTCATATACAACACTAAGGTATTCCATTGCCCTCGAATATTTCATGGGTGGACGCTTCTGAGAGTCTCCCGCCTCGTCGGGGTTAAATTTCAGGGCTTCTAACCAGGCCGGTAATCTCGCAGGCCCTCGAAAAGGGCCTATCTTGAAGCTGGGCGCATTGTATAAAAGGTCCCACATATCCCGGTCCAGTTCAGAGGGCGGCTGTTCGTCATCGTACTCATCTTTTCGGCCGAAGAATGGTGGCATCGCTGTGTCCAACTTGGATAATTTACGAGTTTATACAGGCTGGAATCGATGGAATGCAGACGCGAAATTATACACTACATGGCGGAATAAATCTGTAGCTGATGAAGGAGGGGTCGATTAGATGCCTGATTGGTACAGGGGCTCAGCTCAGATTCCTGCAGCCGGGTTGATACACTGTTGCATTGGTATCGACGTAGTCGGCCAGGGTAGCTAATCTTACACGCGGGGAAACCCCAGAACGCTATGTTATTTCGTTTATACCCCAGCTCAAAATATAAGACAAATCTTCTGTATTGCTAGAGTTCACCTTCCCCCTTTAACCATCAACCAAAGGACGATCATGGTATTGAGAGAACACCAAGTGTTTTATTTACTCTTGTATCATGTATTTAGGTAGGTAACTATTAAGCCGAGGTTTCATTTTAATAGAGGTAGATATAGAGATAGAGACTATTAATATGATAGTTGTGAAGCTGTCTGCATCAATAAATAAAAGGGGTAGCTTGAATACTCTTTACTAAAATGCTTCATAACTACCGTATTTAGCAACATTCTACCAATCGCTAGTATTCCTCGCGCATGGTAGTGTATTAAGGCATTGGAGATATTTAGAAGCTGTACGTTTGATAAATATTTAATCATTCTCTAGGTTGGCTATTTATGGTGGTTTGATCATTTTACTAACCTCCTAATTCACTCCCATTTCAAGAACTCCTATACTTTTTAAAAACTTTTATAAGCCAAGGTTCTTTGGCCTCGCTTGCATCTCTCGTAGGGGTATACTAGTGCTAATTCGATGAATCACAATTTTTGTACAAAGTAAAATTGGGTGAGATTCTACTCAAGCCCTATCTCGACCAGCCACCTAATGGCTCAGCAATGTCCGCAAATGTCATCATCGACAGTCCCCAACGTGTATTGGGACCTTCCATCATGTGCATATTCTGTATCCACAACCATTCCCGCTCGTGTCCCGGATGGAGCCGAAAATACTGTCGAGCGCTCCAGGATGGATAGGTTGTCGCGTGGCCACCATATGTTCCCATTTCTATGCGATGGAAATACTCCATTGACTGGCAAACATAACGTGCCATCCTTGTCCCCTCGCCTTGAATATCTTGTATCGAACGGCTAGTACCTGTATTAGGTAACAGAGTGCTCTGGTTTGGAGATTCCGATGGGCTCGCTGCGTCTATCACTGTGGGACAAGCTTGAGATAGGAGATCTTTGAGATCAATCTGCCGGCCTAGCCTTGCTTGAACAAGGTTATGTATTTGAATAACAGTGCTATATAGCTGAGTACCAACCGACCAGCACATGACGACAGGGACTGCGACGCCGAGTGATTCGAACTCAAAGCAGAAAGGAAAGATCTTGTTTGAAGGGTCGGCATCGGCCGGATTCACCGCGCGACTTGTTACAGACCAGGATCGAGGAGTCGGTGAAGCTTTCCAGAATGCATCGTGCCATGATTCTACCGACTCCACCATGGCTAATATTGACTGCGTAACTGCCGCCGATTCCTTTAGAAGAACACTCTGGTCGTTAATTGAAGGGAGGGCAACTGCTCGTTCAAGAATGCCAGGGAAGTCGGCAATCATCCTATAAACCTCGTCAAGAGCTACGGTTAAACCTGACTCGGTTACAATTTGTCGCCATATATCGTTTTCGAGAATTTGTGCTTGCCTCTTCGTCAGAGCTTCTAGGGTCTGCTAGATAGTTAGAAAAGAAACTGGAAGGCTTCCTTCCTTATACTTACGCAGACAATCCTCATACGCGAAAACAGATGTCGCCATGCTGGAGTACTCTTCATTCCCGGGTCACGCAATCGAAGGATCTCTGCGATACCGCGTGCGTGGACACTCCAGCCATTTTCTGCAGGACATACAAAGAGCTATAATCTTTGTCAGCAATGCTATGATCAAGAAGGAAGTATGGTACTAAGAGATATATTAGATAATATCTTGGCTCAAAGGCTACTCAAGTCTTGCTAGGGTACTTCAAGATATCCTCTGTACGTACTTCACATGTCGACAGTACCACTATAGCGGCCAATGTTTCTTCTCGAAACCTCCTTTCCGAGTCGGCTAAATCGGAGTAGAGATGCTGTAGGGCAGTGTTATAATGGTCAAGACATTGATATAATGAAGGACCTCCTGTACCAGTAACATGGAGCTGGGCGAGACAGAATGCGAAGAGGGCGGTATCGAGTGATTTGCTAGGCTCATTGAGATCTGTTACATGGTAGACCCATGAAAAGCTCCCCTCACTAGACACGGACTGTTTTGGGAGATACATAGCTTCCAGTAGCTCGACAGCGTACATCCGAAACTCCCGGCAATTGTGCGAAGACTCGGAGAACAGTTGGTGCAAGGTTGCTTCTGCTTTTGGATTAGGCGAAGCGCTTTTCGGCACCTCTTGCGCTCTGAGCCCCGACAATACCGACATCGCAGTAGTCGACGGACATGAAGGAGTCCGATTGACGAAGATCAGATCTCGACCATAACCAGTACATTGTCGTTTTGATTTGATGCATTTTAAACAAAAGGGTCGTGTCATATCACACTATCATGGCATGGCGTCAGCAAAGTCTACCAATATAAATGCTAGCGAGTTTAGCAGTTTAGCAGAATAGAGAATAGTTAGTATAGATTATAAGCTCATCCATCATCCCTGGAAATATCAAAGTAGGGATAAGGGATATCAAAAGTATCCGGATCGACACCCGTATTGATTGTTGATTACGTCATGTGCTATTAATCGCGTACCTTCAATCGCTTCAGTCTGCAGGTATTGCAAGCCTGCGACTTTCCTGCGACGCCAACCATGTGGAGTTTAATAATCTGAAATATAGTATAAGAGTATAAGAAGTAGTCAAGTATAGGCGCTCAGGAATCGCGTAATTGTTAATAAGAGGTGTCGTTTATTTTGACACTATTCCGAGTGGATGATGAGGTTGGTCTTCATGCGCAATAATGCAATGCGAGACCCCAACTTTGAAACTTAACTCCACATAACTTTGTTAACGTTACCGTAAGTTTAATGTTAAGGTTAAACCGGTAAGAGCCGAACTGCATGAGACGGGAACTAAATAAGGCTGAACCTTAATCCGTCCGGAAATGCTAGGATTAGGTAATAAATGCTAGTCTATCTATTTTTAATAATTCCTTTAAATGCATATATGATACAGATTTGTACCGCGTATTTGCACTAAATGATATTCCGTAGCGGTATTGTACCTCGGAGCAAGGAACCCACACTTCTAGGCCGGCTCGGCTCGGTGTACGGAAGTATACGGAAATGTAAATCATCCAAAGTAGTTTTTCGATGGTAGTGATGACCGCTATGCGAGAACCGATCTCCCTTGGTATCTTTAATAAAGAATCCCCATAATTGCGGTAGGTTCGGGGCGAGAGCCCTTAATGATATTTGAAAGCTATATTTTTCATCCCTTGAAATGATGTCACATCGGAACCCGCTCCGCTCGGATTACCTTAGTTTTTCTATCCCTAGTTATTTCAATCTTTATTATATCTTGAGATCATGGACTTTTTTGCCGGACTAGGGTTACTTACTACCTAAGTAATGGGGTCATCTTTTTCTAATCGCGCGAAGGCCCTGATCTCATCGAAAGAGGCCAATCAAGAGTAGAAATAAGATAAAACAAGTGGTAGTCAATCGCCAATTTTACTACGGAGGGCAGAGTTACGTGGTCTCTATTATGACTGCTTTGTTAGTAAGAAACAAACGAGGGACGGTAAAGATATGAACTTCTTTTGTATTGATAACATTATAGGGTATCGAGAGTCTTTATACAATTGCCAATATGTATCTGATCATCGACGGTTTTTGAAAAACTCATATAAGCCTCTCATGGCACACAACTTCCCAAGATAGTTTTATGCCCGTTGGTAAGATGAGAGCCTGCATGCTATTACATCAAGATAATAGCAGTGTCTTTGGCGATATTGTTGGTAATAATGATTGTATAGGAAGCATACACAGTACTACTAGCTAACACTAACAAGGCTAACCGTAGCGACATGAATGATGATAGAGATGGTGTGGTGCGGACGAAATGTTCGTGGCGTATTCTCATTGTAGATGTCCATGATTGCTGTACAAAGGGCTTTATGATAACATCTTTATACTTAGCAAGTATCATCATATCTAGCGTCGAAAACCTTGTCGATCCCTGCATTTTTTGCACGTGGTCAACGTGGAAGCGATGGTACTAGTAATATTTCTGATGGAGATAGTTATATGCTTCAGGGGGTTGTGGAAAAAAACGAAGCGTCCTTAACTAGCTAAAGTCTATACTAGTAACTATTGACTTAGTTATACTTGGTGTAATAAAATACCTTCAGATGAGACAAGATGAAATATTAGTCTGGGGGCCTATTGTCCAATTATCTTAACACATATCCAAATACACATATGCCATAGCGGATAATTCCGAGGTTGCTATAGGAATATTCCTTGATGCTATAGTTAATTTTAAGGTTGAGGTTGTTACGGCCGAAGACTATCCTTCATTACCTTAGGTACCTAGTCATCTTAGTTGGTGGTCTGTGCGAATACTGCATTGTTTTCGGAAATCCGCTTGTCCCTCGACTGTGTATCGGCTTTGTGTTAAAAGAATACCTTCTCATAGGGACTATGAATAGAAGATTTTGAAAAGAACACAAAGAATAAATGTTCCAACACTTTCCAAACGATGCATACCTAGGTAAATTGAAAACTAAAGTTAGACAACTTTCTGAATATTAATGAGTGCTAATGTGTAATATGCACTGGTAGTTGAGTTGGGGTTATTGTCGGCATCTTGAATGTCTAGGATTTGAGCCGCATTGCTCAAATTGCCCCTGATTAATCAATTACGCACATCTGTGGCGCTTCTTCAACGGTCGGGGAAGACCGACCCAGTGAAGAAGCGAGCCAAGAGAGAGGTTTTAGATGGTTGACGATGCCTTTTTTGGGTATGACCTACTCGTTCCTCCATAAGATGAACTTACATTCCAACGACTCTTTGTGTTAGCCCCACCCGCGGAACTATCTTTTTCGATGGACTTGAGCTTCATTATAACTATTCATCGGTCAACAACGGCCATGGTTACTTTCTTTGAGAGCTCTCTTTGTTATTTTACTCGCGCGATGGGACGTTATGGTGTGTATAGGAACCCCCTATGTGGGGGTGCTTCGTTGTCTATTGAAGGGATTGAGAGATGTGGACGATGCTGTTCATCTTTAAAGGACCCTCCCCCATGGAATGGGTTGCCTTAGGCCCCGATTTACTTGATGCTTCACACACATTCCTTCATACCATTTACCTATTTTCACTCGTTGTTTTTGATGCCGGAGATGATCACCTTTTAGCCTCAGCCTTAATCGTGGCTTACATTATTTGCATACCTGTCGTTGCTGTGCCAGACTTCTCATGTTTTGTTGACTTCCATATCTCAAGATACAAGGGCACTGGTTGTGCCATCAAACCTCTTTCTTGAGAAAGCTTTCCACGTTTTTTTCAAGCTCCAAGCAGCAACAGCTCTAATTTTCCGTGTGAATACTCAATTTTGGAGCTGCGCTCCCCGCCTTTCGACGTTATGGCCTTCACGGCAGTGCACTACCCGACAGACAAAGACCAAAACCAAGCATCTTACTGGCCTGAGAGTGAGGAGCTGGGGGTGGCAAGCGATAACAACTTCTTTGAACAGTTCCTTGCCTTTGATTCTTCAGAAACCTCGGCTCTTGGTGGTGGCAATGACTTACTCGCAAATCCGCCCAGTCCGTCTATCCTACTCGAGAATCTCGATGCTGACTTGTCCAATTCGTCGTCCACCGATCAGGACACGCAATCTGGACAGTCTCGAAGCGAAACATCTGGCTCATCCATTTCGCTAGACTTTTCCTCGATACCATCCTCTTCAGAACAAAGCAAGTCAGTACCATTAGAGCTCGCTGCCCCTCTCATATCAGATCCTATATTGTCCAACGGTTCGATTTCAGACTCCGAACTACTTCGCTTGGAGGGCATCTCTAGACTCTCCATAGAGTCACCTAAAGGAAATGCTACAGCACCTCAAGATTCACCTCTTGCAAACCAAGGTTCCCTAAGCCCACGTAAGCATAATCGTGTTTTGAGCTCGGTCTGCTCCGCATTACGCCGAGCGACGCATTGGTCGAAGCCACATAAGCATCAAGGACCCCCGATGGAAGTAAGCACGGCAATAATGGGAGATTCGTTGAAGACAGATGATAGTGCCTGTTACGATCTCCCAGTGGACTTTGATCTAAGCGGATTAGGTGATGTTAAACTAGAAGAAACGTCCATTTCGAATAATCTACCCTTATCACCGCCACTCACCGGTCGGATACCTACCGATCATAACTCGGACGATATAATGAATTTCGTAAGCGGTCATTTCGATGACCCGTTCTGCGATGATGTGCTAGCTCCGTCTACTAGTATCGACTCCGCAGGCAAAGGACACGACATTGACTTGAACACACCCATGGCAACCCCGGCGCTGGACGACGATATCTTCTATCAACAGACACTTGATCTAATAGGTTCAAACGAAACCTCGCTCCATCAGCAGAAATCACAGCCCAAACTGCGGAGTACAAGCTCGGCAGAGTGGCCGATGGAAGGCATTCTTAGTAATGATAGCCAAAACGGCATTTGGCCTACATCGTCTCTCCAGGCGCAGGGCCGTCGTACGTTTCCGATAATGGGGGCGGTATGTCAAGCCCGGGGTGGTGGGATACGCCACAACAAGCGAACGGTCACCGCCAGCACGGTGGTCGGAGCCATAGCCATAGCCACAGCAGCAGCTCAATGCATAACAACGTATCACTCAATCTCTCAATGCATAACCAGCAGGCAGAGCTTCCATACGAGTACAGCACTGGCGCAGACATATCGGGACTCATGATTCACATGCCGCAACCCCGGGCGCCACAAGCCGCAGTACTAAGTTCCAATATAAACGACTCACTCATAATGCCTTCACCATCATCTTCCTACTATCATCATCCTCACTCCGGTGGCCGTCGAAACTCGTCAAGCTCATCGCAATACCACCATGGGCACCACAGCGACCACCGCCGGCCGCGACCTCGCGCTCCCTCATCTGGCGCCCGTCATTACGGCAGTAGCAGCCACTACGGCGGCCCGATGACTTCGCCACGCAAAGTATCCTCATCAGCAGCATGTTATACACTGCGCGAAGAATCGATATCGCCGACGCCTCTCCCACGCCAACGGACCTCCTCCTCCTCTTCAAGTTCCTCTCTAGCCCTGCGCAAGCAGCGATCATGGAGCCGGCAACACCGCAAGGGCGGCGAGCCACGAACGCCTAGCAGCGGCCGCGTGCGGTCATCATCCTGCCGGTCGGCGGGTTACGACCATGGCGGCGGCGGCGGCGGCGGCGGAAGCTTATCCATTGAGTTTTGCAACTACACGCCGAGCGACAAGAAGGTGCTAATGAATGGTGTGGCGCCGAGCGGGTCGAGTAAGACCAAAGCGCGACGCGAGCGCGAGGCCCAAGAGAAAAATGAAAAGTACGTGGAGGCAATTCGTGCTGCGGGGGTCGATGTGGAAAAGTTGCGTCAGAACGGTTTCCTCTTCACCAAGTAGCCATTGAGCTGATTTATATCCGTGCTAGTTGGATGCCTGTCTAATAAGGAGTTTTGAGAGGAACATAATAAGGGAAGGTCGCCATGTAAACCCTGGCGGACTTGGTTGGCCAGGATTGTTTACTCTTTACTTAGCTGCTTTCTTGTGCTTGTATGTGGTCACACTGTGACTAGTCTGGAAGCAAGCGGATAGGTATGTGGAAAGGAGTTGGGCTCGGGCGGAAGACATGGTTGAATAGGTACTTACCTCCTATCTGTTGAAGTGTACTAATAGCGATGAAAACTCCGTCGCGTATGAGTGCTGCATATCGTCGCCCCCTCCCCCTATAGTGGAGACTACACCCATTATCCCCCACCTCCTATTTACCTAATGTATAGCGGCTATTTGGGCTGGGGGTATTTTGTCTTAAGGTATTGAGTTAAAAAAACGGGTTATTATTCGTAATTGATCATGTCTATTCGGTGTGAAAGCATGTAAGATAGAATATGGTATGATTAAAATGAGATTTCGGTGTTATGTATACAATGTACGAAGAATACACCATTGATAATCTGGTAATTGGGCTGTAAATTTGTTAGGGATTTCCAGTAGCCTTATGAAATAGGTACCGAATTACCGCTGTGATTATAATAGGATCACTCAATTATGGTAGGATTTAACATTGGTGATTCAAGTTCTTTTAAAGCTAATATACGAGCCTACCAGTAAAGCAGGACAGTGATTTCATGTAATCCGTAAGTTGGACAAGTGACCGAAATATCATCTCCTAACCCAGAGTAATAGAGGAAGTTCCGTTGCTTGTAGTAGACCCACTAGTGTATCCTTCTGTCGCGAGAATCACTATAAGATTGAAAGTGTTAGTACTAATACCGGCGAAGAGATGTGAATCTTATCAGAAGCAGGGTATTCTCACTGTAGTCATGACCTCCCAGCCTGAGGCCGAGTTTAGACCACGCATCAAAGTGCTTTCCGGTGCTAATGGTTCCACCGACTCTTTGCTCGGTACGGACAGACCAATACTGCTGAAAGGTTGTCGTTCCAATGATAGAAGGCTTGTTCACACGAGTACTAGTGAATACTTCGTACGTTCCCTCGTCGATGGTGAAGTTGCCCTTGGAAGTCCAGGGCTCATTAGGGAGAAGATCTCCATGGGCATCCATGATGTAATACTCGATTAGTGGGTTGCGGGTCCAACCGTATACGGCTAGGTAGCTCGGTCCCTTGGGCTCGTATGTGCCAGAGTATGTGACGGCTCTAGAGAGTTATGTTAATATAGGTACAATTACTACAACATATCTGTTCAAATATTTGACTATTAGTAAACTACTTACCTGTTGCCACCTGGGCTCCATCCCTTTCCACAGACGAAGCCGCTTGAGCCACCGCTGCTTTGCCAGGTTACGCTATACGCACTGCCGCCACCGTTGTTGCACCGAAATGTACCGCCACCCTCCGACCAGGAAGACCAGAAGTAACCACCTTGTCGGGTCTGGATGGCATTGCTGTTACTTCCATGGAAAAGGTCTCCAATTTGAGGGAGGAACCCCGAGGGCGCTGTGAGAGCCCCTGTGAATAGGGTGGCAGCCGTGAGAAGAAAGGAGGGCAACATGGTGATAAACTTAGTACAGTTGAGGATCTCGCCGTCTTCACTTTATGAGATGCTGACTTGCTCTTTATATACTTCTTATTACGGGAAGCTTTCACTACCTCTCTGCATCCATGTAGGGGATCATGTTTAGCCTGAAAACCTCGTGGGCTTCTGGGATTAGTCTCGGGTAAGATGCTCACTAAATTGGGTTTGCCGCACCTGATTACCAGGACCAATTGGGAATTTCCTCCCTAAGCTTGGTATAGGAAACCAAAACTTATTTCTTTATGGCCTACATGATTCTCCACAGTCAACTGCCAGATCTAGCCCCGGACAATCGGAATAGACCTGGGGTACAGGGTTCGAGACCAAGGAGGCAATACCGCTTTCTCCAGGTTAATCTCCACGGCTCCCCAATCAATCCGGGGCAAAGCGATTTGACTGGTTGGCAGATTAATATAGCCGGTGTGCTATGGTGTATGCTTAGATGTCACACAAGACTACATTAAGCGCCTCAAAACTATTTCTAAGAATATCAAAGTAAGAGGGCAGGAAGGTTGAAGACAATATAACATCCCAGTATAGACCAAAATACAGGTAATTATATTAAAATCACCACACCTAGGCCTCGTTGATCTTTATTATGGCTTTCTTTGTATTACTAAAGTACTGTAGTTAGTGAGCTTTGGGGGCTGCGATGTGAATGGTAGGCAATAAATTAGGTCATGGGATGATCATATTAAGATTGAATATTGCCTCCTTAGCTTACGGGGTAGATAGTCCGTCTCTTAAGGGAGGGGGGAATGGGGTTCGGCAACACAGTATCACGTATGGATGCCAGGCTATCTGCACGTCAGCTATTTCATGAAGGGCATCATGATGGACAGCGGATAAAATAAACCAGGCACTCATAATCGATGTATGAAGTAATTACTAGTAGAAGTTATGATCTAATGCAGGCATGCATTCCAGGAACCTGGTCTGTTTGGCCAAATATATAAATTTAGGGACTGGTAAGTATTCTCGTTATCGAAATAAAGCTGGTGCCCTTGAGATACTATATAATCCTTTAGATTATATGATGGGGTATCCATTGAGTGTACCTGCGCAAATATACTACATTATACATTAGATTAAGCTTTGTATCAATCGTGGGGTCTATAGGGGCTGATAAAACCATGCCTATGTGATATAAAGGACTACCGAGTTATGTACTAGAGACATGCTGCTTAACGTATTGTTATGCAAATGAGATTAATCCGAAGCCCTTCAATGAATAAGATGCTTCTTCATCCTGACTCTAATACACTTGCCATTATATTTGGAAACATTAATATACATTTTAAGCTGGTTATAGTATGTACGCACAGCTCGATATATTAAGGGTATGGGTGAGAGTAATATAGTGTCAACAAGGAAATGTATCTGGAGTATCTCGTTTATCGTCGTAACTTTAGTAATAGCCTTTTGAACCCCCTCGTCTTGGGCTCTTCCTGCAGCACGGTAACTGGCGTCATTTTAGGCTCCGATAATTCAGATGTCTGTTCTACCCGGACTCTCACTGGATTTATCGATTGTGACATCTTCAGTTGGTAGTTATACAGCTCTGCCTCTATTGCAGTAAACATGTGGAAAGTGTTGCTGTAGGGTTGTCTACCGGGAATAGTCGGACGCCGCCGTGATTGTAACTCATTAGGGACTCGACTAATTAAAAAGCCCGAAGCTTGTTCAATACACAGCGTCGGATCAAGTGACTTAAGTAAGGTATCCATTTTCTTCTCTTTGTCGCTAACATAGAGGCGTAACCCACAATGAACTGCAAGGTCAAGAAAGGAGCCAAAAGATGGAATATTATCAAAGCTATTTTGGCCATCAAAGAGTTTAGAAAGTGCTTGATTGAATGAATAAGTTGTCATGCCCCTCGCTCCCAAATAGCTGATAAGTGATTCGTTTATCCGGTCCAGCTGTTGTGTTTCCGATATACCAAGGGACACTTCTATTTCGCGAGCGTAAAAATAGAAGCCAGGTACCAGTTTCGTAAGTACGGCTTTAAATATACCCTTGGTAGTAGATGGATTAAGGATTCGAACTGTCTAGCATTGGTCTCAAAAAGTGTCGTTATGGGCTGAAACCTGCTCCGGCAGCCTCAACAAGATTTCCATGGATGCGCGGTTGGCTGATAAAGTCGATAACTGTACGATGCAGGAAGCTAGCGGTGAAGTTAAACATAATAGGATCCTTTGGTCGCTCGATTATTTGTATTAGATCCTTGCATTGCGCAATTAATTGTCTTTTCTTCGTCGTTATCACTTCGAGCTCTGTCTCATTCACTGCTGGCCATTCTAGAAGGAATGACTCCGGATCGAAAGGTAGTCCTTCTTCACGGTCAAGAAAATAGAAGGAAATGAGAGTCATAGGAGTCCGAGCATGGGCTAATACCAGAAATACCCGGGCCGTTCGGGTTTTGTAGAAGTCGTCAATGGAAGCCAGTATTCGGTCGAAAAAGTCTTCCAGCTGTTGAGGTAAGTCATCCAACCTGCGGTGCAAATCTTTCATACTGTCTGCATTGATCAGTCCTCTAATCATGGATTTGACGACTAGGTAGACCCATAGAAACACCCCCTGAGCTCTTTTAGTGATTTTATCTACAAGTCCCCGAGCGGCATCCTCATCCCGGATGCTCAGTTGCTTGAATCGAGAATGCGATCCTAGATGGTCGTGAACGTAAGTTTCGATATCAGGCATTGTTAGATTCTGTAGATATAATTTCCAGGGACTGCCTTCGAAAGCATCGATAAAGTCAAGCCAAGGACGGCTAGCAACGCACAGCTTGATATTCTGCACTTTACCAAGGGACTTGATTATTTCCAGCAGTGAATCGTGCTCCCCGCTATATTCATCCAGGCCGTCGATGAAGATGAACAGACAGTCTGGACTTATAACTGAGGGGAGCAAAATCAATGCATCAAGGAGCTCCTTAGCTGTCCACCTAAGCACTCTAGAGACTTCCCAATGACGTAGTGGTCTTCCATATTGTTCAGGAAATACCCGAGAGACTAGATTCGGACATTCGAGCAAGACCTGGAAAAGTAGTGTACGAAGCAGCCCTTCTTGTGACTGCTGCATCGGAGTGCCCGCGCCCCAGAAGAAATGGCACGCGACATAGAGTTTCCGGCTTCCAGCCCAGGTCCTGAGTCGAGCAGTTAGTCGGGGGTGTTCGCGGATGTATTTCATTAGTGTTGACTTTCCAGAGCCGGCATTTCCAGTTATCCAATATATGGGAGCGTCTTCCGCCGTAAGCCAAGATTTTAGATTCGCAACGTCGCCATCAAAGACCCATTTATAAGTGTTTTTGTGTGCATCTAGAATGGCGTTTCGCCGCTCTTCAATCTGACTAAACTCTAGACTGTTGATGATCCTCTGGGTTTTCTGGAAGTCTAGCATCTGGGGATACCAAGAGTTAAACCCTATTACAAGCTCTCCGAGCTGCTTCGAGGTACCCCTCCAGACTTTCTCGTCCCCTTCATCAAGAGACTCGGTAAATGTGAGACTGTCTATCTTCTCAGTGAGTTCTCCTAATTGGGCTTCAATGCGACTTTTATAAGCATGATTGCTATCAGTATACCCATTTAAATTCTGCCTTATTTGCTCTTGATGATCCCTATTCTGATAAGCCTTCTATTACCAAGTTTCAATAACGTCTAACTTACAGGAGTTTTAAGCTAATATGTAGTGTAATCTCGCTTCGGAAAGCTGCGAGTCGACTGCTTAACGAATCTAGTTCATCTTTCATTCTTAACTCCTTTAAGGTCGCAAATAGGCGCTCAGTGCGCCTCCGTTTAGCTCTTCGTGCTTTAATACTGTCGAACCTTCCCTGGATCTCATCTGCTATGCGTTTGCCATCCTCTGCTAGTGTCTTGAGTCTAGGGTCACTTCCAACAATATTTGAGTCCAATCGCTGTATCATCGGAACCGCGCCGACGAACTCCTGGATTATTTTTTCAAGGTCTGCATTCTCGGCCAGCAAACTTTGCTGCTTAGTTGAAAGATATACTGTTTTTTCAATGGTCTGTCCAGCAATAACAACGAACTGTGCAATATTAGCGGCCAGACCAAACGCAGCTAACGCCTCCATGTTAATATTGAGAAAATATTAATAATTATTTTATCTGTGAAGAGCTCTATCTGTAATGATGATAGTAAACGAACGTAAGGCTACGCGACGGTGAGATGTTGAAATAGGTACCCCGCTTATAATCACAGCTGTGCTATAGACTTGCTGTCATTCGTAGATTAAGACATAGCCACCACAATTATTTATTGCCTAACAGATACCTAATCCACATCCAATCCTAACTATAAATATATTTGGTGGCTGTCGCTAAGCCTCATACTGATCATGATCGAAAAGAAAAAGAATACGGCCTTATGACGTAGGTATTAAAACCTTTTACATATTACTAGGCAATTTACCTAAGGTCTGGCTTGTATACCTACATCTGTTTCCCTAGTCGCCTTAAGCGCTATTAGTATAATCGAATTAGGTACCCAGAAGCATTATGTTGTACAACCTTGAAAATAGTCTATGTGTACTTGTTCCTCTTATAAAGATGTTATATGACAATATAAGAACAAGTAGAAAACCGAAATATGGCGGTTATACATGTACACTCAACGAAATATCCCGTTCTCACTCCCTTAGGTACTCAACACCGTTAAACCAACCGAACACTTCTCCAATCCAGACCAGTCTCATCAAATAAATCAGGATAAGCAGCATCTAAATAAGGATGCTGTTCGAGTACAAGGGCGCCAACCCGGGTTGCCGTATTCTCATCCAACCATTCCACGACCAAGAGAAACCTCTCGTGTGTGAATCCGTTATTCCCCCAGAAATCTCCAATCAGGAGACACGTCCAGGTACCATCATCTAAGTGATCAAGAAACTCCCTCGGCGTGTTCGTAGGCTTTGCTATCCGATCGGGCACGCCGTGTCTATCGATGGTCCACAAGACCCAGTCATTCGGATCGGCGACAACTGTATCGTTTTCTAGCGAGTCTTCATTATCCTCATCGTCGTCTTCGTCATCGTTCTGGGTTTCATCATTACTACCATCATCGTTGCTATTGTTGCCGTCGCGGTGAGATTCACCCTCACTATCATTGCTATTATCATCTTCATCGTCGTCCTCGCTATCAGTGTCGCTTGCGTTTTCTTCGCTTCCTCTGTTAGAGAAAGCCAGCCGGCCGTCACCAGGCTCTCTGACATTAAACTGGAAAAGCGACGAAGGGACCACCCTAGCTTCGAAGCTGATTGAAAGGGGTGGCGCAATACCATAGTCTGCCGAACGGTGTTGCGCCAAGTACTCCGAAATGGGGCGAGGCTGGTCCGTTGAGTGCTGAATACGCACATTACGCCACTTAGGGAAACACTCCTCCCTGCTTTTAAGTATCCAAGCGCCCATCCATGCCACGGATCCCTCCCAGCCGGCCCAAGTCCAAGAGGGGAAATTTGGTCTTCGCCTGGGAGTACTATCTCCTCTATGATGCCAGCAGAAAGATATCAAGAAATACTTCTCGATGAGCTCGGTATCATCTGCTGATAGGACATATGGGAGACCGATGAGGTGAAGAGTAGCAGGTTCGAGTTTACTCAGCACCCGTGCGATTCCCGCGAAAGCATTCAGCGAATCTGAGTCGTGGCTTAGTGTCCGTGCTGTATACCGCTGAACCAAGTGACACCACTCTCTAATTCGAATTGCAACTAGGTAATCCCCATTGGACTTCTCAGTTCCCTCCTCACTGACGCTCGGGGGTATGTCCGGTCTGTCGGATATAGTATTCCCCAAAGATTTGAATAAGCGTTTGCGCGCCGATTTCATACTCGATAAGCTGATATTCTCTGGGTTTGGGATGAATTCGAGACCGCCTACCGATTCCATCCAAGTTGCGCAATGGCATTCAAAATATGCCTGATGCTCAGTAAACACAAGGCGTCGATTAGCTAGTAGCCCTTCTTGAAACGTCCATCCTCTTGTCCACCACCGAGAATGCTCCTGCACGTGCCAGCGGGGGTCGGGACTGGTAGTGAAGATCGTAGAGGACTCAAGTTGAACAATTTCTTGTTGTAGGCGAGGCGTAGATCCAACCCCCGGCAACCCGTAGCGTTCATCGGACCCAGCCGCGGTGATAATAACCAGTTCTGCACCACGGTAGATCGCATCCATCTGCGAAATGTGAAAAGCTTTTTCTTCCGCATTACTTTGGTTGATACAATAGCGGTCTACCCAAAGATATCGTAACCCGAGCTGTTTCACTACTGTAGCAGCGTCTTTAATGGAGTTAGGAACAGAAGAGGGGAGCCATGAGGACGAAGACTCGTGACTAGCTTCTAAAGGCACCTCGGTTCTCTCTTCCTGTCTCCAGAGGTAGCTCAGGGCTACCCATCGCATGCCCGGCTCCGCCTTCACGATTGTCCAAGCCTCACAATCAATCAATTCCATTCCCGGCACAATCTCCACCGTACTACAACATTGCTGCGCATGATATTTCTTACAAAATTCCAACCAGAGACGGGCACGTTGATAATCAAATTGTCGGGGAATTATTTGGGGCCTAAAGAGACCCGGCTTAGTAGGTTCCGCAAAGCAGAATACATATCCTGCGTCACCCCGGCCACACTCCCTAGAATGATCCCCGAAACTAGCAAAGAAGCCAGCAGGAAGGGTAATGAGGATATGACAATCTTGATCGGGTCCTGGTTTTCTAAATCCCCAGGGCACATTTCTCGAGGAAGCGAACGCGTATAACTCAAACTTGTCGATAGTATCCTGTCCGGCCTGCATATCAGGATCCGACCACTGGCCATGATACCAGCATATCGTGGAACGCAAAATGCGGCAAAGCCTACAGTCGGTGTTTAGCGAGCGCGCATACCGCGAAGCGTCCGTATCAAGCAGAACACCGCATTTCCGGCCTATGGCCTCGCGGAGGTTGGCCGGCGGTACTGCCAAGGCTTTACGGAAATCTATGGCCTTGCACTTATCGCAGATAATCCCTCCCTCAGCGTTCGGCGGTGCTAGAGCGATTGAAGCTTGATAACTCTCGGCCATGACCCAAGTTTCTCGACAATAACGATATGAATTTCAAAAGTAAGATTTCATAATAGCTAGCTTACTCTTATTATCGGCGAATGTTGTTGTTATTTATTAAGCGAACCTGTTGGATTGTCAGCTTCAGTTCGACCTTGACAGGGATCACACGAGCGGGGGATAGCACTGCCCCTATATCCATCAACTAATTAGAATCCTATCTCAAGTCTGCCGTGCTTCCGGCTCGTAAACTATTTATCATTGAATTCATAGAATTTAATAGCTGCATAGGTATATCAGGTACTTATAAATTAGTGCGTATTGTTGTTAGAATCTGAAGTAAATTGGTATGAAACAATATTTAACCGATCATCTCTCATATTCACAGAGCCAATTGAGGGGCTCGTGAGTCCATACTAGCCACCTGTAGAAAAACTTCAGTTATGAGAGCCAAGGTTGGCTTTAAATAATATATAGCAAGAGATTAGAGCACGATACCTTATAGTAATTACACGTGAGTTTATCAAACGAGTCACATTAGGTGCTTGGGCGTTTAAATGAGTACTTTGATATTCATTCTTGAGGCGGATACCAATACAATATTTTCGTAGGTATACACCTTAGCTTTAAGCATACTAATCAACACCTTGCACCTTTATCTACCTAGGTAGGAAAGGGGATTGCCATATTTAACTAGAATCACAAGTAGAACATACTATTCTCCAACTTCGGATGAATCTTCACGTCCTGCTGGGAGGGTCCGGTACCTGCACCAGCTCCACTGGTACTGCCCGCCATGGAAGGCGCCGCTGAGTTGCTCGGGGAATCAAACACATTATGAAGATAGTTCCGAGCACGCTCGCACAAGATATCAGCATAGTACGCAGGCGTACAGTAACTGACAGCCTTGGTAGCACGGCCGAACACGTAGCACATGCTTTGGGTTAATTCCTGTAGTTCATCGGCTACGTTCTTCGTAGCACCTGGCGTTTTGGACTTGCCACCCGTAGCGCCATATCGTTGGCGAAAGATCTCATCGATCACGACGAAATAATGCCCCGGCCGCGCTGTCCCCTGGAGCGCTGCGTGTGCTTGTAAAAAGAAATCCCAGCTGCGGGCCTCGGTTACCCCGCGATCTACAACAGTCCCCGGCTTGGTGTTGCCCGAGCGGTCTGCGTCGGCTTCTTTAGTCGGATAGAATCTCGTGTGATGACGCTTTCCAACTACAACCATAGTTAGACGCGGAAGCCCCTTTTTCTGGTCTGGGGGCGGATACACCTCTGCACATGCAGCACGTAGTAGTGGTAGCTCCTCGTCGAGGACCTTCTGATATTGCCCTTCAGAGACACCATCGCGATATACTAGAATGTTCTCTGGAAGTGTTGCGTGTTTTCCCTTCTCACGCCATAGACGAAGGCGTGACTTGAGCATGTCTTTGAGGTCTTTCACCATCTCTTCTCGTCCCTTCTGGACACGCAGCATACCAGGCCATTGTCCGAGCTTGTTATCGATGCTGGCTACCATACCAGCAACGCTTGGCGCTACCTTGCTTGATCCTGGGGATGGATGGGTCACATCAATACCCACTACCATCGTCTTGTTTTCGCCAATTATTCCCAAGTTGGCAGGAGTGATAACCTGGTTGTCACCACCCAATTTTAGATTGACTTTCAGGGCCAAATTGCGGAAGTATTGATCTTGCCCCTGAGGCTTAGCAATCTTGCTGCCGACACTACAGATGGTGTGAATACCATACTTGACGTCGCCGAGCTGTTTAATACGGTAGTACAGTGGAATAGGGGTCGCTGGTAGAATAATAAAAAGGAGGTTCAACGACGATGCTGCTTGTTTAATGAAGTCTTCAAGCGCAGAATCATCTGTATCTCTCAAAGAAACCCGCTGCACCTGAAGTGGTTGCTTTGCAGCAATGCCAGCGTCAATTAGCACCAAGTGAAGCTTACGAACAAGCTCCCTAAGACTATCGGACGTGAACGTCTGGGCTCTCGGGTATCCAGGCATGTCAACATACAAACAAGACCATTTCTCCAATGCCGTGCTAGTGTGGAACTTGAGGCTCGCGGCGTTACGGGGCACCATGTTTCCAGCTACCGGCCATCATTTGGGCAGGCTGGTTTTGTTTATAGACGACTCTCGGCCCCTGGAGAACACGACCGTGGACGGTAATGAGGTCAGGAGACACAGAAATACCGTATTGCTTCTGCGAGGAATATCCTAGTTAGCATAGCAACAATAAATGAATACAACAGCGACTTGCCAGAAGAGGGTTTGTATCGGGAGATAGTCCCGCAGTCTGCAGGCCTTTTCCGACGATAGATAAAGCATTATCTACAGGTTTACGAACGGCAAACTTAATCATATTCTGGGTCTCGGACGGGTCAAGTTTTGTTTTAGCTGGCTGACCTGGTACAACATAGCAGACTTGGGCGGGTAGGTACGAGGGGTTTTCCCTATTCCCGACATTGACGACTGGCAGGTTTGTGTTGTCTATACGAATTCCATGTGCTATACAATTGTCAGTGGTGAATGTCTTAGCTACTTCAAACGTCCGATAGCTTACACGTAAGGAAATGATCGAAAACAGATATGTACTTTCCGCCAGCAGCACCAGGCTTGCCCTGAGGCTTCGGTGCCTTTCCACCTTTCTTCTTGCCCGTGGGTGAAGCGTCAGACGGTGGCTTCGACGATGGATTTTCGTCAAGCCAAAACTGCACGTCCTTGGCTCCGGCTCCGAACGCTCTCACAATGGGGGGATGGGGGCTATTATAACCATCATTCCTATTGGCAAGACCGTAGATAGATTTGATTCGTTCAATGACTTTGCCAGACTTATTCCGTCTTTCTTTTAGATGAGTACTCTTGACTCTTATCTTCAGGAAGTCGTTTAACTTGAATAGGCCCCTTTGAGACCCGAATTTCATGATGAGCTGGTCCAGTGGGCCTTCGGGGTAGAAGGCGCCATGGCTCACATTGACGTTGACAAGGATGCGAGCTGTTGCCGCACGGACACTAGCGGAAGAAACCACGCATAGCTACCAGACAACTACCAAGATCATAGGTGTCGGATCTCTCGCTCAAAGAGAAAGTCTTGGATGAGCCGATTGTAGCAAGATTCCCGGTGGATTTCGCATAATGATTCAGGAAAATATTGATTCCTTGAATTGTGGGTTGCTTCTCATTATATTGAGCCGAAAAATTGGTGGATGTGAGAAAGTCAGTTAACGCAGAAACCGATAGGACATTGGTAAATTGCATCTTAACAGTATACTGCTGAGCACCATCGCGAGGATCATCTTCGTCTTCTCCTCGATATGTAATCACTATGTCCTGGTCTTCAAACTTCTGTCGGGAAATGAGCGTTGACTTAAAGTCTGTCACTATATCGTTCTTGAAAGGTGACAACTGGGGTGTGTCGAGAAGTAAGTGAATTATTCGAGCCTTCTTCCTACCCGTGGCAACAGGTTTTATTTCTGATATGTCGTAACGGTAAAGTACCAGCTTAGGCGAAGCTGTGAGGGCAAAGTAGTTTGCCCATAGTACGACACCTGATCCCTTTGTGCCATAGTTGGGCCGACAAGGAAAATTGTCAGTAAGGCTAAGGTTTGAGAGGTTGACAGATGCTTTGCTAGCTTGGATGGCGTCCTCGACTCTCGACACATTCTGATCTGGTGCTGGGATTCCATTTGAACCACTTTGAAGTATATAAGTATATCGTATATGCTTTGAAGGAGTAAGGGGCACTTACGGGTATACAGGGAGGCCCGAGGCCCCGGAACCACCTCCACCGCCGCCGCCGCCGCCGCGACCGCCTTGGTATGAACCTCCACGACCACTCTGGAACGACCCACCACGGCCACCTTGGAACGAACCGCCACCACCTCCTTGAAATGGACCACCTCGACCTCCGCCTCCACCTCTACCTCTGCCTCTGCCGCCTCCGCCACCTCTATCACCTCTGCCACGGCCAGACATAGTAGGTAGTGATGACTGTTAAGTGTGATATAGGTACCTAAGTAAAGTGATGAAGAGGAGAAAGTTGGAAGGAAGAAAAAGGTTGTCTGAGGGAAGTAAGATAATAAAATTATTAGAATTAGGAATGCTAGGTATTATTAAGGCAGACAGGGTGCACGTTTGTTCTTGCCAGGCTCGCTTTTTTTTTGCCATGCAGCTACATGTATGGTGCAGTAGGTACCTACCTATGCAAGTCGTCGAGGGGTTACACAGCGTGGGGAGTACGCTAACCCATTGGAAGGTAATATGATATGACATAATGCTAGAAGTATTTCGTATAAGTATAGGTAGGTACCTCTTACCTACATGTAAAGACCTCTTATACGGTATATCTCTATATATATGCTAATCTTAAATCAATAGGTCAACAATGAGATAAATACAATTAATCCCTGTAAATCTCGAAAATAAAATATATGTAAAATAAAATAAAAATAAACATAATATCCAGATGAGAAATGTCTGAGATAATACGGCTGTCCATGTAACACGTGATTATAAGCTCTTGCTGGCATGGTTCCATTGATGTCATGTACATATTCAATGGTACCTAAATGCATAAGATTACGGCTCCAAGACCTACCTAACATACATGTACCTTTAGGATGTATCTAACCTAACCTACCAAATACAATGCTCAGAATTGTTTAAACCACTCAGCCTACCTCTTATGCCAACTCACCAACTCACCAATTCGATCGCCTCCCGATTCTCAAATACAATGTAACTAATCAGTATCGCATTGATCCTCTAGGAACCCTCTCCGCTGCCCGTCGCTCGAGCCCGTCTCGGACTTTGAATGTAACGATTCTGGATTCTTTTCCCATATTTTTCGGTTAAGAGCAAATCGGAAGCGGTCAACCCTAAACATCCTCTCCAGCACAATCGTCTTCACCCGCACCACAGCCTCCCGTGAAAATGTGCCTCTCTGCCAGTCATACGAGCAAAGCACTGCTCGCTGCATTCCCCCTTCTTGCCCACATACTATAAGAGCGGTGGGTGGTCGTACTGCATAAAACACTGTGGCTGTACGCGTGTATGTATCGATCAGTGTAAATGGCCTCTCCTCCCCATTGGTGTAATTCGTCTTGTTTCTGTTTGTGGGATTCAATGCAGGGGTACTCTCTTTGGGCGGGAGAGCCTCGCACTCATCATACGTCGAGAGTTTGTGTTGCGATAACGTACTTCCTGCGACACTCCACTTCAACCGTCCCTGGTTCAAGCCGAAGATGTTACGTTCAACCCAGCCTAGGTTAGATGGGACACCCTCAATACCAATGAACATGGCCTGGGTAGACCAAAACTCGCCGCGGTAGAGCTCAAATATCATGTATGGAGCAAGAAGGAAGATAATTGCCCCTGGCACAAGAAAGACAATTCCTATAGCAAGGGTGACCTGCATACCCGCACCCAGCCCTTCTAAACTAACACCATTGTAAGATAATGACTGCATTTGTGAAAGTGTAGCAGCCACAATTGATACCATCAAGATACCACCGAATAGGTAAGCTGGCATTGTTCGAAGCGCTACCTTCGCGAAGGTACGAGCGGTTGTCGGTCTCTTAAAAAAGGCAACCTGATCCATACGATCCCACTGAATCGAGGCTCCAACCGCACCATCTAACGTAACAGACTGGTCATCAACAATACCAGCTACTTGGCACCGCGGTTCGATATCCCAGAGTCGTACTCCAAAAGCGTCTTCGATCTGGTACCACGGAGCGTTCCGATGAAGTGGTTGCATGCATATGAGTCGTTCCAGTAGTGCATCATTGACGTTAGCTAGGGATAACCTAGCGAATGCCTCAAACTGGAATCCTTGTCGTTAGTTATTGGTCTTCGGCGCAGAAGTCCCATGAGAGCATATGCGATATCACCCTCCCTAAACTTCTGCGTATTCCGTTCTGCTAGACATTCCAGACCGATGCTAACTAATTCTAAAGGGGACAAGTGAATTGTTGATTCGAAATGGTCGACAAGCTCCCTCACACGATCAGCGTCTTTCCACACGGCCCGAGATGGAAAGTCGCGTTTGGCTAACTCTTCGGGTAGCCCAGGTTTACCGTAAAAGTACAACTTGATCCGGAACTCTGATGGACATAGTAAAATTTCCGGGAGGGTCCAAAGACGATCACCATATGCCTGTAGCCACTTGATCGTGATGGCCTCATTATATGTCTCTGGGGTGCCTTGAATTTTACTTTCGAGGGAAGGTCCCACGAGAATAACCATCGAATGTGCTGCTCCAAATATCGCAATTCGGTACACATCATCGCTCTTGCTGTTAGCTTTATTCTCTCCAGTAGCCCCTGACTGAGAGTCGACATCGAATACACTCAAAGTCTACCAGAAAGCCACCCTATTAGCTGAACGGGCAGCCTCTACTCCTTGTTTTAATAAAGCTTGTCGGTCTTTCTTCGCTATTGGTACGAGCTCTCCTCTTTGATCTTCGGAAAGGCCCGTCCACCTAGTTGGATCGTAGATCTCTCCTTCAGAATCTACGCAGAACTGATGTCGCGTATACGAAAGGAATACAAAACCGTTATACGCGTGCTCTCCGTGATCTCTGATCCAATCCGACACCTTGCAGGTCTTGAATTCGGCGCCACTCTGTTCATGACCATCTGTAACGAAGCATAAATACCTAGGGCCGAAATGTCGAGGTAATAATCCGTCGCTATCGCCGTTAGTCGCGCTAGGTCTTTCACGTGCAGTCGTTATCGGGCGAGAGATTGCTCTTGCTTCTATGTCTCTAGGTCTATGCTGGTCCTTTCCTCTTCTTCGGATTCATCTTTGTTTTGTCCCTCGTAGCGGTTTCGCGATACTCTTGGGTAACGCCAGTCTCGATAGAGGATAGGGTCGTAGAATCCCTGGTTTCTAAATTGACCTTCGAGGCTCTGTGGTATGATGAGCTATAAAGTCGTCAATGCAAGTCCATATTGGTTAACAGGTGGTGTCCGTAGCCTTACAGCAACGCTAGGGATGTGCAGCATGGGAGCAGACAGACGAGAAAAAGCAGAAAATCGGTCCCATCTGCAGACATATCTCGCTTCTCTGTGCCCGTCCTTATACCTGAAAGAATACATCCAACAAACTAGTCTCATGATGATCGGAATGCGCCGTTTCGGTTCTCCTTTAAAGCCCCAGTTTCTACCTCCAATAGGCGCATGGCTATAGCTAACTGTGTTTTTAACGCCTTGCACAGTTAACGGGGCCAGTCTTCCATCCTCTGGACGTAAGAATGCTCTTGGACATCATATTTGTCCTTGATTAATTTGTATCTTCCCAGGGCATCCTTATGGCGTAGAGTCTTGGCTAACATGTTGTCGAGGTTATTTGCAGGTTTGGAGTTTTAGAGCAACTAATGGCTATTTAGCCAAGGGAAAGGATTTCAAAGAAGTCTTCGCTTTCCCGAGGTCTGTTAACCGATGTTCTAATACGAGAAAGTATAGAAATTAAAGACATCCTATTGTGCAAAGGCTTATTAATTTCTATTGGGGCAGAACATTTAAATAACAGACTCAGGGGCTGAAAACAAGCCTAATGCAGCTATATACAGACAGACGGCCATCCTAATACTCAGGAATGCAGTATAAATAATATTTGCCTTCATATCAAAACGGGTTTAGGCTTAGGAGCAGTTTTGACGAATATCCTGCTATGAATATACCTGAAATATACTAAACAGACCTCAGCTGTGAAGCCTAAGTACCGTTAGAAAATCCTTCGTGCACGCTAGGAAGTAATGATACGCGTTTCTGACCAAATACAATTGATGATGAAGCACGCGCTGTGTAAATAGCGCACTTAGTTGCATTATAGCTGCCTGTTTGCAATGCTACCACATATTGCCCCCAACCCTATGTGACCAGTCATGATCATCAATATGACACGGCTATTCTTATTTGTGATGACTTAGCGTGAATGGTTAGACAAGGCTGTCGCATATTACTGAGATTGCGTGGATAGTACTTGATCGCATGATACTAAGCAGCCCCCATCATGCTAAGTAATAAAATATTACATGACTAGTTCCCTATGCCTCGAAAGAAAACGCCTATGAAGTTAGTCTCATACCGCAGACAAGTCCTTAATTTCATAGCCTAGGTACCTCAGTGAAAGATCTATCAGACGTAAATGACCATTAGTGTATACGACTGGTGCATATAACTGGTGCATATAATTCAATGTAGATATATATCATTTAAATGATATATATATGATATAATATAGAAGTCAAGCATTCCAGTGGTGCCTAACACTAGTTTATCGTCAACCAGTATAAAATTCTATATATAGACGTAAAGGAATCAAAAGATGCTACCTTGGTCCAAAAGGTCTGCTGGATTAATATATTCTATTCCTTGAAAACATCCTAGCCATTTTTTTTTAGCTGCCCTCCATTCCGTCTGCCCTTTCTTGTTGATGAAAACTAGCTAAAATCTCAGCCGTAGCAATTTAGGTAAAGATCTTAGACTAATGTCGATACGATGGACAAACGCTAAGCAGATGGTCCAACCGGACCTTTTCTCAATCGCGGAGACGGCTGATAAATATATGAAACGAAATGATTTACGGCGGAATTGTACGCTGGAGAGTAGATTAATTTGTCGCTGATCATCATGATAGATTTAACACTGGTGTTAATATTAGCACTAATATTCTTACAGCTATAGGGTATGATATGAAGATATGGAAGTGCTATAACGAACATAATGATAGTAAAAACAGGTCCATATGATGAGTTGTATTTCGCCAGTCCAATCGATGGTATTCAACTTGAGAATTGCTATTAAGTCCATGATGTACTGCCTCTGTATTTAGGTCCTTGGTGATATTACATGCTCAGTAGGTTGTAATACGGAACTTCAATGTGAATGTAATTGTGCGGGGAATACATTAACTAGAGGGATGTATTGGTTTATAGGGTATTATGTCTTATGTATTTAACCATCATAGTATCATTGTCGATTACCCCTGAATCCTTTGGAGATCACGATGCACGATCGATCAAGGTCGTGATACCCGTATAATTTTAAGTTTGAAAAGAAAAGGCGAAGGAAATAGCATTGTTGCATTGTGGATGTATTGATAACCCATCTACCTACCTAATCTTTAAATGCAACAAATTAAACAAAGCATCATATATCCCTTTTCGTATGAACATATTCCCATCAATTGAGTCTATCAAGCAGATAAGAGGTATATATTGAGGAATATATGAAGACTTCGAGCTGTATTACCAACATCGATTACACCTAAGACGTCATGGCGAAGAAGAGGAGTAAGAACAAGCGTAGAAATAAAAACAAAAAGAAAATACCAACCGAAAATACTTCCAGTGACAACGAATCCAAAGAAAACGAGCCCATAGAGGACGAACTCGAGGAAGACGAACCTAGCGAAGACAAGCCCAAAGAAGACGATCCTAAAGAAGACAATCCCAGAGAAAACGAACTTGATGACAACGAACCCAAAGAAAATAAACCTGATGAAAAAACATCCGATAAATGCATAGCTAATGAAAAGGACATTCTACGGATACAGGAATTACAAGCGCTCATCCAGCACAGAATAACTGAATTACACAAACAAACCATAAAACCACAACCCAATGGATTCAACAACAGATCCAACCTTCTCCTTCAATGGGGATTTTGTGCGGAAAGATTCTGTGTAAAGCGTGATGGATTGTTGGTATGCAACGATTGCAAAGCCGCTGCCTACTGCTGCAGGGACCATCAAATCAAAGACTTTCCCCTTCACAAGGAGATTTGCTCCCGTGTAAAAAAAGCACTAAAGAATATGGCCGAGGAGGAGGAAAAGCTACGAGCACATCCAGGTGATGACGACTTACCTGCCAACCCCTTTGAGACGATCCTGGGTCGATTTTCGTTTTATGACGCCACGTTCCCCTACTTATTACAGCGTTGTAGGGTCATAATTTCTTTAAGAGATATTCGCGACGGCATAGCCGTCGAGGCTATGTTACACCATTGTCTCGAGGTGTTGAGGCTGGACAATCGGGACCAGCATTGCGTACGGGGCTAGGTGCCAGGACTCTATCTGCGCCTAGGAAGAGACCAAGATGCTTACGACTTCGTGAAATGGTACATGCTCCCTCACCTGGGGGACTTCAAATGGTCAAACCTTTCCGAGCAACTTCTTAACTACCACAAAGAGGATGCATTTGAGAGCGTCAGTATCTTTCTTGATTACCCAATCATTACAAGCCACCTTATCTTCATCGCGCAGGTGAAACTCAAGCTCCTTCTAGACATTCGCATGTTAGAGCGTGAAGCCAAGAAACACGGTAGCCCCGCCAGTTACGAGACAAAGATGGAGTGGCTGTGTAAACATGCTGTCAGCGATATACTCTTTGGACGACAAGACATTGTGGAACGGGATGATTGGAGTGACATCAAGAAGTCCCTAGGTGCACAGTTCGCCCAGTTACATGAGCGAATTGAGAAACGCAACCCAAAATACTGGCCTACCCTGAAGAACCCTGATGCTTTGTTTACTGGGGTTCCCGGACATAATTTCGAGGCAGGCTCACCGGAAGAGCTCATCGTCATGTTTACGCTGACGTGTAAGTCGTGGTTTGAGTGCCCTCCTGTACTTAAAGCAGTCCGTATGTTTACCGTTTTACACTCCGACCACTAGACAATACCGTGCCTAGAGCTAAAACGTTGATAACCCGTCATACTACAATGGGATGTTGGAGATTACGGCGCCAGTAGGTTTCTTTTGCTACTGATGCTTTCTTTCGGGAATCATGGAGCGAGACATATCAACTGCAGAAGAGCATTCAGGATATTGGTACGTGTACTAGATAATGGTTGGAAGGAAACAAACGACTTGTTAGTGGTTAGCAATGATAGAAAAGCGGGAAATGAAGCAGACTGATAATGAAAAATGACTAGCGAAGATAAAAGATAGCTACGATAGATATTATCAAGAATAATTTTCACCAATCTCGCTATTTCCTTTCCTACTATGACTTACGCCATACTTGCTGAACCCCTTGTTTCTTGTACTATACCATAAAGAGCCCCCGCATCTTAACTATTACAGGTAGCCATGCGTTTGAACCTGTATACACGTCAAGAGCCTTGATTTCGGGGCTCAGCTGTATTACTGGAATATCACCCGTACCCGAAAGTTCCTTTTGTCCCCGATACGCGGTGATAATCATAGGCGTTATCCCCTTAGTAGTGTAAGAAAGCTAGTACTAATGTTCATGCATGTCAATCCCTATTGGGAGCTGTACAAGCAGGTACCTAGAGGTATGCATACCGGGCTTTAGCTCAAGTGATAATGTTCGAAATTTTAATCAGCTTACTGATTCTGGTTAATGTTATCTCCTGAAATATATGAGGCTCCGGTCTTACATGTGTACCACATTCTGGGTTTATGATAGCTATGGCCGATAAGTCCGGTTAGGTATAAACTGCGATTTAATCCACCAACATGTATGCATGAATTGGGGCTCATATGATTGGGTCTATATAGTATAGGTGTTACTCAGTTACAGCTGATGTGAAGGCATTATTAAAACTATTAAGAGACTAAATTCGAAGTTATTGCCGGGTATACAGGGTTTTATCAGGACCATCATTTGCATATAAATTTCGTATAAGATCGTACATACATCAGTATTCTACTACTATTTTAATGCTAGAGTTATAAATGAATTTTCATTAGTAGGTGCAGGACTAAATATAAACATGCCAGACTATCGTTCAGGAATCTTAGAAATAGGAGTGGAATAGGGGTAGAATTAGCTACCTCATAAATCTTAATTATCAAAACGCCACACAAAGTGATTCACTCCTGAACACAGGAAAATCTCTACAAGCCTCCCGCCAAAACAACAATCTTCTTCGCCGAAACGCCCTTCCTCACAACATCCAACCCCTCCTGAATCCCTTCCAACCCCTTAGTAGCCACCACCTCCGGCGTAGGCGCAACCTTATACGTTCCCAGTCCCAGCGCCTCCTCCAGAAACCCACCGAAAAGCTGAGAGCTAGTATCATAATACATGCCCCTCCCATCCTCCCCGCCAAATACAAACTTCGCTTCAACACCCTCCGGCACCGCCCCCTCCGGAATAACGTTGGCGCACGCGACGAATGGCTTCTGCCGCAAGCGGTGCGAGATCTGGCAGCACGGCGCAATGGCATCGCCGGTCATTCCCGCGGCTTGGAAGATCCCCGCGCAACTACTTTTATCGAGTTCAGCCACTATGTCGTCGATGACCGTCGCACTGTTATAGTCAAACACCATATCCGCGCCCAGACCAAGCACATATTCAAAGTTCCGCGGCGAGCATGTAGCGAGAACGTTGAATCCGGCTGCTTTCGCTAACTGTATCGCGTTGCTGCCGACGCCGGAAGCGCCGCCCCAGATCAGGACCGATTTCCCGGTTCTCGGGGCGCCGGAAGCCTTGGAGGGGGAAGAGAAGAGCGGATACTTGGGTCCGAAGAGCGCGTGGCCGGCCGTAGCCAAGCAGAGCGGGAACACGGCTGCTTCGGCGAAGGATAGTGAGTCTGGGATCTTAACAGCTAGGGCGGGATCTAGCACCACGTAGTCCTGGAACGCGCCGTTTTCAGGTTTACCCAGGGATGATGTGCCATCGCGTAGCCGAGGACACGCTCACCTACTTTGAATCGCCGAGAGTTGGATCCTAAGCCCACGCGCTCGATGGTTCCGGCGATATCCTGGCCTGGGATCAGGGGGTACTTGAAAAACGGAAGGGGGTGGTTCTGGATAAAGGCGTCGACGGGGTTTAAACCCCAGGCGCGAACTTTTACAAGTACTTCATCCTCAGAGAAGGTGGAAGGGATAGCGGTCTCGCGGATGGTGCCTGGGACGCCGGCTTTGTCTTGCCAGAAGGAACGGTTGGTGGTTGGAGACATTGTTATGAGTTGATGTTGAGATACGAAAATAAAGTCGAGATACTGCTTAAATATACTTGTGGTGAGACGAAATGAAAATGTATTACGTAGAAAATGATATATATTTTGGCCAAGTGGAAAAGCTACCTAGTTAATATACCCAGCGCCAATAATGTATTAAAAGCCATGATGCATTTTCTCCTAGGGGTTTTCCTAGGGAACAAACGATCAACATGGATGTCTAAGGACCAGAGTCATTCACATGTGTGGAGTTTACAATGACCAAAATAGGATGGAGTAGGTGGATTTTCGAGGTACAGATCGTAAAAGGCGGTTTGGATTGTTTTCGATGACAACGTAGATAAACTTGTTCCACGCACAATACGGACTTAACCAGCCGTAGAGTATCCCGATAGGGACATCGCACTTCGTACATTGAGGACTTACCATGTTATGATATTAGGACTACTGAGATACAGAAATGCGCGGGAGTTAATTTCAATATGCTTGTCTCCGATATATCCTTCGAACAACGTACTCGCAGATAATATGTCCGTTCTATGCTTTATCACCGGAGTAGTTTCGTAGACAAGCTAATTTCAGCCAGTTACACTTAGGTGTGGGTTCGTCATTAATAGGGAGGGACCACAAGCACGACCGATGGTCTCTATTAGATGCAAGCAACTAGAATAATATTCAGATCTGTTATAATGAACCAGCTAATCAAGGTTCAAAGCACTTATATCACATAATTATAACTCTCAGCCCACAACACAACTCAAGCCGACCACCAAAACGCGGGTATATGGTATAACTCAACATATAAAGTACGTTCGATTTAGCTCAGGATATCGCTCATGTCTTTGGTATCTCTCGCTCGACAGCCCCATAACCAACCAAAAAATCCGGTCCGATCAAACCAACCTGCCGCCGTGTCGGCCGCAATATTTGCTATACCCTGTGATGCCGTGCTTTTATGTCAAGCTCCCCGAAGAAACATGAAATGACCTATTGATCCTTTTCCTCCATCCTTCTCTATAGAAGATGAGATTGGGTCATAATGTAATAATACCAAAATCCGAACGCCTGTGAAGGGGTAATTACTATATCTAAATTGCGGCGATCCAGCAGCCACATATTATTAACCGTGCATTCATTCACTCGTGAATTTAGCTTCTGAAATCAACTCGAAATGGGGTTTAAAACGTCTCGGACTCCTGGCTGATAACGCTGGAAGGACTGGCTATTGTGCCGAATGTATCTATTAAAACAGTCAGTGGAATGAACTCTTTGTCATGGGAATATGGTAGAAAGTATTTACCTCGCTTGCGTCGCCTCTCCTCTCCGTCGTCGCTACCCCGGCTAGGGGTCATAGCCCTAGGTCCGCTGGGCCTTCGAGCCGGAACTCCTAGAGCTCCACTTAGGTTCCTATTTTCCGGCTTCGGACTGCTGGAGTGATAACTTCCGGCGTGCGTGGCCGTAGCTGTGCCATAGCCACTTTCGACGCTGTGGAACGGCAAGGGGCTGCCGTGCTTGTTTTGAAGCTTGTTCACCCTGTCATGTTGAGCGGGCGATGAGCTATCTAATGGCTCTTTTGGAGGTCGCGGTGGTCCTAGAGGACTGGGCGATGGCATCTCCTGTTGCCAGTTATAATCATCTCCATTGCCGGAATTTATGGCACTGTTGTCGCTATACCGATTGGTACTGTGCATAGGAAGCCTGTGGAGGGAGGTAGCTGAGCCAGCCCAGTCGGCTGACCCTGGAGACATCGCATTGTCGTAGTCTTGTGCTGAGGTCTCTAGCGCCGTTCTGAATCGCTCCGTCTGTCCTTGTCGTGGCTGTGGGTGCTGCAAGTTTAGTGAGTTGCGATGAACCCTGTATTTGGGATCCTCGGGAGTATAGTAGGCAGCAGGCTCGGGTTGAGTATACGCAGCTGGCTGGGGTTGCTGCATATTGGTTGTATCAGGTTGGTTCTCGACCACAGAGGGTGCGCGGAGCTCTTGTTCCGAAAAGCCCGAGTGTAGCTTATCTCCTTCATATACGTTCTGAGGTTGGAATTGATCATAATTGGCTAAGTCCGAGCCAGATCGAGATGGAGGGTGTCGTAGGAACTCCTCAGGAGGGTCGTGCTTCTTAGAAGCCCCACTGCTACGGAAGACTCTTCCTATACTCGATGTCGTCGTCTCGGACCACCGTGAGATTTTGGGGAAGAGACTGGATGAGCCCCGCGATTTATGCTTCTTGCTCTCTTCGGTTCGAGGGGTGTTCTCGTTGCTCATCGAATAATTCTGCGCCTGAGATGCGGTCTGAGGTGGCGTTCCAAGAGGTACTGAACCACCTCTAGACCTTTCGGAGCTGGGTGAGAGCATTCCTCCATGCATCTCATATTGGCTTGGTGGCGGCATGGAATGGTCATTGTACTCACCCTCGTCTTCGGGTACTGTGCTGATACGATGGTCTGAAAACTTTCGCTCGCTAGCTAATCTGTTGGAGGTCCCGCGAGACTGGGGTATCGATAGGTGTCCCGACTGGCTTGCGTGACTAGCCGTCGAGGTCCCGGCATGGCCTTCGGGCTCGTAGCCTCGATCTTGCTCATACTGAACATCCGGTTGGATACCCTCAATCGACTGAGCCCGAGTGCTTGTGCCTACTGGGCCGGCGGTCTGGTGCTTGAGGACGTTAACATCGTCAAGTAGCTGGTTGAGTAAATCTTCTATTCTGGTTAGATCATTAGCACCCTTGGAACTGAGTCCCTGGAGTGCACGTCGAAGGATGTTGCGCTTCTTCGTGTTCACGTCCTCTGTGCCGGCCTGAGATCCTCCTTGAATTGATCGCGCACTGCTGCCGGGGAAAGGTCGAGGTCCGCCTATATGGCGTTTGACTGTCTTCTCTGTATCTTCTTTAACTTCATCAACGACTCGATCCGCGTTGTCCACTAACATCCTCTTGAGGTCTTCGAAGGAGTTCCGCATTTCAGCCGCCGACCGCACTAATGTAACAAGTATCTCAGTATCTCGCGCACTTCGTTGCGCATCGCGAACCATAAGCTGCATACCAGTTAGTAAAATTTCAAGCATGTCGGAGTCATACATACGTGTTCCATCAAAGCAATGATGTCTTTCGATTGGATCCTGTCAATTCCAGTTCCAGTAGAGGGATCGTAAAGCGGAGTGCCCATTGCTTGGGACAGGCCTGCGAGCTGCCTCGTGTCTTTAGGTGCGTAAAACGGATCTTCAGATTCTCCATTCAACAACCCCACGTCCTTACCCTGTATATTAGATGCGTCGCGGATATCGTTCGGCGCTGCGGAGATGTAACCCTCATCGGCGCCAGGGATTCCTGGACTGCCTGTGTTGAAGCCACCACGGTAAACGTCTGCTCCAAAACCAGTTGCACCAAGCATGTTCCCATCCAGGCCAGGAAGATTGGCAATCGGGCTAGTTCCCTCATAAGGGTTTGTGACTAAGGTATCTCGTTTGCGGTCACAAGATGTCCTCTGCCACTCGTCATCCTGGTCCTGGCTGGGTTGCCGGCTGTGCGATGTAGCTAAAGCTCCTGCGGTTGCTAGGGTAGCTGCTGCTGCTGCCACGTCGTTCATTGAAATATCGTGGCTATTATCTGGCCTATTTGCTTTGGGCGTCACGGCACGATCGTAGGCATATGATCTTTCGTGAGTTGGCGTTGACTGTTCTGGCCAATGTTCTCTAGTTCCGTCCTGTGGTCCACCAAGTGGCCCATCTACAATAGAGGAGGCTTGGTCGTCGACATATCCGATTTCCGGCATAGGATCATTAAAATCTGGGATGCCGCTAGCTCCCATCTTTGGATGTTCATAATCTGAAAGTCGATCGACGCTATGACGCGGAGTAGCGTTAGGACGGTAACCATCCTTCGCTCGTTCTTTGAAGGACTGGTTTTGCGCTCCACCCCTGCCAGTAAATTCCTTGTTTTCAGTGGAGATCTGTTGGCCCTCATTTTGTTGCTTCAGGGCAAGAGCTCTCTGAAGGGCACCGCTCGTGATAGCACTTTCGGAAGCAGTAGGGGAGTTGCGGTAGTTAGATCGAGCAACTTTTTGACCGTACTCGTTGAGATCGTATTCTACAAATTCCCTAGAAGCAGTTGAAGGGTCACGATCCTGGGATGCGGTCGGTGATTGGTCATGTTGCTGCTCAGCCGTTTCGTGACGGCTCTCTGTTGAGCGCTTAGCTGGACTCATTCCCCTTGATCTTGCGGGCTCGTCATAAGAAATTTGGGAGTCGCGGTAATCTTGTCTGAAACCCGTAGATCCACTCATGAAAGAAGGATCGAGCTGCGAACCCTCGACCAGTGATGCTACAGCAGATTCAGGGGGGAAGTTCTGGTGCACCATCTCAGCGTTTCCTCCAACGGCATGAACTGCTTGCCCCGAAGTCACCCTGTCCAATTCGCTATCCTCAGTGTATGTAGGGTCTCTATAGCCTATACCTGAGCTCATTAGGCTGCTAGCCTCATCAACAAACTCGCGACCCCGAAGATTGCTCGGGACTGAACTAGGTGAATGAAGATCACGATCATACGGCGACTTCTCGGGAGATGAGAGCTCGCTCGTGGTATGTATAGTTCTTGAATCTCGGAGTCCGTGGATATCGCTTTCTCCTTCCGTAAACCCTGATACGCTCTGAATTGGACTTAAGCCACGCCGTTCCTGCTGGTACGGAACATAACGCAAAGGAGCCGGAACATCCTGTGATCCATAGAAAGATTGTATGGGTGACGATTCGTCATCATATAGACCAGGCTCTGAAAGTTGACTGTTTTCATCATACTCGTCATCGTACCGGTTCCCATAGTCATCATTCTTGTAATCCTCCTGGTAGTCAGCATTGCCTTTGCGAGGGAGAGCTTTGAGGTCGCCATGGGAGACGTTGGCGTGTTGCGCACCCAGGCCCTGGATGTTGTGGATAGGAGACCTTGACGGCGAAGGGGTCTCCTGAATGGGCTCGATTGAGACGATACCTCTTGTGGCCTCCCTGACTGGAGTC